ATTTTGTTGGGAAAGATCTAATACGGCAAAATTTCGCCAAGATAGACATGTGCCGACAAACTTTCATCGGCAGAGATTTAAATAAATATAAACTTGGTATGTTTAGGTTAATTAATTTTTTAAAATATTATCTTTGCCTTATTTTAATTATTATTTCTTTAGTGAATAATTAGTATTAAATATTTTAAGTAACTTCATGAATTATATTACTCAATAAATTGTAATCCAATTTGCGCGGCTATATCCTTTAAATATATTTCCACATTGCACCAACAATAAAAATAAGGATTCTATGTAAGCTTATCTTTTGGGGTGCCCATTTTTGTTAAAATCCCACATCGAAAATCCACACTCCTATAAAGGTGTTTATAAACAAAGCACTATAATAGTTTGGTAAGTGGGTGAACATTGGAGAGTTGGGCTAACGAGGTTGGCTATAGGCTCGGCTTTGATTAATAACAATTATATCAATCAAAGACTAGGGCCTTGGGGCTCTTGGGATCTGGAAAAATTTAATTAAGACACCCAAAGGAAAATAAGTAACTTAATGGGATCCTTTTTTTCTTTTAAATATTTTTTCTCGATTTTCGTTTATCGATAAGAGTAGTTTAAGACACCCAGAGTAATTACCCGTACAAAGAATTTAGCACTTTCGCGTTTAATAGTGTACAAGTACGGACGTATTTTTCATGTTTAATACATGTATTCTCACATATTATTGAATAAAAATAATATATATTAAAATATCGTATAGTGACCTAAGTTATAAATTTCCATCCCCTTGTCCTATTTTCCCACCCACCTTATAAATTTGAATAAACAAAAACCTATTTCACCCACCATTATTCCTAAAATATCCTTTAATTCTATTTCCATATTTGCTACTACAATTAAAAAAATTATTTAAAAAAATAAAAATAAAAATAAAATATGGGTTTGGGTGCGTGTGAGAGAGACTGAGAGAGTTGTTCTCATATACAAAGTGGTAAATTTGTCTTTAAAATTTGAAAATAAGATGGGTGGGAAAATAGGACAGATTAATGGAAATAGCAGCACTCTAACTTTTAAGTTGTAAAGGGATCCCTTTTAAAATTAAAAAATTTATTAAAAAAAAATTCTGATTTTTTTTTTCAAAAATTGTATAGCCGAACGGCTGTACTCGGTTTTTTTCTAATTTAAAAAATAGTATAACCAGTCGGCTATACTTCTTTTGACACGTGGGCACCGAATCTTGAGGGGTCCTTTTTTTAAATGTATAAATAGTATAGCCGCACGGCTATACTCGGGTTTTTGTTTTTTTTAAAATAGTATAGCCGGACGGCTATACTCGCTTTTTCACAAATTTTTTTAAAAAATAGTATAGCCCGATGTTTATACGTATTTTGACACGTGGGCAATCGCAAGGGGGTCCAATTTTTTACGTATACAAATAGTATAGCCGCACGGCTATACTCGATTTTTCTGATTTTTTTAAATAGAAAATAGTCTAGCCGGTCGGCTGTACTCGGTTTTTTCTTTTTCTTTTTTAAATATAAACTTAGTATGTTTAGGTTAAATTTTTTTTTATTAATTAAATATTATCTTTGCCTTATTTTCGTTATTTTTTCTTTAGTGAATAATTAGTATTAAATATTTTAATTACCTTCATGAATTATATTACTCAATAAATAGTAATTCAAATTTTCTATTTTTAGAGTATAGTCTCGCGGCTATACTCTTTAAATATATTTCCACATTGCACCAACAATAAAAATATGGATTTCTATGTAGTCTTATCTTTTGAGGTGCCCTTTTTTGTGAAAATCCCACATTGAAAATTCACTCCTATAAAGGTGTTCAGAAATAAAGTACTTTGATGGTTTGGAAAGTGTGGTTAATTACTCGTACATAGAATTTAGCACTTTCACGTTTAATAGTGTACATGTACGTACTTATTTTTCATATTTAATACACGTATTTTGAAAAAAAGTTTCAATAAGACACACAAGATTAACGTATTATACAAATAATTCTCACCTATTATTGAATAAAAATATTATATATGAAAATATTATATAGTGACCTAACTTTTAAGTTTTAAAGAGGTCCTTTTTTTTAATAAAAAAAAGTATTTATCTGATTTTTTTTATAAAAAGTTTTCCTTTATTTCTCGTATTTTTCTAGACATTATCTTAGCATTTTACACGCTATAAAAGAAAAAAAAAACTACTAAATGGGACGTCTAGAAAATACGGGCAGTAAAAGAAAACTTTTAAGACAACGATTTATCACACGCACGCAATTAAAATATGAAACTGTTGAAATAGACATCTATATAAATACAATTACAAAAAAATATTTACGGAACTTTATAAGTCGTGCATAGAGCGTGTGATTAAAAAAAAGCCTCTTGCCAGCACCGAAGTGCGTGCATGGAGGCTAGTATATATAAATAGTGCAGTTGTTCAACTATATCCTGTTTTTTATTTATTTTATTTTTAAAATAGTATAGCCGCGGCTATACTCTGTTTTATTAATGTCTCTAAAAAAGTAGTGTAGCTGCTAAAGTCATTCTAGATTATGTTCACACTATTGTTTGGGGTCCTTCCAAGAATGCTTCTTAAGGAGGTAGCCATTATTTTGTCTTCTTTGTTGATGAGTTCTTTAGAAGAGTATGGTCGTACACCATGAAGCATAAGTATGAAGTCTTGAAGATATTCTTGAAGTGGAAGAAGATTATTCAAACTCAAAGTGGTTCAAAAGATCAGGACTCTCATATCAGACAATGGCGATGAGTATAGGTCTTATCCTTTCTTGAAAGTTTGTCAAGATGAGGGTATTGTGAGACACTTCACGATTAAGGAGACACCGCAACATAATGGGGTGGCGAAACCCATGAATCGTACTTTGTTTGAGAAAGTGCAATGTATGTTGTTTAATGCTAGTTTAGGCAAAGCATTTTAGGCTGAGGCAGTTACTTATGCAAGTCATCTCATTAATTGATTGCATGTTGCTGCGAAAGAGGGCAAAACACCTATGGATATATGGTCTGGTAAACCTTGTATTGATTATAAATATTTGCATATATTTGGTTGTCCTACTTACTTTCATGTCAAGGAAAGCAAGTTGGATCCGAGAGCAAATATAGCTCTATTTATGGGCTTTAGCACTAGCGTGAAAGGATACAGATTTTGGTGTCCAGATGTGAAGAAATTTGTTGTGAGCAGAGATGTAACTTTTGATGATACTACTATGGTTAATCAGAACAAGAATGGAAGTGAAAATGATGCAACCAAGACCATGAGTGGTTCAAAGTATATGGAGTTACTGAAAACTCCAGTTGTTCCAGTGAAGTCTGATGATTCAGACACTAGTCCTACAATTGATTCTGATGATGAGGATGAGAGACATGAAGAGGAGGCATCTACCCAAGAGCCTTCACAGTAACAAGATTCTATCGCAACTACTAGACCCAAAAAAGTGACTCGAAAGCCTACTCAGTATACTGACATTGTGGCATATGCACTTCCAATTATTGAAGATGAGATTCCTTCCACCTAAAGAAGCAAACATAAGTTCAGAGAATGTGGAGTGGAAGAAGTCTGTGGATGAGGAGATGAAATCTCTTCATAAGAATGAAACTTGGGAACTTGTTTTGTTACCAAGGGGAAATAAAGCAATTGGATGCAAATGGGTTTATCCAAGAAGATAGAATCTTTGGGTATAGGAAATGTAAAATTCAAAGCTAGATTGGTAGCTAAGGACTATGCTCAGAAGAAAGGCATTGACTACAAGTTACAACGTGGTATTCTCTCATGTTATAAAGCCTTCCTCTATTCGTATTTTGTTGGCTTTGGTTGTGCAGTTTGACCTTGAGTTGGTTCAACTTGATATCAAGACGACATTCTTACATGGTGATCTAGAAGAAAGATTTATATGTCTTAACTAGAAGGTTTTGGTGTTACTGGAAAAGAAAATTGGGTTTGCAAATTGTGAAAATCATTGTATGGTTTGAAGCAGTTTCCAAAACAATGGTACAAGTGATTTGATCGGCTTATGGGCAAAGGTACACAAGGAGTCAATATGACCATTGTGTCTATTTTCGCAAGCTACAAGATGGAACCTTTATCTACTTGCTTTTATATGCTGATGATATGCTTATAGCATGTAAAAGCAAAGTGGAGATTGAAAATTTGAAGAATCAGTTGAGTAATGAATTTGATATGAAAGACTTGGGAGAAGCCTCGGAAGATACTTGGAATGGAAATTGAACAAACCGAAGGGTCATTTCTCGATTTATGCATGTCATCCTTATCATTTCAATTTTATATAATCTTTATTTTGAAGCTAGTAAATTTGTATTAGTAAAAATAATATTGAAATTCACGAAATTGAAGAAAAAAGATACTGCAGACCAAATTTGTAAAGACCAGCAACTGATTTTTGCTTTATTTATTTAGAATCAAATCAAATAGAAACATTACAATTTATCATAGCCTTAGGTGCAAGCCAAAGCTGCTCTGGCTTGACAGACAAGAAAAAGAAAAGGAAAAATGAAAGCCACACCAATATAATGACAGAGAAAGCACATGCAGTATATTTCATTTAAGGTTTTAGTTGTAGGCATCTGGGTTGGCCACAAGGTAGTTCTCAATAAGCTTGAACAGACCAGTTGCCTTCTCTTTGCCAGCCTTAACATCCTCTTCCTTGATCTCAACATCACCTTTGGTGTGGTAGTTGCTGGTGCTCTTTATGATGGAACCTCCATCAGCAGATGCCACCAACTTAATCTCATAACTGATTTTCTCAACCTTGTCTGAAAGTGCATCTCCTTCAACCAAACTGTAGCTGTACACAAAGTTATCTTTGTCAAGCCCGTCGATCCGGTGCTTCACATAGCTGTAATGACTTCCTGTAAAATGAGGATTATAATTAGACATTAAGAGATTAATGCTTTCAAGATTTATGTTATTAATTAAGCAAACAAGTTAGAATTAGAAGGGGCAATGGCAGAAACCGACCTTCACCAAAGCTAATCTTCTTGATGGTTCCAACACCTCCATCTCCTTCAACAATTTCAGCACTTTTAACTGATTGGGGAGCAATCTTGGGGATGAGGGTGTCAGCTTCAAGAACAAGGGCTTTGAACAATCTTGGTGGGGGGATGACTGAGGTGGACTCGTTTGTGTATGTGAAGACACCCATGATGATGATTTTAGAGCTTAGAAACAGATCAAAGAAAGAATGAAAGTGTGAAAGGATTAGATGATTGACAGGGATGATATTTGATGCTGGAAAATGTGAGAACTGGAGGTCCTATTTATAGATTGAGGCAGTGTGAAATCTCAGCTGTATATCAAAGACTATAGACTTTGAAAATGAAAGTGAAAAGGACTTTAGATTTTTCAATTGAATGAATAAGGATATTATTGAGTCAGCAGTCAGCAGTCAGCAGCACACCAGTTGTGTTGTAATATTCTGATCATCAAAAAGGGCAAGTATACGTCCAATATGATATATTACTAGCCAATCAGAATGGACTGTGTTCGTAGACATGTTTTAGAACATTCTATTAGAAAATTAATTAGCACATCAGCTGGTTGTAATAAATTGGAATTTTTAAAATCAACTTGTAGAGGTGGCTTTACACAATAGACACCTTTATATTCACTGAAAACTTGTCCAAACAACTTTATATCCATTGGGGTCACTTTACACAATAGACACTTCACCCTTACCCTATAAATACTCCCTCTGGTGCTCACATTTCCTCCCACTAATATCAATCATTCGCTTTTAGCTTCCTCCACATTCATTCTTTCTTTGATCATTTTCTAAGCTCTTAAATCATCATCATCATGGGTGTCTTCACATACGAAACCGAGTTCACCTCTGTCATTGCTCCACCTAGGTTGTTCAAAGCCCTTGTTCTAGATGCTGACAACCTCGTCCCAAAGATTGCTCCACAAGCAGTTAAAAGTGCTGAAATTGTTGAAGGAGATGGAGGTGTTGGAACCATCAAGAAGACTAGCTTTGGTGAAGGTTTGTTTCCACCATTCTCTCTCTCTGTCTACTAACTTGGTTTTCTAGTTAATATGCAAAATGAAAGCATTTGTGTCTTAATTTCTGAAAATGTTGACATTAACCATCCTCAAATTTTGAAATTACAGGAAGCGAATACAGCTATGTGAAGCACCAGGTTGATGCGCTTGACAAAGATAATTTTGTGTACAGCTACAGTTTGATTGAAGGAGATGCTCTTTCAGACAAAATCGAGAAAATCTCTTATGAGATTAAGTTGGTGGCATCTGCAGATGGAGGTTCCATCATAAAAAACACCAGCAACTACCACACCAAGGGAGATGTTGAGATCAAGGAAGAGCATGTTAAAGCTGGCAAAGAAAGGGCCCATGCTTTGTTCAAGGTTATTGAGACCTATCTTGTGGCCAACCCTGATGCCTACAACTAAAACCATCTCTTATACATTCACATGTTAAAGGCAACAATCTAATGTCCTCTCCTTTCTCTGTTTGTTCAGCGGTGTGGTTTTCAATTTTTCCTTTTTCTCATACTAAAGCAGTCTATGTAGTTATGATTAAAGAGTAATATTGTATTTTATTTCAATCTCAATAAATGGAACACAAATCTTTTGATAGCTTTTTCCAAATTTGGTTTGCAATGTTTCCCCTGACTTCATGAATTCCACATCGATCGATGTTAACTTAGCCAACAATCAGAACATAGAAGTAAATCTTTTAAAAATAGACCATTCCCAAATCAATTAGCAATGAGTTGAGAGGTCCAACATTTTCTTTACGTAAATGCAAGATTTAAAATACCCCATCTTGAGACTTTGATTCTTTGGTTGGCAAGGAGGAGAGGCAGATTAGCTACTCTGGACAGGTTCAGCTATTATAATAGTCTCACTGCTCATGCTTGGCTACCTGTTTCCCTTTGGTGCCTTTGTGTTCTTTGTTTCTTTACAAATTATCCGTCAAGAAATCATACTTAATTTTTTTCTGGTTCTCCGTTGTGTCATGTTTGTACAGATTTCTGTGAGTTCTTTTGGACAAAGATTTCTGTGAGTTCTTTTGGACAAAGATTTCTGTGAGTTTGATTGTCAGTTTTTATTGTATAATAAAGCACGGATATATGAGGTTCCACGACAAAGTGAAGTAACAAATTGTCATTACCAAAAGTGCAGTAAAAGCCACAGGCATAAAATCCATAGAAAGGCCCCAATAAGCTGGGCTTTGTACTTTGGTTATCTTCACAAAAATAAAATTGCAATGGCCGAACAAAAGGCCCAATTGACCCACTTTAGAAAATAAGTCTATTCGAGCAAAGAGTAAAAATTGGTAAGATCACATAAATGTTTTATTTTACCAATGAGTTTTTGGTGTGCTCCCAAATAATTTTAGGTTTAAATCCTCATGGTACTCGTGCCTCTCAAGACCCTCCAAGTAGAACTCGAAAGCCTTTTAAAATAATTAAAATTCTAAAAGTCAAAATTGGCTAAAATCTTTAACATGTCCGAAGTTTCCCTGAAGAATTGACCCTTTTTTTCAATTGGGAAAACTTGCTGGAGAAAAAATTATTTTACTTGTCACAATGGTGGTCTTCCGTATTGTATTGTGCTTAGTTGGGTACATAGCGACGACTTTGACCAACTTATCATGTCCTTCAATGTAAGTATTCAGTCATTTTCTCGAGTCTTTAGGCCATTTGCTAAACCCTATCAAATTAATTGACTTTTTCAAGCCATTTGTGGACAAGTACATTTAGCAATTAACAAAATCTCAAATTCTTTTATATTGAGTGCTATAATGGATTTTCTGGATTTTTTTTTAAATGTCCCTAGAATCATTCAACAAAAAATAAAATAAAAACTCTCACCAAATATTTCCTGGATTTAGGAGAAAAAGACATTGCACACTGATCATATATTCCAAGATTATCAAAGAGGTAATAGTATACTAGACTCACACACACTATACGGATGTTATGACTCGAACTCATGACATTTCTTGAAGAGAGAAATTACTCCAAACTATACACTAGTGAGTCCTTTATGAAGTTATAATTTTTTATTCAATGAATTAATATTATTTTATTCTAAGAAGCAGCATTACTAGTTGATGGGATCAAAAATCCAATTTATAATTATCGGTGTTGCTAAGCTCAATGACACTGTTACTCAGTATCTGAAAATATATTACATTGAATGTACTTGGACAGTTTGATGACCAAATTAGCAATCTATAGCAAACTCTTGGCTGATTATGGCGGCATCTTTGATTCATAACTTTATAATTTCCAATACAATAACTTCTTCTTCTTTTTCATTTGTTAGGGTGGGGAGGGGAGGGAGTTTTTCTACAATAGTGATGTATGTATATGTATGAAGAACATGAATTACTATAATATGCACGTCTTTTTTATAATTAAATCAAAATCATATATGTCAAATTATGATTTACGAAAAAGAGTAAAGCGATAATTATATCAACACGATTATCAAGGTATTGATAGTATCAATAATATAGGTAACATAACGATGTTGATATACATCTTGCTCTAACTACAGGGAAACATTATCTCTTATCACTGGCCCTGACGTACTTGTGTGTTCATATAGATAATATATATTATATATTCTCTTTATTGGGATGAACATATTCTTGATGTCAGACCAAGAGAAAAACATCCCTTTTATGACCATACATGTTGAACATGGACTGTTTTTATGGTACCATTAGCTCGACGGATGAATGAGGACGAAATTTGGTCCCAAGGTGATTGCATCACCCATCAACAGGCTTTGATGTAATATGTTGTTACCATTACTTTATTTTAAATTAAAATGATGGAACGAATTATGATCTGGAAAATTAATTTTTCAACTCATTCATGCAGCCCCACGACAAAGTGATCCACTATTTTCGCTTGATAAGCTTACATTAACATTTCTCTTGTTGTAAATGTGGCTTAAGTTAGATGGTCAAAGGCATATGTCTGCTCATTTGCTGTAAAGTGGCTTAAGTTAGATGGTCAAAGGCATTATGTCTGCTCATTTGCACTCGAGTTCGATCTTCTCATATATTAGAGTAATTTAGAATTATCATGTTATAAAATAAAATAAAACGAATTTACATTGCTCTTATTGGTTCCCCTTTTCTCCTGCCAACGTAGGTCTTGTGAGCGGGACTTTTTCCAACCTCAATAAATGTTCGTTGGAATTGGGTGTGAGTCAGATTTTTTCATGTTACTGTCTGCGAAAAAAGCACTGCAGTTGATCAAGACAATAAGCAATGATTTTGAAACAAAGGGGTCAATAGCCAATGGTGACCGCCAGTTGCCATTGCTGATTAATCAAAGCAAACCAACAAGTCTCTTGAAACCCCAAAGTCAGAGAAGGGGAGAACCAAAACCATATAAGTAAATAAATAAATAAAACTTTGGCTACATATATAGATATCCTATAATTACCAAAATTTAATTGTTTTTTATATATATTTTTTAAAATAAAAGGTGAGAATAGCACAGGCTATGTATGAACAGTTCATGAAGTTCTCCAGAGTTGTCTGTTTTTCTCTATTTTCATGTCGTGTAGTTCTCTTAAAAAATCTCTCGTTCTCATAAAAACAATGTAACTTTACAGTTTGTGTATTGCAAAAACCTCCATTTAAGGCTGAGTTTTTACTATGTATTCTGGAAACTGAAAACAACGTAAGTTTACCTTAACTTTGATGACCGACAGTTAGAGTAAACTGAGACATTGAAAATTCAAAGTTGGAAGACCATCTACAAACTCGGCTCCCCTCATTCACTCTTGATTTTTTGTGTACTTCCAGAGTCTATCAGACCGTCCAATTATTTTATTTTTTTTCTTTCTGGAGATTATTATCCGATACAATAATTGTAGCACCAACTTGCATAAACTGGTTGATGATCTACAGGGACGCTTCACACATCTGTGGCCTTAATCTCAACCCCTGTGATCTCTATAAATACAGCCTAAACCTTTCCCTTCTCTTCATCCCAACAACTCTTTACTCTTCTAACTACTCTCTTTGTCCTTTAAACTCTTCCTTGATCATTTTCCAACTCAAGACTCATATCATGGGTGTCTTCACATACGAAACAGAGTTCACCTCTGTCATCCCACCAGAGAAGTTGTTCAAGGCTTTCATCCTCGATGCCGACAACCTCATCCCCAAGGTTGCTCCAACAGCAGTGAAAGGTACCGAGATCCTTGAAGGAGATGGAGGAGTTGGAACCATCAAGAAGGTCACCTTTGGTGAAGGTAATTAGCTTCATTTTTTTTTTAATACAAGAGGGATATTGAAAAATGGGGGATTCGAAGACACTCAGATGTAAGAGTAACTATTCTTAACTACTTGATTTACAAGTCAAGTAATTAGATGGTTCTGTATGCTCATGTTTTTTTCTTAAGATCGTAAAAAATTCTTGTAATGTGACAAGCATGGTTGACTAATTTGTTTATTTATGTCATAATTTGCAGGAAGCCAATATGCGTATGTGAAGCACAGGGTCGATGGGATTGACAAAGACAACCTTTCATACAGTTACACTTTGATTGAAGGAGATGCCTTGTCTGACGTAATCGAGAAGATCGCTTATGATATCAAGTTGGTGGCATCCCCCAACGGAGGATCCATCGTCAAGACCATCAGCCACTACCATACCAAGGGAGATGTTGAGATCAAGGAAGAGCAAGTCAAGGCTGGCAAAGAGAAGGCAGCCGGTCTCTTCAAGCTTGTTGAAGCCTACCTCTTGGCCAACCCCGATGCCTACAACTAAATTCAGACTTTTGTTTTTATTTATGTTTTTCCAGCTCTGTTATCAGCTGAAGGTGTGGATTTGATGTTGTTGTTTCTGCCTAAAGAGTGAGAGTTAAAAAAGGGAAAGAAAAACTGCCCTGGCCTTGGTGTGTTAAATGTTTGTTGTCCCATATATTCCAGGTGGATTGGTATTGTATTATTTTCTACAAAATAATGAAAATCATACGTTAATCAAACTATAAATTGCATGTGCACTGGGCTCATTAGTTTCTTCGATTTCAATATATTTAACAATTTTTTGATGTCACCGAAAAAAATTGATTAGAACTTGATTAGTCTGACGATCAAATCCCTATTTAAAGTTGGCCTCTGTCTTTGCCTTATATTTGGTCCAATAACAAAAAATTACAAAAATAATATAAAACTATGAGTCTAAAGGTTGATATCTAAAATTTATAAATAAAATTGACTGTTTAATAACATAACATAGTAAGTTTGACGCGTACACAATACTTGTAATAGTATTATCATCCTATGAATCCAACTAAAATAATATGAATCGGAAGCTCATGGCCTATAAGAGCCTTTCCAGCGGTAAGCCCCAGCCCGGGGGGGGGGGGGAAAAAAAAAGGTGTTCCAGCGGACAGCCCAGGCCCGGGGGAGATGTGGGACCCACCAACCCAGGCTGGCCCGAAGGCAACTTCTGCCTGAGGTCCAAAACGAGGGGGGTTACTGTAGCGCTACAGTATTGCTACAGTACTGCTACAGTACCTCCGCTACAGTACCTCGCTGATTTGATTTTTTTTTTCTGTTGCCACGTGGCGTCGTCTGGGCTCTCCGATCTGATTTTTTCCTCCAATCCAACGGCAGCCAATTTTTTTGCAATAAAATACTGGAAAAAATTCGGAAAATTTTTTAAAAAATACCCAAAAATTAATGAATTTTTTTCTATAAATACCAGCCTTTTTTTTATAATTTATCTGAAATTTGAAATTGAAAATTTTATCCGATTATGAGATATGAATAGTATTGACACGTAGGAACCCGAAAATCTTATCCGAAAATATTATCCAAATTAATTATTGAGGTAAAAAAGTTGTGAATAAAACAAAAAATGAATAGTAACTGCCCTTAGCAAGGGCAACGGGTGGAAACACAAAATTCGGATTTTGCAAGGGCAACCACTATTCACGTGAATAGTGGCTGCCCTAGCTCCCCCCTTGCCATGGCTAAGGGCAAATGGGTGGAGTTGCTCTAATACTTACAAATGGCGAGGGCTTTGTTGTCTTTGAAATTGCATAAATTTGGGAATATCACCCATGACGAATATGCTAATTTAGGACAAGCCACGATCTTCAAGAAGGTGAGGTGGGGCAATGAGATAAACACATAACTTTTTCTTCAATTTACAATAATTGTCACACGCACGCATGTACGTCAAGAAATAAAAATTTGATGATGAAAACAAAATTTTTTCTTTTGGACCTTTCTTATTGAGAGGGTTGATAACATATTAAACTCACATACACTATACAAATGTTATGACTCAAATCCAGGACTTTCATAAAGAAAGCATTTGTTCCAAACCACTACACTAGTTGATCATTGCTATATTTCAATATTAACTATCCATATTTTACACTCATCAAAAACTTTTAGCTAATTTTCTTTTACGTTTGAAAATATAAGCACTCGATTACTTGTATTCAAAAAATATATTTATAATTATTCGAGTAATGATCGAACCCTCTTAATAGTGTCTAAACTCTCAAGTAATTTTTTTTAGAATATATAAAAAAGGGACTGAAAAATCTTCAAAATACTTAAAACTTTGCTAGTTTTCAAAATGTCCCAAACCCTTATGAGAGATATGCCAAGCCTGCAATAATTGTTCAGATGAGCTATATCAATAAAACTATTTAGTCAACTTTAATTAGTTGATAGGGAGCAACAACAACAAAATTAATAATAAAAAGGAACTTCAATATAAGTTGTACAAATAATGGACTTGGTGTATACTTGACCAAACTCCATTGAATTCATGGATAATAGGTGGTAGCAATAGTTTAACAAGAAAATAATTTTTTAATTATTTGTAGGGAATAAAAGATATTCGATATACTTATTCTTTAGTGAATGATACATGTATATGCCCTGGCTATCGGGGAATTTTTTATTTTATTTTTTTGGGAACATATTTTATTAGGATGAGCGATAATATATTAAACTCACACACATTATACAAATACTAAAACTCAAACCCAAAATATTTTCTACCAAAACAATTACTCTAAACTACTACCACTATAGTGAGTCCTTCGTGCTAGGGAACTTATTATATATGTAAGACTAGTACTTTTTTGGGGAGGGGATTTTATTAGTAACGAAAGAAATAAAATAAAATTGTCGGCTAGAATGTTATCATGTTCTAGGCATTTGAATGGTACTATGACGCCTTCCAACAGCTTTCGGCAAAATTATTGTGTGCAGATTTTTATTTTATTGATTTTTGTAAGGTAAAGTAATTTGGTCACATGCAAGAGACAAAATGTGATACCATTATTATTACATACTACCTAGTAAGTTGTACGTGTGACATTTGGTACCTAATGCAACTACTCCATCAATTCAACCAAATAGTTAATGTAGCAATCATTTAGTAAACTAGGGGAAGGGGGATTCAAATGCAGTGTTAGAAGTACATCCAACTTCAACCAATTGGTGCCTAATTTATTTCCATGTAAATAGATAGAGTTTACTGCATCATAGAAAAGATGTTCTGCAAAGAACCCACTAGTGTAGTGGTTTGGAGTATTTACTCTCTCAGGCAAGGTTCTGGGTTCAAATCCTAGCATCCGTGTTGTGTATGTGAGTTTAGTATGTTATCGTCCCTCTCAATAGGAAAGGTTTATATAAATATAAATAAAAAGGTGTGTTTTTTTTTAATTGCATTCATAATTCAGCCAAACACTAGTCACAAAGGGCCAATACAAACTAGTCACAAAAAGGTCATTACAATAACGCCGGTCTAATATCAAAATTAAGACAATTTAGTGGTGAGCCTCCACTAACGATCACACAGGATCGAAGAAACTTTGACATAAACATCCCAACTAAGATTGCAAACTTAGAATAATAAAAAAAAAGCTTGAAAAAAAACCAAGCTATAACAATACAAATAAAACTCTCACAAATGAGAGATAAAAAGCTCTCACAAGAAAGAGGTGAAAATCTCTCACAAAAGAAGATGTGAAATTACACAGAGAATCCAAAGACTCTCTGCAATATTCCAAATATAAAGAAACTGCAAAAAAAATGATAGTGGAGATCCGATGTTGAAACGCAAATAGAAATCCGACGCTAAAACACAACCGCATGTGATGGTCAAATGAAATAATAGAAAAGATATTCTAAAAGCAAAAGGATGAGAGATATTAAATATATTGATAGCCAATTCTGACTGCCAGCTGCCATTCTTAAAATAAAAGCTCTCAAGTCTTCAATACTCAACCCCACCCCTTTCCCCCACCCCCTCCCAAATTAAAGAAGAGAAAGAAAATCAGAAAAGAACAGAGAAAAAAAGCAGCTACAAAAACCAAAAATACCAAGGTGATCATCAACCAAGCCAAGCCAAATTATTGTTCTTGGTCAATTTTGTCACAATTTCTGACATGTGTATTTTGTTTTTCTTCATTTGGTTGCCTTTTGCCTTCAACTATATCCGATAATTTGAAGAAGCTTTCCAAAAAAGCACCATCTTTATCTAAAATTCCTACTTTTACCATCAAATTAAAATGAGATGCCGACTGTCCAATTATCTGACAAGCACTCTTGAAATAATAATCAGGAGAAGGGAGAAGTTGTGCCAAAAACACACATCTAGAAAAAAAAGCTATTGTTTTTTTTTTTTTTTTTTTTTTTTTTTTTTTTTTTTTTTGGTTTTTTTTTGGGTTATTTTTTGTTTATTTTTACTTAGTACACACAGATATGTATGTATTAAATACTGGAAGTTGGGATATATATAAGTGACACAATTTGCATATTAAAATTTTGAAGTTCCTTGTTAATTCAGGGACTTCCAATAAACAAATGACAATTTGCCCAAACTTCGATCTAAAGGGAACAGCTCACAATGCCCAACCTTCACTATAAATACCACCTCTCTGTACTCATCTCCAACACACTCTCAACCTTCTCTAAAACCATCATCTTTGTAGTTTGTTCATTTTGCTTATTCTCAACCTTTTGATCATCACCATGGGTGTCTTCACATATGAGAGCGAGTTCACCTCTGAGATCCCACCACCAAGATTGTTCAAGGCCTTTGTCCTCGATGCTGACAACCTTGTCCCTAAGATTGCTCCACAGGCAATTAAGCATTCTGAAATCCTTGAAGGAGATGGCGGCCCCGGAACCATCAAGAAGATCACTTTCGGCGAAGGTAATTACTTGGATTACAGTATATATGTTGTCCGACTGTTAATATGAACCAAGGTCGTCGAATTCTTACTTGAACATGTTTTATTATTGTTCTTCAGGCAGCCAGTACGGCTACGTGAAGCACAAGATTGACTCCATTGACAAAGAAAACCATTCATACAGCTACACCTTGATCGAAGGAGATGCTTTGGGAGACAATCTCGAGAAGATCTCGTACGAGACCAAGTTGGTGGCATCCCCCAGCGGAGGATCCGTCATCAAGAGCACCAGCCACTACCACACCAAGGGAGATGTTGAGATCAAGGAAGAGCATGTCAAGGCTGGCAAAGAGAAGGCCTCAAATCTCTTCAAGCTCATTGAGACCTACCTTAAGGGCCACCCCGATGCCTACAACTAAATTGATCAGATGTCTCTGTGATGCTTGGGTCTTGCCTTTGCTATTTGATCAGTCGAAGAAGATTTGTGTGGCTTTTCTTGTTGCTTTCTAGTCAGTCCAAAGTAGCCACAGGGTTGTTGGGCACTTGGGCTTTGAAAATAAGTGTGTATGGGTTGTGATCTTCTGGTTGCTTTTGATGTTTTGTTTGGATCAAGTTGCAGACTGAGCACAGTGTATTTATCTTCTATAAATAAATTATATAATGGAACTTCCTTGTAATGAAATGTTTTAATTACAAACAATTAGTGCAGTGAGTAAATTTCCTAAAAACTACGTTCTATATTGTGCCATATAAAATTTGCAGCGTAATCAATTATTGCACATGATCAACTTGAGAATTAATTACTTCCCTACCCCAAGAGGCTATAAGAAGAATTTTCATGGCTCTCTATATTACTAAAATACAAAGATTATTCGTAAGACATTTGTAGCTTAAGTGGTTAAGATCAGTTACTTATGTGCCCGATGTCGAAACAGAACAAAATTACAAGATTATTCAACGGGTTTGCAAAGTTGGAAGTTTTCTTGAGTCCATTTGGGCAACAACTAAGCTAAAAACAAACCATTCATCACATCACATGCCTTCACATTTTGATAAGATAGTGATCGTTGAAATCAAGAACTTGGCAAACTTTGGGTGCAGATAGACAAACATTAGGGCCGGTACATGCGTAATACTTTTACTTTAATTAGGACAGATTTTTATATGATAACCTAAAGTAATTAAAGAGTAGAGGAGCAATTATCATAAACCTCTTATGATAAACTAAAGTAATAAAGACCGCTACTACTGAGTAATATATTATATAGTATAGTTGCAAGATTTGGAGCCAACTTGCTTTTTTCTTTTCTCGAACTAGACAAGCAAGACCCGACTTGGTTTGAAATAAAAAATTCAAACAGATAAGGAGCTGGGTCCTACAAGCTTTCTGAATTATGACCTGGTGCATCCGTCTAGAAATGTGACCAAATGCAATTCTATATATCGAATTAGACAGGGAAGAATTAATTCACAGAGAGGGCTATCTTAAGACGACTTTCTTGGCCCCAAGATCGGGTGACTTGAGCCCGTGATTTAGTCCATGTCAATGGTCGACTAAGGTTTCTTTTTTAAAAAAAAATTATTTTGTGAACGGAAGTTATATAATCAAATGGGCGGAGAGATTCAAATTTGAGATTTCTTTCGACATTAGAAAAAGAAGAGACATTATCAAAAGAATAAGAACTAATCAAACTAATTAATCCAGTATAATTGACCAAATCATACAAAAAAATGTCTACACAAACAAAACTAAAGCAACTGAGATTCCTAATCACTCATGAGTAGCGGAGTCAGGATTTCATATTAGAGGAGATCCTTCATAAAACTTGTATTCTCTTTATAAATTAATTATCATGAATTTCATATCTTAAATTGGTTAAATACTAATTTCATCATCTACACTATTAAAGAATTAAAAATTAATCATTTATATTCCAACAGGGAAAGAAATGAAAAACAAAAGGAGTTCATAAAGCGCAATATTAAGGTACCCAACTCATACATGAAAAAAAAATGAGGAAAATAAAAAATTCACAAAGCTTTAAACAAAAGAGGAAGAGAAAAAAAGGTTAAACTTTAGGAGTTTATATTGCAAATATCATAAACTTTAGGAATTTAGTAGAAGAGAGATCAAGAAATTTTATGGTTTATTTGTAGACAAAAAAAAACATAATATATTAATTTATTTTAGAATAAATATCCTAAAACTAATCTAATATATTATAATATTATATATGATATATAACATACAAATAAAAAAGGTGAAAATGAAGTGGGGCCTTGAGACCACATTGTTCCCATGCTGGCTCTGCCTGTCGCTCATTATACAAAAAGCTATTTAATTAGAAAAATTATGGAAACTTCTCTAAAATTACCCGATTGCTTCCAAATTACATATTTGAAAAGTCGTTGGTTATCAGATTTTAGTTTATTTTATTTTATTGGTGTCACGCCATCGGGCCTACGTACATATTGGGAATTCAAAGACTAGGTCATGAGAGCTAAATGTTACAACATGTTGTACACGACCAAGACTTGAATCCTTCCTAGCTACCTACGTCTTAGGTTTGAGCTGGAGAAGAAAATAAGGAAATTGAAAATGAAAATGAAAAACAAACAAAATACAACTGTCTGTAAATATATTAATCGCTATCTTGGTTGTGACTCAACCTTAATTGCCTCTTTAACCATTTGAACAACTATTGAGTATTTTACACCATTAATTTAAATTCGTCCGTATTGCTAATAAGGAAATACTTTTACTCATCACTTCAACCTAAGGTATATCCTCATCACATTTCTTAACACTTACAGATGTTCATTAGTATAATCATGGTTAGCTCTTTGCTTCGTATTTGTGGAACCATGATTATGACCATGAACATATGTCAAGTGTTAAGAATGATGGTGAGAGTACACATTGAGTTAAAGTGATGAGCAAAAATGCTCTATAAAAATAATTCAAATCTTAGCGGGATTGAGAAGCAAGTGAAAACAAATGCAAGTAGATTTGGAGCAATTTGACTAGTTGAATTTGATTAAATTTGTACAAATCCTAGGTGTTACTAGCTATAGAATAATTAAGATAAGATTAAAGGTTGTGTTGAACTTGTGACTAATAAATACACACAAATTAGACTATCAATTTCGTTACAATTTAGAACTCAATATTCGATATCAATATACAAATTCAACTGAACTAATAATAAAGCAAACAACCGTACAATAAGATATAAAGAAATTTAAAATAAAATAAAAACAAAAAATAGACTTTATATCCATGATGATCCATTTTGTTTGTTATAACTTATAATAATGCACATCGCGGAGTCGTCGGCAGAATGGCTTCGAAACAGCAGATATTAAGCAGGTCGCTGTCTCTTGAAAACATCAACACAAGCAGTGTTTATGCTTTTAACTACATACCTCGTCTTTTCTTTTCTTTTCATTTCTATACTAGCCTTTTTGCATGCACTTCCACGCTTGCTAGAGGTTGTTTTTTTTAAAATTTAAATTTAGTTTAGAATTAAAAAAGATAATGGGTAGTTGTGTTTCATAAAAATATAATCCATTATCTTATTTTTCTTTTAATTTTAATTTTTTTTAATATGAAAAAAGTGTGAATTTACCATACTATCCTCATTTAATTAATAATTTCAATTCTTAATGTTTGCATTAACTAAGAGTATTTTCTGGTATTTTAAATATTTCATCATTCTCTGCATTTTGCTATATATATAGATAAATGAAAACTACTTTATCAGGCACATAATAATTAGGTTTTTTTTTTTTTTTTTTTTTTTTTTTTCCTCCTGTTAAGAATTCATTTGCCGTCACTATAGTGAACCTCAAAAATCCAAATTCTGACTTATTTGTCCATTGGCCCATGTCCATCATGCAATCTATTTGTTTTGATAGGTGACAACTGGCGTTCAATAGGGTCATCCAAGTCCAAGGCCATCAAGATCCACAGCTCAATCTCTTTTGCCTTTCCTTTTGCTCATAGGCAAATGAACCTTGAAAAGGTCGCCCCTTGAAATTATTTTAGAATATATTGCACAAAACAAAAGTCTTTGAACAAACCGAAGAAATTTCAGGAACAAGAATTGATGTCTAAACTTCAACCTATATATACTTCCCATGGACCATCCTCACTGACCAAGGCTTCTTAATACTCTCTACACAAATTAACCCCATCTTTCCAAGATATAATTTCTTGCTATATATCTTCAATTCTCCGAATTACTATGGGTGTCATCACGTGTACAGATGAGTACACTTCCCCAATCCCTCCAGCCAGGTTGTTCAAGGCCTTGGTCCTTGATGCTCACAACCTTGTCCCAAACCTCATGCCTCAAGCTGTTAAGAGCATTGACACCCTTCAAGGTGATGGAAGGGCAGGAAGCATCAAGCAAATCAACTTTGCCGAAGGCATGTCTAGCTAGTTACCACAACACTTTTTTAGGGAAATGTTCTATTACCAGATTGTGAATTTAGCACGCTACATATTAATATTTGTTTGAACGTGTAGTGCGAGATTGGAAACTTGGCCGGCAACAAAATATTACCTTGGATTATATAATTTACAAAGTTTTTATAAGATTATTTTCTTCATGCAGGTAGCCAACTAAAATCTGTGAAAAACCGTGTTGATCAGGTGGATGAAGAGAACTTTGTATATGGCTACACTTTGATTGAAGGAGATGCATTAGTAATGGAGAAACTTGAATACGTTTCTTATGAGGTTAAGTTTGAGGCTGCAGAAGATGGTGGTAGTAAGAACAAGATGGTGAGCAAGTACCACACCAAGGGTGACTTTGTGCTGCAAGAGGAAGATATAAAAGCTGGCAGGGAAAAGGCATTGGGGATGTACAAAGTCGTAGAAGCCTACCTCCTCCTAAACCCTGATGCCTATGCTTAAAGCCTTAAATTTAATGTACAAAGAGAAGAGACCCAAAGAAAATTTCTCTTGGGCTTTGCTTTCACTAGCTTAATAATGCTTGTAACTCTGGTTGCTGGAGTCATTCTGTAATGTGGGCCTTATCTAAGACCCTTAGACGAGGTCATATCTCTTAATTGTTTGATCAAACTACTTCATTTGATTTAATGACTAACTAATTTGATTCCATAATTAAGAAATAGGGTCTCATCTAAAGGCCTTATTAAGCCCTCACTATAGAGTTGTAGGGTTGATTTGAACATTTTCTCCATTATATACAATTGTAGTCTCAATTCGTTGGAGATTGGCAACAAAGAAATGTGATAAATAAATAAGCTTCCTACATAATATTGATTGAAATATCATACTTTTTCTTCTTCGCCCAGGAAAATGAAGGGTTTGTCCAATTTAGATCCCTACATTTTCTATTTCCTAGACATATACCCATCACTCTATAAATCTATGTGTAAAACCCAATTTCAAATTTAAATGACCAGTATGATATAAGAGGTCGTAGTATTTCTATGTTTTTACATCGTTGCCACTAAACTTCATATTTTATTTATAATTTATTTCAAGCATTTCATTAACTGCCATAATTGTAATTAATATACTCCCTATTAATAGCATATCAATCACCCCATTTCTTTTAGTTGTCATTCCCTCTCACATCTTGCCCCCTAAAATTGCAAACCAAAAAAAAATCTGTAAATTACATATCCAATAATGTACCTATGAAAAATATAATATAAATATATACATATAAAATATAGGTATATTATTTACCCCAAAAAAAAAGTCAGTTACTTTGTAATTGCGTATATTTTTCATAATTAAAAATAGGTACACAATAATTTATATAAAATATAGGTACATTATTTGGAGAGGAAAGATAGGTACATTATTAGAGGAAAAAAATTGGTAAGTTATTTGGAGAGAGAAAATAGGTTAATTTAAAAAATTACGTTTAATAAAACAAATAATAGGTACTTTATTCAGAGAAAAAAGGCTATATTATTTATAGAAAAAAATAGGTACATTATATAGATAAATAATAGGTACTTTATTCGTAGTAGGTATATTATTCAAATGGTAGGTACATTGGATGACATATAATACCTAAATCCTAATTGTAAGTACATTAAAATTAATGTAGGTATATTGGAATAGATAATTATGTACACTTTTCATACTAGGTAAATTATATTTTTCATAAAACAAATAGGTACATTATTTTTTCAACATAATTAGTATGTACAGTTTTATTCATAAACAATTATAAAGTGGATTATTAGTCATGTATAATTCATAAAAAGAAAATAACATAAACATTTTATTAAACAAACCAATTACCGAAATTTGAATTTATTGTTAAATTTTTTTTTAAATGTTCCAAAATTAATTCCTATATCCATTACAACCATTTGGAGATCTTTCCAAATTCAACATCTGTCATTATATACAATCCAATTAAAAACTGTTTCCATATTGATTCATACATTAATATACAAAATGCAATAATGGCTTAGTTGGGGGTATTTTGGAATCTAAAAAGTACAATAAATCAGATTTTATGCTTAATTAGGTAACTTGCTGAATTGGATCCTAATCATGGGTTTTTACTTATACAAATTGGGTATTATTTATAGGAACAAAAAGTGAAGGGTTTTAGGTATAACAAATTGAATTTGAAGGGTGTAAGCCAAATTTATTATTTATTTAATACAAGAGATATCAAGTACAAGAATAATTGCCTTTTTTTTTCTTCAAGGGAGCTACAAACGCCTTGCCGATATAGAAGAAACTGTCTTCAAACTCTGCATTTTTATATCTTTTTGGGCCTGTCAGCTGAATTCTATACCCGCTCCTGAGTCCAATACTGGTAGGCCGAAATGGGTCTTGTTTTGCTGCAAAACCCAAAACTATTTTAAGAGCTATTAGCAAAAATATATATCTTGTTTTATTTTTTATTTTTCGCCGTGTGGGCCACGTAGATAGTAATGTAATGTGTACCACTTATGTGAAAAAAACTTAGAAAGTATCAAGTGGAAGTCCTGAGGATGCAAACGATGCCCCACAACAAATTCAAATAATTATATATTAATTCCACCCACCAATCTAGAAATCTAGAAACAAAGGGATGCACTAGCGTGACGGCAAGGTTTTTGAATTTTTTATGCAACGGGAAGACGGACATGTTAGGCTTGATAGGTTATTCAATTGAGATTTTAAAAGATTTTAAAGAAATTTAAAAATTCAAGCATGTTCTATAAAATTCTAGGTGTATTCAATTCAGACCTTTTAAAGTCGATATTGTATATAAAACTTGATGTGCATTTTTGTTTGAATCTTCTATATTATCAATTATTTCCAAAGGTACCTTCTGCCAACTGGTTCAGCTGGACCATAAAACTCTAACAGGTCCAGAGCATGGAAATTCCATGTCACTGGCAGTCATCCAGTTGAAAAGTCCACCTTAGGCTACATTTGGTCCATTTTGTACATTAGAATTTTGATTGTATTAAGATTTAAAATATTCATACCAATTACCACGCAGGCAGGCACCACCTAAAACTTCTTTCACAGTAAAACAAAAGTTGTTGTGTCTTCATATTCCCATCTCAAAACATCATCCATTCATCTTCTTCCTCACAACAAACCCTTTCTCTCTGATCAAGCAAAAAAGCCAAGATGGGGTTCACCAAAGTGAGCCAGAAATTTGTGACTCAGGTAACTCCAGAGAGGATGTTCAAGGCTTTGGTCCTTGATGCCCACAACATCTGCCCCAAGCTCATGTTTTCATCAATCAAAAGTATTGATTTCGTTGAAGGTGAAGGGGAGGTAGGAACCATCAAACAGATCAACTTCACTGAAGGTTAGCAACACAAAGTCAACCCTCTTTTTCTTTCTCAATGTTTTTTTTTAATGAAATATAATTATAATAATATCTGATATGTTTGGTTTTGTTGGGGATGGATGTGTAGCTAGCCCTATGAGATATGTGAAGCACAGGATTGATGCTCTGGACAAAGAGGCACTCAGTTGCACCTACACTTTCATAGAATCCGATGCAGATAATAGTTTGCTGGAAAAGCTTGAATACATAACTTATGATGTCAAGTTTGAGGGATATGGCAGAGGAGGATGCATTTGTAATTTGACAAGCACATACAAAGCCAAAGATGATATACATATCAAAGAGGAGGACATTGAGCTTGGAAAAGACAGAGCTATTGGGATGTATGAAGTTTTGGAAGCCTACCTCATGGCACACCCTCGTGCCTACACTTAAAAATTTCCAATAAAACTTCAAGTTTTTGTATACATTTTTAGAATTTTATTGTTCCATGTTTTTTTTTTCCCTTTTCCAGAAGTGCTTTTCTTGTTGTACTTTCCTTTATTTTCTTGTTCTTGCACAAGATTGTGATTCAGATGAATATATAACTTTGGTCATAATCTACTTAATCTGGGGCATTTTATCTCTGTGGTGTGTAAAAGTAGTTCGTCCAATTTTTTTTTTTCATCAGATAGTTCATCCAATTCATTTACACAAAAAAATATCTGAGCAGTATCCATCCTAAGAAATGTGAAGGGATTGGAGAGCAGAATCCATGATAAACAGATTGAAACTCTAGTCTAGTCTCGAATTCTTAATTCAACTCTGTCAACAGTTTGTATTTTGTAAATTATTTGTTCTGATTTGCCTTGTCAAAGGAATTAGCTGCAGAAACATAAAAAATGTGCAGATGTAATGAAATTGAAAAGTTTCACTTGAATAATAGAGAGAATGAAGAAAAAAAATTCAGAACTTGGGTCAGAGGTGTTGGATTGGAATTTTTTTTTTAACTGTATTTTTATAATTTCTCTATGATTTAAATCATGGATCATCTCTTGTTGCTACATATAGGTAGGATTTCATTAAACCATGTTAAATATAAACTTCTTGTAGGCAATCTATTTTGTATTAATCTTGGTAATGGATGTGGTTCCAGATAAAACCTAAACAATTGGTCAACAGTCAACAGTCAACATGCATGAGTCTCGTGAAAGTATTAACCAATTGTTTAGACAGGATAGGAATTGTCACAATCTAACCCCTTGAGGCAACATGTAGACCTTATGATATTTGGAGGTTAAGCCTTGATGCACAAATGGCTATAGGCAATTTGCAGCCTTGCCCTTCACTGCAGGCTGCATCTGGTAATTTGCAACCACAACTTGTTGCTGACTCACAAATGAATTAGAATTGGATCAACTCGGCCCACTACTCATGAACTTTGTTCCAAGGGGATATACTCGAATAACCCTTTCTCATAATTAGAATATAACCCTATTCTGGTCTGGTCTGGTATGGAATGAACTTATAATCCTGGAATCGACTCCATCATGTTAAATTCATAATCAACAGAAAACTTGGACCTCATAAGGAACCAATATGCTACAGTTATTGGCAGAATTTGGGTTAAATGTGCCAGCCCTTGAAATCCTGCCCCAATCTTGTAACAGCCGCCCATGTGTTTGATATCATAAACATGTATTTTCTTTAGTAGGATCTTTGAAGTTTGAATCTGAAGTCTAACTTAGTGGCCAAAATACTTTGAAACCTTGACAAACATTCTATGACTAATCATGCGTTCTTTTCAAAATGGATTTCACCAACGCACACTCAAATTTAAGCTATATATATACTGCCAATGTTTTCCACCACTCTATACTCTCTTTTTTATCTCTTGCTATTCTGCATACCATGGGTGTGACAAGTATCACACAGGAGTTCCTGTGCCCAATTGCCCCGGCACGCATGTTCAAGGCTTTGATCATAGACTCTAAAAATTTGATACCAAGGCTGTTGCCCCAGTTCATAGCAAGCGTTGATATAACTCAAGGAGATGGGGGAGCAGGAAGCATTGAACAAGTCAACTTCACAGAAGGTTTGTAATCTGACATTTTAAAAAAAAAAACAACAGATAAACTTTTGTTTTAGCAGTTCTGCAGTTTTCGCAATATTTCTTGTCTGAATGAATGTTTTGTTTGGTTTACAATGTAGCCAGCCATTTCAGATACGTGAAGCACCGAATCGATGAACTTGACCAAGATAATTTTGTGTGCAAGTACACCATGATTGAAGGGGATGCATTAGGTGACAAGCTTGACTCGATTGCTTATGAGGTCAAGTTTGAGGCAGCCAGTGATGGGAGCTCAATCTGCAAGATGACAAGTAAATACAACACCATAGGGGAGTTTGAGGTCAAAGAAGAGGAAATCATATCAGGAAAGAACAGTGCTATGGGGATATACAAAGTTGTGGAAGCCTACCTCTTGGAGAACCCACATGTTTATTCTTGAGTGCTATGGGGATATATAGTTACAACTATTTACTTCTATATATACATAAACAATATATACTGCTGCGAATTCATTGTTTAGGAACCTTGTGAACCCTTCATCAAGGGTTGCCATTATAATTAATAAAACAAGAATATTGTAATTTGTAAGACAAAGTTCCAAATATTAGTGGACTTGTTGAGTTTTGTGACCATATTTTTTAAGTATACAATCCATCTGTGAACACTAATCACAGATGGAAATTCATCAGCCAACAATACCATACCACCAGACAAGAATGTCATTAGCAGAAGCAAAGCATACCCACCAGCCTGTATATTCCTTACGTTTCAAATCGCAAAAAAGAACAAAAAACTAGTCAATTTTCTTCACTCTTTATTTAGGGAAATGGACTTCGTTTTCAGCTTGCAACCTCAACAATTTGGTCAATGACTCAATGCAAAGCTCGTCAGTGTTCTTCACTATCTTCTTTAGCCAGAGCCAGCTTGTATATTCCCTCTGATCCCCAATACTTTTCATGCTTCAGTCATTTTGTTCGATCAGAAATAATGCATCCACCAGACGCAGTATAATGCAGCCTTTTAATTGTTTTGTTTTTATCCCAGAGAGAGTCCTTCGGCTATTTGGCTGTTTTTTTTTTTTTTTTTTTTTTTTTTTTTTTTCAGAGCTTAGAAGCCTAACTCTGCACAAGCTGGTCCAAGAACAAACAGCAATCAACTTTACGTGCCAATGCCAAGCGTCCATCTACACAACCACATAACAGAAAAGACGAACTGAGCACAACTTGCCGACAACTAACATTTTGGTCAATATACAGTCCTAAAGGAAGCAAGCCATTAATCTTAGCAATCATGAGAAATAATGCATTAGTTATATGACACTTGGTAGGTGCTGGATGGTTGGAGCTGGCTTCAATATTAATTAATTATATATCAGTTCCTTTTTTACAAAGGGCATCTACAATGATTAGGATCAATGCAATTTTATTGCATGAAATCGAATTAAAACAGTAAAATCTCATTTGCAATGGTGTGATTTAGTTCATTGCAATAGAGGGTGCTATGCGATGAACCCTCTAGTGAATTACAAGAGGCTAATCATGGGACCCACATGTCAATAAACTGAAGCTATTGAACTGTACCATTGCAAGTAAAATTGCAATTCAATTCAATAGATGACAAAATTGAACTATTAAACCACCATTGCGGATGCTCTAAAGAATGGCTAAAATTTAAACTCAAAAGCATCAAGCAATTTAGTTAGATAACTTAAAAAAAACTTATTTATGTATTTGGCCTCTTTTTACAATGACCAAAGTCAAACAACTTTGAAAACTGATAGGTCCCGGTGCCGTAGGACCTAAAGATTCGATCAATTCCAAGAATGGTTAAGCTCCATTCACACCAGGCTGACACTTAATTTAATAAGATCAAGCTCAACACTCTGCTAAAGCAAAACAGCACTTAAGCAGTATTAAGAAGAGAAAGAATCTGCACCTCAAAATCTCTGTCAACCTTTACGACTAAAATGAAAGGAGGTTTATGCTTTCCAACCCCAAATTAGTTTTTGTCATTTTCAAATACGTAAGATTTGATCTTTGCTTGTGCCAAAAGGATTCCATGATAGTGGAACTCCTTCAAGCCTGAAAAGCTAGCCATGCACTGGTGGAAATGTAAACAAATGTAATCTGGTAACTTCAATTTCTTTTCTATGGTCGGTTTTGGATATCCTAATAAGCTTACAGACGTCCCTCAATTATACACAGCCATCCATCATAAAGCCAAATTCCCTTTGGCTCTCAACATTCCAATGTCCATACAAAAAAACTGACTCTTTTCTTGAACCCACGCCTCTCTCTCTCTCTCTCTCTCTCTCTCTCTCTCTCTCTCTCTCTCTCTCTCTCTCTCCAGCCTTTAAGATTTGACACTGCTTTTTGGAGGCTAATCAATCTGCAATATTTTCAATCTTTCTCGTGGAAAGGAGATTCCTTGCATGCCCCACATCTTTTGCCTTTCAATTATTCCTTGCCTGTGTACAAATAAAATGCCACCTACTGATTCTTCATTTATACTCTCCTCCACCCCCCCTTCTTCATCACATGCTAATCACATTTCCTGCTGGTTTCTTCTCTCTTCTCTCCATTGCCTCTCATGGCTTCAGGATTAGAGGTATGGCTTGCATGCTTCCACATGACATGTATTCATGCAATCCAACACTGATTTTTCTAACCATAATTTTTGTGTCAAATGCAGAAACCCCGAGTGACGGAGATACATGTCCGGATGGACTGTAATGGATGCGTACAGAAGATCAAGAAAGCCCTACATGGCATCAATGGTAAGAATTCATGACATACTTTTGGTATGTTTTCCTTTACACTAAAAACCCGTCATTCATTACCTCCTAAACTGAATGAACTCTCATTTTCCACAGGTATATATGACCTCTACATTGACTTCCCACAACAAAAGCTAACAATAATTGGGTGGGCAGACCCTGAGAAGATAGTCAAAGCCATTAAGAAGACAAGGAAGATTGCCACCATATGTTCCCATACAGAGCAACAAACAGAGCCTGCTCCTCCACCAACAGAACAAGAAGCACCAGAAGGTGGTGCACCAGCTCCAGCTGATCCTCCACCAGCAGAGCAAGCACCACCAGCAGCCCAAGCAGTGCCACCAGCCGAAGCAGCCCCACCAGCACAGCCACCAAAAGAGTCACCACCACCAGAACTTCCAACACCAGAGGCAGCACCTGTGGCTGCAGAAGCCAACCCAGGCCACCAAATGCACCACCCTCCAAGAGATGTTGGAGAAGTTCATACCATATACCATCATCCACCTGATTATGGATACAGATATGGCCACTCTCAAGGCTACACTGGGTACTGGAACAGATACCATAACAGCCAAGGGCATCCACAGGAGCCTACCCCCATCCCAATGGGCCCCACCCCAACACCGACGCCACCAGTCTATGTAACACACAGCTACAACACATACAGGCCATCACCTTATGTCACTGAATATGAGTGTATCCAGCCACCCCCTCAACCCACACATCTCAGTAGGATGAATTACTACAATGAGGAACATCACATTAATGTCAGCAATAGCAACGGGAATATCACATCAATTTTTAGCGACGAAAATCCGAATGCATGTGCCGTAATGTAGAGAAAGACGCAGAGAGAGGTTTTGGTGCTCAAGGGTTATCATCTTTTTCCTCAAAGGAATCAATCTCGGCAAGAAAGTTAATGGAGAATATATTTAGGGGTGAAAATATAATTTCTAATAATCATGTGATGATGTTATGGGAAGAATGAGATTCCAAGCTTGTAAGTGAAGAAAGAATTGATTCTAAGTTCCATTGTGAGAGAGCAAGCTAATGCATACCGCCTGAAATTCTATAAAGCTGTACTTTTTAAGACCATACTTCTTCTCAGCCTTTCATTTGTCCATAAACATTTACTTGTTTTCATTATTATCTCCTCTTTGGACTTCTGCACTTGGAAAGTGGAAAGAGCTTTCCCCAGCCTGAGTTTCCCGAATCGTGTATCCACAGAAGCAAGAAGTGAAAACTTCAATTTCCCGTTTCTTCTCGTCAACGAATCTACTACACCACTAACATTTTTCTAAAATCAAACTTCTCCCCTAAAGAGGAGGTCCCTAGTTTAATATTCATCCGAGTAAAACTTGCTACACATTCATTACGCATAGAAATACTTCAGAAATTTCATACTCTTTCTTATAACTCAGTTTATGTATAGATAATTAATTTGTGATATTTTGGACTCATTAAATGCACTCAAACATGACTTTGAATTGCACAGACGATAAATGATTATGAGCAAGATAAAGAGTCTGCGGAAACAAAATTTATACAAAATCGCTTGTGCTTTTTGCAAGTCGCAGCAAAATTTACACTGATACACCTGTGCTTGTGCTATTACAGAGAAAATGTAGGAAGAAAAAAGAAAATTATAATTGATATCTTGGGGCAAATCAGAATTTCTTCATCATGATAGAGGGGTAAACCGGAGGGAAACAAAACTGTTGGAGTTAAGCTTGGGAACGAGACACCGAGCACAAAATGTTGCCAGCTTTACAGTCAATAAGCTGGCACAAGATGTTAAACAGACTGCACCACATTGAGCCTCTTTATCCTAATTCAACTACAAGTGTACAAAAAAACGCGAGTTATGAACAACAAAATGTAAATTTTAATTATTATTTTTAACCAAAAGCCATGAATTGTGTTCCATGTCATTATATATTCAATGTCAACAAACATTTTTCTAATCCTTTAAAAAACTAAACATGGACCAGCTGGAACAACTTAATGAATCACTTCCTCATTCACAGACTCGGGCCACTCTTCCAACACTAAAAAGAATACATCTACTCCTTAAGTAGCAGAAACCACAGGATGAGACTTCATAAGCCTAATGGTGCTAGTAATTACACTTAAGCCATCTAGTCTAATAATCAATCAAACCGTGGAGAAATAGTGTAGGTCCACTAAAGTTATCTCCATACAATATTTTCTACTAAAAATGCAAAGCATCGTAACAAATAATATGGAAGACAAAAGATTGCTATTATGGAAAAGTTTGAATACCTCCCATCAGGAAATCCAACTACTGATCATCATCACTGCTTATTTCAGAATCATCATCTTCCTCACCATAGTGGATTTCATTTACATCTTCATCCTCATCTTCACTTTCATCCATTTGGTTCTCGTGCGATAACACTTGAGTTTTAGTGTGGGTTGCCTTGTCAATCTATTTCAAAAGCACAAAAATAATTATCAATGATCAAAATATCAACAAAATTGGACAAAAAAAGTACTGAATTCATGTTAAAATGTGAGATTGTCAACCTGTGCCATCACAAGTTGCAAACGACCCGATAATTGTAATAAAGGCTGAATAGCTGCCCCTCTGGATTTGGTAACCTGCACGAATAACAACATCAATTAAGTGCTCCATGCAATATATTATTACTTAAGACTGAGTCTGTTTCTTCAAGAGGTACTGAGTGTTCTGGATGATGCCCCCCCTTTAAGACCAATAATAAAGTTACACCTAGGTCTAGGTGGCATTTATGTGGAAAGTCATATTTATCCGAGAGGTAAAGGTAAATATAAAAGACATTGAAGGTAGTGTAACCAAAGAGTCATCTAGGTGTTGGCCTTGCTCATCAAGGGTTAACTGGTTATGGTGTACCATATGCATGGGCTACTAAACCAGGCACCTCGCAGCATTGTGGGGATTAAGAAAAACAGAAGGCTATTCCTTCACAGAAAATATTCACCAGAAGATTTTCGTCAAATACGAATCTTACACAGTGTCTTTGATATTGTTCTGCAGTATTACCGGATTACCAATTATATGAAGTGAAAGAGGGAGGCTAAACGTTTCTTTAACAAGCCACATTTCATTTCAAGTTCGCATACTACTATAATGATAAAAATTAAATGAGGGAGCAAATAGTAAATATTAATAAACTAAAATTAACTGGTCACAAAATTTTACCTTGAGCAAGGAGCTAAGCATCTGGGTTTCGGGTTCTTGAGACATGATTTGATGACTGTGATTTACCAATATGCTGTATATCCATGGAAGAACATAATTCCCACTGCTAGACCTGTTAATGATAATCAAAGATTAAAACTCAAGTCATATTTTGTTAATACTGTAATGATTTAAAATGGATAAAAATAACATAAAGATGAAGCAAACTATCACTTTAGCATAAAACATAAATATACTGTTTTTAAAAACCAAATCACATGTTAAATTCAGGTCCTTATTAGCAAACCAGATATTATGGGATTCATAGTTCTTTCCATCCTCACAAACACACACAGAGGAAACATACATACATGCATACACTCATTGATACATGCACACTTTAACTTAAATAGCATTTAAGATCCAAATTGTCTGTATAAGACCAAAATAAACATTCATAAAGACCAAAAGGGCATATATAAATCTACATGCATGTAATAAGAACAAGAAGACCAAACCTTGTTTGCCACATGGCCACCAAGACTCCCAATAACTTGCATGCGTCACTAGGTTCTAATGACAAAACAGCTGCCCTCATCTGATAGATGACAAGTATTTGATCAGAACATAATTAAAGGAGGGAGAAATCAGGAAGTGCAGATAATAATATAAAACGTACAACATCAAACCACCTTACAGATGCAAATATATAACCAATAAACAAACCTTCTTCTGTGGCATATTAGTCCGAAGATCAATACTCTTGAATGTTGCAGAGTTGAGTGTAGAGTTAATTGTAAGGTCATCTGCTTTGCTAAGTATCCCTAATGATCTCAGTCGGTCCTCCATGCAAATTGCTGCAGTGTCAGCTTCAAATTCTACCATGTCATCTGCGCATACCAGCAGAAAATATGAACCAGGCAAAGTAGATACACGTTTCATGATCAGATGTCAAATAACATATAGTAAGACAAGTTGATTACCCTAAAATTATTGGATGGTAGAAATTAATATGGCCGCCATCACTTCACAAGCCTTACTAGTTATATAAGATTACTTATATTACATAAGGAAAATTTCAAATGCATTCCTGAGTGAATATAGTGCCCACCTTTGCTCTTCATAAGGCCAGCATGACTCCCGCTGTTATCCAAATCGGCCATTACTTCATCTTGGCCAAACTTAATTTTTCATGTCTTTTCTTTTTCTCGTGTGAATCAAAAATCTTCGGAATTGGAAGCAAGGCATCTTCTGCATTTGCACGATCTAATGCAATAACTGTTGGATCATTACACAATAAGTCAGCTAACCATTAACAATCAAGAATCAGGAAGAAGAAAAAGTAAGTAGCATTAAACTAGGACCAGAAAATGTAACAACTTTTCAGGCGAGGATTATCAGCAAAATAAATAAACAAATAAACAATAACGTTAATGAAAAAAAAAGTTCCAGAAGTGCATCATCTGAGCAAAGAAAAAAAAATTGTGATTTTGATATCTTCCAGCAGAGGGGGGAAACTTCTTGTGAGAATGTCATACCTCTATTTTGTACATTTTGTCCTTTCTTAGATTTGACAAGAGACCGACTCATTGGTAGAAGAACCCCATCATGGGAGCTACTCAACTCTATGTCTGTGCCAGAATGCACCAAAATTTTCTGGAATAATGGCTTCACTGGTAATCCATAAGCAACAAATATCTGCCCAGAAGCAGCTTTTACAATTCCTTGCAAAACCGCAGCAAATATTGTAGTTACTGCACCCTTCTGAGTTTTGGTCAAAATGACTTCAGATGATACTGAAATTCTTGTAGGCTTGGCATTCCGCAATTCTTCAATATTCTTTCCAAACCAAAAATAACAAACACCGACTTCTGAAATCGCTAATACATATAGACCTATATCACCAACTTCACCACTGTCTATGCACCTGCTATCTACAAAGACAGCAGGGTGCTCCATTGCAAGAACAGCACTTGCTGACTGCTTTTTTCCACCACCTATATTCCATACTGCAATATACCTTTCACCAACTGCAGATGAGAGGATGTACTTCCCATCTTCGCTGAAGATCATACAGCGAACAGCTCCCTAACGAATGGTGAGTAAATATTATTAAATTAAGAAAGAATGATTAAAGAAAATGCTAAATATAAAAGCAAAGTTTAACCCTTCTGATATTTTTGGGAGGTAAACAAAAAAATTTATCCAGGTATCAAGTAGGCAATCCTAAGTCAAATCCCTGCAAATGCAATCTCTAATAATGTTGAATTTCACATATTGAACTCTCTAGTGGTGGAAAGAGACCCAGATGTGAGGAGGGGGTGTTAAAAGTTAAATTTAAAAATAAATAATAAAATTTGCCCCACAATTCAAATCCTAACAGCTTAAACGTTTAGGAACAGTGGTAAACCAAAAAAAGTTATTAGAAGATAAGCCAACTTTAACATGTAGTCATGTTTAGGCACCCAAAGAAGAAAAAGGGTAAAAGAAAAAGGAATAAAAAATAAAACTCACCGGATGGCCAGAAAACTTCTGTATCTTCTTGTGATCAGACAAATTGAAAATCTTCATTTGTGCAGCCGCAGTTGCTAATATCTTCCCATCTGGTGCAGAGAAAAGACCATCCACAAGTTACTATCAGAAAGACAGTGAATGCTACAATATAACAAAGAATACAGTTATATTTGGACTCACAGAAAGCTAATCCATGACAAATATTGCAAAATAAACTTCACCTTTTTTAGCATTAACTATTATTTTTAACCATAATCGGCTTCCACATACAACAGATATAATATGATAGGGATTGCATGTGCCATAATTTATAGAGATCTGATTGAACCTATTCACCAAGACCCTCCATACCTATCTATACATATTGAACGGCCAACCCTACACTTCTTCCACAGGAGCCACAACTACAAATTGTGAAACAACTAATTTCACCAACAACATTCCTTTTTCTTCCTGGGACTTATGAAAAATCTATTGGCCAGCATTAGTTACCATTCATCACCACAAATTATCATTTTTCAACTTATTTATCAAAACACATAAATGCATAGCTCATATATCCAGATTGTATAATCCTCAAGTAATTTAACCAAGTAATTTCAAGCACAAACATTAAGCAGAATAATGTTATACTCTAAGCAAGGGTAGAACAAAAGATGTAATGTAATGGACATATGCATATGGAACATACCGAACGAAACAGACATAGAAGAGATTGCCTTTGTGGAAGCTTTGAACTTCCCCAACAGGTTTCCTGTCAAAGCATCAATTTCACTAATCATCCCATCAGCACCGGCAGTGTAAATACATGAAGCATTTCTTGGAAATGATATGGAGCTAACGCCACTGCAATGACAGAAAGTGCAACAGATAGATTGCTTGGGTCAGCCCAAAAAGTCAAAAACATACATTTGCATAAGCATTATATTCATTCCAAGCCAACCATCAGGTGACTTAGTGTATTCACCAATTGCACATGATTAAAACTTGAAATAGGATGAAAACAAAGAAAGTTTAATCAGGTGAGCTAACCCAGCATGGCAGTCGTTCAGTCTCCATTTCAATTGACCAGCAGACACATCAAGTGCCAAAACATCACCACCGCCAGTTCCCAAAACCAACAATGAACAACCAAGCTTCCTTTTCTTCTGCCAAAATGAACATTGCACAGAAAAAATAAATAAATAAATGGCAACACTTACTTGTTAAACTAAAAACAAACCAAAGTTACAACCTTTCTTTCGGAAGAGAACCACTTCATGCATGTGTAATCAACTGAAAGGTGCCCTCTTTCTCGTTTTGCATATATGCTTGTATCTTCTGATGATACAATGTCTGTGAACTCTGTCTGGACTTGACCTTTCACAGTGTCCCAAATCTAATGCAAACCCAGAAATGAAAAATTATTGTTTTGCTAGGAAATATAGAAACCAAGCAACCAAATTTCATATAATTACAAGTACCTTAATTCGACCATCTCCAGAGCTGATGGCGAACAAGTCCAAAGACGGACTAAAAGCCGTCAAGAGGTCTCTGATATTTGACGAGCTCATGCTGAAAGTTAGGTTTTTCTAGGAGAGAATAAGACTGAGCTGCGTACAAGTGCAGTGCTTAAACCCTAAACCCTAGAACACGGAGAGGAGAAGATGGGCAGCTGAAGAGTGAACGCGGCAACGGCTCTGCTTTGCGTTTAGGGCGTTCGTTATTTCTGCTCTTGGTTGTTTATGTGGGCTCTATTCAAATGATGGGCTTTATTTGTCATTTCGGTCAATTTGGGCCCAATACTGTCAACTCTTTTTCTTTTCTTTTTTTGAGAAGATATTATGTTTAGCATGATTTATTCTTTAAAATATTCATCATGGAAGGGGGAATTATTACATAAGATGTGAGGGACTGCCCTTAGCAAATTAACGTGTTATTTATATGATAAGTTATCTAAATAATTTTGTATAAATGGGAGGATGGTTTTCTTTTGTGATGAATGGGGAAGGAGATTCAAATATTGGACATCTTCCAACACTAGAAGGAAAATATCATTAAATGAAAAGCTAAGTAGAAGATAATGTTTTTTTTTTTTTTTTTTTTTTTTTTTTTTTTTTTTAAGTTTTAAGTTTTCCCATTATGGCCCTATTGAGTTTGGCATCCCCTAACTAGTAGATTTCTAGAGTGAGGGAGTGGTCTTTAGACGATACCATATCTTTTAAGCGTTGGATCAAATTGTCCTAACTACAAGAATTCTATAATGAGGGCCCTAGATTATTTCCAACGGCTGCCAAAAGCCTTGGCAGGACAGGGCTCAAGCCCAAAAACCAACTTTCAGTGGGCTTGTGAAGCCCGAGCAGGTAATGGGTTTCATGAGACTGGGTCAGCCTGCAAAGGAAATCAACCCAAGGTTAAACCCGAAGGTTGCTGACGTCAGTGTGGTAATTCAAAAAAAATAAAATTACACACTCCAACGTTAAAAAAAATTTGAATTGTCGCACGCTGACGTTGACCAACAGTAACTTGCCACGTGTCGCATTCTGGTAGCTCCTATGCTCTTTTTTTTTTCAAATCCAACGGCTGGGCTCTTTTTGGGAAAAAAAAAAATGTGAAAAAAATTCACTAAAAAATTTTAAACTTTTTTTCTATAAATGCCTACCATTTTGCTTCACATCCAACACCAAAAAATTATAATAAATATTGACACTAGGAACCCAAAAATTTTATCCGAAAATATTATCCAAATTAATTGTTTAGGTAAAAAAAAACGAAAAATTAATAATATTTGCCCTTTGCCATGGCAATGGGTGGAAACACACCTTACTTTTTGCAAGGGCTGCCACTATTCACGTGAATAGTGGTTGCCCTTGCCTCCCCTTGCCCTTTGCCATGGCAAATGAGTGGAATTGCTCTTATATATGGATCTTAGGTGAGTCTCTAACTCTTAATCGTTGATCCAAGCCATCTCTTAGAGCAACTCCACCCATTTGCCCTTTGCCATGGCAAGAGGGGGCTAGGGCAGGCACTATTCACGTGAATAGTGGTTGCCCTTACAAAAAACATTGTGTATTTCCACCCGTTACCATGGTAAAGGGCAATTACTATTTGTACATAATCGGATAAGATTTTTGAATTCAAATTTCAGATGAATTTCAAAATTCAAAATTCAGATAAATTTCAAATTTAAAATTTTCGGATAAGATATCATGCTCCATGCCCCTCCGGTTTCAATAGAAGAAGCCATAATATGATAGAGAAAAATAAAACTTGAAAGTGAAAAAAAATTGAGTAGAAAGTAAATAATAGTAGAAGGAGAAGAAAATGTATGAGGATTTGGTGTTAAAAGTGAAGAGTATTGGTTGGTATTTATAGAAAGAAAAAAAAATTACAATATTGTTTTTTTTTAATTTCGATTTTTTTTCATTTTTTTTATTGCACAAAAATTAGCTGCCGTTGGATTAGAGAAAAAAATATGATCAAAGAGCCCAGAGTGCGACATGTGGAACTGTAGCAGCACTGTAGCACTATAGCGCTGATGTCATGGTAAAACTCAGGCTAGAGCTCGGGCCAGCCTTGCCTTCAAGCTAGCCCAGTCTGCTGGGTCCCACCATCTGCCCGGGCTGTGTTTTGCCGCCGGAAACCAGATTTTGGCCCAAACCCCCCTCCCTTGGTTGCATTGCTGGAAATGCTCTTAAGGATCATATATAAGGCCCTCGCTATAAAATGACTTCCCAAACTAATTGAAACTCCCCAAGAGAAGGCCTTGGACCAAATCTCTTTTCTTTTTTTTTTGGGTGAAAACGGGGCCAAAAGGCCCAACCAAATCATATTTTGCTAAAACATGTTTTACTCTTTTAAACTGGCTTTGTTGGTAAGCTAGTCCTGACTTTTGTCACTTGAGGCAGACAAGTGAACTTATTTTCTAAGATTTGAAAAGTGTATCGACAACTTTTATAGCTAATTCATGAGCTTTAAGTCAAGCATCGTAGAATAAGTGGAGCGGGAGGAGAGATTTTTTCTTTCTTTGGATACAAGTGATAGACTAAATTATGGAGGAAATTCAAACTTGGGTGTAAGGAGGCGTACTCACTATCCTAACCAACTAGCATAACCCAAGTGTGCCCGAGAGGAGAGATCTTAAGCTCAAACCTTTAGATTTAGTAAAAATATTTTTATCATAAAATATTTTTTTTTTTTTTTTTTTTTTTTTTTTTATACTTTCATGTATACACATTATTTTATCATCCGGGCTCTTATTTTTTCTTGGAGAAGTGTGAACCGTTGTACAAACGTTTACCCTCTTTTTTGGGCTTATCTTTTTTCTTCTAATACAGACACCGTGTGACCTAGAGTATGGGAAAACATTTTGAGGGAAGATAAAACTTAGGGAGCCTCTATTTAGGTCCAAAATGTTGGGGGAAGAAAAAACTTAACTTGGTGAGCCTCTGTCTTCACTTCAGCGACAAGACCGTTTATTTATTCTAACCCCACGGTGGTTCCACTTTTCTTTTCATTTACCAATTACCATGTCATGGCTCACCAGACATGTCACTCAACAGCAAACAACAGAATTGGGAAATAAATAAATAAATAAAAGCATTAAAATTTAAATAGCAATGCTAACAATAACCCAAGTCCTTACATATCACTACCAAAAATTTGCTTACACATGAATGAAGAAATGAAGCTGTACAAATAATCTGCAGAATGGAGGAACATGCAAGACTGCAAATCTACAGGATGAAGAAAACAAATAATCTGAACATGTGTCTTATTGGAAAGAATGTGGTCTAACTTTAAATGGCAATTGTAGAAAATTTTTGTGGCTCTTTCCCTCATTGTTGTTGACTCTGGCTGAAAAGTATAACTGGAGTATGTAGGAAGAATGGTATCATAAGACTGCGGTTTTTCCATTCGCGGTAAGTAGCGAAAAGCAGGAAGAGGAATAAGAGCTATTAAACTCAGAACAGGGTTGAGGGAAGACAGAATCTGAAGAGCCAGAAACATTTGAACATACCCAAGTGGGAGAACCAGAATTGGCTGACAAGGAGATATTGGATAGACAAAAGGAAGTGAAGGGGGATTCTTGGATCCCTGTGAAGCTTCCAGCAATAGTGATGTTTGTGCCAATCACATCTTGCAAGGTGATGTGATCCAAATCCGGGAGAGCATTAGGATCAAACTTGTCGTCGGGATGGGAACCAAACTGACCAGAGGCACCAAATGCCATGTGGATGTTTTCCATTTCAACATCTGATATGATGATCTCTCTGATGTAGCCCCCTCTACCTTTTGTTGTTCTGAACTGAATGCCACTAAATGAGTTGTATAGGTGGACCTGCTCCACAAATACATCTGAAATGCCACCAGACATCTCACTACCAAAGGCAAGAGAAGAACCAGAAGACGATTGTAGGGAGACACGCCTGATGTGTATGTTTGTGGTGGGTCTTCCATAGGCAATGCCATACTCATCCCAACCACTCTTAAGGGCAATGGCATCATACCCCATGCCAATGCTGCAATCTTCTATGCACACATTATCAGAAGAATCTGAAAGTACACAGAAATTAGTATAGCATATTCCGAATAGTATTCTTCTCGTGTAATTATTTCAAACACCAATGGAATAACTCAGGATGCACATAGAAATAAATTTGTAAGGAACAGGATTAATCAAGGAAATGATACTTCAAGACGTTCAAAGTTGAGCCAACATTTCTGATTCCATTAAGTGTTACCGTAACAGAACACATTTATATATACTAGGTACGGGGACAACAAACTTAATTGGAATGTGAAAACCCTAAACAATTCTTCAACAAAAATTCAACGCAGGGAGTCGAGAGCTGCCACAAACCTGGGACTATACCAACGGTATAAGGCGACTCTGGAGGAGCAGAGACTGAGATGTTATGAACATGTACATTGCTGCATTGCATTCATTTATAGATATTACATAAATATCTCCTTCAATTTAAAATTAAAGAACATAGACAATCATCAAGGGCCTTAGCTAACAAACCTGCAATAGACTGGATGGATGTTATAAGCAGGAGCATTCACGAATGTAAGGTTTGAAACCACCACATATTTAGACGAAACAAATTCCACAAGATGAGGGCGGCTGTAGTTCAAAGTTTGAGAGCTAAACCAATCCCACCAAACTGAGCCCTGGCCATTGATGGTTCCATTATCACCTAGTGCAGTTAAAAATTGCAGGAACATCCAAGAGAAAAAGAAAATGAGGCTACTGTCAGAGAACATGCTAAAAGCAGCAAAGGGTATTCAAAGATTCTGCATACCTGTTATGACCACATCATGTAACATATATCCATTTATCAAGCTACGATATCTTCCTCCCGGAAGTTCAATCCCTCGACCATATGAGGGTAGGGGCTCAACAACTTCCCAATGAGATGGATCCTAAACAAGCAACCGTAGAAACATTTTAATGAAGGAAAAAAAACAAAAAGAAAACATCTCCAACTGATTTTGTAGCATCAAAAGTACTTAATCGCCTTGCTATGCGAGTAAAGCAGTACCTGAGATCCGAGAATGACAGCGCCTTTTTCCAAAAAGAGTGTAAGATGACTGGTGAGGTTGAAACTTCCAGTAAGCCACCTTCCCGGTGGCACATAAAGCTGCGCACCGCCCTTATCGGCAAAAGACTTGAGATAGAAGATGGCATTCTGGAAGGCAAGAGTGTTCAATGTTCTCCCATCTCCAACAGCACCAAACTCCAAGATGGACACACTATGTGGTCTTGGTTCTAATGTCAGATTGTAATCACACGGTTTCTCATCCTTTTCTCCACCAAGGTCGATAGCATTACTCAAAGTCAGCAGCAAGAGCAATACCACCTGAAAATGGTGAAGAATTAACAAGCAATCCACTAATTCCCAGAAGGACTTTGGACAAAAACAACATCATTGCACAAACTCATAAACATATTAAAAAGAGAACAAGTGCAAATAGCAAGAGAGCTGCAAATTCTGAATAGAATTAGACCAACTGACTCGGCCAACATCAGCAGATTTCAAGAACTTTGACATATGAAGAGATGATCAATGTATGCTATATGAGTGAACTAAAATTAAACTGAAAACAGAAATCCAATTTAAAAAGCATGACCAAGCAAATAGAGGAAGATGCAAAAACACAAATATCACCAAGATCAACTATGCTTTGAGCAGAGGAAACAAAATAACGGTCAGAAGAAACTCAGAAGACTGAAACTAGCAAAACTGGTTTGCCCTCAAATCTATGGTATAGGCTGACAGATAAAATCAGCAAACTGACAATCTCCACACAGAAAACTCACAAGACCCACCTAAGAGAAATGAGAAAAATAAATCCTCATTGAAAATTGAATCAGAAAGATGAAGTCTTTGGATTCCAAATTGGCATAAGGGGGCAAGAAAACAAAAAACCCAGAAAAAAGAAACGTACTTACTAGCATCTTCATGAGTCAAAGCTCTGCAGCAGATACCAAAAAGGGGACTTGCAGAGCAGAGAAAAAGAAAGAGGGAGAAGAAGGAGGAGGAGAAGAAGGAGCAGCACCCACCAACAGAGGGGGAAGGCCTTATTGTTGCAAGTATGTGTGGTATGGGCATTAATTGTATAAATGACACAAGCATAAATACTTATATATGGCAAGTAAGAAATAAAAGCAGAAAATTAATTCATGGTAAGGAAAGAAAAATAAAATAAAATAAAAAAAGAAAGAAATGTGCCACTATAGAAATGCCAGCTCTCTCCATGCACATAAGCAGCAAGCAAATCAAAAAAAACAGAGCAGGTGCAGTGCAGAGAGAGGAGAGAGAATTAAAAAGGGGAATAAAATATAATTTATTGCCACTAATTGGTAATTACCCTCCAAATTGATTATGATTAATAACGTCTCTCGCCGACAAATTTTTTTGAAACGGCCCTCCATTTGAGAGAGTAATAAATGACAAGAAGAAGAACAAAACATTTACCACAAAAAAAACTCAAACTTTGATAAGCAGAGTGTCTCTGTTTGCTTACATCTGTTGGAAAGTCATTAGTTCAAAGTCCAAAACAGGAAGGGCAGTGATAATGTTACGAAGAGTGCACGAAAAGTTTTAAGGGGGGGACAAGTGCCACGTAAGCGGGATTGGTGGTGGTACGGGAGGAGGGTGAAACTTCAGGTGAGAGGGAATAAAATAAGTGAAGGAGTGCATGGGGCATTGAGACCGCATGTGGGTTGACAGAGCAGAGAGGGAGGTGGGACCTGCGCTCAATCATGGTAAAGATGCTAGCCTGGCGTCAATCACTGGACAGAACATAACACAACAGAGGGACCCAACTTATGTATGACACGTCACTTTTTATTTTATTTTTTATTGTTCTTCTGTTTTCCAATAAGTATTTTTGTTTTTCCAGAAATATCTTTGGAAAGGTAAAAATAGAATTTGTCATTACTCATATCAATAAGGACCATTTTTAAACCATGAATTACCACAAATAATAGTAATATATGACGTGGCAAGTGATGTATTAAATATCAATTTGTTAGTCAATAGTGCATTTTTTATTTACATTTTGACACAAATATATATAGTTGTTAAATTAGCTCTAACATTGTCTGGTTTTGTATTAACTTGTATGGGCAATTTCACAACATAAATGACAAATTTAAATCAAACCTATTTTGTGTTAACCATGGCACAAGTATGACATATCTAAATTGTCCTCAACATATATGTGTCATGCTTTACTCATGCTCGATTTTTATTTAACTTGGTTTCGTTGGATTTGTATTTTTTTTTCCCAGCCAAAAGTCTTCTTTAGTATGACCAAAGACGTGTGTCCGGATCTTGTAGCTAATTGCACATGGTATGGCATGTTAAGAGAAATTATAAAATATTATGGTACTATGGTCACGTGGTACATTTTCTCATTTAACCCTTAAAATCTCTAAAAATTGTTGAAATTTTCTCACTTTACCACTTTCGTCCATAAAATTGTTAAGGTCACCAGCCCTTACATTCATCTCCATTTTCCCTTTCCGTCGCACCCAACCCAGCCCCACCACCCCACTCCCCTCCCCCCTAACCCAAGGAGGGTTTGTATGGGGTAGAGAGAGAGAGAGAGAGAGTGGGAGGGTGGGGTGCGATTGAGGTACTATGGGGGTTGGGTTGGGGAGGGGGGAGAGAGAGAGAGAGAGAGAGAGAGAGAGGAAGAAGAAGGATCTAAAATTACAAAAATATTAATGTCACATTAGCACACTTAACGGTTTTGTGGACGAAAATGAATGGAAGTGGTAAAGTAAGAAAACTTCAACAATTTTTAGAGATTTTGGGAGTTAAGTGAGAAAATTTTCAGTTTTAATAGGGAAAATGAGATCAAGCGTCCATTTTATGGGATAAAACAATAATTAAGCCTTGAAAAGTAAGAATCAAAATTGGGTAGTATCCGGTTAAAACTGTTCAAGTCACATGTTGCAGCTAAAACTTGATTCTTTTGATGCACTTATGAAATAAGCTGGTCAAATCTATCCAAGGTGTACCAAAATGTTAGAGAAGTTTCATTGGGAAGCATCTAATGTAAAATTTTGGTTATGATTTCTTTTTCCTCTTGTGCTTTTGAGATGCTCTTGCTTTTGCAGACCAATATTTTACAGACATATGGTGGAGATGAAAAATACATCCAAGGTACGTAGGTGGCCCTAATATGTAATATGGTTCCTTCTTTAGTGATCTCCATAGCCCAGACCAACTTTTTTTTGTATTGTCCCTTTTCATCATCTAACTTTTTGACCTGGAAGTTTTGCCAACATTTGTGATCTATTTTTGCTCAAATCTTCATCCGATCCAACTGATTAAAAAAAACATCTATGTGTAAAAGCACACCAAAGATTTCCCACTTTCACATTTTGAGACGAATTAAGAACAATCCTCTATGTAGCTGCTGCTTTACTAGATCACACCAAAAGGCATCAATTCTTCCTCATCGCCGTACGTAAAGTTGAGCTTAGGAAATGTTGAAGTGGGGCAGTGTGAATATCCTCCCTCATATTAACAAAGACAGCCGCTTTTTTTTTATTAGGTTAGCAATTGAGATGAATAATATATATCACAGTTGGCAAGCAAAAGGTTTTCCAAGTTAGTTTTTCTTTTCCTTTTTTTCTCTCTACAATTAAAACAAGGGCAACGCGATAGTTGAATTCTGAGAATGAATACGGATATAAGTGTTTTACCATTGAAACTATGAATTTTCGTGATATCTTAACATAAACTTTATGGCCTTACCATTATGTGGTATCTTCTATAAAATCTCATATTCACAAGTACGAAGATAAATGTTAAACTACCAATAAAGCTGTAACTAACATGCTCACAAAGAACTCAATAACGAACCGGCATAAGAATTATCTAAAAAAATTAGACTTAATGTTTGACAACTAGTACGAAAACAACTTCCTTTCCACATCAAAATAGCATACTAGAATACAAACTCTACAATATTATTGATCAAGTTAAGGTATCTGACAACAATTAAAGCAATGTGTTCTTCCCTTAGGGTTCAAGCGTTGAATGGGTGTACTCTTGCAATTATTCTCATGACAGAGACAAACATTCCAACATGCGCCACGACCCTGCACAGTGGCTTCTACTTATAAACCGCATGCAAAGCCAATTGAACCGACAGTGCACACATTTAACCCTAGGCCTGAAATTTTAGATTTTGTCAATGTGAGTGCGTCATATATACCATGAAATCATTTTCTTTGGTCAAGACCACATGGCATGATAGGAACACAACGTTGGCAAGTAGTCGACCTAACCCCTCAACATTGGCTGTCTTTTGTTTTCTTCTCCAATCACAACGTAAACAGTTCGAAAGCTAGCAGTTTCTTTAGATGGAATTGACATGAAAGGAGATAAGAAAGCCAACTACAGTTTTGGTCCTGTAATTGCATAATTTGATTTTTGGCATCTTATAGATTATACCAACTAGATCTACTACGATTTGTCAGTTATAGAAAAGTTTGTAAGGGACAGTGACCTGGTAAGTTCTTTTCAGAGGGAGACTTGGTCCTCAAAGGAGAAGTAGTAATAAAATTCGATAACCACTGGTTTCAAAATCTCAAGCGTACTTATAAGGGGAGAGAGACGAACGTATACAAACCAACAAAGTGGTGGACAACGAAAATCGAACTCATGACACTTTCATTCAAACACAGGTCTTATCATATATATAAATATATATATATATATATATATATATATTCAGAGGCTCCATGCATGGATGCATACCAAGTAACTTTCACCGGACAGCTTGACCCTTTCATGCGTTCACGCAAGAACAAATACATATGCATTGCTTCTGGACATCACATGGACACATCTCATGTGGAAACCACATTCATTGTCCGCTTACTGTTCTATTTACCTGATTGTGACATCCTACAACAAGAACATGTACACGAGAGAAAAAAGGATCATGCAATGTGATTCCAGCACTGCTCAGCTAAGAAAACATCAAGATTTTCTACCTCAAGGAAAATGAAATGAGACTTCTGGCACAGCGCATTTACAACCATTTAGACAATGGCAGATTTATGCAAGTTTTTCTGCCACCCTTTAGCTTCTGAACTAGCAAAAGCAAGGGAAAGATTCCAGTTTTTTTCGGTATTGGGCATTCAGAAGTGCACAGAAACAATGCAAACCGCGAATTGCAGCCCAAAATAATTTAACACATCTATCATTTAAACATATGACTATACATAAATTTTTGCTATAACCATTAGATCTCTATATGCTCACACATTTGGTGAGGCACAAATGGGCCACCAACCTACCAGTCTGCTATAGTACATGAATACAATACAAATCAACTCTAGGAAACGGACATAGAATTGCTAGTTGGAGCTACTAAGGAGGATTGTTAGTCGAAGATGTTGCTGTCCAGCCGTTCTGTGTTCCATTATCAACAGGCACCAAAACTCCCCACTTCCCCTCAGCTTCAGAGGGCTCTATAACTTTAACAGATCCATCTGTCAGTCCAACAGCAAATTGATATGGCTCGTGCAGATGTGCTGTAAGAGCTAGCGGGTACACGGTTTGGCTGTGGGTACAGTAGGACAAAACTAGTTCAGATATCAATAACTATACAACGGATGGTTCTATCAACAACAATAGGCAACTTCTTCTTTTTAATTTTTCATACTAATTCTTTTTTCCTACCAACAACAGGGACACTCCATTTCAAGAAAGAGTTTTTGTCCTCTTTTCCGCATTTTGAAGTGGAAATCTAGGTAAATACACTGAATATAGTGCTTACTAGCACCAGACAAATATTAGACTGCAGCAGAGTGAGAAAGCCACCTCATAAACCATAATTAACTAAATGCTCTAAATACCTGTTTGATGATGCTTGTGATAAGTACACCGACATGGCAATACGGCATCTTAGTTTCAGACTATCAGCATCAAACACTCCAATATTACCATCAGTGAAAGCTGCATAAACTAGTTGACTACTGGCGGAATATGCTGCGCAAGATATGGGTGCAGGCAGTACATCTTGTGGCATCCACTGCAATATTTAAACAAATGAGAGATTTGATGCACACAAACAAAAGCAACTCATCCAAGAAATTCTATTTCTATACCTGCCGAATGCATTCTGCTTTGGCAGCATCATATAATGCTAGTTGAGTCTCATGGTATACCAATAACCGGACTTGATCAGAATAGAACTGTACTTGCGTGTCGCCAAGAGGAGCCTTTCCAGCGGGCAGTTGAAGTGTAACCGATTTCCTCTTATCCCATACATCCATGTTCCAAAAGCATAGCTGCAAAAGCATTTTCTTTTTACATTTAACAACTTTTACACATCAACTTAAGCAAGCAAAATAACAAATTAAAAAGGGATATAAAAGGGCAAAAAAGAAAAAAAAAAAAAAAAAAAAAAAAAAAAAACAAAGAGTTGTTCCCAACTTCCCGTTATAAAAGAGGAAGAAGAAGAAGAAAACAATGGACGTCACATACTTGAGCATCGGCACCTGATGAAACCATGATTTAAGGTTGACAGAAAATGCTAAACCAGTAATGTGTTTCTGGTGACCTTTCAGTTTTGTTTTGACCTAACAGAAGAGCAACATGAGTCATATTGGAAATCAACAAGAGCACCTCAATCACATGACAAATTGACAATAGATACAAAGATGCTTAAATTAATCACCTCATCAACTCTAACATTGTAAATGTGGATAGTTGAATCTTCCATTCCTATTGCTATGATGTTATTATCCAGAGGATGAAAGGACAGGAAGGTTGAGACTGGTGGAGGTGGCATGAAAGTTGTCATTACCTGCAAACCAAGAAATTTTTATCCAAAACACGTTTTCCAATCCAATAAATGCACAATCATGCAAGCTGTAGCAGTTGATATAAACTGTCATAGGATAGATGCGCATTACATCAGTATTAAATTACCTTAAAAGTCATCATATTGAACAGAGACACTTTCCCCCCACAGGCAGACATCACATAGGAATCATTCTTTGAGAGTGCAATGCATGGAACTGCTTCTTCAAAATTTTCTGGGACATCATTAGTCATTAAAAGACCACTATTGGGTTGCCAATGTTGGGGAACAACACTTGCAGTGGCCTTTTAACCCGCAAAAGGTCAGAGATCCTTTCAGGAAAGTTGTGCAAATACTCAACAAAAAGAGAAATATGCATTCATGCGTATGTTAACCATCACCTTCCCACTTGGATTTTGTTCATTGCGGCTCCACTTCCACAGCTTCTGCACCCCATTTGAACCAAGAGCTAGAATGCCGGAACCAGAATTTGTGTAAAGAAGTCGAGCAACCTTAAACACAAATAAGACCATCTTAATATCATTATCTATGAAATCAAAATCAACAAAATAGGGAAAATATTAAATAAAAACCCACCTTGTTAGCAGGATCTTTACTCTCTGGCATGGTAACCACTCGACACTTTACAGGATCAACAATCTCTGCCAGTTCCCAACGTTTATTTTTTTCAGATACATCATCTAAACTTCTTCGCTTTTCCATGCTTCTTGCCATAGAATCATTTCCATTCTACAACAAATATTTGGCAAAATTAGATGCCAGAAAGGAAAAAAAGAAAAATCACGATGCAACTACACAACTTGTTAAACTGAGTTGGTGACAAAGGCTACCAAAGTTCATGACTAAATAGCTATGATGGTAATTTAATATTTCAAGCTCGTGCCAGCCAATCCACAGTAATTAAGTTATTACTACCAAATATGAATAAATTACATAATTTATATGCCATACAAGAATATGAGTAGGTCGAGCAGGAGAGCTTGTATCCATACGCTCCACTTTATTAATGGTCGGGTTGATGTTTGGAACCATGGAAGAACCAGATACCTGATCCATATAGAAAGAGCAAATCAGTTTCTCAAGAGACAAATATACAAATGATGGAAGGAGTGGTGTAGCATGGAAACGGAAAAACAACCTTCATCTCAATAGGAGCTCTGGATGCTTCATAAGAGCGAGTTTCAATTGCTCTTAGGGATCTGAGACCCTCGGCATTGGCAAGAATCTTGACTCCGTTGTCAGCCGTGGTAACGGCAAGCAGATTTCCTTCCTTATTGAATCTCAAGCGGGGAAGAGTCTGAAGTAATCCCAATGCTTACATCAATGAATGGAATCTCAAAGCAAGGTAATCTGCTAATCAAACTCATAATATTTGGAAATAAAAGTAAATAAATAATGACGACTTTTACCAGAAGCCCACCCTCAGCATCTGTACTAGTAAGAATATTTGTATTATCCATATCCCAAAACTTTATCTGGTTTTCTTCACCAACAGCCAAAAAGTGATTTCTTGTGGTATCAAATTGAACTATGTCAGAAGATTTCTTTCTGAACCCACTATATGTCCTCTTTATTGCCCCTTCACTTTCATTCCATTCAACCAGGAAGGACTCACCATCTTTACTAGTCCCACAAGAGAATAATCTGAGATTTTGGAGGATCAGTCATAATTCATACATCATCACAAGGGCATAGAGATATGTGATCAAGCTAACTTATAGCATATACTGTACAGATCTTTTTTTATACCTATTTCCATCATCACTGTATAGCATTGTTGTGCACCACTGCCCAGGAGCATCATAATCAACCCTGGAGCCCACATTGTCATAGAGCCAAGCTTTTATTTTCCCATCAACAGCAGTTGAAAATATAAACTGCAATGATAAAAAGGAAAATCATGACATAAGTAGGACGCATCTTCAGCAAGAATAATTGTCATCACTCATGTTGGTTAGTTATTAAAAAATAATTGTCATCACTAGTTATCTCATCATTGTAAATTGTGTAAAAATCCAACCTGCATAACAACATATGAAACAAATGAAACGCACAAGTAATAAGGACTACTAGATGAACAACTAATACGCCTGAGCATGTATGCATTCAAGCTAATTAAACCAATATGGCACTAAAAAGAGTAAGTCTCCCACTTCGAGCTAATTAGTTTTTAAACATGTGCAAATGGACTCTAATGCCATCATACAGGCTATGTAACAAATAAATAAAATCAGAGTACCCCAACTGAACCATAGTCATTTGAGAACTAGTACCATTAAGTGGCCATAATACATGCAGACCTGACTATTGTTACTTTTTTAATTTTGCAGTTTGGATTCCAGACTTCAGAAAATGGGCATGTCTTACCTGAATATTCTCCTTCTGGTGGGGGCAAATCGAGTAAACAGGCGCCTCATGACCTTCAAATTTGAAAAGCATTCTTCCAGACAAATCCCAAACCTATTAATTTTATAAAAAAAAGAAGCAATTAATATTTATCAAGTTAAACAACAAAAACAAACTACAGACTTCTGCCCCCACCTTTATCAGCTTATCATCTCCACAAGTTATAACACATAATTGCTTGTTTGGATGAGAGAATGCTAAGTCATTCACATTACCAACGTGGGCATCAATCTATAAGAAACCAAATCCAAACATCAGTTAAAAGTGGCAAGTAATGTCTTCTTGAATTAGCAGAAAGTGAACCAAAACATGCCTCCAAATGTTGGTGTAGATCAGTAGGTCCTTGATACAAATGAACCAAATATTTTGTAAATGCAACACCTGAAAGAACAAAAATACAGCAAATTACAATCAACTATGCATTCAAATGGTGCTGGAGATGTGTTGCTGCACATACCCATAAAGTTTCCATCTGGACTCCATGCTACACGGCTTACAGACATTGATGAATCTTTGACAAAAGCAGCCTATAAAAGACCCAACGTTAACTTACAGGATTTGGTCAATGATAATGAGTAGTACTGGCATCTTCTAATAAATTTTAACTGAATATCATGACGACTGACACTTTAAAAACTGACTGAACCTACTAAGCACACATAAATATGATGTTTTTAATAACGATATAAGGATACTGAGAGGGAGCATAAGGTACGGACTGAGTAATGAGATACACACCTGAAATGTCACAGAACAATTAGACATATTCCATACTTTGAATGGCTTTGACACCAGCCTCTCTCGCAGCCCAGCTTCCCATAGTGTAATTTCTCCATTACTACAGCCAACTATTTACAAACATAATTTTTAAGTCGGATATGAGATTGAAGCTGTGTGGAAACTAAACTTTAAAGACAGCACTTCAATCTATGTCCACTGAGGCACAGTTATGTTAGGTGTTACAGACAACCTACCGGCAAGTAATGTGGGATGAGAAGGGTGGAAATCCATGCTTATCACATTGGACCCCTGACGAAGAGTACATGCTACATTTCTTGGTAGGTCATCTGGTGACCAGGAAGCATGTTGCGGATGGGGAGGATAACTGACCTGAACATATGAAGTATGAAGTTCTGTAATAACTAGCAACCATGAAACCATCTAGATACAGAACTAGAAAATGCGAGAAAAGAGTATCGAGAAATGATGCAGAGAATATAAACCATTTAACAATACCTCATCAACAGATTGTGCAGACCGGAGACGTTTCATTAGTTGCTCATGATCAGAGCTCTGATAATCAATCATTCCAAGAGCATTTGATGGTGGTCTTGGATGCTTTAAACCAGAAACTGTTAAAGACAAAATAATTTTGAATTACCAAGATAGCTCAAATAAATAATAACTATATTATGTTATCTGATAATCATCCAAGCAAACAAAACAATGATCAGCAATCTCAACGATAAATACTTCTTGTTGGACATAGGACAAATGAATATTTTTCTTCTTATAAGTATGATAATGTTCAATAAACAGACTGAACAGCCAAGCATAGAAGAACTCTTTAAGAGTTTCTTGGACCTCTTCAAAACAGGGAGAAAGGCCATCCACCTGAACCTCCCCACCACCACCTTACTCCGTACTAGCACATACAAGTAGAAAATGGAAATTGAAATAAACATGGCTTAAGAAAGAATAAAAACATGTTTTAAGTTTATTACGTTGTAGTACAAGCTTCAATACCAGCTCCAGAAGAATGAAAACCTCACCTTGACTGGGTTGAACAGGGAAAGGTGAAGCAGCAACAACAGGTGATTGCACAGACAAGGAAGGATTAGCATTTGACATCCATCCAGCTAAAGCATTCGCATTAGCAGCAGCAGCTGCAGCTGCAGGCGGAAAAGGCTGTACATAGCAGTAATAAACAAAAAAATAATTAAAAAAATCACAAGGTCAGCATTAAAACATTTCAACATTCGGGAAAAAAAAATTAACATTGATACAATTATAAAGAAATATATGGTCATACTCCACCATGTGCTCCTAGAGGAGCATAAGTTGAAGGCTTTGCAAGAGCTGCAACCGGAAGAGTAACTGGTGTGGATGCACGAGCCCCATTTGGAGGAGAACACGAATGGTCCATGAATAAGGTCTTAATGTCAGGATTTGGCCTTGGGTTCTTGCACAGCTGGTGCTGCCAATTTAAACTGCACAAACAATAAATTAATGCTTCTGAACTTTTACGAATTATAATGATGTTTTACTGCAAAAATAACATTATTGATCTACCTTCATAGGAAATACCAAAATGTAAACTTACAAACAAAAAACAAAGGCATTACAAACACAAAAAAGACAAAATACCTTTGATTAATTAGAGTTCGCAAGCGTGAAGCCTTCAGGGTGGGTAGAACAAGCTTCTCTCGAAACAAAGGATTTGCTTCAATCAACTTTTTAAGTTCTACTAGCATTATGCTTCTAGCTGATTTAGTATCACCATATTTTGATAATTGTTCATTTTCTCTGCATCATATCAAAAATAATATAAACATAAAAAAGAACCCCAAATATTTATATCCCTCAAATTGCACGCATGTGTATCCAAAAATCAAATGTAAATACATAAGAACTACAAACCCATTTAAATGGTTAAGCAACCCAACTTACACGTAAACTTAAAATGGACTAAAACAGTGATCACCTGAAGTTATCAAGAGTCAAAAGATGAGTGATTTCTTTGTACAATTCTTCGTTAAACGTCGAAAATACTTTCAAATCCTTCACCAGTATCTCGACGGCCTTAGCTCTGTCATTCCTGAGCACATTTCCAAATTGCAATAACGAATAACCCCATCATCAAACACAACAAATAAATACAATAAAAGACGAAAAATCTGAGAGACTGAGAGAGAAATTAAAATCAAAACCTGTCGAGGGCTTCGAGATACTTCTGCTTTCTGACCTCGAAGTAAATCTTCATAGAGTAACGATTCTCATCGACTTTGGTGAAGCCAGAGAGATACTTCTCGACCTCGTCCCACTCTCCCGCCAAAGATTTTTCTTCAAAGTACTTCATGTTGAAGAAGTAGCCCGACTCTTGCTCCAACCTAAGTTTCGCCGCCGCCATATCCATAGCCAATTCAAAATTTAAACTTCAGCCCCAAAAAAAGAATACCCATCAAAAACAAAAATGCAATCACTCACTCACCTGTGCACGGTCTCCTTGAATTTCTCTTCCTCGAGAAATTGAAGGATCAGAAACACCAGTTCTCTGCTCAAAGACGACATTTTCGTCCCCTGAATTTCAAGATTTCAAAAGGTCGAATCTTTCAGTTCGCGGAGGGGGATTAATGGCTCGCAACGACGGCGTTTTGGGAGGAGGCGAAGTTTCAATCGGGCGTAGGACTCGTAAAAGGTTCTAGGGTTTCTGATTTCATAATTTGCAGTTCAACGACAACAGTGCAGAAGCACAACGAGAGAAAAAAGATAAAAGATAAAGAAGAGAGAGAGAGCGAGAGAGAGAGAGAGAGTGAGATAGGGCAGTTGTTCGCACTTTCTTCGATGCGTTTTGTAGGGTCTTTATTTGGCACCCACCTATCAGCCATCACGTATAGCTTATCACTGATAGTGAGATGTTGATAAGCAAATCGATGATACGTAAACTTACTTATCTACGTAGTGGAAACTGAGAGAACTGAAGCAGCTCAGTGGCTCATCATTTCGTAAAAGGACGAGATTACATTTGGATAAGGGCTTGATCCAGTGCGACGCTCCAGTGTAAACACGAGTTCTAGTTTGTTGACGTTTATGCGTGGCGAGAGCCTATTGGGTTATGAGACATGGTAGAGGTCAGGTGGGAGTAGTGGATTGGAATTGTGTAAAGGCATAGTGGTTCCGGAATCGAAGAGGAAAATCAAATAGATTGAATATACGTGGTAACGTCCACCACATCCCGTTGCCTTGTCGGGCGTCTACGTGTCAAGTTCTCTACTTGGATCTCCTGCCAGCAACTCATGATGTTACTTTTGACATGGATTGTCTTAGATTTCTTTTCTTTTTCTTTTTCTTTGTTTTTTTTGGTTTTTTTTGGTAGAGTAGTGATTTCCTCAATTCTCCTTCTCTTGGAAGTAGTCAGTTGTATTTCCTCATACATTGATATACGTCCATAAATATTTTATTTTTTCTAATGCATTATTTCTACATGAGTATCAATTTGTAATTTGCATAAGTAATGGCTCATTGAAAAAAAACAAAAGAGCATATCACTATCATAAAATATGTTATTGACACTTCAAAATATAGCGGTCTTGCCATTTTTCTTTATTTCTTAATTTTTTTAATCTTATTTTCAATTTTCATAAGGAAGGTATTATTGGTGTTCACATGTGGTTTTGGATGATCAACACGAGATTTTAATAGGTCCAAGGTCACGACTTTTATTGGGTTGATTAGTTGTAAACCTTTTTTTTATGCTCATTAGCATGGGCAGTCCTACACCTAAGGCAAGGTAGGCTGCTGCCTACCCCAAATTTTTCGAAAAGAAAAAAAAATTCATAAAATACATGTATGCATCTTTAATTTTAAGATGTTGTATATGACAACATTAAATCTAATATATTTTAAATATTTTAGTTCTATTCTAGGGTAGTCTAGGAAGTAAAAAAAAAAAAAAAAAAAAAAAAAAAAAAAAAAAAAAAAAAAAACTATAGTTTAATTAAGAATGAATTATAGTTTGTAGACTTTGTTGAAATTATTTAGGTATTTGATTTTAGGAATTTTGTTGAGATATTTGATTTGATATTGGTATTGTTGAGATGTTTGATTTATTGTTGGTATGTTAATGTTTGATTAAAGGCATTGATGTTGTTATGAGAATTTATTTGATTTTTGTTTGGATGCTTGATTAAATAGGTTATCTTTTGTTATCTCGGATCACAATTCGAACCCCAAGAAAACAAAGAATTTGTTGTCTTCTTTTTTTTTCTAAGCTTTTATTTATGTATAGAGATGCATTTGAGGGTAAGGCTCATTACGTCCCTCCTACTATGTGTGTTCGCGCTAAAACTAAACAGATAGAGATAAGGCTAACTTACAGGTGATGTGGATGGTTCGGACCCGAGGAGCCTTCAGACTGTGGTGTCCTTCTTCAGGGCGCGATGCTAGGTTCGGTCTGAGGAGAGAAACGGTATATGAGGTTTGAAGCATCGGTGTGGTGCCGGCCGAAGACACTCCGATGTCAAAGTTAGTTGTTAAGAGCAAATTTATTGACAGTGTAAAAGCACGAGTTAAGTAAACAGTCTTACATCTTGACTGAGCCAAGGGGCTTTATTTATAAAGAGCATTTGAGATGCTCTTAGTACTTAGTTTCAATGTGAGACTTGTAGGAGTGTCTTCGACAGTTGACACGTGCACTGACAGGTTCTGGCGGGAGTTCCAAGGTTATATGTCAGAATCGGCATGATGTGTTGACTGGTCGCTCGGCATCGTGTGCCGAAAATTGGTGCAGGTGAGTCGATCGTTAGCACTTACTGACTTTGACGACCGTGTGTATGAATCGATGGTGTGTGCCAATTAACCGTTCTGCATGGCTCACCAAGTTGGTCTCAACTTCGTTCACATTCCACGTGTCATGATGTGAGTGGGGGGGGGGTCAGATATGGTACAAACAATGTGTATCTTTTTATGTTGATTAATGAAATTCACTCATAACGTCAAGTTTTTAATATAAGTTTCACCTAGTCGGATTTCAAATCCTGAATGTCACTTCTCCTAAAAGTGATCTACATAATATAGATGGACTAGTCATCCAAGAGATATTAGAGTGGTACATGACTAGTCATCTCTAATACTAAAGTCATAATGAGAAAAAAGAATGTATCTAGGTCAAGTGTCTATGAGTAGAATAAGTTATTATATTTGTCAATGTGTTGGCGCAAGGTATTTATAAGAGCTTGGTGGCAACAATCTTCCTTGAGAAATGGGTAAAAGATGTATGGTCATGCCTAAGCATGCTTGTAGTGCGGTTAGTATGGAATCCCAACAAATGGTTGACACCTGGCAAAAGTCTATGAGTGCATTAAATGCAAAGTCCAACAAGTGGCTAAAATGTGGCACTAGTAAGGTGATCACGCCTCAAATCCTGGTTTAAGGGGGATGATGTCGTACCAATCCCTGATTTCTCCAAATTGGGGAGAGAGATTGCCCACAAGTGTTAAGTGCAATGGTTAAGTCAGAAGAAATTGGGCGACCACGTGCCCATTGACCCGACCAAGAAGGTACATGGGAAGACGCTCTCAAAACCAAGAGTGTGTTGGTAGTACTTGCATGACAGGTCTACTTAGCATGGGAAGCGCACATATGTGAACGGAGAAGGCTTCAGTGTTGGAGTTTGGCCAATATAACTTGTTTTTAATGGCTAATCGGCTCGAAAGGGTACACGTGTCAACAATTGAGTAATAGCCCATTCAAAGTAACATATAAATATATGATAATTGCCTTCAAAACAACTCTTAAAAAGTAACGTAAATGTGATACCATCATTGGGTTCTGCTCATATTATAAATACCTTTACACATAATTGAACGTAGCAGGTGATGAGAGTTACAATAAGAAGAGAATCGCAAATAGTGCTATTCTCACTTGTACAATTGTATCTTATTTCATCCGACTTTCTTTTTATTTATGAAAATTCTAATAAAAGTTTATTATTTTTAAATAACATCTTTAAAACTTGGAGCAATAAAATCATACTATTATAGTTAGATTTAACATTAAAATCACCTTTCAAGGAATATCCCCATATTTTCTATCAACACCACTACCTTCAATAACGACCTAATATTTCACTTTTGAGTTGACTCCTAAATTGAGATATTTACACAACTCCAAAAATGTCAAAACAAAACCACAAAATCCACCTTAGTTGAGGGGAGGGGGGGGTTGGTGTATTCAATTAGGATTCTAGATAGTTAAAAAATATTTTTAAAATTCGGGTGTATTTATATGAACTTTAAAAGAGTTTCTACAAGTCTGGGTGTAGTCAATTTAGACTTGTATTATCTTTTAAAAAGTTCATACAAATATGGGTGTATTCAATTAGGATTATAAAAAAATTTCAATAAAATCTAGGTGTATTAAAAAATTCATATATTTGGAAGGATTTCATTGAGTGATAAATTTTGGTAGGTTTTAAGGTGAGAGGTATAAATAACAAAGACCATAATAAATCCAACCTCACCCCCCCAAAAAAAAAAGATTTCATCAGACGCTAGTTTTTCTCTCTGCATATACCCTAGCTTTTCTATGTACAGAAGATGAATAGTTTCCTCCATCTATGAAGGTACGCTCCCTATATTTTCTTTTATCAATACCTAGTTGGGTTTTCTTTTTCCATGATTTTTCTTCATTGTATATTTTTCTTGTTATTAGGGTATAGTTTGGGGTTACGGCTTTTACTTGTTATTAGGGTTTAACTTGGGGTTAGGGTTTATGCTTTTTCTTTTTTTTCTTCTCAAATATCTATATACAAATTTATAAGAATAGTTCGTTGAATCACTGGACAGGAAATTGAAATATAGTAATTGACAGCCTTTCTATAATCGAACAAAAAAACTGAGACAAACTGAAATTAAAACTTAGAATTACATTGCTTTTACACTAATGTATTAGATCAGTATTTTTGGTACATGTCTCAAATTTGAATATTCTCACTTCCAATAATTTTTAAAAATGATCGATGCTTTTGGAAACCTAATGGATGGGCATTAAAAAAAATATGATGAGTCATAAAAGATAAATAATAATGGCATTAGTGTTATTCTCAAATTTACCAAAGTTTTTCAGTTTGTGTTGGATTATCAAGACAAGGATCACACATGTGATGTATGTGCATGTATTCAACGTTAGATTACATGGTATATACATTGAATTTTATTTGTTTTATTTATCGAGATAACTGGATTTCATTCAATAACCAAACAACATAATACAACGAAAAGAAGGAAAAAGATGTACAAGGTTAGGCCTTTGTAAAAAAACTTTGGCATAAAAAACCCCCAAAAAGAAGGAAAATCCACCAAAGGAAAAAGAGCGCTTCCCACTTGATATAAAAAACATAAATCAACCAGTAGGCTTTAAATCCGCTCAAGCAAAGAACTCAACCAAGGAGGCTCATCCTCGATCCATGTTGAAAAACCAGAGTTCCTAATAGCATATTGGGCTAGCTTATGAGCAACCACATTACCATCCCATCGCTACCATTCATACGAGAAAGATCTAAACCCCAACCGCATCTCCTCAATATCTTCCACCAAGTTCCCTTATGCTTCGAAACACTCTTCGTCATAATTGATTCTATCTACTGCCCCTTGCACGTCTATTTCCAACAAAATATATTGAAACCCAAGATCATGTGCAACCTGAAGACCTTTCTTTACAGCAATTAGCTCCATAGCTTAGGCACTTAAACGTCCCACCACTTGACGAGAACAAGCATCCATAAATTCACCATTTCCATTGCGAATCACTACTCCGACTCCCCGCACTAACCCACCAAGGTTAACTGCCCTACCCTATCAACATTAAAGAAAAAAAAATAGGGCTAGTCTATATTTCCTAGACCTCAACCCATTAATTTTGAAATCTATGTATAAAATCCAAATTCAAAACTAACATGCCCCGTAAGATATAAAAAAGGTTATAGTACTCCTACATGTTTACATCGTATGCTACCAAACTTCAGATAAGTCAACCTGATGGTTTTCAAGCATGTCATTACTCATTTCTGATTAATACTTCCTCATTTATAGCATATCAATTACTCCCTTCTTCTTTTTTTTGGGCATTCTCTCTAATCCCTACAATTTCAACCAATAAAAAAATACAAATTTATAAATAAACCCAATCCTAGACATGTATTTATAAAAAAACCCAAACGCTATTTAAACATAGAAACACACCCAAAATCAACAATTGTATATTTTTTGGGTGTGTTTATAAATGAGTTTTGAGTGTGTGTAATGATGGGTTTTTGGTGTGTTTATAAAGTGTTTTGGGTGTTGGGTTTTTTTATAATTTCAGCCCCTATTTTGGGTGTTTTAGTGAAACTCCCATAAAAAAATCCTTAAATTTTCAACCAATAAAAAATCCCTCAAATTTCGTCCCAATAAAATATAATAGATAAATTATTATCAATACAATATAATGTACCTACAAATTTACCTATCTCGTATGTATCCAATACCTATTAATGTGCTGGCTTTAATATACCTACAATATATATGTATTTATCTAATACAATATAATAAGTAAGGTAAATTATTTTCACAATATACATGTGTTGGCTTTAATATATCTACAATATACCCATAATAGGCAAAGTACAAGTTATATTATTGCATAACAGGAAATTATTAGGTAAATTAAATCCAAAATGCGTTTAGAAAAGTTGGGTATATTATTTGAATAATAAGTAGATTCATACTAGGTATTTTTTGTAAAAGAAGTAATAGGTATGTTAATTTTTCAACATAAAATTGTATGTACGCTATTATATTTATAAAACAATAATATAATAGTTAATTAATCACGTATACTTCATAAATAAATAAATAATTTGTTATTAAATAAACCGATTAGGTATGTTGAATTTGAATTTATTGTTAAATTTAAGAAAAGTCACCAAATTAATTCCTACATCCATTTGGAAATTTTTCCAAATTCAATGTGTCATTATAGTTACAATCTAATTAAAAATTATTTCTATATTTATTCTTACATTAATATACAAAATGCAATAGTGGTTTAGTTATGGGTATTTTAGGAATTAAAAAAATAAAATAAAATTGATTTTACCATTGATTAGGTAACTTGTTGAGTTGGATTCTAATAATCGGGTTTTATTTAGAAAAAATAAGATTTTATTCTAACAAATATAAAGAGATGGGTTGTAATTGAGGAAAAATGACTTTGAAGGGGTTAAGCTAAATTTATATGAGAGGGGGATATAAAACCATATAAATGAGATATATAATACCTTCTTAGCTATTAAACTTATTACATTTTTCTTATCAATCATGTTGAGTGATTTGAACTTAGAATCTCTTTCAACTTTGAAAATAAATATATTGAGTGGTTCGAGCTTTTTATTCACCATAAACCCTTTTTATTTATTTTATTTTTATAAATACAAATGATAGTTTAAACTACAAGGGTTACATTGGACTATTATTTGAACTATTATTTGATTTTTTTTTCTTGGGTATTCATTGATGAAGATAATTCTTTTTAATTAATATAGATAATATAATAGTTAATTTAATTTTCTACTGAATTCACAATTTATCGATATGGGTAACTGGATCTGGGCCGCGGGGACAGATAACCCTTTACTTTTCAAGCTGCCCGTCTTGGCCCCTACCCGAAAATCATGTCCACCAAAACCCTGAAAAAACCCTTCGATACAAAACACAAGCACACAAAGACCACAGCGTGGTCTAACAGAGACGAAGAAGTTGAGCTCTAGTATACTCCAATGGCGGCGAAGAAGCAGGAGAAGAGCGGACCAAAGAAGAGGAAGCAAATCCCGGGAACTAAGTCCGAGACCTATAGCTCCACTTCCAAGAAGCCCAAGTTCCTCGACTCAAAGCCTTCCAATCATCGAAGCAATGACTTCAAGAAACCCTCCAAACCTTTCAAACAACGAGAACCAGGGCTTGATAATGAGAAGCAGGTCCCGCTGTCAAAGCGAGAGGGTCGCCTCCGTGCCAAGGTCGATATCTGATAAAATTTAATAAGAAAATTGGGCTTTTGTGCTTGATGCTGTATTTTATTGACAGCCAGTAAATGTTACTGCTTTTTTACTTTTTCTGATAAATCAACAATTTTGATTTGTGGGTTTTGTTGCAGGAGCTTGCAGAGTCTAGGAAGAAGAAGCGGAAGCGTCATTACAATTTAGAACAAGTAAGTGTTTGTTCACTCTATTTTTTTTTCTAAATTTGTTTGGATAAGCATTTCAGTTTGCAAATTGTTAAGAGGAAAAAGAAGAAATATATATATATATATATATATATATATATATGAATTGGTCGTGCGTCAAAATAATCTGAATGTGAATTGGTAGATGAAACCAGGCCTTTTCTTATAGCATGCAAAAATTTGCACCAATCTTTGTATTCACAACAAACATTTTGTGTTCACAACTTGTATGACCTCGTTAATTCATGCGTCATTTCAAGTTATCGTCGGGTGTGCTTTATGTGCAAAGACAACCCCTTAACTTAAGCCATTTAAAATGCTCGAACCATGAACTTTTTGTGGCAATGAGCAAAATTTACTTATTTATTTATTTTAAACCTTTTTAGGAGCTTGCACATCTGTGGGAGAAGATGCGTCGTCGGAATATTTCTAAAGAAGAGCGATCCAAGTATGTAGTTTGAGAAGAGTTAAATTGCAATTCCACCTTGATCATGTCTCTTTTTGCCTAAAATATTCATTTACTTATTTTTGTTATTTATGAACTTTGGCAAGGTTGGTGAGTGAAGCGGTAGAAAAAATGAAGGGGAAAATTCCTGAAATTGCATGCTCCCATGTTTCTTCTCGTGTTCTGCAGGTGATTATTTATCTTCATTCCTGTAATGTTTTGAAGTTTTAAGTCTCTGTTTTCTTTCAGTAGCCTGAATTTATGTATTCCTTTTACCTTAGACTTGTGTCAAGTACTGTTCACAAGCGGAAAAGGATGCAATATTTGAGGAGCTTCAGCCACATCTTCTTACTCTTGCATGCAACACTTATGCTGTTCATCTGGTGACAAAAATGTTAGACAATGGTATGGTTCAGATTGGAAGAAGAAATATAAAAAATTGTAGTCTTCCTTACAATACTATTATAGTTTGAATTTCATTATTTTCTGATAAATTATTAAGTTGTTACCTATTCTTTGTTTGGCAGCCTCCAAAAAACAGTTAGCAGGGTTTATCTCGTCTCTTCGTGGGCATGTTGCTTCCCTTCTACGTCACATGGTTGGATCTGTAGGTATGTTATAGCCTCCCTGTAGTACTTGGAGAGATATCTCACAACCAATATCCAACCAACCGTTTTTGTTTCCTTTCTCACACTTTGAGCTGTTATAACATTGTTGCTACTTCTCTAAATTCTCTTATAGTCGTCGAGCATGCATACCAATTGGGAAATGCAACACAAAAGCAAGAACTTTTGGTGGAACTATATTCTACAGAGCTACAGTTGTTTAAGGACTTGGTCTCGAAGAAAGAGGGCAGGTAAAGGATCAGTTGTGTATAATCGTTTTACATGAATGTATGCTATCAAATTCTTATTGCACTTTGAATTTCACAAAGTGTTAGATATGTATGGCTTCCACAAGGACTGCAACCCATGAAAGTTATCTTGATATTATTCTTTCTCCTGATATTGATCAAATTTCAGGTTACTAGATATAATTTCAAAGTTAGATCTGCAGAAATCTTCAGTCTTGCGGCACATGACTTCAGTGATTCAACCAATTTTAGAGAAAGGAATAATTGATCACTCTATAATACACAGGGTGTTGATAGAGTACTTTACAATAGCTGAGAAGGTATGGTTGAGAAATTTACATGCAATTTATCATTTTATAAACAATCTCAAATCCTTGCCTACAATATAGGCCTTTGCTTGTCATTTTGTCTCCTTTTCTGAAAATCAAATTTTTTTTTGGAAGTTCTCTGCCACAGATGTAATTAAACAGTTGTCAGGTCCACTTCTTGTTCGGATGATCCACACAAGGGATGGATCTAGGGTTGGGATGCTCTGTGTCAAGCATGGCAGTGCAAAGGTAGATTCTTATCATATCCATGTGCAAATTTTTGTCATTAAAAAATATGCATAGGTTTTTTGGCTAATGGTGTACATTTTCTTTTAATTGTTATGACTTGTTTCTAGGAAAGAAAGAAGGTAATCAAAGGAATGAAAGCCCATGTACGTGATATAGCTCTTGATCAACGTGGAAGTATGGTAAGCTTTGGGGAATTTTATTTTGTGTTTTCTGTTGTCATTATTTCAGAGCTAATATTTGTGATATTATGCAATTGTTTCAGTTGTTTGTATACATGATACAAAGGTTATTTTGATATTTTGCATACCTGATAATGAATTAATTCTATGCTTCCCAGGTGCTTGTTTGCCTTCTTTCAGTTGTTGATGATACAAAGCTTATTACTAAGGTTTGTTTTTCTGGTGATGTTTGTTGCAGATAGGATTTTAAATTTTCTTTATATATATATATATATATATATATATTTTTTTTTGTGAGGTTGCAATATATGAATTTCTGGTGAACCTTTCTAAATCAAATACTCCTGATTACAGGTTGTCATTCACGAGCTTCAAGAAAATCTGAAGGATCTTGTTCTTGATAAGGTTGTCGTTCTGATCTGCTGCTTATCGAACATATTTCCATATCTACAGTAGTCTTATTTCACCTTATCTTTCACTTTTTTACATTCCTAAGAGATGCTTTACTGTTTGCAATTGTTCAGAATGGAAGGCGCCCATTACTGCAGCTACTACATCCAAATGGGTCACGCTATTTCACTCTTGATGACCTCGCTTCTCTCAGTTTGTCTATCCCTTCTCTATCCAACAAGGTAGATTGTATATTCTCTTTCGTAGAAGATAGAAATGTATTTGGATAGTGATTCATATGCATGGGAACTTACCCCATTTCTCTCTATTCTCAGGTTGAGTCAGACACCCAATCTGAAACAAAATCTTCAGAAGTTAACAGATCTGGTGAAGAGGCCAGTAGTGATTTGGAAGTGATAGTAGATGAAGCCAATACGAATGATGATGACCTCCACTTAGTTGAGGGTGGAAAGAAGGACCCTTCTATAAGAAGGCAAGAGTTGTTAGTCAAGAGTGGGCTGGCTGAGGTTTGTTGCTTTAACACAAAATAGGTTCCAATTTAAACAGAGATATTAATTATAGTGAAGTTGATTTGAAATTCCGCTCAACCATTTTTCACAATAAGACTTTGACTTGCCTTGCAGAGGCTTGTTGATATATGCACTGAAAATGCAGGGGAATTGCTTAGATCAAATTTTGGAAAAGACGTCATATATGAGGTACTTATTTTACCAATTTTGTCAATGCAGAGATTTTACCATGGGAAAAGATTTAACGTTTGCCAAAATTTTTGACATCATTCGAATGTGGAACCTTTTAATACATGCAGGTTGCAACTGGGGGTGATGGTGGCATTCTCCATCCAATTCTGGATGAAAAGTTGAATGCATTATATGAAGCTATAGCATCTCTAGTAGCAGAGCCTAAATCCGAAGAATCAAAGGAGGAATCAAAAGAGGAACACATCTTGGAAAATTTCCATTCCAGTCGGACCATTAGAAAACTAATCTTGGACTGCCCCACCTTTGCTTCCACCATATGGAACAAAGCACTGAAAGGAAAATGTGAATTGTGGGCCCAAGGTCACAGGTCAGCCTCTTTGTCTTATTTCCAAGTATGATGCATGTGAATGAGCATAAAAGTGCATGTGATTCTTTCTTTCGTATTTAAGTCTTTTTTTCTGTGATTGCAGCGGCAAGGTAATTGCTGCGTTCTTAGAATCTTCAGACCCTAAGGTACACAAACTAGCAAAGAAAGAGTTGCAACCGCTGATAGATGGTGGTATTCTCAAAATCCCCGAGACAAAAGTAGCCAGTGGAGCAAAAGAATGAGGAAATTGCTCTCAAAGAACAGAAATGGCATGGTGATCGCTTGCTAAATAACAAAAGTGACACCAACTCTCTGTCATAACCGGCATAACTCTTTCGACTAAATGCAGTTAAAAGTGAACTTACAATTTTGTACGAGTGTGTAGTCTTTTTCTTATTATATTGTTGTAATGTGGTTGGTACAGTCCCAAACTATTATAAAATTTGAATTTGATTAACAAGATTCTGTGCATTCGACGCATTTGGGTGCGCTGCTATTGTTTATGCTTATTGTGTTAAAGTTATCGTTTTATCTTTCCACTATTGAAATCAAAATGAAATATAGACGATTAATTCTTACCAACTAATTCTCAGGAAGTCCATGACCTTGGAAAATATGCAATAGATTTCCTACCAACTCAATTGAAATCAATAATCTGGCAACAGAGCAATGCAGGAAAAAAAAGTTGGAAGGAGCCTGAAAGGAAATGACTTTTCACTGTTTTTCAATTAATGAATGAAACAATCATTTTCTCTAAAGTTATGAACGGACACAAGTAGATCTGCTCTTAAAAAATGCCCTATCTGATCTGACCTCAAACACCGGAGAATCATACGTAGCTCTACTGGGTTCATAATTCAGTACTTGATGCCCCGTTCGCAGGTGCCAAAAGTTCTGAGGTTTACTGTGAATTCGAGTCCGGAGATGAGGATAGCCTTGAACCTTGTGGTCAGATGGATTGAAGATGGGGGACTCTCTGCTGGACCTGCTCTGAAACACATCATAAGCAGCAGGTGGGCTGAAGAGTGAGGATTCTCTTCTTGGTGCAGCGGCTGCATTGGCCCTCAAACAGTTTTCTATAACTCTTGCCTCCTCCCTAAACCTGTTTCTGATATCTTTCAGACCCTTGACAACTTTGCAAGACCTTGACGAGCTTGTGGGATTACAAGCCTTGTGTTCTGAAGCATTGGCATTGCTTGAAGTTTTGTGGGTGGTGTAGGGGATTGTACCACACTCAAAGCAGAACTTCCTCCATCTCTCTAAGTCAAAAGCTCTTCTTTTTGCATTATCAGAGAGACATGAATATGCCTGCAATAACAAATCATAAATTTGAGCAAACCCAGTATCCTTAAATAGATTTTTTTTTCCTCACCAAAGTTAGGAACGGGAAGGGGGTTTTTCTCACACACTGCCTGCCAAGATGCCATAGGGATTCGACCCTAACACCATTGCTCTGCAAGTCAAAGGTCTTTTGCCATTGGGCTATACCCAGTTGGCCAATATGCTAAGTAGATTAATCATAATGTGAGTGTATTGCAATTCAATGCACGCACACCCTAAACATGAATATGCTGTTGGGTCCAATATGTTCTGTCAGCCTTTCACATGGGACTCACCCTTCATCAAAGTCCATGTAACCCAATTAAGGTGAGGCATGTTATTTTTTACCACAAAACTTTATATCATTGTACTGGACTGGACAGACCTGCACCTGAAATTTTGCCTTCAATAAGTTTTGGGAGGACATGGTTGTGGTAAACAACCAACCCTACCAAACTCCATGAAATTTCAATTTTCTTTCCCATTGACCACTGTCAACTTGTGGCCAAGAGAAAAAATAGAGCTCAACCAAAAACTATCAAAAGGGTGGAACTTGGATTGGTTGAATGCAATTCTAACCTCTGAGACAAGTTTGAAGGCAATCTCAGCCTTGGGATGCTTGTTCTTATCTGGATGAAGTTGCAAAGCTGCACAAAAGAATAAGCCTAATTAACCATAATCACCACCACCGCCAATTAAGGAATATGAAATATTCATATTCAATCTTTTAGCCAAACCTACCAAGTTCATGGTACCTCTTTCTTATAACATCCCTTCCAGCATTTTCTTGCACCTATTCATTCCCAGAAACGCATAAACATTAATCTTGAAATTAATTAACAAGAGAAAGAAAGAGAAAAATAATAAGAATCCCACAAATGGGTTACGTTTTTAATCAAGATGGTCCAAGAAAACGTACTCGAAGAAGACGATACCAATCGATGAAAGATGATGATTTAGCTGGGCTGTTGCTGCAGCCATGCCCATGAGAGCAGGCAATGGAGCGTGTGGAAATGGAGCAAATCTCTGTCACCAACTGGGATTTGAAATCAGAGTCATGTCCCATTTTTTCTCACTGAGAAAACAGAAAAAAAATGGAAGGTGGAAATGGAAAAAGAATGAGAAAATGTTTGAAACTTTGAATGAGGGGGTTTCAAAGATTCTAAGGCAATGTGTGGTTTTTCTTCTGCATGTGCGTTTTAGTGTAATTTTTTTGGTTTTAAGAGGGAGAGAGAGAGAGAGAGAGAGAGAGAGGCAGAGTGATGGCAAGGTGGAGCGGTTAAGAAAAAGAGCAAAGTTTGCGGGTGTGATTTTTGAAAGTGGATCAGTTGGTGCCCCTTGGTGGGAAGAGGGAATGAGAATAGGTCATCCGTTAATCTTGCCACGTGGTATAATTTGAGGAGGCCTAGCCAGCCATTATAGTCCTTCAATTTTATTTTTATTTTTTTCTTAGCTTAGTATTTGAGGTTCAAATTTTTGATCCATTCTATACTACGGAAAGAGGGACTCGAAGATGGGTGCATAGTGAGAATCACATCCGCTCCAACGAATTTAGCTAAGCTGATGTATGCCTGAGGTTTAAATTTTAAATGAAAAAGGCAATGGGTTGGGGTTTTAGGCTACTTTCTTGTGGGGTCGCCCTATGGGTTTTCTAGCAACTCATCAATATCTGATATATCAGTGTCTTGGTTTTTATTATTTTTTCGATTTGACTGGTATACCATCCTAAAATTTGAGTTGTATATTATAAATATAAATTCACTATATATATTATATAGAGCTTATCTTAAACTAAGAAAGTAATGATATACTGTTAGTTAGTGAATTTAGGTACCAATATTACTGTTCATGTATTTAACAAAATAAAATGGTATATTTGGTATAATCCCATCCATACTATATATAATTATCAGCAATATGGTATAATTGTTACAACAATCTCACCACCAAACGTTTCCCAAACAAGACTTTAAGATATTGCAAAATGGTAGGTGAATATCCTGGCTATCATGAAACGAATTCTGTTGGTATCTTGGAAGAAAAAAAAAGTTAGCAATGAGGTCTATACTCTACGGTACAAACGTCTGTGTCAAATGAATTAACTAATTGCCATCTAACCAAAAGGGCTATAAATGGAGGGCCCAAAAGATTGAATGTTGCAGATGGCAACAGCTACCGGAGAGAGACTTTTATGCAGCGGGAATCAATTTTTTTGCTATTCTTGCCAACAGTGCAATGACATATATAATAACTTTTCTAAGTGTCATTGCATTATTGGTAAAAAATAGTAAAATAATATTATTCTCGTTACAATAAATTTTTTATGAACTGGCAAATAAAGTTAAAACTCAACTCAAGATGAGGAACGGCTCAGAGTGAATGAATTATTTCTCGTTATTAGGTAGGTAGCCAAACCTATTTCTCAATATGAACCATGCAAATATTGATTGAATCTAATAAAAACTTACACGTGAAAAGGGTGTATGGTAGGTGCAAAACTATGTGGACTGCCGCATATAATGCCCAGTTGAAACTTTGGCATAAATTTGGCAATCAAGAGTAGGTCAAAAGAGCCCTCTAAGTTTGTACTATTTTCCCTAGATTTACTATGGATTTTCTTTTGTTTTGATTTTGATAGAAAAGCGAGGCCTATGCCTATCCATGTTGACCATGTATTGGTTCAACAACCTAACACACACATAGTTTGTTATGGTGTAAAATCGAAAATGTTAACGGATACTTCTTTACGTGTGTATAGATAATTGTTAATTAATGTATGAATAATTGTTTACTATAAGTTTTATGTCGAATTTTACATGCATCAATAACTAATAATCGCTATAATGTTGGCAAGTAAAGTTAACTCGCCATCTCTCCTCCCTCAAGGGTTTTACCCTTTTGAGGCAATTTGTTAACGAAGGTTAGGATTTGTAGGGTTATGATGATCATATGATGGACCCCAGAACACAAGGCAACTTTTGGAAAAGTGCCCTCGTTGTTGTTGTCATTGCCCAATGCCAATAGTTTCCACCCTCCAAGAATCTTTCTTAATTAGAGCAATCTTGGCATTTGGAATTTAACCTTTGCCATCTGCCATTTCCAAAGCCTTGGGCTAGGTGCTTTTGTTTTGAGATTGGCGAGGCTCTTTGTGAATAACAATAGGATGTAGGCTTTGTTTTATGGCATGCCTTGTTTTATTTAGAGAAAATTCCAATTGGATTAGAAGTTTCACATTTTATAATGTTCGTAATACATTAAAGTCAACTGAAACCCGTTTGCACCCAAAATTCAATGCCAAATTTACGGAATGCTGAAAATGGGTTGGATAATCAAAGCTTAGGTAGCCGTTTGTTTTGGGCTAACTCCAATGCATTTATGTTGCTCAATGCATTTTTTGTTGTTGTCTTCCTTGTGATCCAATTTCCAAACAACTAACCCAAATGGGTTTGGGCCCAAAAATTGATTGTGAACACTACAGTTGCATAAGTACCACCCACGCACGTATGAGAAATTCATGACCGCTCTCCCACATCTCATCACCCATTAAAAGTCGCTCCTGCTTGTTACGATTGACTTTAGCAACACCCAATTAAAAGAAGGACAACAAAGCCTAAGATAAATTAACATAAAGCATTATTTGCGACGCATCATGAGTAGGGGCGGGAACGGTCAAGAATGGATTTGTTTCATCTTAAACTAAAGTTGAACCAATTACAATAGAATGATTTGGTTTGGTTTGATTTTGATAAAAACCATGAAAGAAATTGAACCAAACTAAACCAATTTAAAACGGTTTGGTTCGGCAGATTCGGCCCAAGCCCAATTCTTTTCCTTTTGCATTCCTTTTCAAATTATTTTAGCTCAATTACAAAAAAAGAAAAAGAAAAAGAAAAAAGAAATCATAATATGATACATATTGTTTCATTTTATAGGCGTATCAGACCATCATAAAATTCAGCATGCTATAGAACTCCAAATTTTAATAACTAATATAGTTACAATTCAAATATCAATAACTTCAAAGTTCCATCTAACTTCAAATGAGAGGGTTAAATAAGTAAAATAAAATAATAAATAAATAAATATACAAGTAGAAAGTCTGATTTGATTTAAGTCAGTTTACAAAAGCTTAGAACTAAACTAAATCAAACAATTACAGTTCAGTTAAAATTTTAAACCAATTAAATTTTTTCTAAATCAAAACCAAACCAAACCAAACCAACCATCATAATTCGGTGGGATTATTTGAATCCGCAGGATTAATAAGTAGGATCAAATTTGGTGACCAAACCTAGCATCATTTGGGTCTTGTCACCCCAATAAATCAAGATTGACCTGCGGAGCCTACCCAATTATTATGTATATAAAAGTAGAACAGATATACACTTGAGCTGGGTTGAAGCCAGCTCTTCTATCCAGCACACGGGGCCTACCACCCCATCTTACCCCACACGCACTTCTTTTGTCACATCTACCCTTTCCCAAACAAATACAAAACCCACAAATTATCCCTAACGTGCGCGCCCTTCCAATTTGCACAACACGTAAAAAATTATCGTGACCAAATTACCCTTCCTTAAAACGAAAAAGTTACGTTTGGACATCATACCGTTATGTCCGACGTCAATTATTGCATCTGGGGGGGCTATTCGCGTAATTTCACATGTCGCGGTTCTTTCTTTATTCGCGCACATTCTCTGTAGTGGTCTCTCTCTGTAGCTACCTCCCTCAGACGCCAGAGGCGCAAATCCATATTCTTCATATTCGATTCTTCTGCGAATCCCTGATTTCTCCTTCAATCAAATTAAGCATCATAAATCTCAAACATTTCAGTTCAATTCATCTGATTTCTAACTAGTTTTAGTTTCTCCGGAGTTAATTTGCTAGTGCTGGTGTTCTGTCCTTCTTCTGAGCTTTCAATCTCGACCGTTCGATTCTATGGCGGCGGGGGCAATGGCGACCGCCGCCGGAGCCGCCGTACTTATCTACTACGTGTTTAATCGGAGGTTGGCGTCGCAACTTGACACCGACGACGACGACAGCGATCGGAGTGGAAATCTCTCGAAGATGAGATCGGCGAGAAAGAGGCTCTCTCGGCGACCGGCGCAAGCGCCCGCCACGTGGCTCGAGTCGCTGAACACATTGTCCGATACGCTCCGGTTCACTTACTCTGAAACACTCGGCAAGTGGCCGATCGGCGATTTGGCCTTCGGCATTAACTACCTCATGCGTAGGCAGGTGAGTAATTCGCTCAAATTCGGGGTATCTTTCTGCAAATTTCACTTCTTTGGGGGCAATGCTTCCGAAAGTTTCGTTATTTACATGTCAGGTCCCTGGTTTTGGTTAACTTGCAGGGTAATTTACAAGTTGCGAGTGTATATGCTGGTAGTGATAGTGTGCAGCTCAAAGGGTCTGGAATTATTGAGGAGTTGCATTATTACTTGAAGTTGTTGACGCTTTGTATGCTTTTTTCAAAGAAACCGTTTCCGGTGTTTTTAGAGTCCGGGGGTTTCTCTCAGGAAGATGTACTTCTTCAGAAGCCCAAGGCTGGGGTTCGTAAGCTCTTACCTTTACACTCTCTAACTACATTTGTTCATGTTTTTATTAGAAATTGCCTTTCTCAGTTCTCAGCTTGATGTGGAGGGATAACATTCCCTTATTGAGTCTAAACTCAATAATAACAAGGAACTCTTTAAGTATACGTATTTGTAGTGTAGGTAATGATACATAAAAGCAAATCCATGGATTCAAACAAGAGCTGCCCACATGCCCAAAATCCATAATACTTATCCCTTCAACATTGTCTCATCACAACCAAAGTTTTCTACTTCGTAGGGAATCTAAAAGCAAACACCTTCTTTTGGGGTTTTATCCCCCCTATCTCGTAAAAATAAAATAAAATGGAAACACCTTCAAGAATCAAAATTTATGTGGAAATGAGAGATGGAAATCTATGTTAATAGAGTGATGTTGTTAAAAGCTCGGGAAAGGTGAACATTTATGTTAATGGACAATTTATGAGAAGTGAAATATGTGCTACATGTTATTTCTATCGACCACTGTGTTTTGAGAGTCATGTTGGCATATAATCTTCCTCATAACTTTATGCTTTTGTGATAAAGCATCCTTTAGTTTCATTATTTGCTTTAAAACTTGTGATTGATTCGTCTCTTAATTAGCACCACTATGCTTGCAGCTTCTGAAGCCCGCATTCACAATTATTCGCGATAAAAACTCAAAATGCTTCCTTCTATTAATACGTGGTACACATAGCATCAAAGATACACTAACTGCTGCTACTGGAGCAGTGGCCCCATTCCACCATTCGGTTTTGCATGATGGTGGAATAAGCAACTTAGTCCTAGGATATGCCCACTGTGGGATGGTTGCTGCAGCCCGTTGGATTTCTATGATCAGTACTCCTTGCTTGCTCAAGGCTCTTGGTGAATATCCTGACTACAAAATAAAGGTAGATGCTGTTTCTGTAATTTAAAAAATACAAATTTATAAATAAACCCAATCCTAGACATGTATTTATAGAAAAACCCAAGCACTATTTAAACATAGAAACACACCCAAAATCAACCCCAAAGTCAACTTTTTGGGTGTGTTTATAAATGGATTTTGAGTGTGTGTAATGATGGGTTTTGGGTGTGTTTATATGTTTAAATAGTGCTTGGGTTTTTTTATAATTTAAGCCCCCATTTTGGATGTTTTAGTGAAACTCCCTTTTGAAATGGCAAACTAATTTGCCATTTCAAAATTGATCAAAAACTGTGTCGCTTTTCCTGCTTATACTTGTTTTAAAACTACTAATTTACCATCAAAATTGATGTTGATTAGTTTTAGTTTTAAAATTAATAAAATGTACAGAATTTCATAATACTAGGATGATTTATCTGTGCTATTATTCTTTCTAATGTTGAAATCTGCATATCAGGTTATTGGGCATTCACTAGGTGGTGGTACAGCTGCATTGTTAACATATATTCTTCGAGAGCGGAAAGAGTTCTCTTCAAGCACTTGTGTTACATTTGCCCCAGGCATGTCATCTGAATTTCTTTTGTTAGTGGTTCTAGCATTCCATAATCATTTGTTCATGGAAATGCGCTAATAAATTACGTAGATATAAGGTATCAAATATGACTTGTTACTTCTGAAGAACCGATTGGGCCATTCTATGCTTGAAGGTCATTCTGAGGTCTTTCCTATGGCTGCTTTATTAGAAAATGCTCAAGTGCTTGTACTGTAATTTTTGTTTTGCAGCTGCCTGTATAACGTGGGAGTTGGCAGAATCTGGCAAGCACTTCATCACTACTATCATCAATGGCTCTGACCTGGTGCCTACTTTCTCAGCAGCTTCTGTTGATGATCTCCGGTGTGAGGTACTGTATTTTCTCCACATATGCATTAGCATTTATTCTTGCTGCTCATGAATAATGTAGTTCAATTCTCATCTGTTAGACATTTTCAGAATTCTTATTAGAATATGCCATCATCAGGTCACAGCTTCATCTTGGTTAAATGATTTGCGGGATCAGGTTGAACGTACAAGAGTTTTGAATGTTGTTTATCGCTCTGCCTCTGCTCTGGGTTCTCGTCTACCATCTATAGCTAGTGCAAAAGCGAGGGTTGCTGGTGCTGGTGCACTGTTGCGGCCAGTATCTAGCAGCACACAGGTAAATCTAATTTTTCTTTTATTTGATGACTGACTGTTAATCAGGTCCACTCTTGCTGACTTGTGGTCACGTGAGAAATCTAATTCACTGGTTTCTTTATGTTATGGTGTAGTAATTTGTACAATGTCTTTATGTAGAACTGTTAGTGAATTGGTGCTAATATTGACTCATTTGGTTGAACTACACTATACTGGTCTATTTGTTTAGTAATTAGACTGTTATGGAAACATCATCAAGCATCATTTGTGTGTGTGTGTGTGTATGGCTCCTACTTTATGTGTGTTATGACAGGCTTTGCTTCTGCTTGGTAACTTGTAGGTTGTGATGAAGCGTGCACAGAATGTTGTTGTCAGAACTCATTCATCTATATCATCATGGTCTTGCATGGGTGCACGTCGCCGGAATGTGGGTCCATTATTGAATTCTAAAGCAGATGATTTGCCTGAAGCTTCTGTTGTATGTGAAAAGGATTCTGAATCTCAGACTGAAAGAGTGACCATAGATCCAATGCAGAATAACTTGGAATCTAGTTTTAGTGGCCGATCCGGTCATGATGATACCGATGAAGAGGAGCAGCTTTTGCCAGTGAATGAGAATACTACTACATCTACTGTTGGAGACATCACTGAAGGTGAGTTGTGGTATGAACTGGAGAAGGAGCTTACGAGGCAGGAGAATGACATCAATGTCGAGGCCCAGGAGGAAGAAGCTGCTGCAGTGAGAGAAATAACAGATGAAGAAAACATGCTGGTTGATGTTGCAGAAAGCAATACGGCCATCTCTTCATTAGATGTTTCAGAGAGCCACCGGTTCTATCCCCCTGGCAGAATCATGCACATTATTTCTGCCCCTTCGTCTAATTCTATTAATTTAGATCATGATGGACCTATTGAAGAACATGTGGGTATATACGAGACACCTAGAGAACTGTATAGTAAGCTCCGACTTTCTAGGACGATGATTAATGATCACTACATGCCTATGTATAAGAAAATGATGGAATTGTTGATCAGGGAACTGGAAAATGATGAATCCAGTAGTTGTATGATGTGAAAAAAAATTAAATTAATAGAAAATATATTTATGTTGCATTGCCTATCAGTAGTCGACTTTTGCTTCTCTTCCCATAGCTTTTTTCAAAAGACAAAAAGCACTTTAGAAATAAGCCATTTTCAGTTGAGTCCAAGCTTCCGCATGCTTGGCTTAAAGCTCACTTGGAAACTTATTTGGTAAGAAAAGAAACAGCAACCACAATTTTCGCTAGTTGAACAACATCCGGCTTGAGCTTTATAAAACCCATCCCCACCATTATCTTTCCCTTCTGTTGGAGGATAAGATCACAATCAGTATGAAATATATAGAACACGATTGCTATAATTTACATCTCAAACAATACCATTTTTTCAAAGACTTGTCATGAAAAAGTAACCAGAAAATGCATGGCCCCTCCTGCTTGACATATATTTGAGGCTCACAATCATGCAAGTCGTTTGACCTGTGATTTTGACATACCTGGTCCCCCAAAACAAGTGGCTCACTCAGAATCATAGCCTTGTGTTTGGTTTGGTGTATGATCTCATTGGACCAAGTAATGACTTTTTTAATCCCTTCCCTAATCCTCATTGGATGGATTTCGTTCCACACCTAATCTTCTTTTGATTAACAAACTTTCGCAATCACAACTTTGTAATAAACACTCTTAAATACTCTCCAAGATATGCTAATCTAATCTCCCCCTCCCTCATGATTAATTCTTTTTAATTACGCCGTACGAGTCTTTTTCCATTTGTTTAGTGTTTAAGACCGACTTTAAGTAGAATATTCTGATTAGCAATGATAAATCCAATTAGTGCTTCCAAATCCACATAACACACGTATACCATTTGATGATATCTTAAACTAAAAGCATGGCCAAAGTGGGCACGGCTATATATATATATATATATATAATATGAATACGTTGATGTAACTCTCTCACAAGAATGTCGAAAAGGGCCATGACGCCTACATCACAGGGTGGCCAAGTTAACGGCAGACGATAGTCATTTCACACTCAAAGCATACTTTTGCGTAGCCATACTTGAGCTTGCAAACAGAAGGAGAAGGAGATGAAAATGGAGTATAAGCAAGACCAAACGTTTGTTTGATTGTTTCGTCGCGAATCAGTGCCGGACTGAAATCACACCAGGTTTTGCTTACTGGTTCTCTCTAGCTCTTTTATATTATAAGGAAAAAGAGAAATATACATATATGTATAAACTTATGGATATATCAAAGGCTTGGCTTAGCTAGCTGATATAAGTTATACCAATTGAATAGATACTTATCTTTTGAAGTGTGTAATGATTTGGGACTGTAGGGGGCTATGGTGCTCTTTCCATCTCTTCTTGAAGGGCTGGCAAGAACCAGATCGCTCAAGAAAATGAAGAATTGTCAGGAAGATGTTGCAAGGAAAACTGCAGAAGCATTGGAAAAGGAAGCGAAAAAGAATGAGATGGTTTTGAGTTCTTCTTCTGGCATTGTTATGTCTGATAAGTCTAACAATTTTTCCTCTGTTTGCTCCAAGAGAGGCCAGAAGGGGATCAATCAAGATTGCTTATTCATTTGGGAGGTAAGTCCACAGTCTGAGAATGTTTTTCTATTTGTTGCAAATATGCTTGTTTCAAAACATATGCTATATATTTTCCATATTTTCATAAGCTGGGTTGGTAGGAATTTGGATGCCAAGAAGACATGATCTTTTGTGGGATATTTGATGGGCATGGCCAATGGGGCCACCATGTTAGCAAAAGGGTCAAGGAATCAATGCCTGCTTCTTTGTTGTGCAATTGGCAAGAGACTCTCACTTTAGCATCACTGAACCTCGACTTCGAAATGGAGATGGATAGAAACCTCCATCGGTTTGATATATGGAAGCAATCCTTTCTTAAAACGTATGCTGCCATTGACAAGGAGCTTAAGCATTCTTCTAAAATGGATTCTTATCGAAGTGGCGCTACAGCATCAACAATTGTTAAGCAGGTAATCAGAAGAAATTGTCATATATTTTGAGTAGCATAGTTTACTTACTTTCCTTCCTTGTGTGGCAATTAAATATGCTACCAGAAAACCTTTTTTCTGCTAATTATGTTGATCCAATGGGTGCCAATCAAACCCTAAACCATAGGATCCAGACGTTTGATTTCAATATCCAGAATCTTGGACTGGTAGTGTTAGCTAGAGTGTAGCAATTGCATGACAAGTACCCTTAAAATCTCCTCATCAATGATCTCCAGGGCGAACATCTCATCGTCGCAAATGTCGGTGACTCCCGGGCTGTCTTGGCCTCCATTTCAGAAGATGGGAGTTTGGTACCTCTTCAGCTTACAGTGGACTTTAAACCCAATATACCTCGTTGGTTTTCTCACTCTGTCTCTGTCTCTGTCTCCTTGATATACAAAATGTGTACCTTGTACCTAAATATTTTGGGGCTCTTTCCTGTTACAGAGGAGGCAGAACGAATAACAAGATCCAATGGACGAGTATTTTGCTTACATGATGAACCAGGGACTTACAGGGTCTGGATGCCAAATGGTAAGACACCAGGACTGGCAATATCAAGAGCCTTTGGCGACTATTGTGTTAAGGATTTTGGGCTTATCTCAGTGCCTGCTGTCAGTCAAAGGCATATCACCAGCAGAGACCAGTTTGTCATTCTAGCAACAGACGGGGTAAGCACATTTCAATTTATTTTCCAACTTTGTTCCAAATTGTATCAAGAAAAATTGCAGATGTGCACAGTAAAGCAACTCCATTGAACAAATCTTCAATGACTTTGCTTTGCTTCATCAGGTATGGGATGTTATCTCCAACGAAGAAGCTGTACAGATAGTTTCCTCCACTCCAGATAGGAAAAAAGCAGCTAAAAAGCTTGTGGGATGTGCCACTCTTGCATGGAAGTCTAAGAAACGAGGCATCGCCATGGATGACATCTCAGCTATTTGCCTCTTCTTTCACGCATCATCCTCACAACATGCCAACCTTATGAATCTATGATCTCACAAAATTCATGTGTAAAAAAATCTGGTTAGATGCCGATTACTGTTGCCTTAATTTACTATGGGAAATGTGTACATACATAAATGTATGCCTTTGTTGATTTGGAATGCTGTCAACCATGTAACAAGAAAGCCCAACATGATTCTATTTACACCTTAGTTCTTAGAAAAAAAAAAAAAAAAAAAAAAAAAAAAAAAAAAAAAAAACCAAAAAATATCAAATATCGAAAGAAGCATAAATTAAAGCATCACGCACCAAAATAATCGAGGTATAATAAAGGATTAATGACATTTTAGTCTCGGGAGCTCTTTTACAATGATACATACTTCAAGAATCTTGATAATACAACATTTATAATCATAGCATTATACTCCTAGTTATTCTTAAAACACGTTAAACCCTTTATATTTAGTTAAGATAGATGGCTAAGAGTTTTATTTTTAGTGAAAATTAAAAACAAACATTTTCAAAATAAATATTTACATTATATTAACCTCGAGTTTTATGGATAAGAGTTTTTATGTTACTGTCGTTTACATAAAAACGACATGATTTTCCATGTTCCGATGGCACCCTCAAAAATAGAAGTCTGTCTCTGCCTCTGCGCGCGTCTTCTTCCTCATGACAACCACTGCTCTCCGTCTCTCGTTCCATCAATCTCCTCACTCACTCGCGTGCGGCGCGTGCCCTCGACGCCAACCTCTCTCCAACTCCCACCTCACCTTCCCAACACCAACCCCAACCCTACACAGCTCAACGCTCATTCCATTCCACCGGTCCCATCGCCGGCGACAGTCTCCTATCACTATGTCAGACTCCGGCCGATCAAGCTCTCCAGCGGCCCAGCCGCCACCGAAGGAACTCGACGAGGAGTCGGATTTCGAAACCATTCTCTCACCCGACGGTTACATCTCTATCTGTGGCTTCGGTTCCCTCCTCTCCGGTACGTACAAATTCAATCACCTACACCATCACCGTCGCCGTTTTGATGTGCTTGTTGTCGTACGCTGACTTGTTAACTGGTGCGGTGTGTTTGGGAGGTAGAGAGAAGCGCGAGGAGTACATTTCCGGACCTGATCAACTTCAGAGTTGCGTGGTTGAACGGCTTTCGTCGAGTGTATGCTCACATGGCTCCCATTTTCTTCGAGCGCGGCATTGCCAAGCCTGAAACCAAGGTCAATCAAAGAAACTGAAAGAAAAATTTATGAAATGTTTATGCTTTTGTTGTTCGCATATTCTTCAACGATTCAAAAGTATCAATTTTTGTGTTTGGTTCGTTTACAAGTTTGGGAAAACAATTTGTTGTGTAAATTCTAAAATCTGAATTTTGTTGTTAATTTTATGAATGGGGCAGGAGATTGCAAGCTTGAGTGTAGAGCCTTGTGAAGGTGAAAGCCTTATAGTAACAGTGTTTGAGATTACAAAATCAGAGGTATAGAGTTAATGTTATGTGTGTTTCAGTGCCTGTTAAATATTGAATCTTTGAGAACTAGGTAGAAGGAAACTAGTTAATTCGATGAGAGCTAATTCGCAACTCGTATGCTGATTTAACAACTTCAGATTCCAGCTTTTATCAAGAGGGAACCTGAATTTCGATTCCTAGCTGTAAGTTGCTAGATTGTTGCCTACCATCAAGTTCTTAATTTTTTATTTGAAAAAAACGATTTGTATTTTCATTTGGGATTATTTGTTTGTCTTGCAGGTTCTGCCTGAAACACTTGATGGGAAGTCATTTGATAATCGAGCGGTGAGTGGAAAATGTGAATATGTAATGCCAATAGCTTCACCTTATTAGGCTTTTTTCCCCTGTACTTTCTCAGTTTAGTTTGGTTATTGGGGTGAACGAATGCAGGTACTTTGTGCTCGTTATAGTGATGAAGAGTTCTTCAGAGTTAGATGCAAAGGTAAATCTTCACAACTGTTTAATTTTAACAGTTTCCCAATTAAGATAGATAGTAAACAGAAATATAAGTGTAGTTAACTCGTAGTTTCTGATAGCAATGTTAGATACGAAGAAATGCCATTTATGATTGGTTTTAGCCAAACGATTGTGCTACCCCATCCAATTCCATAATTTACCATTACATAATGATGGGGTATTGATGTTAATGTATGCTGCTGGTTTTTTCTGGCTGGATTTCAGGAAGTAAGGAGATGTATTTTCAGCTATTTGGACGATATGGCATTGATAAGATCTGGCGAGATGATATCCTACCTTGTCGCACTTACCTTCGGCATTGGTATGTCCTCACTTTTGATATACTTATTTGCTTTATTTGCTACCAAAAAGATTTGAATGATCCCCAACTAGCAGTTAGCTTACCAACTAGCAGTCAGCTTGAAAGAAATGAATGATCCTGGTCTGTCAGGCCAAAAGAACAAGCTCTTGAATTGTGACCCACATCTTATCAGTAGAAGTAATCAACTCATAGACCAACTTAATTGCACTTGAATGTGTTAGAGGACTAACGATGAATCTGATTAGTCAATATATGTTTGCTTTGGCTTTTCTCCTTCGTCTCATCATTTGAGTTTGATCATGGGTAGGTTAATGGCTTTGCCAGTGCTTCTTTAAACAAGCTGCTTTGTCCTTTTCAGATTTGTTTTTCCTTTTTGTTCTAAGATGAGAGAACAAAACAAACTTATTTGACATGTTAGAACCTTATTATTGAGTATCAATGAGTATGTTGTCTAGCAGACGTGGTATTAAACTAAAACTAGGACAGCATAGTCCTAATACTAGTAATCATTTTCTGAATTTACAGTGATTATGAGTTCCTTCTTATATGTAATAGGTCAGATAAGGATGGCTGACTACACTAGTATATGAGTTTTGTCCCTGCTCTCTCAAATATACGTTCTTTATAGCAGCTAAACCCTATTCAATAGCCATGGAATATTGTTTTGTTGAGAGTAGAAGACTCACTTGTTCTTAAGTTGACAATGTCTTCTTCTGCTGTACGTAAGTTATTGTTATGTTTTGTTCTGTACAAACTGTAATCCTATGTGATGTTGATTTGCTGCTAGAGATTTAGTCTTACATGACATACTTCCATTCCAACTACTCCTCATATGAATTATGAACTAAAGTGGATGATCAAACATCCATTTGTAGTGTCTTAGCAGCAAAGAATCTGAGCGAGGTAGCATACAATAACTTCTTGGATCACACTTTCCTTGGAGACCGTAAAACAACCATCCGCGAGTACCTTGCTACAACAGGTTCAGGCATCATGGAAGAAGAGCCTCCAGAGTCCCTCAAGACCCGGTATGGTGGTTAAGGCCATATGTTTAGAAAGCCTTGTTACATTGATTTGTCAAAAGCAGTAATTTGTATTTCAAAGATGCAGAAGGGATTTAATGATGTTGAGTTCACCTCGTGTGTTCCTATAGTTGTGTTGTATTCTACAAAATTTATCTCACTGCCCCTCCTATTATTTTTCCTCATTATTTGTGAACAAAATCAATATGCCGAGGCAACCATAAATTTAACAAACCATAAATCAAGGCAACTATGGCTTGAGACGAGGCAACAAAATATTGAGGCAACTATGAATCAGTGTATCAAAGCAGTCAAGGCAAACCATACATGAATTTAAAAATAAAAATAAAAACCGTAGGAATGTCCTCACATACATACATTATAAATACAGCCCTCGTGCTGGTACTTTTCCTCATTATTTATGAACAAAATCAATAACCCAAGGGACCTAACAAAAATTCGTAGTTACTAAATAATTATGTGTGTTTAGGACAGTCACAACCCTTAACACTTCTGGTTTCGAAGTATTTTGGGCCCAGTAGGCTGCAAGAGATTTATAAATTTGTGAACAATTTGTCCCACATCGACGTTTTAGTTAGTGAAGTGTATGGCTCTGCCTATAAGTAAAGAGAAGCCGGAACCATTTAAGTTAACCTGTCCTGTCAGGGGTGGAGGATGACTCGTCAATGATCGTATAGAGACGGCGGGTCGTGCCAACACCTATTATTTCGAACACACTTTTCGTACGTGCTAGTTCCACCCTACTTCGGTGGGCGTGCACGTCAATTTTTGAAAGCCTCGCCTCCACGGTGGGGCTCCAATTCTCTCTTGTTCCTGAAACTTTTCATATCATTTCTTTCAATTTCATTTGCTTTTTTGAATACCCCAGATAAAATTAACTCTCAAAATTAAATCAACACAAGGACAAATTTTGAATGATTGGATGTCGAACATGAATTTCAAGCAACAAGTGGAATGAGGGAGAAAATGTTGAAGAAATACTGATCAGTTTGCTTGATTGAAATTAATGGCAGGTTTACTTACAATCCGTAATCAAATATCCCCACAAAACTAGAAATCAAATATCCCCACGAAACTAGAAATCAAATCAACTACTAAGAATAATCACCATTCCTTTTTTTTCTGTTTACTAACACACATGGGTAAAAATTCATAATCAAATATCCTGAAAACAAAAAATCAGATAAAGTAAACATGTCATAAGAAGATAATTTCCCAAAGCGCAGCCTTGTCCATCTGAGAAATTCTGATCAAGTGTCATAACCAATGACAAGAATCAATTAATTTATTCAACTCGTTTCTAACTACATTGTTTAAATAGTTGTAATGCAGAGCTTGCGCCCTCTCTTCTTTTTCTCTATAACTTTAGTCTACAAATTCATTGGACGTATATTTTCCTTTCATAAAAATATGTGCAAAAACTAAAATCCGAAATTGATGGCCGCCAAAGATGAGCTTGAATGAGTTACTTCAAAATCGTGTTCAATGAAATACTTGAGGAGAGGCATAATACTCGCTCTCCTTGAACACAGGTCTTAAGTCTTCTTTTAACATGAAATCCAAGGGGAACGATACAAGATGACCCTTCACAGATCCTAACCTCTCCATGGGATCTGCTTTCTTCATATCTCCATTCTGATATAATTCTATCTTCTCAGGAGCGATTCCTAAGTCGATTGTTGTGTGCCCGATTTTATCCTTCCAGTAGGCTATGTTTTGTCTGAATGCGGCTCTGCGCGAGGTCAACCATGCCAAGATGAGGCAAACAACTTGTTAGCACAGTAAGAACACAGAAGGATTAGCAAAAGACTAGAAATGCATATACCTGGAATGAATAAAATCATTTGGTATGCAAGAAAAGACATCTTGGTAGATTGTGGTATTTGCCTGTCCACCCAAAAAACAATATATGTTACTATTTACTTGCAGATAAAGAGCACAATATATATTCAGCAAAATCGACGCTTCCACATGACATCCTTCGACAAATATAAATCTGCTCATTAAGATATTTTTCTCCTAGTTTTCACACCTTTGCAGTTGCCATCCAGATATCCTTGTAAGTTGAATCAACAACTGGGTCGATTATTTGATTCATCTGAGAACAAAATAAAAGATGTACAAAGACAATTAGCTTAGTGACTACTGCTGTTTAATGTATGACTAATTCATAAAACGCCCGAATTAAAAATCAACAATAAAGAAAACTGAAACAGCATAACTAGATTTAATAACCTCTCCAGCTCGAATACCAAGGTGTTCAGACCACAGTGACAAGCGAAGACTTAATGAAAACTTTCCAGCTTTCCATGGCTTTCCTCCCATATGCGAATTAATCATTTCTTTATCTTCAATAAGTAAACCAATCTAAAATACAGAATAATGTCAGTTAATGGAAGCTACCATGTAACCACGCATGTAGAACAGGAGCATAACAAAAGTGATTTTTACGCAGGAGCCACACCATACTGAAATCGTATGTATATGAGATAGTAAAATGCAAGTTTCGACCAAAAAAGGAGGAGAAAAGTAAGGAAGTTACTTCAACAGCAAAATTGATCGAAGTTACAAGGATAACTCGACTACTTTCACAAGGTTCATAATCCAACACATACATAGCCTAGGAAGTTCGAGCAATAACATCATAATTACAAGGAGTTCATGTGCCTTCAATTGGTAATATGGGAACTATTCACTGATCCAAACATCTCATTGGCTATTTCATAGTTTGGCAAGTTATCTAATTTTTCAATGCAAAGCATAGGGCATTATTTATACTCCTATCTCCCTTTCAAATATGAATAAACACCTTAACACACTGGCTGGAAAAACACAAAAGAACAATTGCTCATTTGACCAAAATGGTAATAAATCTAGAAACAGATACAAGAAATTTAAATTATCAACAAAACTTAGATTCTACATTTCCAATTATTTGCCTATATGCTCAGTTCACATTACGTTGCATTTTATTCAGTATGAATGCATTATCAAGTCATTTAATGCACTCCGGCCTTTCATAACCTCAATATGATATAAAGCAGATATGCTCTCCAACTTTAAGGTTTGGAAACACCACCAAATGAAAATTAAGATAAAGCAGGAGAAACCAGAGCAGGAGAGATACCTCAGAATCTCTTGAGCCAAGCAAACTCCTATCATTGATGTTAGCTGATCCAATTAAAGTTGTACAATCATCAATAATCATGATTTTACTATGCACATAGACCTGCAGCGCCAAAAACATACATAATGATGAGATAAAAGCTACAATCTTGACAAACATATGAACAATATCTTAGATTGGAAAGAGATGCATGTAGGCAGACATAAGGTACACTGGTGCTAGGGAAATACCTGACTGCAGGCCACAGGACCGCCATCAAAGAGTTTACCATAAGATCTAAGGCCATAGAAAGAAATGTAATCATGTGTCTTTGGACCAAGAATTTCATTAAGATTTTGCAATATTGAAAATTGTCCTCTGCAAATAGTTCGATATTGCCAATGCATAACAGCTCTGACAGATGCTGCACCAGCATCATCCAGACCCCCCTGTTAAACTACAAAATCAGCACAAGGAATACACGGACAAATATAGTTTTTTTTTTGTCGGAACATGGACAATTTCCAAATGTGATAGATTTTGACAAGAACTGGAACCTGGAAGCCGGGTATGAGTGGTATGACAATTATAACTCTAAAACACTTTTATCATTGTATGCTCGCATAATACGTCGAAATAATGCTTCTAGCACACGATTCCGTATTATTTCATCTCCTGAAAGACCTGATATGAAGAATTGATTCTGGGAAGAAGTTGCCAAAAATTAAGAATAAGTCAGGAAAATAATCAACAGTAAAGGTCCCTTGACAAATAATAAAAAGAAGTCAGATCATCAGCAAACCAGAAAGATCAGAAATATGATCATTTTGTTCACGGTAACATATTTTTTTTTACTAATATGTTCAAGTAATTGACACCTATAGTCACTATTGAGATGGCAATCAATATATAGTTTCCATCACAGCTGTTTGGCTCATAAACATTGATAATGCCACATTGTTTCAAGTTCCATCCTTAATAAAAGGCTGTAATGAATACAACATGCATTAGAACAGCCATCATGGATTGTTTCCCTTTAGAGTCAGAAAAATTAAGAGAACTGTAGTGTAAATGATGACAAATTGACAAGAAATTGTGTATATACTTGCAAATTCATATTAAGCAACATTACTGCTTCTCAAATTGTGAACACAGTTCCAAAATGCTCTTTATTTTGAGCACATGTTTCCTGGCACATATAATATATCCATAAGTGTAACCGTAAGTTTAAGCACAAGATATGGTTACATAAAAACATTGAAATACATTAGGTATGAGAAACCTATTTTGTACCTCAATGTAAATAAAGTGCTCTGCTTTATCAATAAGAGAGCAATAAGCATTGTGAATGCTCTCTTCAACTTGGCTTGTTCCTGCTGACCACTGACTGACACTTCTGATAACCTGGAAGTGAAATGTTATTAGCAAAATACAGGATGCAAGGTCCACTATCACAACCAAACAGAAAGTAAACAGATAAAAATTTACTACACATTAAATGCCATACCCCCTGACATTTCTGAATATCACCTCCTCAGAGGTTTATAGAGTACACAGCCCCTTGAAAGTTAATTATATTGAAAATTCTAAAGACATTGTTCTAAGGAGTAGGTTCTTCTATAAGGATACTTCAACTGACACTTAAGGCGGAGAGATATCACTACATAATACCATATAAAAAAGCAGATGACAAATCAGATACTAAAAGGCAAGTCAGAAATCAAATATTTGCAATAATACTTAATTTCAAAAGACAAAAGAGTTTTGGTCCACCTGACATCGACACGAACTACAAGGACCAACTTGTCCCGATTCATCTGTGAAGCCACCCTTGTTGCCCCGCTCTTGTGTTTCCCACCACTCTGGATCCACGTTTTTCATGCCAGGCTGTGCCACCTCATCTGAACCAATTTTTCCATGTCGAGCCAAAGAATCAAGGTCATCTACAAAGCCTCTCATTGGCGTATCATGACCTACTGGTAGAATTTTTGACTTTCGGAAAGGGAAAGCAAGATTGTTGCTAACCCTGCTTGGCTGTTCAAGGAGATCAGGAGAGTCCATCCCATTTAGGTTTGGGTCTTCCTTTGGAGAATCCAGCCCATCAGCTTCTTGGGGTATAAGAAGTGGGATATCTTGGCAGGATGATATTGACGAATAGGAATCCTGCCTTCTATGATGGTTAGCATTCTTACTTTCAATCTCCATCTCTTGGCTTCTTCCCATGTAATGAGGAATGACCATGTGCTGCTGCGGCATAAGTAGTGGAATTGCTTGTTCGTTTGGAGCTTTATTTCTCTGAAAGAAAGCATATTCACTTAGAACACTATCTTCTTATTTATAAACCAAAATCAAGCCATCTTGGCAGAATATCAACCTTTGCATAGTTCCAGCGCTGAACAAAATGTCTAGCCACGTCACGGCAGGGGGGTCCCCAAAGGGCACAGTGAACGTCATGCCAAGGCATACGAGGATATTTTCCACGATCCAGCTCATCTTTCATTGTATCTTCCCACGAATTTGGTTCAGATTCCCTAACAAGATAGTTACAAAACCGTATTTCACAACAATGAAATCATTTCAGAAAAGATCTAGAGCCAAGTAAAATACAATTGACAGCAGAACTAAGCATATCAATTCAAACCCATAAATAAATAATGCCACGTAAAAATAATAAAGATAAATGAATAGAGTACAGGAATCATGTTTGATCATTTTCTGCGGATAGTTGTCACTGGATAATCCTCGTGTAGTCAAGAAGCTCACCTTGGGTTGTAATAGTCCTTTCCAGGCCATACCAAAGGAGGGCAATCACCCACTTTATGCTCGGCAGTATCATAACGACCAAAGCATAAATCCAGTCCTCCAAGAAAGCAAATCTGATAATCAACAATGACAAGTTTTTCATGGTGGGACCTATATGTAACCAACATTTAATATCAGAAGCAGAAAAAAATACACGTAACACTTAACTAAGCAAACAAAATCCCCACATTACTTTGCAAGTACAGTGCATACCATAAGTAAACACCACTGGAAAAGTGGTCAGGGTAACGTAATACCCTCACATTCTCATGAATCCCAATAAGTTTCCTCTTGCTATAAACACTGTTTATTTTCAAAGCAAGAGCTACCTCCTTATAAAGAAGAATGTAAATCTGCAGGAACATTGACCCAAGGCATGTTTCAGTGTCAACAAATTAGAAACAACAACAAAATCTCTTTTTAGTGAACTGTGTTTAAGTCAATGGCCATAAATGAAGAACATGTCAAGAATTAAGGTTACAGATTGTATGAAAGTAAGGTTTACCTGAACCCCTTCCTTAGCTTTTGCTTCCAGTAAAGAATCAAGTTTAGAAGAAGCATGAGCATGAAAAGGGCGCCGCAGGTACAATTCTGGACACACCCACCAGCCACAAATAAATATCTGCATGGAACTTTCAATCATCACACAGAAGAAAATGTAACGGTAATAATTGTGAAATACAACTGAAATGTACCCAGTAAACTGAAAGGAACATACCTCTGATTTTGCATCCTCAATAGCAGAAGCAATTGCTTCAAATGCTGCCCGACCGTCTATGAACCATTGAGCCCGACTACCATCTTCAGTCAAGCCTCTTGGAGGCGCAAAAGAGCCAAAACGGTGAGGATGACACCAGCCCTCAGGAGGCCTGAGTCCAGCATCATTGATGGAAGCAACCCAATCTTTAACTTTAGAACTACTCTTCACTCTCAAATTAATGCTCCGGTTACCACAAGCCACCTTTCAAAATTTCACATTATTCATCAGAAGATTGTATGGAGATTTAATTAGATGGATAGTGCCGCCCACAAACTAAATACAACACAATAAGAGTGATGGAAAGGTCTTTTTAAAAACAAAGAAATTCGTCAGCCACCAGAAACTGGTGTATGTTCTTTATTATGAAGTAAATATAAGGTCAATATCCATCAGCACAGGGATAAGAAAGCAAACAGCAAAGACTTATATTCCAGAAGTCAAAGCTCTGCCTAGTGTAATATTCTAAGTTTTTACCATAAAGCACACAGTTTCATCCTACTAGAGAATGCACACCCAAATAACATAAACCACAATATCTAAACCCCCCTACATTTAGGGGAAAAGCAATATGCAACCATATGATAGAATCATTTATTCTTCACTCAAAATCAAGAAAAAAATTACATGAACTGCAGTTATAAACTAGAAAGAAAGAAAGAAAACAAATCCAGAGCACCACAGATAAACCAGGAAAAAAGAAAAGGCCTCAGTGCTGCTAACCTTAAATGCATGGCGTAGGGGATTCCGCTCTTTTATTTCTTTCGCTAGTGATAGCCGGCCATCCCCATTCCCATCCGAGGCTGGTAGTACATCAAATACAATTATATCTAAAGGTTGGGTATCAAAAGGATCTGCCAGCAAGGCCAAGAATCCTGGTTTTAATACAGCCCAAACCTGCACAGAATCAGTTCAAGGGTAATGCCAAAGACAACAGGTGATAAAACATACCTTAATTCAGAAATAGTTAAAAAGGATGAGAAGGTTATGCATATGATACTCTAATCTTGTACACCAATTGTCCAAATATAGAATCTTCTGTTGGTGATTTCAGCCTACATTTGGTTGCCCACCAACAAATAACCTAGATTTCTTCAGGAATCAACTTCAGAATATCTAAGAACTCACGGATCTAACTCTCACAGGCAGATCACTAAGATGATTGACGAGTCCATAACTTTTTAACCAATATAATATAAAGCGAACTTATCAAAAGGAGGACTTCATTACCTTTTGCCAATTGTCATTACAACAACTGAACCAACGACATGCACAACATTTCCTGAAAGCTTCATCCCTTGGAATTTTTGGTAGATGCTTCACCATCACATAGTCTTCTTTTAGTTTAGGTCCATATTCTGGAGAAAATGATAACATAGAGACCTCCAAGAATTTGCACACCTGCAATACATAATTATTGAGGGTAAGGCACGTAAGGAATTATGATACAATAATCAATACAGGTGTGTTGAAAATAAATTGAAATTAGCAAATTGCAAAATGTTAAAAGCGGTGGACTTTCAAAAGTCATCACTATAAGATGATTCAAGGATATGTCCTGGAACTCCAAAGGTTTAATGATTATTATGACAAAAAGACGATATATCTGATAAATAATGCCATTGACTATTGATAATTTCAATTCAAAATAGTTATTTAGATTGACACATATGATTGATCTTTAGAAAGAACAAGCACCAAGCACACCTCTCGAGAGTTCACAATGTCCATGTTTCCTAGAAAGTGATTCAGATATCCTTGCATGGCAACCTTTGATCTATCTGACATAGATTGCTGCCTACCGAGTGCTGGCCGGATGATTGGCAGAGCAGCGCTAGATGGAACATCTCTGAGCAAAAGATGCAACTATAAGATTTATGACAATAATTCAACAAAAACGGAAATACTTCATGGGACAAGTTGTTCTTAAACACATGGCTTTATAAGTAGTAACCTGTTTTTAGCACTTTCTTCGTTATGCAGGGGAACAGTCTCATCATCGGCGTCCTCATCATCTTGTACCACTTCAGTGTGATCTCCTATTCCTAGATTTTGAAGCCATTCTTTAACCTTTAATATAATGTTGCAAACGATATTAAATCCCAAACATTCCCAAGTAAGCAGCTAACTGCCAAAGGGCATAGAAGAGTGAAAATACAAACTGGCATGCGCTTGTAAACTCAGATGATAAAATCTAAAAGACAGACCTGTTCTTGCTTCTCGTGAATTTCCTCAAAAAATGCCCGTTTCTTCAATGCAAAATGCAAATAGAATACATGTGAAGGTTTCTTCAATAACCGCCACTTAAACTAGTTGAGTAAAATAACACACACAATTAGTACATCATCATCATCATCATAATATGAAAAAGTAATAGCATTGCGTAGTCATAATCACAAACAACATTACCAACATAAAAAACATAAAAGTAAAAAGCTAGAACTGCTGAACTTGATAAAAAAGAGAAAATTCGAAAGGCCTGACCCAATTTGGAAATAATCAGCACTCAACATGTATACTATCTAACAATGCTCCTATCAATTTGGGAAAGAAAATAGAAATAGAATGAAAAACTTCTAGATAAGTTAAAAGTTATTTTCAATTTTCTTTCTAACATCCTGATATTGAACTTGGTTTCCTCTTATCCAAGTTTTCTCGGCATAATTCAGATAGAAAACTGAAATTGAAGCAGCATGCAGGCGATCTCAGGCAAAGAGAAACAGAGAATGAGTGAAAAGCATGAAGAGAGAGATCGGTGCTCGCCTGCTTGTATTGGAACTCGATGGTGTAAGAGAGAAGCATGGGGCTGAAATCACCGGCGTCGGGACGAGAGACGGAGACGATGGTGGCGCTCGGCAACTCTTCGAAAATCCGAGCCGGCTCGAACGACGACAGCCGGCACAGAAACGACGACGGCGACGTCGCCGTATCAGATCGCATTTGGACGTAGCGGGACCCACTCCCCGATATCAACTGCTCCGATTCCATTGCTCTCGGCTTTCGATCACTTCGAGAGATTGATCGAAAAAAAAATAAATTTGATCCACTTTGTATAATTGTATAATTATTATTTGAAAAATAAAAAATGTAATATAAAAATATCAGAGGAGAGAGAGTGGGAGACGGAATTGGCCAGTTTTGGACCGTTAGTTGGTTCACTGCACCACAAAGCAACAACGTGAAACGGCTCAAAACCTGAAAGTGGAAACTTCGATTTCGCCTGTGGTTTTTTGAGTTTAAAAGAGAACGACGTGGGGAGCTTTTTTTCTTAACTTTCTCGGTAGTCCGCGTTTCAAGAACCTGACGGAAGAGAGCATGTTTTATAAACTTTCTTCCAACTATATATGTCATGTCCCAAACAAACTGCGTTTGTGTCCTGATTAAATTCGACATTTAATTAATGTCGGTAATGAGTTGGGATTTATATCCATCTAACAGTCCTAAATTCAAAATATGTTGGTCAACTTCTTGGGGCTACTAGAATGGTCTTGTGCTTGCTTGAAATTTGGTTGATGCGATCTAAAGCAACCTTCAATTTTGAAAAATGACAACCGTATTTATCATGTCATATCCACAATTGAGCTCTTTTTGTCTTCAAAAGAATGACAACGTATCATCGCTTTATTAGTCGAGAATAACAAAATAATGATATTCCTTCTCACTTTGAGAAAGAGCTATATTAATCGAGAATAACAAAATAGTGGTATTCCTTCTCACTTTATGAAAGTCTTTCTCAAGAAACAGTCTTGCTTTGTCTTCAAAAGATCACGCGCTAATAATTGAGAGGTACTTCAACCGGGGATTAATTGCTTAATTCGACTGTTGTTTCCTTTCTCAGCTAACCGAGGAACTAACGTAGGCACGAAAAAGACCCGTTCACTCTTGGTTGGGAAGAAGATTCTCAATCTAACGATTAACAGAACATAATATTCTGGAATGAGGGAGCACCATGCATTTTTACAGAGCTGCAAAAGAAAAAGGCATTTCCATAAATCTTTCCAAAAGGAAAAGAAGACTTCGATTCGCTCATGCCCAAAAGCTCCAAAATGGATTCTCACAACAAAGGGCCCATCATATTAAAGCTCTACTTTCATCCATGTATGGGTATGGTCTGATATAGTTGTTATAAGCTTTAACATTTCAATATGCATTGACTGATATATCCACCAATGTCATAAACACATCATTCAACGTTTAAGAAAATGGTACCGCTGCAACTCACTAAGTTCAATGGTTTTAGATTGCAAAATTTGCCACGAAAAACAAAAAAGAACACATTAAAATAAATAACACACAATATAACTTCTATAAAGAATTAAACTTCAGAGCATTAATGTCTAGAGATCTTGTTCTTCAGTGCTCAAAGGAAAGGTCTATCAAAACTCTCACTTCTTTGCTTTCTTCGCGCCTCCCCTACAGAATCGAACAGGAAATTTTCATGAGCCCTTTGTCCAACAGTAAATGTACACAACAAAATTTCAAGTAAACTTACTCAGCCTGTTGGGGTGCAGGTGTTGGTGCAGCTCTCTCTCCAGGTCCCTGCAACATCCAGACAACACCACAAAATTAAAGGCCAAACGCTGTGTTACAACACGCAAACAAATAAAACTTGGAAAAAACTAGCGGATAACATTCCTATCCATCTACTCTGTGTTACAGTGTTCCAAACCAAAACAACCTTAAATTCTTTCTTTCCGCCTAATTAACACCCAAACATGAGAGACACATAAGAAAAAAGGGACATTTGAAGTGATTTTCTTAATGTCCAAACTTACTTGTGCCAATCTTTCCTCACGCCGAGCCAACTTTCTCTCTCTGCTGGCCTTGTTTTTAGCACGCTTGGCTTCAAACTGGTCAGACAGAGTCTTTTCTCTTGCCTTCTCGGCCTTTGACTTGTGAATACTCTCCATCAGCACACGCTTGTTCTTAAAGACATTACCTTTCACCTTCATGTACATGTCATGGTACATGTGTTTGTCAATTTTCTTGGACTCACGGTACTTACGGAGTAAGCGCCTCAAAACCCGCATTCTCCTCATCCAGAGGATTTTGGTGGGCAGCCTTGCCTCCCTGGTACCCTTACGCTTACCTGGAAAAAATTAATAAACACAATGAAATCTTTACTATGTCCTTGAAGTAGTAGGATTCACAAAAGAAACCCAAATGAACTAAGACGGTTCATGGAAGGAACGATAACAGTAAAATGCCAAAAAGAAATGAAACAAGACCATCATTTCAACATGAAACACATACCATGTCCAGAGTGACGGCCCTTCCTCTTAGCCTCCTTCATTCTCCGAGCACGAGAACGCGAGTGGATCTTTGTTGGTTTCCTGATGATGAAACCATCCTTTACCAGTTTCCTAATGTTTTGCCCTGAAATTGGATATTATTATTTATACATCAAAGTCAAAACAAAACCCAGGAGCAAGATAAACTAGTCTGAAATGGAGGGGAAAAACACGAAAAAAGATAAAGCACAGTTTGCATCTTATAAACTATGCAGGGAAAGGGTAATTGCTATTATAGCAGAACCATTGCAGCAGCCAGGACTCAAAATTATCCAGTTATCTCATGACCCCCTTTACGATTCGACCCTTCCAACATAGAGAAAGTAAAAATGCGGTGTTTTTGGAACATAAAAGCAAAATGTAACAAACATTATGGTGCCACTAAAATACATCTTGATAAACCCAAATAAAAGAGAAAACAATAGAAGTCCCAACCACAGAAACCAGCTGAACAGTTTAAGCTAAAACTGACTGACAATATTAAGAATCTGAATTGAGAGCAGGCCAACAGAACCCATACTTGTACCACAAATGACACGTAAACGTATATCAAATTTGAAGCGACCATCTCTAAAAATGACAATGTACAGTATATACTTGAATCATATATGATGATTGATAGACAATTGGTCTTTACTAATAACACATCCTACGGCGAAAATGACCATCAACATGAACTAAACGCCACGATTATGACAGAAATGCTCTCACAGAAATTCAATTAAACATAAAACCCAATCCAAATCTTGTATTCCACACTGGTCCACATAATATTTCTAAAATTCCAACTGATTCAGATCCAAACCCAAAAGACAAAGAACTTGATTCGAAACGAACTGGATGAAACTATGAAAATGACAGAGAGTTACGTACTGGAGTTGGCCATGGAGATTTCGTTGACCTCATTGGGGTCGAGCCAGACCTTCCCTCGGCCACACTTGAGGACGCTAGCGGAAAGCCGCTTCTGGAGCTTGAGCGACACCATTGCTGCTCTTCTGGAGCACCGCCTAGGGTTTTACGGGAAAGAGAAAACTTGGAGGCTCCTATTGAGGTCGGGGATGGGTATATAAGGTTTAGGGTTTTTTCAGTGGCTGAATTAGTTTGAGAGTAGCTTACGACTTGACGAGTTGAGAAATGTGGACTAAGCTCGACGCATAACGAGGTTGCGAAAAGCCCAATATAAATGACGCGGAATAAGGTTCCCTGAAGCCCAAGATAGTGGCACAAATTCTCCAAGTCCTAGCCCACTTTTAGATTTTTGGATCCAACTACATAAAATCCCCGAACTTTGAGTGTCGTTTCAAATTCATACCCGAACTTGTAAGATTCTACAAATTCATATTCTCCCAAAAAAAAACTTGCCAACTCTACGGCACTTCCTAATCCCCTTAAGGGCCTTTCGCATGATCATGTTCAAGACATGACTAGACTTACTAAAATCTTACATCCAAACATCTTTGTTGGCAACACCGTTACGTACAATACGATACGGAATTATTCTATAGTGAGGGTCTTATTTATGACTCTTAGGTGAGGTCATATGTCTTAACTGTTGGATACGACTAATTAATTTGATCTAATAGCTAATTAATTTGATCTAATATTTAAGAAATATGACTCCACTAAAGAGCTATATATAATAAGTCCCTCACTATAGAATTCTTGTACAATACGAGCAACCTCAGAACCTGTCCAATATGTTCGGGCTTTTGTCGAGTCCTCATACGGGGCCAGTAGAAGATGTTGAACCCCAATCCAAGTTGGAGGCCGATTCTATTTGACTTCGACACGTCAATATAGTACAGTAGCCACCCGCCGACGAATAACACGTGGCCTATACACAGCTGTCTCCAATTCCGTCTGGTATTCCACAATTTTGACAATTTTCATCTTTTCCCTTTCACCGTCCTTATTTTCCCGCACTTTCCCGGAAAATTTCCCAACCAAAAATCACACCCTTTTAGACTCCAAATCCCCAGCCAAATTAGTCAAATTCACTCTACCCAGAAAATTGAACCCAGCGGTGATGGACGTCTCTCTCCTATACGACACCGTTACAGTCGCCACCACCGCACAGGGCCTAGGGTTCGCCAAGTTCCTAATTCGTCACCATGACCTCACCTCCAACAACCAAATCTCAATCACCGACTCTCATCCAGATCAATCCTCGCCGTCCAATGGAGTCCCCCAGATCTCCGCCGTTATTTTTCCCGTCGACGCTGTCGCTCCGCCGCGTGTCAGGCCCAATTCTCACAAAACCGCCACCCGAACCCTCCTTCGCAAAAAACGCCGCACCAGACGGAGATCGTCGAGCGGCGACGATTTGAACGACGGCGGAGAAGAGGATGGTGGGTTTTTCGGCGGAGACGGTCCGTTTTTCAACGGAGGCTGGGGCGGAAGCGGAGGTGGTGGCGGGGGTTGGAATTTCGATAGATTTGGAGGGCATAATTGGGATGAGTCGTCGTCTTCTTCGCCGTCGGATCCTGCGTTTGATTTCGTGTACGAGGTGATGTGTTGGATTGCGCTTTCGAATTGCGTGCACTTCGCCTTCAAGAGGGTTATTCGTATCGTGGCGGACGGGTTGGGCGATGCGGAGAGAGCGAAGGTGCCGATGAGATTGACTTCGGTCTGCTGATGCGGTACCGTTTCGTTCTCAATGCTTAACGTATCAAAAAGGGGATACAAATCTGGTTTTAATTTATGTGTTGGTTGGGTTTACATTTGATGCTCAAATTTGTACATATTGTATATATATTGGCATTATTTTTATAAATAGATGGTTTGATTATGTTAATAATGCATTTTGCTTTGAATTACATCTATATATGGTTGTGCAAGTATGAGCTAATGCCAATTTTTAGGGTTACAAAATGAAGTTTCTTTTTAAAAATAGGAGGAAGGACACTGAGTTATATAATGTACAAGGATCGGGATGATAATTTCGGCAGTTTTGCCAGGAAAACATTGAATGTAAGCATTTCAAAGTGTGACTTTTTAGGATTAAAAAACTGATGTGTAGACCCTGATCAAGAGGTGGAGATATAAGAAGTTACTTTGTTTATGGAAAAGTTAGGTCTAGTATTGGTGACGCTTTTATGTATGATAGTCCTCCACTGGGACTTGTTTTCTCAAAGTTGAATATGGAAGTTTTGACAAAAGTAGTTCTGTAATATTGGTATCTAAAGTCTCACACGCACTATGAGGCGGCTACATTTTTTAATGGATTGGTTTAAATAGCTGGTTTCATATGAATTTGAACAGTGTGTACTGTCTAGTATTGAAGTGAATTGCCCCTGTATCTGATTTAAGATGTGGGCACCGATAATTAGAATGATCATTTCTTTGTGTGGTTGCTGGGTTTGAGACTGATGGAAATTTGGAAAAGAATAGCATCACAGAATCTTATACAAGTTTCTTTTAGTGAAAAGGTAGAGGGTAGGATTGTGCGGTGAAGAAAAACAAGAGCTGAATTGGGCTTAGAACATATTTGAGTCAATCTGTACGGTATGGAAGTAAATAAAGAAATCTAATGAGTAGTTTGGTTCTATCATGAACTTTGGAAGCAAGATCTTAAGTGTTGGTTGTTGGTTTCAATCATTGGTACATCATGGTAGAAGAAGCTGTTGTCATTGATCTCACTATGTGTTGGTGGATACTTTAAAGCCAAATGGGGAGGGGTTAAGGGGGGCAAGTTGATACCCCATTTGTTTGGTCCCTTTTCTTGTTCTAGTGATGGTTAGCCTTGTCATTGGAGCTTTCCTCAAGGAAATGTCTAGCTGATTTGATCTTTTTGTTTAAGAAAAGAAAACTTTCTTTAAAAATATTTTTAGAAGGCCAGTCCAAATAAAAAGCACTACAAATTGATGCACTAAATATTTGATAATTCAGAAATGTATACACTGAATGTATCCGCAAAAGACATTTTCTTGTGTTTTATTTTTATATTGCTGCATAGGAAGTTTGCTGTGATCATTTTGTATATCACTACCTCCTGCTGCAATGCTATCTTCTGCATCGTTGATGTTGCTTATACTTTTTGAGCATCCATTTATTCATAGATTGTGATGTGTTCGGTGGCTCAGCTATATCATGAATTATTTATCTGCTGTTTCTGTTAGAGACTTGTGAAGATTTATTCTCATTTAAATTTTGCAATTTGGTTCTATATGGATAAGGATGCATATACAGATATAATGGTGTCTGAAGTGACATCATTAGGGACCTAATTGATTCAACTACTTATTAATGGGCAGACAACTTGAACTCTAGTGACGATTTTAATTTCATAGGTTTTATCTAAATCCTTTGGTAGTGAACTGAATGATGATTTTTCATAGAAGGTGAGGCTGAGTCAGCTGACATAAACATAAAATATAAAATATTTGTTTTGCAGCATTTTAGTTTGCAGGACAACAGTTGTTATAATGATTGTATTTGATTAGCCGAAGACTAAGGAACAAGGATGGTGGTTAAGGTACATATAATATGTTTTTCAACTGTCCTAGACTCCTAGCTTAAGGCCCCCACATAGATTTGAATGACGTGCGCTTTTCTTTGGTTCATGCATCTTTCCTTCGGTGTTTCACATAATTCAGATGTTTTGTCTCAAGTGCTCACCAACCTGCTTACTTGAATTGACCTTGCAATATTTTTTTATGCATTCCTTCCTTGTACATGTCGTGAGTCGTACCAAATTCTTATATTCGCAATCAAATTTGATGGTATCAGTGAGACTAATTGGCCCTTTTTCTAAGTTTTCTTTATGTGGAAGCAATTGTCAGCTTAAGTTTTCTTTGCGGTTGACACAACGTTTTTCTTACATGTGACCTTATGTTTTTCTACCCCTCTCTCCATGATAGGTAAATATGATGCTACTGGTACTGTACATGGTTTACTAGTAAATTTGCTCAATGATCCTTGGTTCATTTTTAACCCTTCGTTGAATCTAGAAGATGAAGGAGAAGAAAAAGGTAATTGCCTTGATGCTTGGGAAAGAGGAATCATTGACTAATTGACTTTTCCTTTTTCTCACCTACCGTTTATGTTTCATCTTTTACTTTTAACTTTGTTCTGGGGCTGGGGATTCTAGAGAGAAGGAACTGAGTCTTTGCTTGAGTTTGTGTTTCAACTTTAGTGATCGCGTGTCCAACTTGGTTACTCTGATCTGATTGCTACAGGCATGGAATGGAAGTGCAGCCAATAGCTTCTTCATCCTGTTTCAAATTTGGGAACGATGGGGATACTGCTAATTCTCTCCCACTCCCCCACTCCGGGTAAACGTTATTTGTTATAAACCAACCAACAAATTTGTCTTTGAATCCGTGAAATCAAAATGGTAGACAAACTCGTCTACTGCCTAAGGGACACAAACACACACACACAGAAGAAATATAATTATTTCAATTCATGACTTCACCACTTTTCTTTATTCCTCCTATTTTCTAAATTCCCTGATTCTTTACTTTTTCCATTTCAAATAAATCAATGGTTGAGGTTGGTTTGGTTGTCCTTCATGAATGGATTCACATTCTCTGTTTGGCATGATGTCCTAAGAAACTTATATGGAAAGAAGAAGATATGTTACAAGTGTTTGAGATAGAACACCATCAACGGCAGACCGCGCAGGGCAGGGGCCACTTTCCTAACATTTTTCATACATTAGCGGCATGCATGAGCCCCTTTCTATCTAAGAGTCACAGAGAGAGAGTCGCATGAAGTGACAAAAGACCATGTATATATATATAAAGCAAAAGATAAAGAATGGTGAAACATTAAAAATACCAGAAAATGTCCTTAGTTAATTCAAACATTAAGAATTAAAATTATTAATTAGATGAGGATAATATGGTAAATTCATACTTTTTTATATTAGAAAAAAATTAAAAGAAAAATCAAATAATGAATCCTATTTTTATGGAACACAACTACCCATTATCTTTTTAATTCTTAAATAAATTTTAATTTTAATTTTTTTAAAAAAACCTCTCGCAAGTGCGGAAGTGCGTGCGGAGAGGCTAGTATATATAAAGCCAAAAATAGATAATGGTAAAACATTTAAAATACCATAAAATATATTTGGTTAATGTAAACATTAAGAATTGAAATTATTAATTAAATGAGGATAATATGGTAAAAATTAAAATTAAAAAAAAGAAAGAAAAGATAATGGATCCTATTTTTATAGAACACAACTACTCATTATTTTTTGGGAGTTTCACTAAAACACCCAAAATGGGAGCTGAAATTATAAAAAAATCCAACACCCAAAACACTTTATAAACACACCCAAAACCCATCATTACACACACTCAAAACCCATTTATAAACACACCCAAAAATATATAATTGTTTATTTTGTGGTTGATTTTGGGTGTGTTTCTATGTTTAAATAGTGCTTGGGTTTTTTTTATAAATACATGTCTAGGATTGGGTTTATTTATAAATTTGTATTATTTTTTTTAATTCTAAAATAAATTAAAATTTTTTTTATAAAAAGCCTATAGCAGACGTCGAAGCGCATGCAAAGAGACTAGTATTATATAGTGCGATAGTGGTTGTGTGTGCGCCAATCTTAATAATTTATATTGGAAAACTATAAAGAGGTAAACATAATTAAAATATTAAAATATTTGATTTTCTGTTGAAATCCTAGTCTAGTTTTCCCTCCTTTTTCCTCTTCCCTATGCGATGTGATGTGTGGAGACAGTTTCATTAATTAGCTTTAAGCATCTCCTAGGTAGGTTTCATTTTCATTGTAATTGTGTGTAAATATAAATTGTTGACAAAGTACGAAACTCCTTCGATATGATCAAAGGATTACCATAATTGATTATCTCAATACTATTGTTTATGTATTCCAACTTAGCTAGCTCCAACAAATAAGACAAAAATTTAGATACATACCCCCCCATCTTAATTCTGATGCCATACATTATATATATATATATCTATATATATTTATTAATCTTAATTTTCTCACTCATGCATATCCTATAATTGTACTCGCATAGAATAATAATAATAATAAAAAACTGCAAATTATTATAATTATATCTAGGCAGGCAGGCATCAAATTCGGATGCATGAACCGACATGGGATGGGCGAAAAAAACGCAGACGCTTGGCGACAAGAACGATGATGCGATACGCATGCAAACAAACACACGCTTCTTTATTCTTCTTCATAATATAAACTCAACTCTCATAAATAATTCACCAAAGTAGTTACTTGCTATATATGTATATTAAAATACATAAATACCAAAGCAGCTCACATTACATAATACATTACAGACGCTCGCTCTCTCGCTCTCTCGCTCTCAAACAAACAAAGACACGCAGTCACAGTCACAGTCAAAGACTCAAAACACACAGTCTCTTCCACACGCAATTTAAACCCCTACACATATAATATTATAATTATATGGAGAGAGCTTAGCCACTACAACTTTGTTCCTCTAATACAGCTGCTGACCCTGCTCCTGCTTCTGCTGCTGCTGCTGATGATGATGTGTCACCAGGTCACCTAGCATCCACAGGTCCAACGAGTTGTTCGACTCACCACCACCCCTTCCATTCACCTCACTCGGCCCCTCCTCATCCAGACCCAGGAACGATTCCAAGCTCGATATCTGCTCCTTCAGCTCATGCTCTCTACCCACCTCCTTCTTTCCATAAATCTCGCCACCCTCAAACGGATCATAGTTACAATAATTTCCATTGCTCTCCAAACTCGACTGAGTCGACTCGGCTGGACCAACAACGCACCGCTTCTTCAAAGGCGGTGTTGCAGGAGCTGGAACTGAAGAAGGCGGTAATTCAGGAAAGTTGAGCTTGGCTTTGCCTCCTCGGATGCGCCTGGCGGCGTCGTCGTAGGCTCTGGCGGCTTCCTCAGCTGTGTTGTAAGTGCCTAGCCACACCCGGACGCCTTTGTGCGGATCACGAATCTCAGCTGCCCATTTGCCCCACGGCCTCTGTCTTATTCCTCTGTACACGTTTTTCCTCACTCTCTTATTCTTATCACTAGCCTTGCCCACATCCTCGTCCTTCTGTGCACCTGCACCTGGGCTCGTCTTCTTGGGCTTCTCGCTTGTCCCTGCTCCTATTGCATCACAGCAATCACGGTTTCCATGATCACAAAATTATTCTTGTATAGAACATGATATATCATATCATATATGGAATATAATATAACTTTTATGATCTTATTCTTGCCACAGATTATTTTTTTACACAAAGGCGATGGGGTTTTATTGAAAAATCAGGCTGAGTCGTAATAGCATTCACAATGAGATCCCTAAATCATTTTCTTAGATAAATTATAGAGAAAAATTATAAAAATACAACTTTAATTATACTTTCTATCTACCTCCTCAAATAAAGAGACCTTTAAGAGCTTCTAAATCTAAAGATAGAGAAAAGACTCCTAGTTACTTCATATAATTTAATTCTGCTTTATTTAATAAGTATTTTAAATTTTTATTTAATGCTAATTATTTTTTATTTTATTTTATAATAAAGATAGATCAATAAAAAAAGAGTTATAATATTTATGATTCCCTAAATTAAAGAGCACGATTAAAGTTTAAATTTTATAGAAAGCTCTTAAAATAATTTTTATATGTTTTTAACTAAAATTTAACTAAAAAATAGACCTCGGACTACCCTACCCTCTCTACCGCATGCGGAAGAAGAAACCGGCACAGGTTTTATTTTATGTTTAATAAACACAACTAACTAGCTAGAATTTTGTTGTTGTAATTCTTCCTGCAGTTTAGTAATTGATGCTCTTTAATTCTTTATCAAACACCTTACTTGTATGTAAGTAATTAATTGCAAAATCTGACTTCGTTCAAAATCAATAACTCACCTTTCCTAATTATTACTAGTGCAACTACCAGCTTCAAGTTCAAAACCATGGAAGAAGAGAAGAAGAATAAATAAAACAAAAACAAAGAGCCCAAGTTTTATTTTTAAAAGAAAAAAACAAACTCACTAGTGAAAATCTTGTGAAATCTAAATCCAAAGAGCTCCCAGATAAAATAAAATAAAAACCATCATGCAGAAGCATAGAAAACGAAAACCAACAACTGAGCAACCAGCAGACTAATTTCAAGATTTAATAAAAAATAAAATAAAAATGCAAGCATAGCCTTTTAGATAGGACCAGGAAGGAAAATGCCTATAGATACCTTTAGAGAGAGGTATTTTGGGCTTCTGAGCCACCCTCTTGTTGTTCTGCTGATGCTCAAACTGGTCTTTCTTGTTGTTGTTGTTGTTGGAGGAGGAGGAGTGGTCTAAGCCAAAGAGGTCAGAGATGGTGTCGAACTCGGTCCAGAGGTCCTCCGCCGTCAGCGCCCGGCCGCGCTTGGCGGAGATGAAGTCGGAAATGATAGCGCCACCACACATGTTGTTGATATTGCCACTTGCAGGAGGAGTAACTTCAACACAAAAGAGAGGCTTCGCATGACATAAAACACACACAAAGAGAGTGGTCGCCCTTCGGCTCTCCATTTATAGACAACCGTCGGTTACAAGCAAACTTTTTCACGTGAAGACAAAACCACAGTAAGCCTTTTTTAGTGGGCCTTCTTTTTTTGAGTAGGCCCGTGATCGGACGGTGCAGAAAAGTTTGATGCAAAAACGGAAAAAGCCCGGTAGGAAAAAGTGAAGGAATCAAAATAGGTACTGGGGAGATACGTGGGTCTACAGGATAAAGATTAGGGGTGAATTGATGGTGACCGTACGATTGGGGGTTGGGGTCCGCTGGGGAGCAAGTTGGACTGAGAGATTGATAACGTGGTAGATTGTAAGTTCGGCAGTTACACGCGACGGTAAAAAAACTGTTACTTTAGTTTGGCTCGGTGTGCGAAGAAGTGTAACGCGAGCGTCAGAGTTGGTTCCAAAATTTAACGGTTGAGTTGAAGGCCTCGCGCTTGCGCTTTTGTCTTTTGGAGTGACACTGTTGGTAAATGACCCTAAGGTTTGTGCTAATTACAATATTGGCGTAAGGAATTTTTGGGGTTGCTTGTATTGTATGTGTTTTGTATTTGTGTTTTGGGTAAATCAAGTCCACAAGTTTTTAAAGATTTTCAACTCGTAAAAGAAAGAAGAAGCTTTTTTAGACTTTTGGCAAAAGATGGTTATGGTGGAGTCCTATTTGTTTGTGCTATTTAGGTGTCTTCGGGCACCCTTTTAAAGGAGTGCAAGAAGCTTCTGGAGAAGTGTACCTAGCGTTACCTATCATATTATGTGTTAGACTCACATATTGATAGTAGGGTAATGCTTCCACTTCTACTTCTCCCATATACTTTTTCATTATGCAATGTGATTTGATGCTTGAGCCCGTCTTATAGGACACCCTTTAAAAATGACCTAAATAAAAAATAAAGCAAATTACAAGTTGTTTAGTTGTCTAACTAATATAAAATAAATAGAATACAATGTTTTGATTAAATACTAAATTATCACACTGTTAATCAAATATATAAGTTGTAACCAAACAAAGCTTGTGAGGGCTTTTAGCTACCAAAATGAAAGGGCTTGAGCAAAACGAGAAATTACTTTACTTGCAATGAGGGGGTTTAATCTAGCAATCAAATAATAACTTTGTATTGGATTAGAGAACTATTGAGAACTCTCTCATTATAGAGTACCGAGTGATTCTATAATGAGGGGTTTATCTAAAGTCCTTAGATGAGATCATATATCTTAATTGTTGAATCAAACTAATCAATTTGATTCAACAGTTAAGAGATAGGGTCTCATCCATGGGTCTTAGATAAAACCAGCACTACAAAATTCTTTCTCATTATAATCTTTCATTATAGCTTCCTTAATATGATATAATGTGTTACAAAAGAGTGGGGTAAGCCAATAATGTGGAGCTATAGCCCAAGGGAATAGGGATGGGCTTAATTGCCTAGGAAAGGCAAAGCAGGGACCACCAGGCCCAGAAGATATTATTCATGGAGGATAGAATTTCGTCATCCAAAGCCAGAAGGGCATAACATGGCAGGCTTTTTGGAAGCAGCTAAGTTGCGAAGTAACGCTTTCTGTTTCTTTACCCCTCGGAAAATACTTTCCTCTTTATCAGGTAAGTAGGAGTTCTTACATTCATGTTAATAATAGTATGATATGTGTGTAAAAGTTTTTTCTTTTTGATGTTTTTTGATAATATTTTTATATATGTTTTATATATGTTCGTAAGACGTAGTTGATTCGTAAGAAGGAGGAATATCTACTATAAACAACAAGTAGTATTATTTTTTCTTTCTTCCAACCAAAAAAAAAAACAAAAAAAAAAAAAAAACAAAACAAAAAAAAAAAAAAAAAAAAAAAAACACATCACTCACATGTCACCCTCTTTTAGGCTTCCATTATCATAAATTATTTTATTGCATATGCTTGCTGGTACACAATTTAATGAGGCCAATCAATTTAAGACAACCCAGAAGAGAAGATATTTTTTTTTAACCAAGAGGGGTAGAGAGGTAGATGAAGTCCTTAGCCTGACCTTTCAATTGAATGATATTTATACCATTTCTTTATGAGGTTTGGAAGATGCAGCAGCTGCATCAGCTGGCTGGTTGGCTACTGGTAGAAACTTAAATGTCTCTTTGTTTATGCTCAGAGGCTCAGAGTGGCTTTGAAATTGGGAAAATCATGATCACAACATAACTGCATCAAACAAGACAAAAGCATTTGAAAGAATGGTCCTTTTTCTTTCTTCCCAACTGGGTGTGGGGGTGGGTGATCTTCAAATCAGGGCTGCAGTCTTTTCACATTATTTTATTTTATTTTTTAAACAATTCCCTTGTACATATGCAGGCTAAACGCTAAACCATGAGCATGGTTTTTTATATATTCAAATTCATGTATGTGACGACAATCATACAAGTTAGTTCAATCAAGCTTCTTCAATCCTCCTCAATCCTCCTGATTTTGATCAATATATGCATGCAAGTTGCAAAACGGCATTATTCATCCACTTCTGAGTGCTGAGTTTTCTACTCTCAGGAAAGTACAAATACGATTACGCATTATCTCATAAATAAGATTGCAACATTTTTGACCAAAAAAAGAAAAAAGATTGCAACATGGTTCTACAACGAATTAGAGCATCTTTAAGGGAGATGTCAAATACCAAACATCAAATTTAGATGTGGCAATTTGACATCTTACACAGCTTTACACTCCACCCGATATGTCAAATTAAATTATTATTTTATTACATTTTAGTGTTGATTTAATTTTAATTAAAATGAAAAGAAAAGAAAAAATAATAAAATATTCATTTGACATCTTACTTTTGGAATGTCAAAAATAACATATCAACCTCTAAGAACATCTCCAACCGATGTGTCAAATGTGCCACATAGACATTTAACAGCTAAAAATAACATCTCACATCACTCCAACCGATATGTCAAAGCTTATGTGGAATGAAGGCTGGAGGTTGAGATGTTATTTTTGACATCCCAAAAGCAAGATGTCAAATGAATATTTTATTATTTTTTCTTTTCTTTTCTTATTAATTAAAAATGAATCAACACTAAAATGTAATAAAGTAATAATTTAATTTGACATATCGGGTGGAGTGTAAAGTTGTGCAAGATGTCAAATTGCCACATCAGCCATCAAATTTAAATTTGATGTTTGGTATTTGACATCTCCCTTGGAGATGCTCTTATTTCACATCAGCTTCGACACATCGGTTGGAGTGATGTGAAATGTTATTTCTAACCGTTAGATGTCTATGTGGCACTTTTGACAGATCGGTTGGAGATGCTCTTAAAGTACCACTCAACAGAAGCAGATTCTATGCTGACGTCCATTTGGACGCTTGATTTAGAGTGCCAAGCATGCCCATGGAAAGAAAAAGAAAAGAAAAGAAAAAACCAAATGATAACAGGACTCACCAGATCAACAAACAAATAATAGCACGAGTGCCTCCCTCACATTTGGAAGACAATGTACATTGCAATTCAATCTTTCAATTCCAACACCACTCTCAAGTACGTAACAAAGAACCATTTCCAAATTCCAGTCACAAGCAACAGAAGAAACTGAATACACCAGCATACACGTGAAACTATCGGGAAGGACAAGTATCAAGTAACATATTATAATTCCCCAGAAATCTATCATGGTAACAGAGGAGGGGAGAGGGCATCAATCAACCCAAATGAATGAACTAGTATTATCAAGTTTCAAAAATCCTCTAGTCTGCCATTTGTGTCAAGCGGTGAATGGTGCTTCTTGCAACCCTGTTACTAGGATCAAACTTCAGAACTGTCCTCAGATCCTCTGCCCCAAGTCTGTACTTTTCCATACTTTCATACAAGAGTGCACGCTGTACGAGAACAGATATGTTTGCATCATCTTGTTCTAGAACCTGCAGAGGATGAACATATCTATGAACTCTCTTCTATGGAGAAATAAAGGAGAAGGAAAACATAATCTCATCAAGTTTAAACTGATCAACAGCCTTGATAAGCGGAAAAAGTAATTGTAAATAATGAATTTGTGCACTGTGTCTAGCAGAGCCAATAAGACATACATCTACATGCACTGCTGAACTGATTGGCACCGTTTGAAAACATTTCTTTTACTACATCAATCTAACATGTTCAATATAAAAAGCTAGAGAAAAGGAAAATGGTATTTTAGTTTGAGAGAAACAGGTGAAGAACAGGGTGGGCGGGTGCCACCAACAAGGCCAAAATAGCAAGTCTGACTTCTAGTTGGTCTCTAAGTAGGGATGGCTAATACGTAAACTTGTTGCGCTAATTCTCCCTTTTATTTTGACTTTCAAGAGGAGTTCAACTAGGATCTGCTCTTCACCCTATCCCACCCCATGCAAAATTGAGATAAGGCTATGAGCAAGTATTTAACTAATACTCCTTTTCTGCAAACATTTCCTTGCCTTACCTCTGTGGGATCTAATTGCTAACTAAAAATAGCCAGCTTATTCAAGTAGCTTATACAGATGTGCAGCTCTTACAACTTTAGGCCAACAGCATTAACAAGGAAATTTTTAATCGCATAAATTGACAACTTGAAATGTGCATAAATTGTAGAATGTAAAGGAAATGTTTAAGATATCTAAACAGATTAAAAAGGAAAGCAATCAAGATACCTTTGTGCAGTCTGCCACGGCCTTTTTATACTCTCCTACTTCTTTGTAACATGAAGCCCTGCTTGACAAGACCTCTGCAACAGCAGAGCTATCAGCTGATTTCTCAAGAAGAACTACAGCCCAAGAAAGCCACTTAATAGCATCAGGATACTGCCCTTGCTTGTAATTATCCATTCCCTTGTTCTTTGCTGCTGAAGCTGACACCCCAGCAGGAGGAGGTGGAAGACCCTCAAGCTCAGTTGTCGAACCACCCACATCATGTCCTCCTCCAAACTCTGTCCCCCAGTCATCAATGTCAGAGGATTGCTGCACTCCAACTCCATTATTTGCTGTTGCAGCACCTCCAGCTGAACTCGATGATGGGACAAATAAAGTGTCGAAGGGATCACTACTAGTAGACTGAACAGGGTTTGGGTTCGGTGAAATCCCAAAATCCCCAAAGCCAGAACCCGAGTTTGACCCCATAAAACTGTTATCATTCGAGGAGAAGCCACTAGACGCAAATGTAGCAGTGGTGGTGCTTGGCTTTGGAGCATTCTGAAAATCTCCAAAAGCATCATCACTAGGAACACTACTTTTATTGTTACTCGATGAATTTATAGTAGCCGATGGTTTTGATGCGAGATCAACCAAAGAACCAAATGGGTCTTTCTTAGAGCTCAATCCACTGCCGATTCCACCAACACCAACACTGGAACTGCCCATATTTCGCAGCGAAGGACCTCCGATGTTTGGACTCTTATTACTATTAGCATTAACGCTATTGTTAATCGTATTACTAGTATTAAACCCAGTAGAAAAACTCCCAAAATTCCCAGAAGCACCATAATTTGCACCACCACTTTTCACCGAACCATTACCAGTGGCAGGGGTGGTTTTGGGCAACGAATCGGCCACGTTTCCCATGGAAAACGAGCTCTTATTCGAAGCTGGGGTTGCATTCTTTAAAGGAACGTTGCTATTACTATTGATCTTACCACCCATTGCAGAGCTGACCAAATCTCCGAACAAATTTGGGTTTTTATTGACGACCGCAATCGGGGTGCTAGAAACCGAAGGAGCTGTGGAACCCCAACTCTTGCCGAAGATATCGCCGACCATGGAAGTTGGGGCGTTGGTTAATCCGGGTCGGACCGTCTGGGCCGGAGCGGGCTGGTGAGTCCAGGAGGTGGTTTTGTTGGTCTGGGGTTGCCAGGCGGGTCTGGATTGCCCCGTCGAGGTTTTGTTCTTCTGGTCGTTGAGCGATTTGGGTCGGCTCGATCCGAGACCCAGATCGAAGTCGAAGTTGGAATTCATGGTTTGCGATTAAAGTTCTCTACTTTTTGTAATTTTTGGATCAAAGGAAATGAGATCCGATGCGTACCTGAGAGAAACAGAGGTTTTTGAGATCTGTAGATTCCAGAGGCGGAGGCGAGAGCGAGAGCGAGAGAGACAGAGAGAGGGGTTTGTTTTGTGCCAAATTGACTCGAAAGCTAGCTTGATGTCAAATAATACAGCGGAGAGGGGTGAGGAAGAATTAGAATATTGTTTTCATTTTCTTTTTGGTGCCAATTTGTTACCTTTCTATTTTGGGTGAGCTTTAACTGCTGAAGCCTGAAATGAGGAAGGTTATTTTGTTTTCCTACCAAGTTACAACTTACGCGGCTGTTTTTCGAATCTGGCTAACCAATTGAACCACCTGCTATTTGCTACAACGTTTTTGGTGGGTTATTATATGCAATATCAAACAATATATGTGATTTAATTTTCAAAATTGCAGAGGTTGTTGTTCCAATGTTTTGTTGTGGATCAAAACATGTAAATGTATGCGGTTAATCTTGTCTTAGTTGCACATTGGCATTTGAGTGAGGACTGAACAAGTTTGGGGCAAGTCTTGTCCCTGATTGATTAGCCTTGTTTTCAAGCTAAAGCCAGACATCAAAACTTTGATTTGAAGCTCATAACCCACGAACACATCATTTTGTGCCATATTTCAAAGTCCTACACAGGAGCAAAACCTAGCATCATTTACATATATATCTTTGCACGGAAATTGGGATCTTTCTCTGCACTGAAATTTCACCTACTAGGTAATGAAAGAAGCAGTAGTTTTTCACATCTACCAACCGCAAGGAACAAAATGCACATACTTCCACTTCTTTCAACTGACATGCGATGGAAACTTCTCATCTCATACTCAAACAACCCACCAGTTTGTAAATTCCGTACAGAGCATGAGGAAGAAGATGCCTTTTCTTCTACACCTACGATCCATCACGCCTCATGTTGGAGAAGCATGATCACTTTTTCATAGTATGCCATGCGTGATCACTTTTTCACTTGGCACACAGTGATTGGCCCAGGATAGCAAAACAGTGTTATCCACGTTTCATACAGCCGAAGTACCTTTTCCATGACAATGTCCCAAAGCCCACTGGACAAGAGCATACTACGAACATATGTATTTCAATATCTAATAATGTATGTAAATTGACTTAAATAAACATGGGCCAAATACCAGGTAGACTCAATAGATAATTGTAGAGTAAAAATTCATTCTAATACTCGCTGATCTTGAGTGCATAAACTCAACATAAATAAACATGAGCCAAATACCAGATAGTGTTCAAAGAAAGAAATCCCAAAATGGAGCAACACAGATATTCACATTTCTTACTTCATAAGTTTGTCGTGAAACATAGAAAATGCCGAGTTGTCATTCATCATAAGAAATATTATAGGGAGTTCTGAGAATTTGCAACTATATTTTGAATCCTTAAACACTGCCCCTGTTAAACTCTCCTTGGTTTCTGGTGGAACCTGTCCCTCCACCTTGAGCGGAACTTTGTGTTGTTTGCTGCACAGGCTCTCTCCTGTCCTGGCCCAAGCTCTGTCCTTGCATTGGCTCTCTCTTTTCAACCTGCATTGTCTCCCGGCGCCTATCATATCGTGGACGAGGCCTGTTTCTAGTTTGCTGTTGCCTTTCATTGTACCTATACTGTGGTCTTGGGATGACTTTCCCATCGATATATAGATCCCCTTGAAGTGGTGCAGAGAGATAAATTAAACAAAACAAATATAATAACAATTAACAAGGTAAAAATTGATAATTTCTAAATGAGTTTAAGTTTCGCACTCTACCCACCTCCATAATCTTTGTTGGGCACATCGAGATATGAATCCGGCAAAACCCAGAGAACACCAGGCAACCCTATTTAAGAGGAACAATAGAATAACACATCAAATTGTATATCAACGCAAAAATTGGAACCAACAGGAGCTGGAAAACCATCAAACAAAAAACAAGGGAGAAAACCAGCATATTCAACCGAAAGTTACAGAGTTGAAGCCAATACAAGTCAAAAGCAACCCTTCAACCTCTTAAACCCTAATCCCTTCGTATCTAATTGTGATTCAATCAGAAAGCCATAATTCATATAGAGAACTATACTTTAACTCTTAAACCCATACTCTCAATGAAATTCAAACAAACAACCATAATCCATTAAAAAAAAGAAGAAAAGAAATGCCTTTTCAGACGAAATAACCATACTTCATAAGAAGAGAAATGCTTTACTCCTTAAGCCTTGACCCTTAGTCACTTAACACAAGAAATACCTAAAATTCATAGCAAGCCAAGCTTGAAAATCCAAACCTTAAACCCCTAAAATCCAGAACCCAGAAACGATTACCTTTGACCTTCAGAGAAAGCTCTTCAGAAATCAGAGCACCAAATCCAGTATACGTCGTGGTAGAAACAGAGTATATCTTCTTCTTCGCCTCCTCCTCACTAAAACCCAAAGCCATCAAAATCCAACAGAAAAAAAGGGGAAAAAACCCGAATTAAGGAAATGGGTCAAGTTGGTACCTTCCGAGAACGGTGGCTAGGGTTTTGACGTAGGAATTGATCATCTCCTCCTCGGAGGGCTTGGGGTCGTCGTACTCCATGACGATGAGCCAGTGCTCGTAGTCGCAGCCATCGAGGAGGATAGTCTCCTTGGGCGGCCGGTTACTCCAGTTTGGAGTCGCGTCGTTCAGGGGCGAGTAACCCTGCCCGGAATGCTTGGACCGGGTCGTGATGTTCACCAGGTCTGGTAGGAGCTGGGTTTGCTGTTTGTTGAGAAGAGCCACAGCGAAGCGAGAGCGAGAAGAGAAGGAGGATTTTGAGCAGGTATGAGTTGAAGCAAGGGTTCGGGTGAGGGCTGAGGCTAATGTGCGCCGGGCGGCGGCGTATGCCATTTCGCAATTTCTCTGTCGCCCTCTTGGCCTTGTGAAACTATCGACACTCAGATGATTTCGTGAGTGACTGTGATTCTCATCTCTAAAGTTCTTCACGGGAAAACGGCGTCGTTTCGTTAAGCTTTTGCACCTCAAACCCTTGAGGCTTAACGTCAAAAGACCTTTGATGGTTTGGGGTTTTTCTCAATATGGACTGTGAGGTTTCAATTTCATCAATTTAGAGCATCTATAGTGGGAAGGTGTATTTTCGGGGATGTATAGCTACTTTTACATTCTCTTTACACATTTGGGGGTTGTAAATGTGGTTTTTGCTCCAATGGGGAAGATGTAAATCTAAAAATGTATAATTGATTTTTTTGTCTTAATTTGTTTTTGTGTTAAAATTTTATTTTATGTTAACTTTATAAAATTAATTTTGTGTGTGTTAGGTTCATTTTATTTTTTCAAACAAATAGATATAAAAATATTTAAATTCGAAGAAGATATAATTTCATTAAAAAAAAATCGTTGTTTTCATCCAAAAATATTTAAATTGACCTAAAGCTGTCGGCTATTTTTGGAAAAAAAAACAAGAATTGCATAATTTAGCAACTTTTTGGTCCAACAACTACTCTAGCCGCACAAGTGGGTTTCATTTAGCAACTTTTTTTTTCACTTTTGTCCACATTTTCTTACATTTTCTCATGTAGGTCCCACCTGTAAGGGATGTAAAAAAAGATATACATGTGCATCTAAATTTGCATCTCATTGTGGTGATACAAATTTACACTTGTTTACACCTCCCTATTGAGCGTGATTCTGATCACAAAGAGTGTATATTTAACATATATCTCATTATACAACTCCTCATTGGAGATGCTCTTATGTCCCAATGTTTTCAAATTTGACCAATTTAAGCTTATGTTAAATTGATTGTTTGGTTAGACGTTAACTGATGATGTGTCAACTGTGGGACCTACTTACTAACCAATCCAAATATATATATATATATATAAAATTAGAAGGAAAAAAAAAACTTAAAAAAACCTAGCCTCCTCCTTGCCCAGCGCCCTTTGTTCCCCACCCCATCTCACCGACACCTACTTCCCAACCTCCGTCTCCCACCCTTTCTCCCTCCACCTCATCTCCGTCCCTTAGACCCTCCGTGACACCGTTTCGCTATTCCAGAAATGCTAGTGTAATGCCCCAAAAAAATTCAAGGTGGATTTTCATATTTTAGTGAAAAATAATATTAGGGTGGAGAATGATTATGTGTATTTCATCAAGCGATTTTGGATTGAGATTATTAAATTAAGTGTGTCTAATTTAAAGTTGGACAAACATGACTAAAATACCCCTATGTGTGAAAGATTACCAAAATATCCTTATAGGTTAAAAAAAAAGAAAAAGAAGAAGCAAGCCAACATGTAAGCCAAGCTTTTGTTCTCTCTTCATTCTTCCCCCCTTCCCTCTTTCTCTTCAAAAAAATCTGATTTTGGGGATGAGTTGTTCATCTATTGGGGGGGTGAGTCACCTAGTCTAAGTGGTGAGTCACTAGCCTAAGGGATTTTTTCTCGATGAAGATAAGAACTAGGGGAGGTGAGTTATTGCAGGAAGAAGAAGAAGATAATGGGAGAGAGAGAGAGAGAGAGAAGAAGAAAAGAAAAAAAAAGAACAAGGAGAAAAAGAATAGGAGGAAGAGAAGAAAAATTTTATAAGGTGAGTCAATTTCGAATTTGTGTTTTTTAACTTGGTGTTTGTGTGTTTCTAGTTCCTTAAAGTGTATGTTGAGTCATTTGAGAGATGGGAAAATTGAATTGGAAGAGGTTGAATCTCTATTTTCGGGTTGGGTTCATAGAGTAATTTTTCAAGTGTGGGTGTTGTTGATTTTGGTGTCATTTTGGGTTTTTGTTGAGTTCAATTGATAGGTATGAAGTTTAGAAGTGTTTTAGAAGCCTTAGGAACAACTTGGAGGTGTTAGAATGGCTGGAAACAACTTTGAACCAAATCTGGAAATTTGCATTTTCTGGAAAATTTCAGTCCTTGAGCCTTAGTTTGGCTCTATTTTCCTTTCCAATCCTTTGAGTTTTTGAGGAATCCATTTCGTGGGTTTTAAAGTAGATGTGGCAAGGAACAAAAAAAAATTATTTCGTCGAATTTGGTTGAGTTTTGATGGGTCAAACACAAGTGCAAATTAGGAAAAAAATCTGTTTCCTGCAGAAAAACCAGGCGTGAGCCCAACTTTGGAGCTCATTTTCTCCTTCGTTTTTGCTCCTTTTTGAGTGTTGTTTGTTGGGTTAGAAACTAGAGACAATAAGCTTCAAATCCATTACAAGTAGAATAAAGGCCCAGCAGAAATTACTTGTTTTTCGAGACCCCGCTATAAGTTCTATCCATATACATTATGATCGCCAACTCATACTATAACTAGACCTAGTTGCATGTTTTCCCGGTTTCGTTAACTTTAGGTTGGTCAAAATGTGTCACAAAGTCTAAGTTTTTTTAATCTGGAAAAACAGGGGAAGTTGCAAGATTTTTGGAGAAGATGATGAACAGTAACCGGAAACAAGCCACTCACGGCTCTGCAAAGTGGCGACGCGTGGCGGCTGTTCCGGCTGCCTTCGACACCATATTTTTAGTCCATTCGACTTGATTTCTCGATCTGAGTATAATGGTATATGTTTTGAGTCAATCCAAGGTGGTGCAAAGTATGGATTGTTGTGGGGCCCGAGAGACCCAAATAGTAACTTTTGGATAACGGGCGTAGTGGCATTTTTTTGGTGTTGACAAGGCATAGGACTGAGTTTTAGACTATTTTGGACGAGATTTGGCCGCTTAGGACCCCGGGTTAGTCCTAGGGGCATTTTCATCATTTTCACACAAAATCTTATAAATGCTAAGGGTTGAGGTTGGACTTAAGTGAAATAAAGTGAAAACTGCTCAATAATAATTTGGATTTGATTTTGTTCAGGAATTGAATCAGAAGGGTAGATTCAACAACTCCGATAATCTTCGAAGGGTAAATTTGGTAATTTAGCTAGCTGGACATGAGGTAGGGTTTCCTGATTCCCGATGATTGAGTTATATCATTTTCAATTTTGGTGCTTATATATAATACTATAAATATGAATATTATTGTTGCTTTGCTTGGTGAATATTATTTGATGTTATGTGAATATAATTATCGATGTTTCTCTATGGATATTATTTTTGATGTTGGATGAATATTATTATTCATGTGATGAAGCTTGAAATATTATTGTTATTATTTGTATTATTATTCTGCACAGATGAATTATGTTTGCTCTGCATTACTTATGCATCATAAAGACAATGGTGTTTGAGGTGTGTGTGTGTGTGTGTTTGTGTGTGTGTCGTTTGAGGTATATTTGAAAAAAAAAAAGAGTAAAATATATTTAAGTGATGGGAGCAGGGCCTCTAATGAAAAGTGAAAGTTGAGAAATTCGTAAACAAAAGAAAACTTGGTTAAGGGACGGATGGGCGCTAGTTCATATTTTAGGGTATTTGGAGCCACAGTGGTATGGTATAGGACATGCAGGCTTGTTGCCCTAAGATATGAATTAGTGGGATTAGAAGGAAGTGAGTTCATGGCATCACTACATATACAAATTTATTTATCTGGTATGGTTGCAAAATTTTTGTATCTTGTGTTATTTGATGCATGACACTTTGATTAACTGTGATAGTTGACCTTGAGGGGTTTGACGGTACTCTACTGGGTATTAGAATGCTCATACCCTAATAAATTGTGCAGGATTCAAGGTGAAGTTTGAGGAAGCGGGTCTCAACCAAGCTACTAGGCTTTTGTTGTTGATTTGTGTAATTAACATTTGTAAGTAGTCAACCGTTTGATAAAGATCTTAGTGGGTATTTAACTACGAGCTACTGCGACTCTGATTATGTATTGTTAAGTAAAACTGTATTTATTTGTGGCTTTTTTTTTCTCATCATATCATGGTTGTAAGATTTTATTCTTATGACTATGGTATGACTCACACCCTGATTCAGGAATATTCTTTATTTTCGAATCGGGGCGTGACAACTAGACCCCCAATCTCTTGATCGGCAAGCTCCGCACCCAAAGCGACATTGATTCAATCCTCGATTGCCTCCACTGCCTCGTCGTCGAGATTTTGATCAAGAACGGCGTCCTCCTCGACGCCGACGCCGACGCCGACGCCAAGGTTTGCTCAGTAATTAGCAAACCAGTGGCCAATCATGGTAATTATTATTCTTCCAATTTTTTGTGGGTTAATAGTTATATCAGAATATTGCAAGGGTTGGGTGATTCTCCAGATTGTATTACAGGGGTTGGGCCACCATGTGTAGTTCTGTATTTTTGTTTGTTCTTTGTGATTTTGCTGGGATGGGATTATTGCTTGGGTTGTATGGTCAGGAGTGGGGTGGATCGCATTGTGGTTTGGTGTGACTTGGTGGGTGTGGGCGCTGGTTTAATTGTACAAATGTAGCTTCTTGTTCGTGGTTTCCTTTTAATCATACAGGTAGTTTGTTTCAGGAATTTATCGAGACCATAGTCTAAAATATCAATAATATTGATGAAATATCGAGGATATTATCATTTTTTCGGATCATGGATATTTCGGAACGTATTCATACACATATCGTATAAAATATAGATAATATCGATGATAATATCGGAAAATATCGATGTCGATAATTTCGCTCACACTTTAGCTATATTTTATCAAAATATCGCTATAATATCGAAAATATCAAAAATATTGATGTAATGGAAAAAAGGAAAGAAAAAAAAAGCAAAGCACACACGCAAAAGGGATTCAAACCCTTGCCATTTCACTCTTCCAACGCCTTAACCACCATGTTACTTATGTTTTTGTGATAATACGCAAAGGGGAACTCTATATGGTACTAAGTCACTCATGTATCTTACCATGCAATGTATAAAGTGTAAAATATTATAGTAAATCATTATATATAAATGATTATGGTGTGTTTAATCATCTTTCATTAATTACTACATATTTTCTACACTTACATTGTTTGTCAGCTCGCTATATAATCAACTTAAATCAGTTAAACTCATCATGCAATGCATTTCCTTCCAATTTTTTGTGATAAACTAATAGATAATTGACTAAATAAACATCCTCCAAAGTTTCAATAAAAATTTCCAAGTTTTTCTTACAATTTCTTTGATTTTTATTCAACTTTTATCGATATCGATAATATCCTGATATTTCCATTGAAATTTTCGCGTTTTTTAGACTACTGATATTTCCGATAGCATCGATATTTTAGACATTGATCAAGACAACTAAGGAGCATGGAGTCATTTTTGGTAGCCAAATTTGATGGCATACTTGGACTTGGATTTCAAGAGATATCAGTTGGAAATGTTGTACTTGTGTATTTCATGAGATTATGAGTTTCCGCTATGTTTGAGTCAGGTTGTGTTTTCATCAATAGGAATTAAAAGATTTCATCTTGCTATGTTTCTCAGAGGTGGAGGTGGCTGAGTTAAGAGGATGGGGAACATGGGGGCGCTGGGTTGTTGGGCAGGGAAAGGGTTGGGAATTTGTATTTTTATTTTAAATCTCAGATTATTCTTATTTTATCATTTTATATAAAAATTTATATTTAGGAATTGGTTAGTAAGTGGGTTCCACAGTTGACACGTCATTAGTTAACGTCTGACCAAACAAACAATTTAACGGAAGGCTTAAATTGGTCAGATTTGAAAACATTGAGGTGTAAATTGATGAAATTGAAACCCCATAATCCATATTGAGAATGATCCCAAACCTTAAGGAAGTCTTTTGTTATTAACCCTAAATTATATTAACTTTTTCTTTGGACCTTTTTTACAAGGGGAGTATAGAAGATTTCTTTTCATGTAAAAACGAGGTGTGTGAAGCTGTGAAAATGATGAGTGATACTATCAAATGGCAATATTTGTCTAATAGAGTTTTTCAACTAGTATTATGATTGTTTAACAAGAAGTTTTTCAAATAGAAGTATCATTATAGCAAATATGTCTCGTTATGTCAATATCACGTTCGATAATATTGCCAAAACTATATATTGCCTATATATTTCGATCTATTATTTTTTTTTTTTTTTTTTTTTTTTTTTTTTTTTTGTTGTTGTTGTTGTGAGAATTCTAGGATTGCATTCATAATTTAGCCAAAAAAACCACTAGCCACAAATGATCATTACAATAATGAAGCAGTTTAACATCAAAATAAAGACAATCTGGTGCGTCTCCACTAACGATCAAGATCGAAGAAACTCTGGCATAGACATCCCAATTAAGATTGCATACTCAAAATAATCAAAAAGAGATAAAGCTTGAAAAAACCAAGCCATAACAATACAAATAAAACTCTCACAAAGGAGAGGTGAAAAGCTCTCACAAAAGAGAGGTGAAAAGCTCTCACAAAAGGAGAGGTAAAAACTACACATAAACCCAAAGAGTCTTTGTGACTTATTATGAACATAAAGAAATCGCAACGAGGATGGTGGTGGAGATCCGAAGCCAAGACGCAGCCGCCTGTGATGGTTGGAGGAAAATCATAACAAAACAAAGACAAATAGGAAAAACCTTTTGTCTCTCTGAAAATGAGGGGAGAAGAGGAGGAAGAGAAGAGAGGAGAGGGGAGGAAGAACAGTGGCTTCCTCCTCCCCAAAGTGAAAACGGCTCTAGGAGGGGTTTTTTTGGGAGAGGGGGCTAGGGTTTGGAAGAGAGAAAATCTTTTGTTTACAATTTGATACCTAACATTTCAATAACAAACGGTCTAAAAGTTTTGATATGATTTAAATAAAGTATAAATATTTTGTCCATATTGTCAATTTGCTGCAGTAATAGTGGTATTTGAGAGGAAATTCCTCAAAATTATTAGGTGTGCCTAAATTCATGTCCATACATCACTAGTAAAATGATATATGTGAAATTACTATATATTAGTAGATCCTATAAGTGTATGGCGAAATGTTCTTCGAAACGACGAAGGCCACCCTTTACAATAATGAAGTTGCCTGTCTGAGTCTTACAGCAGACTCTTGGTGTTGTAAGTGCCACTGATGTTCTTGTTCTTGATGTAAATGTCACTAAGCTTCACTTGAATCAGCATTTGACAAATATACACAACAGATAAAAGGAAAAGAAAAACACACACATATATATACCGCCCCTCTGGTAATCAGAAGCACACCGAGACTGATGCTACAAAATAATAAACCTTCCCCATTCGAGAGATGAATACATATGCATCAACCCCAGAGACACCCCCAATATTAAATCTTCTTCTTGAACCCAAGATGCTCTCCTCATCCTCTTCATGTATATATACATACATATGTAGCCAAGCAGGACAAGGGTGCTTGTCTTCAACTAGAGCAGGCGCTTAATGGCAGGCTGGTGGGTTTTGTATGCCACCAAATCTTACTTCTGCATTTTTGCATATGGAGGTGATAGGCCCGCCATTGCTGGGACCAATGTACTTCAAATTGATGTCACGAAGCTCAACATTTTTGCAAGGGAACTGGCTACTGCAAATGAAATCCACTGCAATCTTTGATACTGTGGTCCCTCTGATGTTTATGTAGTGAACATTGCTGATCTGAACTCGAGATGGCTTCACAAAATTCAACGACAGACCGTTAAAAATTTAAGTTAGGACAAGTCATGGGTTCGATCTCATTCAATGTACTAGAAAATTGGTAAAATTGAAGAAGGTAGTAGTTTGTGAAAAAGGAGGCAGGGTGCATGAAGAGAATTAGTTAAAACAAACCTGGTTCTTGTTGCAGCCCCCTGCGCAATACTCTTGGTCAATTATGATGGGGTTCCTAACATTCTGCATGATAAGATCCTGGAAAATCATGCCTGAGGCTCGGCTTGGGGTCGATCCTGGCCATGATTTGATTCTAATCCCGTTGTCTGTGTTCAAAAACGTCGTCTTCTTCACGATGATCCCCCTCACGTCAGTTTCATTCTGGTACTTGCCAAGGCTACCGATACTGCCATCCATAAAAATGAGCATACAAATTCAGTCATGAGACAGTTTGACATGTTATGTTGATAGACTGTGAAATGTGGACTATTAACCACGTTACAATATTATAGCAAAAGGGTTTCGAAGTCATTAAGAATTGAGTTATGCATGTACCTGATGCCATGTCCAGGGCCACAGACAACATTGTTGATGGCAACGTTGGTGGACCCCTGAATCATGCCAATGCAATCATCACCAGTTCCAATGTGAACTCTGGCAATCCTTATGTTGTTGGAGTTGCTGATGTGGATGCCGTCAGTGTTTGGGCTCGTGTCAGGGGCAGAGATGTTCACTCCTCGCACCCTAATGTTCTGGCTGTTAGTGAGGAAAACGTGAACTCCTTTGCTGTTAAGGGAGGTGATGCCTCGGATGACCCCGTTTTTGACACCGTTAAATTTGATGCTCTGCATTATTATTTAAGTAAATAAATAAATAAAACTAATAGTTAAGGTCAGTTTCTTTCTTATGATGGTATACAATTTAGAAGTTAATTATAAATCAGTAAATTAAACTTACAGCTGGGAGTGGACTGCAACTGCTGCAGCCAACAATGTTTTTCCAGGAACTTGAACCTTGCCCATCAAAGACGCCATTGCCTGTGAGGACCAAGCCCTCTACACGTTCAAACAAGAACCAGAATGGTTCTGCATACAAGGAAATATCATTCAGGCCTTTGATGGTCCCTAAAACTTGAACAACAATGGGTTTTGAGCAGTTGCATGGCCCTTCAAATATGACTGGCCCAGTCTTGAATGTCCCTTCCGGGATTACAACCCTTGATCTCCCAGTGTGGTTGCGGCATGCTGCAATCCATGTTCGTATGAAAGCCTGCGCAATTTGCGACCAAAAACCATCCATTTCTCTCATTAGACCCAAAATTTAATTATCATAATTAAGTGTACGTAATAATACTAATAATTCTAGAGTCACTAAATTTTTACAATGCTTGAATCGCCAGACCCATGAGGCTTGGCGCCATGATCCAAGACGTTAAAGATTTTCTCGGTAGGATCCACTTTGTCATGGACACCCAAATTAGTGCCACGGAAAATATCGGGCACAACCAGGGTAACTGCGGTTGCGGCGGCTTGACAGGCCAGTGCAGCTAAGCACAAGATAAGAATGGCGTGGCTCGACATTCCTGCAATGGCCATGGCCCCCCCTTAAAATTCTTGGTCTTACAAACTATATATCTAGCTATGATTGGTAAAACAAAATAAGCCTCCGGGGGAGGAGGCTGTTATGAAGATGAATTAAACTGAGGGGGAATGAATTAATTCTCTTTGTGTGCGTGTTATTTTATAGGTGGTTGTTTGCATGTCGCTAATTAAACCAAAATTGTTAATGGCAACCGCTGCTGTGTGTGAGGAGGCTCGAACTATACGGTGAAGGTTGGATTAATTAGTTTTGTCATTGTTGGTTTTTAGTTGGTTTGCCTAAAATAGGAGATATGCTTTGTGTGTGTATGCATGGTGCAATGTCGTCCTTCACTCCCTCTGTTGTAGCCTACTTCTTCTCCATTTTGCCTTCACCTTCTTTTTCATATCTTTGCCTCGCCCACCAAATTATCACCAGCATTCTACCCACCAGCATATGGCAACATACCGAAAGCAGCAACATAATTTTTTTTTCTTTCCTCTTTTTCCTTTTGGTTAGAACAAGAAAAAAAAACTACGCTCAATTGTAGCAATAGTCCCTGGACTAAGACCAAACTTTACTTATCGCCCCTCATATTGTTAAATTGTTACAGTGGTACTTTAATTATGCCTCCACTTTCAGAAATCGTTATTTCCGTCACCTCAATCAACTTTTCCATTAAAAATGATGACATGGCAATGACAAGTCCTACTTGGCATGGACAAAAATGTCTTTTCACACAATTTTTTTATTTAAATATATATATATATATATCTCTCTCCTGATTTCTTCCCCCCCCGGGGATTTCTCACCCATATTTCTTCTCCCCCTCCCCACCAATTTCTTCACCCACCCAAATTTCTTTGCTGACAAAAAAGAATGACCTCTCTATTTCTTCATGAGCCAAGCATGACTTAGCTAGGTACATGAAATTGAAACCTGTATGAGGAGCGATCTTCAGTCCAGCCGAAAACCCAAAAGGTGATGGAAAGCGATCCATCCTCCCATTAAGGAGACGGACAATGCAAGCGGCCCATCTAGATATGATTAGAAGAACGATCTTGATTGTAGGAATAAATAAGTGCCTATTTCATCATGAATTTCTCTTTTTTAATTGCTTTAAATAGTAGTTATGTTTTAATTATCAGTGAAGACATGGAAACCAGTGGTTCTGTTGAGTACATGATGAAATTAACACAAACAACACCAGGGCCACAAAAGGAACACCATGAGATTATCAACAAAATGATAATCACCCATAAACTAGATTATCAGCAAATTGAAATTTTATCACTTGAAACATGAATACCCATCAACCCTTTGCTTCTCTGTTTTGACTAGATTTGGGGTGGAGGATGGGGGCTGGGGTTTTGGGTTAATGGGTGGTTGTGGGCTACGGTAGAGGGTGGCTGTGGGATAGGTTTGAGGGTTAGAGCTTGTAGGTGGTAGTCATGGGGAATGGGGGAAGAAGAAATCGTTGGGGGAAGAGGGAGAGCGCAAGAGAGAGAGAGAGAGAGAGAGAGAGAGATATGAATTTTCCAATGTGCTCTTAATTTTGACAGAAAATTTAACTAAGTTGACGAAAAGACCAATGATGCAACATGAGATTTAATTGAAACACCACTGTAACAATTTAACAATATGAGAGACGAAAATAATCCAGGAACCATTGCTGTAATTTTGCCAAAAAAACTATTTGCGGTAAGTTCCCACTTCTTGTTTGACTGGTCTAGATATGCTTGTTTTATAAGGATATTTTCTTTTGGCAAAAAAGAAAAAGAAAAGAAAAGAGAAGATATTTTTTGAGAGTTGATGATATTTTTCTCAAGTAAAAAGGATATGATTCCCCATGTTGATGATATTTTCTCAAGTCTTTGGTGAATCTGATTCCTCATTTGACCCAAAAGGACAATTAATAATTGAAGATCAATCTGCATCTATATCATCCAGGGATTTATTAATTTAAAACAAAATTAGTTTATACATATCATTTGATCGTTGAATAATGCTACTTTTACCACTTTTGTATACTATATTCTCATATCATCTTATGTGGCAAATGAGGTGGACAGTCACATTAATTAAATTTATTTAACATTTTCTTTTCTTTTATGACTTATTAACACTTTAAAGAACACTGTTAATTAAAATTTCTTTATTAAAATACATTTAATTGATTTAATTGATGTGACATATGATATAAACATGCCACAACATGTGGTATAGAAATATGAGATAAAATGTGGTAAGTGTAGCATTACTGTTTGATGGTTTGGTTAGCAAAACAGTGTTATTGTGTTATATATAGAATGATAATCTACAAATCCTCGGTTTGGTGGAATAAATTCATCACACAAATTTTGAGTTTATCTATGGTCACATACATAATTCCTATGTATGATTTGGAATTTTGTAATACATTTGTTAGGATTGAAACAAGCACAAAATTAATTTTTTTTTAAAAACACTATTGCCATTTCGCTAGCATGATCAAGTTGATTAATGTCCAGTCATCCATTTCTCTTTAGTCTATCCTAAATCCTGAATTGTACAATAGACTAACAGAGCCGGTCCATTGATTTTGGAGGCCCTGTGTAAATATGGATGTCGAGGCTCTATATATACAAATAGGAAAAAAAATAATCCATATAGAAACAAAAATTTCTGACACGGGAAGAACACATTTGTAAAGAGTTTCCCAAAAAAATTTCTTTAGTCACCCTTCCAAATCACAGAGCTGATAAATTGATTTTCCAATTTCAATGCTTGGTGAATTCTCATGTGAATAAGGGAGGGAGAAAAGAACTGTGATTTTGGGGAAATGGCTAAAGTTTGGGTTTTTACAATCCAAAATTTGATGGAAGAGGGTGGTACACTGGTACTGAAGAGAAATGCCTTTATTTTGATGGAGGAGAGTGAGAAAGACTTACTAAAAGAGAAAAGAATATTAGAATGGTTTTGCAGCTTGAGAGTTGGGAAGAGGAAAACACAGGTTTCAAACCATAATAAATAAATAAAAAGAAGAGTTGCAGCGTGAGAGTTGGGAAGAGGAAAATGAATTAAATTAGGGTTGCATGTGGTGTTGTGGTGTTGCAATTTTGGTTTTGGTGCCTTTCATGTGGTGTTGTGGGGTAATATTTAATATTTCATTTTATTTACATGTTTTAGTTAATTTAATTGGTTGACTTAGAAAAATTTGGAGGCCCCTAAATTTTGGGAGCCTTATGCGGTCGCACACCTTGCACACCCTATGGGCCGCCTCTGAGACTATGCAAATATTAAAACCAAAGAGATATTATAGATCGAGAATACATGCACGAAATACGTATGTAGGTACGTACATACTCAATTAATTACAAGCTGATCATGATGACGGGACAACTCGCTGGCATATTGACTGGCGGGAACTTTCACAGGGTCAATCTTTGTTGGATAGCCACGGAAGTCATGTCCATTGGAAATCCAAGTTAAGAAAAAAGAAAAAGAAAAAGAAAAAGATACACGCTGCCCAGATATTTAGGGTATATCTAGTAGTTAAAAGGATCACTAGGAGGAGAGGAAGAAAGGCTGAGTATGTTTCTTGTGTACCAAGAAAATTAAGGGTAATTGGGTCGAGGATATATCTTGGTATTAATATTGGTACCAGATTCAGTAATTATCACTCCCCCGTACATCTCTGCTACCTCAGTGCTAGTAAGAACGCCGTCATCCTTTATCTGACGAGGCTTCTGAGCTGGAACTTCCACCGTCTTTGCAGGCCTTCTGTTCTGATGATGAGGAGGATGAACATGAACACGATTTTGATCCGTGTTGGGGTATGAATAATATTGTACCTGTTGAGGGGGAAGAGGCCTTACGGTGACAGTCTTGGTGGGCCAGCCGCCATGGTACTCGTCTCTCTTGGGAGGTGCTGGGAAGTATGAAACTTCTTCTGCAGGGTAGTCATGATCATATAGCACGGGATATGGGTGCCTGATATGATAAAACACTTTCTCCTCTCTCTTGGTTATAAAGCCTTGATAAAAAGCCATGCTAACTTAACTAAAAGCTGAGAATTGAAATAGAACTAATTGATGAAGGGGAAGCTAGAGCTAGCTAGGTTTGCCTTGCCTTACTGAAACAAAGGTTAAGAACCAAGCAACATTATATAGGAGTGAGAGTCACAGAAGCTCACAAGTGGGCTTTCTGATCGATCGCGTGATGTTCTTTTGATGCTTGTAAAATAATAAAAAGTAATTCTTATACTTTAGGGTCTGTTTGTAATAGCAATCTAGTAATTCTAATAGCTGGTTTAAAAAAAGAAAAAAGAAAAAAGAAAAGCTAGTAATTCTCGTAGCCGATTTTGATAGAAATAACTAAATGCTTTAATAGTCATTTTCAGGAAATAGTATTTTAAACAGAAGCGCTTCTAGCAACCAACAAATATAAGACTAATCCATAAGAATATTGTTCTTATAAAAGTAATTCGTGGCTCGTTTCGTAAGTCTTTTTAAAATTTAAAAAAAAATAAAATTATATCAATGGAGGAGGGAAGGGAGTGCTTTCTAACAGTCTTGGTTGAGAGCTAGTTTGTGACTTGTTTTGTAAGTTGGGTCCTTGAAAGATGGATGGTGCGAAGTTTAATTAGTAATTTCGAGAAATTCCTATAACTTCGAGGAGTTCCATTCTTGTGATATTGTATGTTTAATTTTAAATAAGTTGAGTTCAAGCAAATCCATGCATGGCAAGTTCGAATTTGATAAGGATAATGAAAGTGATATATGTAGCTTTCGAAAAAGAAAGATCCATACCTAATATATTCTTTATTGAAATTTTTTTTTCCAGTGACGATCTTTAAATTGCGAAAATTTGTTAATAACTACTCTGGCTGATACATGTAATGAGGGTTTTCTTCGTCCGCAGTGCCTCAATCAAAATTGAACCTCCAAAGGATTTGGGTAAGCAGTGAGCAATTCTGGTAACGTTTTGGATATATGCACATGACTGTGGACCATACAACGTTACCCTTCTTAGACATTTATCCCTTGCATCGACTGTGGACCATATAACGTTACCAATTTGTTTTAGATCCCAACTGCCACCATCAAAGAAAAAGCAATGATATATACATAATATGTATGGATAACAAGTGTTGTGGATAAATCATAAGAGATTATAGATTAAACTTATAAATTATCATTTTTGCATTGTATTATGGGTTTTTATTTTCCCATTCCCTTTTTGTTCACTTCCACTTTTTTTTTTTACTATAACATACAAAAAAGTAGACAAAAGAGAAGTGGGAGCATACAATTTTCAACAAAGAGAGTGTAAACGGACAAAAGATGAGTGGGAAAATCAGCTCCTTATATTAATAGTTATTAAACTAGGTGCTTTCCAATATATTATTGATGATAATGGATTGAAAATTGTTTCACCCATCTTAGAAATGTTGATATAGCTAACATTTAGTAAGGATAAAAAATTGCAAAAGACTTACTAGCTAGTGTAGTGGTTTGGAGGAAATGCTTTCTCCAGGAAAGGTCATGGGTCGAGTTCTAGCATTCGTGTAGTGTGTGTGAGTTTAGTATGCTATAGCCCATCTCTTAATAGGAAAGGTTCTCAAAACAAAAACAAAAAAAAGAGAAAAAACTTAAATTTAATAATTTCTTCAAGTAAGATATGTCAATCGAGAAGCTAACATAGTGGCTGATGATTTGGCGATCATTGATCACAAACTTAATACTTGTATTTGGTTTACTAACTTTCCATTGTCCGTTTCTTTAAAGTTTATGTACAAATATTGGAATCCTTAGAGGAGGTCTTCCTTGTAATTTTATTTCTTGATTTGGGAAAACAGTATTAGTGTGGCGTGCATATGCTTACGATGGCAAGTTTACGTAACAAAATTATTCTGGCCTATCTCAGGGCCTGTGCTTGATATCTTCTTGGTAGGCAAAGATATTCTTGATCATATAATATTGCTTTAAATTACATGTAGTGGAGGAAGCATTTGCCTCCTGTTGCATGTATATATTTGCCCAAATTACAAATGGGCTACTTTAGAGCATTTGAGGGATACCCCTTGTAGGGCCCACTCCGGATTGTATTTCACTAATCCAAATCGTCTATTTTGTAGATACACATTCAAAGATCATCTCTACAAAAATTAACTTGAATCCGATATCATTTGACCATTCAATTGAGTTATTGAAATTTTAGCACTTTCTTGAAGTACCGTGTTCATTGATTTTGTATGACACAATTAGATGTTGAAACGGTTTCCGATTTGTCTAATTTTTTGTAAGGATGATCTATGAATGAAAACCTAAAAAATAGATGGTTTGGATCATTGGAAAAAAAATTGTAGGGTACCCTAAAGGGCGTCCCTCAAATAAAATTATTTGAGGAATCCCTCAATAGAATGGGACTATATATATATATATAAAGTATGTGAATGTGATCGATTCCAATTTTCCAACAGAAAAAGATACCAATTAAAGTGGGCCAGTGGCCCACAATCCCCAGCCGCAACAATCTTGCCTGGGTCCTTAATTGGGATAAGATATTTGAAGAAGCTTGGGGAATAAAATGGCATATTCCTTTTGCTTCTCTTTCTAATTAGCATACTTAAAGGAGTAAGAAGAACATATTCAAAGAAAAAAAAAAGGAAAAAACAAAGGGAGATGAACGCTCCTTGGGGGAAATGGGAAGGTATTAATTCCGTGCATAACTTGGTAGAAGTTCACCTTCACCATTGACACAATGAGTTAGAATCTTTCTTTCTTGGTTCAAATTTCGGGAAGAAATATAAAAGGAAAGCTCAATAATTGTACGTATAAGTTCCTCTTTACTTTTGACTATTTTGGAACTTTTTATTCAATAACGGTATGTGCATCAATTTGTTTACCAACTTTTAATACCAAGTCACCAACACACGTGGCACATGACATGACAACCCATGTCATCTGCCATCTCAATTATTTTAACTACATATTTTGTTCCTAAGAAAAGAAAAGAACGAAAAAAATAAAACGATTTTAGATTTAGCGTTAAACTCATCTCTTTCGTCCTTCCTTAGTCTGAAAACCATAGAAATTGAACAGTGCCTCCAATTACGTATCAAAGCATGGGATTGCTGGTCCAACAATAAAAAAAAACCATATGCAGCCAATTAAGCTTATGGCTATTGTAGGAGGATGTGTATATATGTATATATATTCATGTCTATTGTCACAAAAATATATATATTTTTTATATTAGAACTTAATCATACTGTAGCAACTATATACGGAGTCTTTTATATCACGTAATCACCACCTTTTAAGTTAAAATTTATGTGTCGTATCATATCTAATGATTACATTGCTAACTAAATCTTATACAAGTATAACTCATCGATGAAGATAAATATCTCACTTTTGTAAGAATTGTGACCCACGAATGATGATGGGTAATGAATATGAAACTAATAGCAGATATATTCACTTTTATAAGGATGAGAACATGGCCGGTTCTAATATTTTGAGGGCCCTGTGCGAAACTTAAACTGGAGCCCTCACATAATCTAATATGAAAATATTAAAAAAAAGTTGCCATGACTTAATTTCATAAATCAAATTTTTTATAACTAAAATTCATCATCAATTAGCATATAATAACAATCACAAATCAAATTCAAATTTTTTTTTAATGTTTCATTTAATAAAGTTAAATATTAGTATGTTAGGTAAAAAAAATAAGAGTTCAAGAGAAAGAAGAAGGCATGATTTTTTTTTTTTGGGGGGGAGGGGGGGGGGTGTTTTGTTTTGAGTGGAAGAAAGTTTTTTTATTTTTTTATTTTATAGGAGAAAGCATGATATATTAGTTTAGTTGGATCCACCTCCACCAAATACATTTATATATTAATGTGTTGCACGCTAGATTATATATACAGTTTTTATAATATTAATATATAATATAAAGTAAAAACATTTCGGAGTCCCTCAAAAATTAGAGACCCTATGTAGTGGCACCACTTGCACCATGCCAGGACAATCCCTGGATGAGAAGTTGCTGATTTAGTCCATGGCGAACCTTTAGAATTATTAGAGTAGTCATTATAGTGCATCTGATACTCTTTTCTTCTTCTTTTGTTATTTTCTCGTTTTCTTTTCTTCCTTTTTTTTTAAATTAAAAAAAAATAAATTTATAATAATAATAAATTTCCGTGAAAAGTGATTACATAACAAACAAGAGAAAGTATGCAGGAGGGACTAGCATTAAATATATTTTACATATAATTATAAGCGGAACATATAAAGACTAGGCTAGCTATCCAAACCACTTCTACATCTGATATACATATATTTGTTTATTTTATATAAATATTACCACAAAAATAGAATAAACAGTTCCGCAAAACAAACAGTAAACTTCTAATACTCAAAAAACACATCATTTAGCTTAAATATGTAATTAGTAATATTGCAAATTACAGAAGTGCCTTATAAAGTATTAATTATGAATAGCATTATTGAATGTATGGAAGATTCTTTGGTGCTAAGAATTTCGTGGCCCATGGATATGGTTGGTACAAAACACATTAATGAAAAATAGGAATAAGCACAAATTGTGGGAGGTGAACCTGGAGAGATTGACAGGAATCAATATCATAGTGTATATGGTTTCTTTTCGTTCTTTAAGAGCTTTATATGATGGATTTTTCAAATAAATTTATTTGGGGGATATTTTTGTAAAGCTCAGTTTGTATTGTATTTGAACAATTCACAGTTCAAACTGTCTATTTCATAAATTATCTCTTTAAAAAATCACACAAATTGAGAACTGGATGTGACAAATTAATCTCTAAATAAACTTATTTGAGGATTATTTTTGTAGAGCTCAATTTGTATTGTATTTCAACAATTTGAACCGTCTATATATCATAGATGATCTCTTTAAAAAAGCACCCCAATTGATTTTTTTTTAAACCATTCTGATGTAGGAAAAATTATGGGGGAGAGAGAGAAAGAGAGAGAGAGAGAGTTTAAAACACACACGATGGAGTAGTACTGATATTACAAGTAGGGAATAATTAGAAAGATGTTGGATTACATACCAATAGACTTCATTCACACATATATATATACACACACACACACTATACTATACTATACTATTCATACCATATAATTAATTAAGCCGCATGCTTCCCTTAGTAATATAATTAAACATCTCTATATCTAAAGCTGTAGGAAGATTTAGCTTATAACCAAAGGATCAATAGTAGCCAGGGTATTGGTTTCAGTACAAATGCATTCATGATCATATAATTAACTAATAATAACGCCTATTACGATTGATGACCGTCCGAGTAGAATTCGTTCCATATATTTCTGTGACACATATCCCACCATAGATTCGCACTGCTTCGTCAGAGCTGATGACAGGCTTATTGTAATTAGGCCGTTGCAGCTTCTGTGGAGCTCCATGATTCTCCATGTTGGCAGCCGCTGCTGCAGCCACTGCGCCTCCATATCGACCTTCTTGATAATCATGAGAAGGTGTAGGAGAAGAGGAAACTTGATTCCCCATATTAATTACAACTTAAAACTGATTACAAGTTTTGCTTTGATTTGAATTCCTTGAGGTCCAAGCCTCATTATATAGTAGTCCCATCACTCACACAAGCTTATAATAATACTAACCCTTAGGGGCCCGCAGAATGTATATGATGTTATATAGGACTTGCATGCACATTCTGCTTAATTAATTAGTTATAATTCTTTAAGTAAAATAAATGAAATTAATAGTGGGCTTCTGGCTTTAGTATATATACATGCTTTATTCTTCTCATACCATTAAAAAATAGAAAAAAGAGGATTTGCATGAGTCAGTAATAATTTGATTCAGTACTCAAGTGCTTTTTTGTTTTCCTGTATCCTTCATAAAAAATAAAAAGAGGAAAGATTAGCTAGATTGATTCTTGTTTTCCCGTATCCTCAAGTGCTTTTTTGTTATTGCAGTTTGATATTTCTTTATTTATAACATCTTTCAATATAAATTAGCTTTCTATATATTTCTAGAACTATTATTTGGTGAATCACATCGATTCACCTATGTGACATAGATGTATATATATATATATATATGTGTGTGTGTGTGTGTGTGCGTGTGTTCATGTTGACAAGTCTGCCAAAGATGGATTAAGAATAAGAACAACATAAATTTAACTACATAAATTAAAGGAGGCCTGTTAACTTGGTAATAGGATTTTCTTAACAATATTCAGCATATAATATATATGAAAGAAAGATCGATGCTTAGTTCCTGCATGTATGATTAGTCAGCCATATGTTAATAATTGAGTCGGTCTCTATCCAATCTAACGCACAGATATACAGGTTAGGCAGAAGGGATGGCAATTAGTGAGTGAGACCCTGGACCCAAGTGAATCGGATTCCATACTGATTAGGTTTATGAACTTTAACAGTTGATATGAATCATTTCCTAATCCTTCAATATAATATAATATAATATTTACAATTGGGGTCTATTCTAATAAAAAGAGCCTTAACGTACATACCAGTAGCAGTAGTCTTAATTTGAACTCCCATGAGTGTGTGTAAGTATATGAATGCAACCAATTTCAATTTTCCAACGGAAAAAGATACCAAAGTCGGCCAGTGTCCCACAATCCCCAGACACGACCTTGCGTTCAATAATGCTTGGGTCCTTCCTCTTGAGTCCTAGCATCAATAATAGGCTCCACAAAATAGGCACTCGAGTATGTAGATCTATTTCATAAGGTTCAATGGGCATATTTCTGATGATATCAACATTATTGTGGGAACATATATTTCGGCAGTCAATACCCCATACATTAAAGAGCTCCACAATGAGTATGTTGTTCCATGTCATTTGATTCCCATGGCTTATGTTCCCCATCCTTTGGCACCTATCACACTTAACACAAAAAATTAAACGCATCTTTGAATAGAGTGGGCCAAAATAAACTAGATTGTAGAATTTTAAGTGCTGTTTTCTTAGCTCCAAAGTAACCTCCACAAGCCAACTTGTGGCTATGCTTCAGTATGCTCTCTTGCTCTTCATTTGCAATACACTTTCTAATGAGTAGATCAAGGCAATGCTTGAATAAGAAAGGTTCGTCCCAAATATAATGTTTCACCATAGAAAAGAACTTCTTGTCATGAGAAGTTAGATCATTTCTAATAACACCACAAGTAAGATAATTAACAAAATCAGCATACCATGGCCCTTTGGTGGCAACATAGAGTTGTTCATCTGGGAAAGTTTCATTCAAGGGTAGCACATCTAATCCTTCTTCTTCAACCACAATTCTACTCAAATAATTAGCCACCACATTCTCACTTCCCTTCTTATCTCGAATCTCCAAATCAAACTCTTACAGCAAGAGAATCTATCTAATCAAGCGTGGTTTGGCGTTCTTAATAGTGAGTAAGTATCTAAGAGCTACATGGTCAAAATAAACAATTACCTTAGAACCAACAAGGTAAGAACAAAACTTTTCTAAAGCAAAACCCACAACAAGCAACTCTTTTTTTGTTGTGGAGTAGTTGAGTTGAGCATCATTTAAGGTCCGACTAGCATAATAAATCACATGGGGAAGCTTGTTCTTCTTTTAACATAAAATTGCACCAATAGCAAAGTCAGAGGCATCACACATTATTTCAAATGATAAAGACCAATCTGGAGCCATGATAATAAGGGCTGAAGTAAGTTCCTTCTTCAAGGTAATAAAAGCTTCCATACAAGCTTCATCAAACTTAAAAAACGGCATCTTTAGCAAGCAAATTACACAATAGCCTTGTAATGGTTGAGAAATTTGGATGAACCTTTTATAGAATCTAGCATGGCCTAGAAAACTTCTAACTCCCTTAACTGAGGAAGGAGGCAGTAGATTTGATATGAGATTGATCTTAGTTTATCCACTTCAATTCCCTTGCTTGAAATCACAAGCACAATTCCTTGTCTTACCATGAAGTGACACTTCTCCCAATTCAAAATCAAATTTGTTTCCTATCATCTTTTAAGCACTAGAGACAAGTGGTGAAGACAATCATCAAAAGCGAAACAAAAAACAGAAAAATCATCCATAAATACCTCAATGAATTGTTCCACCATATCTGAAAATATTGCCATCATGAATCTATGGAAAGTTGCTAGAGCATTGCATAAACCAAATGGCATCCTTCTATAAGCAAAGGTACCGAATGAGCATGTGAATGTGGTCTTTTCTTGGTCTTCTGGATCAATGGAAATTGATTATAACCTGAATATCCATCAAGAAAACAATAGTAAGCATGGCTGGAAAAATATTCAAGCATTTGATCATTAAAAGGCAAGGAAAAATGATATTTTCTTGTGGATGTGTTCAACTTCCTGTAATCCATACAAACTCTCCAACCGGTCATAGTTCATGTAGGAATTAGCTCATTTTGCTCATTCTTCACAATGGTGATTTCAGACTTCTTCGGAACAACTTGTACATGACTCACCCACTTAGAATATGAAATTAGGTAGATGATTCCTGCATCAAGTAGCTTTAAAATTTCTGCTCTAACCACCTCTTCCATGTTGGGGTTTAATCTTCTTTGGGCATCACGGCTAGGTTTACTGTCTTTTTCCATTAGTATCCGATGCATGCACATGCTTGGGACGTGAAACGACGTCAGTTAATTACAACGAACCCTTAAAAAAAATTTCCACGCTAATTTTTCTTCTTCCTCGCACAGCCGCTTAAAGAATACACAGAGGCGCCTTGTCCACCTCACCACGCCTTGCAATGCCTCGTCATGCCTCACTGCGCTAGACGTGCAACTTGCTAAACGTAAGACTGCCTTAGGCGATTTTCTGCCGCCTCGCGCTAACGCACGCGAAGGCAGGCCTTTGAAAACATTGGTCAATATAGTGCATTAGACCAACACCAATGCTGACTTTTTCGCTTTCTAGCTACTTCCAACTCTTTTTTTCTTTGTTGATTTATTTTCTTACATGAATCAAATCTCTTTGATATTGCAAGGAAGTTGTTTTCTTCTCCTCTTTTCTTAAAAAAAAAAAAAAAAAAAAAAAAAAAAAAAAAAAAAAAAAAATTTTTTTATTTTAAATATTAAATAATTAACAAAACAAGAAAAAAGTATGCAGAGGGTGTAGCTTTAAATATAGACTTATTTTACCGCAATACCTTCCGAAACTACAATGAAATCTCATTTTGGCACAAAAAATAAGTCTTAAAATATTTTGTATAACATAAGAAGTGATTTCTACATATAATTACAAGCTGAATATATACATTTAGGTGCAGAAAATAAGCTATAGCTTAGTAAATAAAGACTATAGGCTATCCTAAATCCTAAATTGTACAGTAGATTATGCGAATATTAAAACCAAAGAGAGATATACATATCGAGAATACATGCACACAGCAAAAGCTGGAGATACACACATATTATTATGTATGAAATACACGTATATAGGTACGTACATATATATATATATATATATATAAAGCAAAAGACAGAGAATGGTGAAACATTCAAAATATCATAAAATGTCCTTAGTTAATTCAAACATTAAGAATTAAAATTATTAATTAAATGAGGATAATATGGTAAATTCACATATATTAAAAAAATTAAAAAAAAAAAAAAAAAAAAAAAAAAAAAAAAATCAGATAGGTCCTACTTTTATGGAACATAATTACCCATGTTTATCTTTTATTAATTAAAAAAAAAAAAAAAAAAAAAAAAAAAAACAAAAAAAAATGGCATATGCGTGAGCATGTGCCAAGGGCTAGTACTACATTAATTACAAGCTGATCAGGATAATCAATTAAATTCTATGGGACAACTCGCTGGCATATTGACCGGCGGCAGCTTTCACAGGGTCAATCCTTGATGGATAGCCCCGGAAGCCATGTCCATTGGAAATCGAAATAAAGAAAAAAAGAAAAAGAAAAAGATACACGCTGCGCATATGTGGGGTATATCTAGTAATTAAAAGGATCACTAGGAGGAGAGGAAGAAAAGGCTGACTGTGTTTCTGTTGGAATTTTAAAAGGTTTTAAAAATTTAATCGTGTTATTTTATTTATTGTGGGGGTTATACATATTTAATTTTTCAAGTAGTATTTCTATATTGAATGTCTTAATTTTCTAGTTTAATGTGGTGAAGGTTACATGTTATTGGATGCCTATAAAAGGCCACTCCTCCTTCACATTTGAACAACCACAATACACCATCAGAATATCACACACCACAATATGATTATCTCATTTTTCTACTTTTATATATATTCTCTACTTTATATTATTATTTTGGGCAATGGTTAGTGACTTGGATACTTATATCCATCTATGAACGTGCTTATAGCGGATCTTGAGTTTGTGTACAAGGGGTCGTATCTTGGAGTTTTGTAGACCGCCAATACCTGCACGTAGGGAGGCTACAAAGGCTTCAGGATAACGGCTTTGACATGCTTCATTGTACTAAACTCACCTTCTTACTTATTATTTATTTTGCTTATACTTATCTATTAATTTATTTTTCTTCAATTTCGTTGCACCTTAATAGCTTTCAAATTTTTTTATATGTTATTATAATATAAAGGTTTTTGTATTTGGCTTTACAAAAAGAAGAAAACTATAACTTTTATAACAGTTTCTTGTGTACCAAGAAAATTAAGGGTAATTTGATCGAGGATATTTCTTGGTACCATATTTAGTAACTAACACTCCCTTGTAGATCTTTGCTGCCTCGGTGCTAGTAAGAACACCGTCCTTTATCTGATGAGGCTTCTGAGCTGGAACTTCCCCCGTCTTCACGGGCTTTCTGATCTGATGATGAAGAGGAGGAACATGATTTTGATCCATGTTGGGGTGTGGATAATATTGTACCTGTTGAGGAGGAGGAAGAGGCGTGACAGTCTTGGTGGGCTAGCCGCCATCGTACTCGTCTCTCATGGTAGGTGTTGGGAAGTATGACATTTCTTCTGCAGGGTGGACATGATCATAAAGCACGCAATGGCAGTCTTCTATTATGGTGTGGCGTTCTGATACAATGTGCGCTGACCTGCTATGACAAAACAATTTCTCCTCTCTCATGGTCATAAAGCCTTGATAAATAGCCATGCTAACTTAATTAAAAGCTGAGAATTGAAGTAGAACTAATTGATCAAGGGAAGCTAGAGCTAGCTAGGTTTGCCTTGCCTTACTGAAACAAAGGTTAAGAGCCAAGCAACATTATATAGGAGTGTGTGAGTCACAGAAGCTCACAAGTGGGCTTTCTGATCAATCAGGATCGATCTTGTGATTTTCTTTTGATGCTTCCCTTTTTCATAAAATAAGAAAAAGTGCTTGCTACTTGGCAATACCATAGGGCCTGTTTGTAAAATCGCTTTGATATTCTCTATTAATAGTTGATAGAAATAACTAAAAATAGCTTTCAGAGTCCGTATTTTTAAGAACTTCTAACAAAGCACGCTTCTAACTAACAAATGCGCCAAGTAAAAACACTTCCTACTAAAACATTCCCAAACATGTAGACTTCTTATATTCTTCTATTTTTCTAATTAAATGTTAAGGATCTTTCCTATTAAGAAGGGCGATAACATAATAAACATCGCACATACTACATGAATGCTATAACTCGAACTCAAAACCTTTCATGAAAGAGCAAATACTCCAAACCACTACACTGGTGGATCAATTGAACCTAGGACCTTTCATATAAAAAAAGGTTGAGTTTTAAGACTTGCATGCACATTCTGCTTATTTAATTAGTTATAATTCTTTGATTAAATAAATGAAGTTAATAGTGCGCTTCTGTCAGTATATTAATCAAAGAATAGAAAAAAAAGAGGATTTCCATGAGTCAGGAATAATTTGATTCAGTACTCCATAATAAATTAATAAATAAAAAGAGGAAAGAATAGCTAGATTGATTCTTGTTTTCCTCTAGTACTTTTTGGTTTTTTCAGTTATGATATTAGATTCAGTGTGAGATAAATGATGAGCAGATCTATTCATCTTTCGAAATGATACTTGCATTTGTTATTTCTTTATTTATAACACCTATTGTAAATTAGCTTTCTATATAATTCTAGAACTATTATTTGGTGAATCAGATCGATACCTATGTAACATATATATATATATGTGTGTGTGTGTGTGTGTGTTCATGTTGACAAGTCTGCCAAAGATGGATTAAGAATAAGAACAATATAAATATAACTAAATAAATTAAGGGAGGCCTGTTAACTTGGTAATTGGATTTTCTTAACAATATTGAAGTATATAATATATATGAAGGAAGGATCGATGCTTACTTAGTTCCTGCATGCATGTATGATTGGTCAGCCATATGTTAATAAATGAGTCGGTCTCTATCAAATCTAACGCATAGATATATAGCTAAGGCAAAAAGGATGGCAATGAGTGAGTGAGACCCTGGGCCAGTGGTGGATTTAGAAATTTTCAGGGGAGATACAATATTTAAAAAGGTTAAAAATTTGCTAAGGACTCAAACAAGGTCCTCGAGATCAAGTCCTAATATCTGTATAGTTTTACGTCTACAACTAATTGATTATAGTCTATATGGAATATCAATTAATATGAACAAAATTTAGGTCAGTGACACAATTAGTTTTTCAAAATTCATATCAAATATGAACAAAATCCTTGTCAATTACATAATTAATCTAACAAAAGTCGATCCCAATTAATCTAACCAAAAGCACATGTGATTTGGAGGTCATGAGATAAAAGTGCATGCAATTAAAAGGTCGGGGTAATTTTCTGAGAATTTTTCGGCACACATGAGTTTTTAATGAATTCTTAAGTTAGGCCAATTAGAAAATGACATGTGTCGGCTTGCTATTGGACCATTTAAAAAAGAATAAAAATGAGAAGCGCTGGATTATTGACTTTCTTCTTCCTTGAACTGTCTCTGCAACTTAACTTCATAAATTCTAAAAAAATTCCAAAAATTCATAACTTTGGTTATGGAGCTCCGATTGATGAACCGCTTTCTCCTATATGCTCGTGAGATCAAGCCCAACAATCTAAGTAAAATATTCAGGATCTCACACAACAGCAAACAAAATAATGTTTTTTTTTAGGAAAACAACTAGAGACCAATTTAACCTAGTCTAATAACCTTGAGCATGAGAAATACATTACATGTCCTATTACAAAGTTGGCAAGGAAAGCTAAAAGAATACTAGCTAGAATTAGTGGCGGACCTATAAGGAAGTACCCCCTATTTGGATTCAAATAAAAATACTAGAAAATCAAATTCCCACCAAATCAAAATATGAAAAATCGGTTTTAGTGCAAAATATGATTTAGGCAAAAAATGATGGCTCATTAAGTCAATATATACTTCATACTAAAATCCCATAAAATCAAGTTTTCATATTTGATGTGTAAGGAATAAAAACAGCGAAAAATTATCTTGAGAAAATGATTATTCCAAAAAACCATTTCTCATACTTAGTTAATATTGCACCTCCGCTAAAAAAATTATGGGTCCGCCAGTGGCTAGAATACAACTCAACACTTGGAGAATACACAGAGGTGCCTCATTCACCTCGCCACACCTTACAATGCCTCGTCACGCCTTGCCAAGCCTCACCGCATTGGACGTGCAACTTGTTAAACATACGACCTCCTCAGGGCATTTTCTGCTGCCTCGCTCCGATGCGTGCGAAAGCATTCCTTTGAAAACACTAGTCAGTATAGTGCATCATATGTTAATAAATGAGTCGGTCTCTATCCAATCTAACGCATAGATATATAGCTTAGGCAGAAAGGATGGCAATTAGTGAGTGAGACCCTGGACCAGTGGCGGATTCAGAAAATTTTCAGGGGAGATACAATATTTAAAAAGGCTAGCTTTAAATATATTTCATATAACATAAGAAGTGATTTGTACATATAATTACAAGCGGACGCATATACATTTAGGTGCAGAAAATAAGCTAGCTTAGACTGTATGCTATAAAGACTGCAGGCTAGCTATCCAAACCACTTCTACATCTGACATACATACATACAATATTACAGAGAGCTTCATTAGTTAACTAATTACTTATACCAAACTAAGTTGGTAATAATTAGCGGCGAATCTTGGGGTACTCTCTTATCTCTATCCCGTCAAATTGCAGGGCTGCTTCCTTGCTATTAAGAACAGCCTGATCATTCCTAAGAGGAGTAGTTGGGTGTCTCCCTGCACGAGCTGGTTGGTCTTGAGAAAATGGAGGCCTCTTGCTGGGCCGGCCATAGAACTTGTCTAGCATGGCAAAAGCCTCCCCTCCAAGCTTTGCTAGCTCTTCCCGAGTTGCCATAATAGTAATATTGCTACAATTTAGTACAAGCACACAAACAAACAGATGCACAAAGCAGGTCAGGAAATTTGGTTTGCCTTTATTTTCTTGGTAAAATGGTTTGCGGCCAAGCCCCATTATATAGGAGTTAAAAGGCGACCTTATTGTGAGACCTTGTGGATAAGTTGGTTGGATAACATGGATATCCATTCTTTCCAAAAGGGATTCCCACTTTTGGTGATTCCTTCAGAGACACTTTTGAATCTTTGAGTTGGGGGCTTTGCTTAAGTTAGAAATAATTATTAGTAATGTTGCAAATTACGGAAGTATTATGATCAATAACACTATTGAACGTATGTATGGAAGATTCTTTGGTGCTAAGAATTTCGTGGCAGGTTGACCCATGGATATGGTTGGTACAAAACACATTAATGAAAAATAGGAATACGCACAAATTGCGGGAGGTGAAGATATTTATTCCTCAAGAGATTGACAGGAATCAATATCATATATAGTTTATTTGGTTTTTTTTTCATTGCTTGAGAGCTACATATGATGGATTCTTCAAATAAAAATATTTGTGGGGTATTTTTGTAGTGCTTATTTTGTATTGTATTTGAATAATTTACAGTTAAAACTGTCTATTTAATAGATTATCTCTTTAAAAAATCACAGAAATTGAGAGCTAGATGTGACAAATTAGTCTCTAAATAAACTTATTTGAGGGGTATTTTTGTAGAGCTCAATTTGTATTGTATTTCAACAATTTGAACCGTCTATATATCATAGATGATATCTCTTTAAAAAAGCTCCCAATTATTGTTTTTTTTTTTTTTTTTTTTTTTTATCCATTCTGATGTAGGACAAATTATGGGTTTGTTCATACAAAGGAAATTTGGAAAGGGAAAAAACTCAAAACTAGAAAATTGGGCTTCAAATATGGAAAATCATGCTTGAGAATCAACTACAACGTTAGCCTTTCTGATGAGTGGCATAACCCACAAAAACACAACGAAGTACACAGGGATCAAGTTTGCTACGTTGATTTTTGTGGAGATGAACGAAAGCCACACATCCAAAGATTCGGGGTGTGAGTACCAAAGCAGAGGGCAGATGTTTGTGTTGCGCAAGCACCTGTAAGAGAGTTTTAAAGGTCAATACACCAGAAGGCATGCAGTTGATTAGGTGAACTGCAATGACAATAGCATCATCCCAGTGATGGCGAGGAACATGAGCGCCAACCAGAAGTGCTCGAGCGGTTTCAAGAAGATGTCGATTCTTTCGTTCAGCAACACCATTTTGTTGCGGTGTCTGAGGACAAGTTGTCTCATGGATAATTCCATGTTATTGGAAGTAAGTCTGAAAGTCATGATTGACAAATTCTCCACCATTGTTGGAGCGAAGAATCTGGATTTGAGCATTAAACTGAGTTTTCATCTGTTTGTGGAAGGACTGAAACCGGGAAAACACTTCGTTTTTATTCTTCAGCAAATAAAGCCATGTCATCCGTGTACAATCATCTATGAACGTGACAAACCATCGAACACCAGAAGGAGCAGTGATAGGTGAAGGTCCCCAGACATCAGAGTGAATTAACGTAAATGGAGTAGTACACTTGTTTGTACTCAACGGGTAGGGCACACGGTGACTCTTGGCCAAAATACAAGTATCACATGTGAAGTCGGAGTCCTTGAAACCTGAGAATAAATCTGGTATAAGATGCTTCATATAACTAAAAGACGGATGTCCCAATCGACTGTGCCACAACCAGATTTGCTTTTGTTTGCTATCAAAGGGATGCGTCACACTGTTAGCCATGCCAGGACTGAAGTCATCGACATAATATAGCCCCCCTCTCTTAGTACCACGACCAAGAATCTCCTTAGTGTGAATATCCTGAAGCAAACAAAAACTCGGGTAAATGAGTACACAACAATTCAATTGTTCAGTAAGCTGACTAACGGACAACAATTTAGTGGATAAAGATGGAACAAGTAAAGTGTGTGAGAGAGGATGAGAGTGCAACAGTGCCAGTCCCTGTCACAGGATAAGTAACACCATTGGCATTTGCAATACAGGTTCGTCGAGGTTGTGTAGTATTCAGAAAATCATCAGGATCAAACGTCATATGATCAGTTGCACCGGAATCAATTATCCAACTCCTGGAATCAATCTTAGCGAAAGTATGGAATCCATAATCAGTACCATTATTGGTCATATTGCGTTGTCCTCGATCTTTAAGAGTAGCCCACCAATCGGGATAGCCATGCAATTTAAAACAAGTCTCACGAGTGTGTCTTGGATGACCACAATATTTGTAATCTGGTCCATGTGTCAGGGTCGTTAGTCGAGAAGTCATAATCTGTGTAGCGGAAGATGTATAGGATACAGGTTTAGTAGGAATTCAGATCGGGATCTGAGCCTGAGTCGGGATCGGAGTCGGAGTCGAAGTCGGGATCGGGGTCTGAATCAAAGACAAATTCGGGGTCGGGGTCGGAGTCATCATCGGAGTGGGGGTCGAGGTCGTTGTCGGAGTCGGAGTCGGAGTCGAGGTCGTCGTTGTCGTCATAGTCGGGGTCAGGGTCGGGGTCGTCAAAAGTGGATCTTGATTCAGGATTAGATTCGGGGCCAAAGTCTGCATATGTAGGAGCTGAGCCATCTGGGCACTCAACTCGGCTATGGTTGGTTGAGAAGGAGAGAAGAAGTCGGTGGTGCTACCTCCATGAGGGATGAAAAAATCACCAACCCCCATAGCGGTGGCGGGGGTGTGAAACTAGACTTAGCAATTCCAAGATCGCCGCTCTGATACCATGCTAAAATATGAAAACTATGAGAGAATATTTGTTTGTGGGAATTTTTTGTGTATTCTTCTCCTTGTAGGAAGTCATATTTATAATACAACGAAACCTGAATGGGCAAGTAAATAATAAATTCCTAAATCTATTTACAATAGGAAATCAAGAATTAAAGTAAATCAATTATAATTATAATAGGAATTCTTGGTGTGTAAGGAAAGTAAGTCAATATCCACAAGTCACGCCAACACACCATACTACCAAACTATTTGTTAAATATTAATTTAGTCTAATATAAAATGACCAAAAAAGATATATATATGATCAAGAATATCTTTTCCTACCAAGAAGATATCAAGCACAGGCCTTGCCTACCCTGAGATAGGCCAGAATAATTTTGTTATGTAAACTTTCCCTCATAAGCATATGCACGCCACACTAATACCTTTTTTTTTCAAATAAAGAAATAAAATTACAAGGAAGATCTCCTCTAAGGATTCCAATAAGTGTACATAAACTTTATAGAAACGGACAATGGAAATTCTCACCAATTCCAGATGTGCGATGAGTGCAAAAGTCTCATCTTTCATAGCCAAGATTCATTCATCATCTACAAGAACAACATACACAATTTTAGGTTTGTTAGTATGAAATTGTGTTTGCATTTTCTAGAGCTTAGCATGGGTTTGGAAGTGTCATTTAGCTAGAGGGTTAGAGCAAAATTATTGTCTCTAATTTCAAGAAACTGCATGATTGAATAATTTGGTTACGTAAACTTGCCATCTTAAGCATATGCACGCCACACTAATACTTTTTTTTTCAAATCAAGAAATAAAATTACAAGGAATATCTCCTCTAAGGATTCCAATATTTGTATATCATATGATGTATATCAGATGTAGGAAATTTTAAGGATAAAGTATTCTTTCAATGGATGAGATTAACTTTAAATATATTTTATATAACATAAGAAGTGATTTGTACATATAATTACAAGCGGACACATATACATTTAGGTACAGAAATAAGCTAGCTTAGACTGTGGGCTAGCCATCCAAACCACTTCTACATCTGATATACATACATATACAATATTACAGAGAGCTTCATTAGTTAACTAATTACTTATACCCTAAGTGGGTAATAATTAGCGGCGAATCTTGGGGTACTCTATAATCTCTATCCCCCCAAATAGCAGGGCTGCGTCCTTGCTATCAAGAACAGCCTGATCATTCCTAAAAGGAGCTGGTTGTCTCCCTGAACGAGCTGGTTGGTCTTGAGGAAATGGAGGCCTCTTGCCAGGCCGGCCATAGAACTTGTCTAGCATGGCAAAAGCCTCCCCTCCAAGCTTTGCTAGCTCTTCCCGAGTTGCCATAATAGTAATATTGCTACAATTTAGTACAAGCACACAAACAAACAGATGCACAAAGCAGGTCAGGTAATTTGGTTTGCCTTTGTTTTCTTGGTAAAATGGTTTGCGGCCAAGCCCCATTATATAGGCGTTAAAAGGCGACCTTATTGTGAGACCTTGTGGATAAGTTGGTTGGATAACATAGATATCCATTCTTTCCAGAAGGGATTCCCACTTTTGGTGATTCCTTCAGAGACACTTTTGAATCTTTGAGTTGGGGTCTTTGCTTAAGTTAGAAATATGTTGCAAATTACAGAAGTGCCTTAAAAAGTATTATTATCAATAACACTATTGAATGTATGTATGGAATTCTTTGGTGCTAAGAATTTCGTGGCAGGTTGACCCATGGATATGGTTGGTACAAAACACATTATTGAAAAATAGGAATACGCACAAATTGTGGGAGGTGAAGATATTTATTCCTCAAGAGATTGACAGGAATGAATATCATAGTTTATCTGGTTTCTTTTTGTTGTTTGAGAGCTGCGTATGATGAATTTTTCAAATAAACTTATTTGAGGGATATTTTTGTAAAGCTTAGTTTGTATTGTATTTGAACAATTCACAGTTCAAACTGTCTATTTCAAAAATTATATCTTTAAAAAATCACACAAATTGAGAGCTAGATGTGACAAATTAGTCTCTAAATAAACTTATTTGAGGGGTATTTTTGTAGAGCTCAATTTGTATTGTATTTCAACAATTTGAACCGTCTATATATCATAGATGATATCTCTTTAAAAAAGCTCCCCAATTGATTTTTTTTTATAACCATTATGATGTAGGACAAATTATGGGTTTGTTCATACAAAGGAAATTTGGAAAGGGAAAAAACTCAAAACCAGAAAATTGGGCTTCAAATATGGAAAATCATGCTTGAGAATCAACTACAACGTTAGAAAAAGAAGGAAGGCTTATTGTCGGGATTTTCAGGTTGCTTGATTTCTTGAGAAGATTTATATTATATTTATATTTTTAGAATAAGTTATCAATCATGATATTATTTTTCTGATATGATTTTAATTAGGATATTAATTATTTTCTTATTAGTTAAGTTTTTGGAATATTATGAAACCTAAGGTTTCCTATGGTTTTAAGGTTTCTTCGTTTTCTATTTAAGCCAACTCATGACATTGTATTAATAAGTTGTATTCATATTATTAATCGAATTTTAGATATTTTCTATATTTTCTGATGAATTACAGTTGCTCATGAATTTCAATTTATCTTTTCGGGTTTAGACATTTGTCAATTTGTAAATTCGTGCTTTCATCTCCCACAAAGTGAATGAACCCTAGAAAGTGTCTTATTTGAAAAATATCTCAATAGAATGACAACCTTACACATATTTGTTTATTTTATATAAATATCACAACAAACATGAATAAACAGTTCTGCAAAACAACAGAAAACTTATAATACTCAACAAACACATCCATCAACTTACATAAGTGAGACAGAACAACTGCCTTTTTCCACAACACTTATATAATTAACTAATAATAACGCCTATTACGATTGATGACTGGCAAAGACCCAAAGGGGAGTGGTTCGAGTAGAATTTGCACCATATATTTCTGTGACTCATATTCCACCATAGATTCGCACTGCCTCGTTAGAACTGATGATGAGCTTATTGTAATTAGACCTTTGCAGCTTCTGTGGAGCTCCATGATTCTCCATGTTGGCCACCTCCACCACTCCATGATTCTCCATGTTTGCAGCTTCTGTGGAGCTCCATGATTCCTTGGGGGCCAAGCCTCATTATATAGTAGTCCTCATTACTCACACAAGCTTATAATGATACTCCACCCTTAGGGGCCCGCAGAATGTATATGATGTTATATAGGACTTGCTGCACATTCTGCTTAATTAATTAGTTATAATTCTTTGATTAAATAATTGAAGTTAATAGTGCGCTTCTGTTAGTATATTAATCAAAGAATAGAAAAAAAAGAGGATTTCCATGAGTCAGGAATAATTTGATTTAGTACTCCATAATAAATTAATAAATAAAAAGAGGAAAGAATAGCTAGATTGATTCTTGTTTTCCTCTAGTGCCTTTTGGTATTTTCAGTTATGATATTAGATTGAGTGTGAGATAAATGATGAGCAGATCTATTCACCTTTCGAAATGATACTTGCATTTGTTATCCTTTATTTATAACACCTATTGTAAATTAGCTTTCTATATAATTCTAGAACTATTATTTGGTGAATCAGATCGATTCACCTATGTAATATATATATATATATATATATATGTGTGTGTGTGTGTGTGTGTGTTCATGTTGAAAAGTCTGCCAAAGATGGATTAAGAATAAGAACAATATAAATATAACTAAATAAATTAAGGGAGGCCTGTTAACTTGGTAATTGGATTTTCTTAACAATATTGAAGTATATAATATATATGAAGGAAAGATCGATGCTTACTTAGTTCCTGCATGCATATATGATTAGTCAGCCATATGTTAATAAATGAGTCGGTCTCTATCAAATCTAACGCATAGATATATAGCTTAGGCAGAAAGGATGGCAATTAGTGAGTGAGATCCTGGGCCAGTGGTGGATTTAGAAATTTTTCAGGGGAGATACAATATTTAAAAAGGCTAAAAATTTGCAAAGGACTCAAACAAGGTCCTCGAGATCAAGTCCTAATATATTTATAGTTTTACGTCTACAACTAATTGATTATAGTCTATATGGAATATCAATTAATATGAACAAAATTTAGGTCAGTGGCACAATTAGTTTTTCAAAATTCATATAAAATATATATGAACAAAATCCTTGTCAATTACATAATTAATCTAACAAAAGTCGATCCCAATTAATCTAACCAAAAGGACATGTGATTTGGAGGTCACGAGATAAAAGTACACGTGATTAAAAGTTCGGGGTAATTTTCTGAGAATTTTTCGGCACACATGAGTTTTTAATGAATTCTATGCCAATTAGAAAATGACATGTGTCAGCTTGCTATTAGACCATTTAAAAAAGAATAAAAATGTGAAGTGCTGGATTGACTTTCTTCTTCCTCGAATTGCCTCTGCAACTTAACTTCATAAATTCTAAAAAAATTCCAAAAATTCATAACTTTGGTTATGGAGCTCCGATTGATGAACTGTTTTCTCCTACATGCTCGTGAGATCAAGCCCAACAATCTAAGTAAAATATTCAGGATCTCACACGGCAGCAAACAAAATAACATTTTTTAGGAAAACAACTAGATACCAATTTAACCTAGTCTAATAACCTTGAGCTTGAGAAATACAATGCATGTCCTATTACAAAGTTGGCAAGGAAAGCTAAAAGAATACTAGCTAGAATTAGTGGCAGACCTATAAGGAAGTACCCCCTATTTGGATTCAAATAAAAATACTAGAAAATCAAATTCCCACCAAATTAAAATATGAAAAATCGGTTTTAGTGCAAAATAAGATTTAGGCTAAAAATGATGGCTCATTAAGTCAATATATACTTCATACTAAAATCCCATAAAATCAAGTTTTCATATTTGATGCGTAAGGAATAAAAGCCGCCAAAAATTATCTTGAGAAAATGATTATTCCGAAAAATTATTTTTTATACTTAGTTAATATTGCACATTCGCTAAAAAAATTCTGGGTCCGCCAGTGGATAAAACACAACTCAACACTTGGAGAATACACAGAGGTGCCTCGTTCGCCTCGCCACACCTTACAATGCCTCGTCACGCCTTGCCAAGCCTCACTGTGTTAGACATGCAACTTGCTAAACATACGACCTCCTCAGGGCATTTTCTGCTGCCTCGCTCCGATGCCTGTGAAAGCATGCCTTTGAAAACACTAGTCAGTATAGTGCATCAGACCAATACGAGCGTGGACCTTTTCACTTTCTACTTCCAACTCTTTTTTTCTTCTTTATTATTTTCTTTTCTTACATGAATCCAATCTCTTCGATATTGCATGGAAGTTGTTTTCTTCTCTTCTTTTCTTCTTATAAAAAATAAACAAATAAATTTCCATGAGAAGTTATTACATAATTAACAAACAAGAGAGAGTATGCAGGAGGGTGTCGCTTTAAATATGGGCTTATTTTACAACAATACCCTCAAAACTATTGTCAAATCTCATTTTGACACAGAAAATAAGTCTTAAAATATTTTATATAATGTAAGAAGTGATTTCTACATACAAGCTGAATATATACATTTAGGTGCAGAAAATAAGCTAGCTTAGTATATAAAGACTATAAGGCTATCCTAAATCCTGAATTGTATAATAGATTATGCGAATATTAAAGCCAAAGAGAGATATACAGATCGAGAATACATGCACACAGCTAAAGCTGGAGATACATACATATTATCATCTACGAAATACATATGTAGGTACATGGCTGGTCCAGAGATTTTGAGGATTCTATGTGAAATTAAACTGGAGCCCTCACATAATATAATATGAAAATACTAAAAACAAAATTTGCCATGACTTAATGTCATAAATCAATTTTTTTAATAATTAAAATTCCAACAATTAGCATGTAAATAAAATTCATAAATTTTTTAATGTTTTCATTTGATAAAGTTAAATATTAGTATGTTCGGTAAAAAAAAATAATAATAATAATAATAACCGAGTTCAAGAGAAAGAAGAACGTGTTTTTTTTTTTGGTTTTTTTGTGTTTTGAGAACAAAGTACTTTTTTTTAGGAGAAATCATATGGATGTGATATATATTGCTGTTAGTTTAGTTGGATATTTTATTTTTTTATTTTTTTATTTTAACGTGGCCTTGTACCAAAAGATATGTGCTAAAAACTAGCTCAACCAAATATACTTATGTGTCAATGTGTTGCACGCTAGATTATATATATAGCTTTTATAATATTAATGTATATATATATATATATATATACATAATATAAAGTAAAAAAAAATCGGGGGCCCTAAAAATTAGGAGGCCCTGTTTGGTGGTGTCAGTTGCACCATGCCATACTATATTAATTACAAGCTGATCATGATAATCAATCAGATTCTACAGGACAACTCGCTGGCATATTGACCGGCGGCAACTTTCACAAGGTCAATCCTTGATGGATAGCCCCGGAAGTCATGCCCATTGGAAATCCAAAAAAATAAAAAAATAAAAAGATACACGCTGCGCAGATATAGGTTATATCTAGTAATTAAAAGGATCACTAGGAGCAGAGGAAGAAAAGGCTACTATGTTTCTTGTGTACCAAGAAAATTAAGGATAATTGGGTCGAGGATATTTCTTGGTACCATATTCAGTAATTGACACTCCCCCGTAGATCTGCCTCAGTGCTAGGAAGAACGCCGTCCTTTATCTGATGAGGCTTCTGAGCTGGAACTTCCACCGTCTTTACAGGCCTTCTGATCTGATGATGAGGATGAGGAACATGATTTTGATCCATGTTGGGGTATGGATAATACTGTACCTGTTGATGAGGAGGAAGAGGCCTTACGGTGACAGTCTTGGTGGGCCAGCCGCCATGGTACTCGTCTCTCATGGCAGGTGCTGGGAAGTATGAAATTTCTTCTGCAGGGTGGACATGATCATAAAGCACGCAATGGTCTTCTATTATGGTGTGGCGTTCTGATACAATGTTCGTTGACCTGCCATGACAAAACACTTTCCCCTCTCTCATGGTCTTAAAGCCTTGATAAATAGCTATGCTAACTTAATTAAAAGCTGAGAATTGAAGTAGAACTAATTGATCAAGGGAAGCTAGAGCTACCTAGGTGTGCCTTGCCTTACTGAAACAAAGGTTAAGAGCCAAGCAGCATTATATAGGAGTGAGAGTCACAGAAGCTCACAAGTGGGCCTTCTGATCAATCAGGATCGATCTTGTGATTTTCTTTTGATGCTTCCCTTTTTCATAAAATAAGAAAAAGTACTTGTTACTTGGCCATACCATAGGGCCTGTTTGTAAAATCGCTTGATATTCTCTATTACTAGTTAACTAGTTGATAGAAATAACTAAACATTGCTTTCATAGTCTGTATTTTTCAGAACTTCTAAAAAAAGCGCGTTTCTAACTAACAAACGTGCGAAATAAAGACACTTCCTACTAAAACATTCCCAAACATGTAGACTTCTTATATTCTTCTATTTTTCTAATTAAATGTTAAGGATCTTTCCTATTGAGAAGAACGATAACATACTAAACTCACACATACTACATGAATGCTATAACTCAAACCTAGGACCTTTCCTAAAGGAACAAATGCTACAAATCACTACATTAGTGGAGCAATTGAACCTAGGACCTTTCATATAAAAAAGGTGGAGTTTTAGTTAAGTAGTTTTATATTTTCTACTATGGCTGAAACATGCTGTCCATATGATGAGGGTTCTTCGTCCGCAGTGCCTCCATAAAAAATGAACCTTCAAAGGATTTGGGTAAGTAGTAAGCCGTTCTTAAAAAGGTTCAGCCACGCGTTACATATTATCTATTACAAAGACAATACAATGGCAGGAATAACAGGATGTCTTGTGTTATTTTCTTCCCCTCCTATTGGAGAGTTTTTCGGATGTATATATATGCATTAGATTCTATTGAAAAAAAGAAATTTTTTTTTTATTCGATTCAATCACTCAAGCACATGAGCATCTCATAATGGTACGTAAGACATTTTTATCGGGAAGCCAACATGGTAGCTGTGTAAGTCTAAATAGATATAACATGTAAAACACTAACTGACCTGTTTCAGACATGTTGAATAAGATGAAGATCAAAAACGAACTTTAGAAACAGAGACTTTCTCCTAGAAGCCAAGAACTCTTTCAGCAGTAATTCTAATGGGGTGAATATATGTATGCTTGTTTTTTTGTGTCTCGGCTCTAGAAGGAGCCTTCTATTTATATGCATATCTCTAGGAGTTTTGCCCATCAAGAAACTCCTAGAGCTAACCTTAATGCTTATAGGATTAGGTAATCTTAATCCTTATCAACGTAGGAATCCTTAAGCCTGTTAATATATATATCTAGAACACTTATATTAGGCTGCCATATATGATAGGAATAGATTTTCTGATAAACCATGAGTTCTTATTCGATTAGAAGATCACTTCTGTGGTTTAAGACAGTAAACCATCTTACATTCTCCCACTTGATCAAATAATCGATCGAAGCTCATTGTCATCACTTAATGGCCATGTGAAAATCTACTCTTATCTTTATTCCTTTCTCATGCCACTGTCAGGTAATAATAAATTTTAGTGCATCTGATACTCTTTTTTACTTCTTTGTTATTTTCTCGTTTTATTTTCTTCCTTTTTTTATATATAAATTTTATAATAATAATAAATTTCCTTGAAAAGTGATTACATAACAAACAAGAAAGAGACGCAGGAGGGGCTAGCATTAAATATATTTTATGTAGGATAAGAAGTGATTTCTACATATAATTACAAGCGGAACATATAAAGACTAGGCTAGCTATCCAAACCACTTCTACATCTGATATACATACAATACAATACAATACAATACAATATTACTGAGAACTTCATTAGTTAGCCACTAATTAATTACTTATACCAAACTAAGTTGGTAATAATTAGCGGCGAATCTTGGGGTACTCTTTTATCTCTATCCCCCCAAATAGCAGGGCTGCTTGCTTGCTATTAAGAACAGCCTGATCATTCCCAAGAGGAGTTGGTTGTCTCCCTGCACGAGCTGGTTGGTCTTGAGGAAATGGAGGCCTCTTGCCGGGCCGGCCATAGTAATTGTCTAGCATGGCAAAAGCCTCCCTTCCAAGCTTTGCTAGCTCTTCCCGAGTTGCCATAATGATATTGCCAAAATTTAGTACAAGCACACAAAACACAGATTCACAAAGCGGGTCAGGTAATTTGGTTTCCCTCTGTTTTCTTGGTAAAAACGGTTTGCAGCCAAGCCCCATTTTATAGGAGTTAAAAAGGCGACCTTATTATTCATCAATCACTTATTGTGAGACCTTGTGGATAAGTTGGTTGGATAACATAGATATCCATTCTTTCCAAAAAGGCTTCCCACTTTTGGTGATTCCTTCAGAGACACTTTTGAATCTTTGAGTAATATTGCAATATTGAATTAGAAATTAGAAATATGTATTAGTAATATTGCAAATTACAGAAGTGCCTTCTAAAGTATTATAAATAGCACTATTAAATGTATGGAAGATTCTTTGGTGCTAAGAATTTCGTGGCCCATGGATATGGTTGGTACAAAACACATTAATGAAAAATAGGAATAAGCACAAATTGTGGGAGGTGAAGATATTTCTCCCTGGAGAGATTGACAGGAATCAATATCATAGTTTATCTGGTTTTTTTCGTTGCTTGAGAGCTGCATATGATGGATTTTTCAAATAAACTTATTTGAGGGCTGCATATGATGGATCTTCCAAATAAATTTATTTTAGGAGTATTTTTGGAAAGCTCACTTTATATTGTATTTGAACAATTCAAATTGTCTATTTACTAGATGAATAATGCTACTCTTACCACATTTGTATACCACATTCTCATACCACCTTATGTGGCAGATGAGGTGGACAACACATCAATTAAAATTAATTTAAATTTTTCTTATCTTTTATGATTTATTGACACTTTTTAATTGATATAATTGTCCACTTCATCTGCCACATAAGGTGGTATGAAAATGTGGGATATAAATGTGGTAAGTGTAGCATTACTCTTAATAGATTAGAGTACTACTAAACGGACCCTAAAATTAACTGAGTACACCATACTACCAAACTATTTGTTAAATTATTAATTTAGTCTAATATAAAATGACCAAAAAAGATATATATATATATATATATATATATGATCAAGAATATCTTTTCCTACCAAGAAGATATCAAGCACAGGCCTTGCCTACCCTGAGATAGGCCAGAATAATTTTGTTATGTAAACTTTCCATCATAAGCATATGCACGCCACACTGATACCTTTTTTTTTCAAATAAAGAAATAAAATTACAAGGAAGATCTCCTCTAAGGATTCCAATAAGTGTACATAAACTTTATAGAAACGGACAATGGAAATTCTCACCAATTCCAGATGTGCAATGAGTGCAAAAGTCTCATCTTTCATAGCCAAGATTCATTCATCATCTACAAGAACAACATACACAATTTTAGGTTTGTTATTATGAAATTGTGTTTGCATTTCCTAGAGCTTAGCATGGGTTTGGAAGTGTCATTTAGTTAGAGGGTTAGAGCAAAATTATTGTCTCTAATTTCAAGAAACTGCATGATTGAATAATTTGGTTACGTAAACTTGCCATCTTAAGCACATGCACGCCACACTAGTACTTTTTTTTTCAAATCAAGAAATAAAATTACAAGGAATATCTCCTCTAAGGATGCCAATATTTGTATATCATATGATGTATATCAGATGTAGGAAATTTTAAGGATAAAGTATTCTTTCAATGGATGAGATTAACTTTAAATATATTTTATATAACATAAGAAGTGATCTGTACATATAATTACAAGCGGACACATATACATTTAGGTACAGAAAATAAGCTAGCTTAGACTGTAGGCTAGCCATCCAAACCACTTCAACATCTGATATACATACATATACAATATTACAGAGAGCTTCATTAGTTAACTAATTACTTATACCCTACGTTGGTAATAATTAGCGGCGAATCTTGGGGTACTCTATAATCTCTATCCCCCCAAATAGCAGGGCTGCGTCCTTGCTATCAAGAACAGCCTGATCATTCCTAAGAGGAGCTGGTTGTCTCCCTGACCGAGCTGGTTGGTCTTGAGGAAATGGAGGCCTCTTGCCAGGCCGGCCATAGAACTTGTCTAGCATGGCAAAAGCCTCCCCTCCAAGCTTTGCTAGCTCTTCCCGAGTTGCCATAATAGTAATATTGCTACAATTTAGTACAAGCACACAAACAAACAGATGCACAAAGCAGGACAGGTAATTTGGTTTGCCTTTGTTTTCTTGGTAAAATGGTTTGCGGCCAAGCCCCATTATATAGGAGTTAAAAGGCGACCTTATTGTGAGACCTTGTGGATAAGTTGGTTGGGTAACATAGATATCCATTCTTTCCAAAAGGGATTCCCACTTTTGGGGTCTTTGCTTAAGTTAGAAATATGTTGCAAATTACAGAAGTGCCTTAAAAAGTATTATGATCAATAACACTATTGAACGTATGTATGGAAGATTCTTTGGTGCTAAGAATTTCGTGGCAGGTTGACCCATGGATATGGTTGGTACAAAACACATTAATGAAAAATAGGAATACGCACAAATTGTGGGAGGTGAAGATATTTATTCCTCAAGGGATTGACAAGAATCAATATCATAGTTTATCTGGTTTCTTTTCGTTGTTTGAGAGCTGCATATGATGAATTTTTCAAATAAACTTATTTGAGGGATATTTTTGTAAAGCTCAACTTGTATTGTATTTGAACAATTCACAGTTCAAACTGTCTATTTCAAAAATTATATCTTTAAAAAATCACACAAATTGAGAGCTGAATGTGACAAATTAATCTCTAAATAAATTTATTTGAGGGATATTTCTGTAGAGCTCAATTTGTATTGTATTTCAACAATTTGAACAGTCTATATATCATAGATGATATCTCTTTGAAAAAGCTCCCCAATTGAATTTTTTTTTAACCATTCTGATGTAGGAAAAATTATGGGTTTGTTCCTACAAAGGAAATTTGGAAAGGGAAAAACACTCAAAACCAGAAAATTGGGGCTTCAAATATGAAAAATCATGCTTGAGAATCAATTACAGCGTTAGAAAAAGAAGGAAGGCTTATTGTTGGGATTTTCAGGTTGCTTGATTTCTTGAGAAGATTTATATTATATTTAGAATAAGTTATCAATCATGATATTATTTTTCTGATATGATTTTAATTAGGATATTAATTATTTTCTTATTAGTTAAGTTTTAGGAATATTATGAAACCAAAGGTTTCTTACGGTTTTAAGGTTTCTTCGTTTTCTATTTAAGCCAACTCATGACACTGTATTAATAAGTTTTATTCATATTATTAATCGAATTTTAGAGATTTTCTATATTTTCTGGTGAATTACAGTCGCTTATGAATTTCAATTTATCTTTTCGGGTTTAGACATTTGTCAATTTTTAAATTCGTGCTTTCAGCTCCCACAAAGTGAATGAACCCTAGAAAGTGTCTTATTTGAAAAATATCTCAATAGAATGACAACCTTACACATATTTGTTTATTTTATATAAATATCACAACAAACATAGAATAAACAGTTCTGCAAAACAACAGAAAACTTCTAATACTCAACAAACACATCTGCCTTTTTCCACAACACTTATATAATTAACTAATAATAACGCCTATTACGATTGATGACTGGGGTTGGTTTGCTTTTTGTTAGTACGAAATTCGTATTGGCATTTCCTAGACTTTAGTATAGGGTGAAAATTAGTTTGTGAGGAATTGTTATTGAACGCTTTGTCACTACTCTTTCAACCCCACACTTCCGAGGCATGTCCTGACCATATGAGAATCTTGACCTCAGGTAAATCATGACATAATCATGCATTCATTATAGGATTCCTAGTTGGAGTTATTTTCACTCAAGTATCTTTATGTTAATCTTATTTTTAATAGGATTATATTTTATCTCTTGAGATTACTTTCCTAGTTAGACTCTATTTTGGTTTAAGTTAAATTATTAAGTTTTCATCATCTTGGACTTGGAAAGGATGTTTGAATGAATATCCTATTTGGCTTCGTTGTTTACTTATTGATATACACTGTTTTGTTGGATATCAATTGATGATTGGAAAATCAACCTCTATAGTACAAAAGATGACGAAATAGAATAGGACTTTATTTCAATCAAATCTGATTTGGCACGTTTGTGATACCTTAGTTTTTTGAATCATCTCTTGGAAGATAACAACACAGTTGTATAAAGCCAAGGCGTGCATCTCCTTCTTGGATACAGCTTTTGAGATATTTGTTTTGAGCATATAGAATTCTAAGAAAAGCTGCTGTGCGTATATTTGAGATAAATCATCAAGTGTTCAATGTTTTACTTGGTGATTTATCAAACACTTTAATCATTCATATTGCATTCATATGCATGTCGGTGACTCATACGGTTGAGGGCACCAAGACCGTGGTGGCGGTTTTTCTCCGGTGAGCTTGAAGCAATCGTGGCCAGTATTGCGTTCAACATAAGGAGTGTCGAAGATCATCTTGTGACAGAAGTTGAGTTACGAAGAAGTCGGTAAACATTATCTAGAGTGTGTCTAGGATAAGTGTGTGAGTACTTCTTGTAATCATCGTTCTATAGTGGATTTGTGTTGGACTGAGAAGTCCCGTGGATTTTCCCCAGAGGTGGGGTTTTACCACGTAAAATAATTCTCTGTGTGTTCTTTTAATTTAAGCTCTGCACATTACAGGATTGATAGGCCATATCAATCCTGCATCAAAAGTTTATTATTATTTATTGCAAAAAATTCGAATTAGCCTGTTTAACCTTCTCTAGGCATATATAGACATCCTACAGGTATTTTCAATTGGCATCAGAGCAGGTTGCTGGACATACTCAGCAAGATCTAACATACCTTACGATGGATCGTGCCGCGGGTTCTGTTGCACATCCACCATATTTCGATGGCAACAACTATGGTGCTTGGAAGGCCAAAATGAAGTCGTTTCTTTGGTCCTTAGATGAACGTGTATGGTACACAGTGGTTCATGGATTTTCTGAACCCACAAAGAAGATCGGAAAAGGAGATGAAGAAACCACAGTTCTCAAATCTAGAGAGGAGTGGACCACTGCAGAAGTCACACACAGTACTAATAATCAAAAAGGGTTAAATGCTATATTTACTGCTGTATCTTCTGATCAATTTGAATATATATCTAGTTGTGATACTTCTAAGGAAGCTTGGGATATTTTGCAGGTCACTCATGAAGGAACAGATACTGTCAAGGGTGCCAAGCTTCAAATGCACACTCTACAATTCGAGACAATTCTGATGGATGAGAATGAAACCTTTTCTGAATTTTATGCCAAACTTTGCGTTATTGTGAATGCATGTTCAAATTTAGGTGAAAAAATTCCAGAAGATAGGGTGGTGAAAAAGATTTTACGGTCCTTGCCTCCACGTTTTTCACCAAAGATCACAGCCATTGAAGAGATTCGTGACCTGAACACTCTGAAAGTTCGTGAACTTATAGGGTCGCTTCAAACCTACGAGATGAAGCATCTAGCTCCTAAGAAAAATAAAAGCGTTGCTCTTAAAGTAGTTGATAATGAAGATGGTGAACACCAATCTGAAGAATTCAATGGGGAGGAATTTGCTTATCTTTCACGACAATTCAAGAAGTTTTTCAAATATCAAAATTCGAGAAGTCATGATTCAAAAAATCACTCAGGTATAAATTCAAAAATTAAGCATGGTGATTACACTGATGGTAATTTAAAATCTCGCAGGTTTACTGAGAAGAAGACCACTAAAGACAGAGTCAAGTGCTATGAATGCGAAGGATATGGACATATTTCCACTGAATGTGCCAACACACAAAAGAAGCAAAATGGCAAAGCCAAAGCACTGAATGTAACCTGGAGTGACAGCGATTCAGAATCTGAAAGTGAAGAAAATACCATTGCGTTAATCACCACTGTTAGTTTGGATAAGGCACAGCAAAACAATGGGAATGATGAAGAACCAAATATTGGTTATGTGCTGGAAAAATATGACGATCTTCTAGCTGCCTCTCAGAAACTGAATCAACACAACAAAGAGCTTGCCAAAAAGGTTGCTGTGCTGGAGCTTGAAAACAGTAGGATTGCCAGGACATTACAATCCTCTACTGCTGAACCAGAAACAATTGGTGAAGGTATGTACGAAAAATTGGAATTCTTACAGAAAAAATGCTTTGATCAAAATAAATTAATTGATTCCTTGACCTCTAACAACCAAGCTCTTGAAATTGAGCTTAAAAGTTCAAGGGAAAGGATTATTGCTTTGACAATTGGTGCAGAAAAGGTTGACAAAATGATTAGCATGGGTCGAAGAGATGGAGACAAACGTGGCTTAGGTTTTGATTCACTCAACAAGTCTTCCGCTGTATCTGTTACAAAGTTTGTCAAACCATCACTTTCTACTGGTATTCCAACTCATCAAACAACTTGGAGATTTACACCCACGTGTCATTATTGTGGAGCTCGTGGACACATTCGACCAAAATGCAAACTGTTTCAACAGATTTTTGTAAGTCAAAAGTCCACCAAGGAGGGACAGGTAAGAATTCGAAACAAGATTGCATGTCTTGTAAAAGAGGTAAGTAGGCTGTCAAAACTCTCTCATTCCCTATCCTTACCAAGTTCAAATCTAGTGTGGAGAAGAAAGGATAATCAAAATTGCTTGCTGGCAATTTCAAGTGATTCACATCAAACTAATCCTCCTGAAATATTAGATGTGAAATGTTTTGTTGCTCTTACTGCTCTTTCTGACTCTAAATCTAAATCTTGGTATTTTGATAGTGGATGTTCGAGACACATGACTGGTGAAAAATCATATTTTTCAGAAATCTCTCCAGAATGCGTGAGTGGAATGGTTACTTTTGGAGATGGAAGAAAATCCAAGATTTTGGGCAAAGGAAAGATTATGGCAACTGGTACACCTAGCTTGGACAATGTTTTATTAGTTGAAAATCTTCAAGCAAACCTCATCAGTGTAAGTCAACTTTGTGATGAAATAGGTGAGGTAAGTTTTACTAAAACCCAATGTATTGTTAAGAATAAAGATGGATTAAATGTGATGATTGGAAACAGATCACCTGACAATTGTTATTGTTTTTCCACTAATGAAGTTTCTCAAGTGTGTTTTAGGACAAGTAAAGATCATCTTGATTTATGGCATCAACGTTTGGGACACATGAACTATCAAGACCTAATTAAATTGTCAAATTGTGAATCTGTAAGAGGATTGCCCAATCTTTCAGGTAAACGTGAGGGTGTTTGTGAAGGTTGCCAACTGGGAAAGCAAACCAAAAACCCTCACAAAGCTACAAACTCAATCTCCACCTCTAAAACTTTGGAACTGATGCATATGGATTTGGTTGGTCCAATTCAAGTTGCTAGCTTAGGAGGAAAGAAATACATTCTTGTCTTAGTAGATGATTTCTCACGTTTTACTTGGGTCATTTTTTTGCATGATAAGACAGAAGCCTTTAATTCCTTCTATGTTTTGTACAAGCTAATCATGAATGAAAAATATGACACTAATTCTTGTATCATGAGACTTAGGACAGACCACGGGATGGAATTTGAAAATCGTGCCTTCTCTGATTTCTGTTCTGAACAAGGAATAAAACATGAATTCTCTGCTCCAATCACTCCCCAACAAAATGGGGTAGTTGAAAGGAAAAATAGAGTCCTCCTTGACATGGCTCGTGTCTTGTTAAAAAGTGCCAAATTGGCGGATCATTTTTGGGCTGAAGCCATCAGTACTGCATGCTATACATCTAACCGTGTGTTTTTTCAGGCCACATACCAAGAGCACTCCATATGAAATCTGGAAAGGGAAGAAACCAAATGTCAAGCACTTAAGGACTTTTGGTAGTAAATGCTACATTTACAAAGACAGGGAGTATCTTGGAAAATTTGATGCAAGAAGTGATGTTGGAATATTTCTTGGTTATTCTATGAATAGTCGAGCATATAGGGTGTTTAATAGTCGCACTAAAATAATAATGGAATCAGCTAATGTGGTTGTAAATGACACTTCTATATTGCAGGTTGAACCTAGGAGTGAAGATACAGATATGGAAACTCACGAATCTGCAGATGGTACTGAAGCTGACTTCGAGGATTGTAACCAGCCTATCAATCCTGTGATACGCAGACCTGGTGCAAAACAAGTTCAGAAAGATCACTCACCTTCAGATGTTATTGGGAATGTTAATGATAAATTGAGAACTCGACAACAAGTCTGTAATGAGGTAACCAATTTATGTTATGTATCCCTTATTGAACCTAAGAGTGTGACAGATGCTCTTGCAGATGACGACTGGATTCTGGCTATGCAAGATGAATTAAATCAATTCGAAAGAAATGATGTGTGGTATCTTGTTCCACGTCCCAAAGACTCAAATGTAATTGGTACCAAGTGGATCTTTCGAAATAAGACAGATGAGAAAGGACAAATTATGCGCAACAAAGCTAGACTTGTTGCCCAAGGTTATTCTCAAATTGAAGGTTTGGATTTTGATGAGACTTTTGCTCCGGTTGCACGTTTAGAATCTGTTCGATTGTTGCTATCCATTGCATGTTATCTTCAGTTCAAGCTCTATCAGATGGATGTGAAGAGTGCGTTCCTAAATGGAGTTTTACAAGAGAAAGTCTATGTGGAACAACCTGCAGGTTTTCAAGATCCTATCCATCCCAATCATGTATATCGTCTGAAAAAGGCTCTCTATGGACTCAAACAAGCCCCGAGAGCATGGTATGATAGATTGTCCACACATCTTCTTCAAAAAGGGTACACTCGTGGTAGCATTGATAAGACCCTCTTTGTCAAAAGAACCAAACAAGATTTAATGGTTGCTCAAGTATATGTGGATGATATTGTTTTTGGATCTACTTCAGACATTCTTGTCAAAGAATTTCATGAGGTAATGCAAACCGAATTTGAGATGAGCATGTTTGGTGAACTAAATTTTTTTCTTGGTTTGCAGGTTCAACAATTCAATGGAGGCATGTTCATATCTCAAACAAAGTATGCCAAAAATTTGGTGTCCAAATTTGGTCTTGAATCTGCCAAGCCCATTCGAAATCCTATGAGCACAAGCACCAAACTTTCCAAGGATTTACATGGCAAAAGTGTAGACCAGAAATTATATAGAAGCATGATTGGCAGCTTGTTATATTTGACTGCCAGTAGACCTGACATCTCCTTCAGTGTTGGACTTTGTGCTCGCTTCCAATCCGATCCCAAAGAATCACATCTACTTGCTGTGAAAAGAATTCTCCGCTATGTGAGTGGTACCACAAACTTTGGTGTATACTACTCATTTGACTCAAATGTTGAACTTGCAGGCTATTCCGATGCGGATTGGGCTGGGAGCATTGATGATAGAAAAAGCACAACTGGCGGATGTTTTTACATAGGCAACAACCTTGTCTCTTGGTTTAGCAAGAAGCAAAATTGTGTCTCTCTCTCCACGGCCGAGGCCGAGTACATCGCTGCTGGGAGTTGCTGCACACAGTTGTTATGGATGAAACAAATGCTCAATGACTACGGCATTCGGCAAGGTAAAATGGTCACGTTTTGTGATAACATGAGTGCAATTAATATCTCTAAAAATCCGGTTCAACACTCTCGCACAAAACACATTGATATTCGTCACCATTTTATTCGTGAATTAGTGGAAGAGAATGTGCTCTCACTTGAATTTGTTTCTACTGCAAAACAATTAGCTGATATTTTCACAAAACCTCTAGACAATCTACGGTTTGAAACCCTTAGACAGTCATTAGGTATTTGTGCTCTTGATTGATTCGGAGTCCACTGCATGCCAATGCCTATTCTTGCTGTATGCTGTTTAAATTATTTTATATTTTTATAACTCTGTCCAGCTCGTGCAAGGATTGTTAGGCTGCATCAATCCTGTAGTTGTCTGAACGTATTAGCTGATCTTAGATTGGACTCTGGTACAGCACTCTATTGAAGCCACACACTCACAGCTTTCCACAAAGGTTTCCATTGTCTTGGTGCATTATAAACTTCATTAAATGATCTATCCATCTATTTAGCTTTATATTGCACACCACACTCTTTTTCTTGAAGTCCTTGAATATCTCTTCTCATGCACTTGTCTCTCTTTGGATTGCCATCACACTACTGTGCGTAAGTTCTTGATCTGGTTATAAAAAAAAAAATAAAAAAAAAAAAAAAAAAAAAGGTGTTGACCACTCATTGCTCAGTAACCGGGCCTCTTGTCTAACCAACGTCGAGGTTCGAGTCAACAGGTTGTGATGGTCTGCTATCCTTGCTTATCTTTGGAGCCTTCATGATTCGGATCAGTATTTCCCCAGGGGTGCTTTATCACCCAGTTGCTTCCAGTCATCTGACGTGAGCATATTGTTTGACCATCCGTTACATGGATCATGTCGAAAGCTAAATAAAGAAAGCCCTCTAAAAAAAAATAAAAAATAAAAAAATAAAAAAATAAAAAAATAAACCGATCTTATTATACTTACAATGCACTTAGTGTATGTGTCATCTTTGGTGGATCAGTCTTGGGTGGCTGTACTTTTTGTGCTTCATTGAAAGGAGTTCACTTCACACTTTTGCTTCCTGATGGTAGACTCATTTGGTGTTGTTTATCTTTCACCTTGCATGTGGTCTGCCTCCTTGATTATCTGTGAATTTGTGCGTTTCATTCAGTGGCCTGCTTTTGTTCCTGCTATGCTTTGCTTCTTATGCGTTCCAGACAACAATGGGTCTGCTCCTACTGTCTCGTCTTGCTCACTTACCTGGCATGTTTTTGAATGGAAAATAATTACATCTTCCCGAGAGCTTTGTGGCTGCATCACATGTGTATTCTATATCTTGGTTTTCTATCTTCAGTGTGTCCTAGTTTTCTTTTCGTTTTTTTTTGTTTTTTGTTTTTTGTTTTGTTTTTCTTCTTGTTTAGACAGTTTTTTTTTCCATTCCAAAAAAAAACAAAAAAAAAAAAAAAAACTTGCAACCACACGGTGCGTTTTACTCTGTGTGTTTAAACTGTGCAGATTAGGTCATCTTCTTCCTCAATTAGATTCGATCTCTCTTCAGCCCCCATTGCTGTCACCCAAGGGTCACGGCGTCTGCTACTTCGTGTCTTGCTCTGTCGCATCACCATGGTCACCACACGGAGCCGTCGTACCTCCTCATCCGACTCCCTCAAAGTCAACAACCAAGTCACTTTACACCGCAGCGATGCTCACTGTACTTCTGGTGGTTTCTCCATCGAGCAACAGGCTCTTTTGGATTCACTCTCTGCCTCCCATCAGGTGACGCATGCACTTCTTCGTCGCATCTGGAATCGTCTTGACACCTATAGTGAGCTGTTGCTATCTGTTGCTGGGCACATTCAACCTACTGCTCCTCCCCGTTCTCCTCGGGCACGCAGCATCTAAGGTTCTTCTGTTCTGCTTCTGGTTGTTTTCTTTTTGAGGTCCTCTCTGTGTCCCTTTGGATTTCCTAAACAAAAAGGGGGAGAATATTTTGTGGTATATATGAAATTTAGGGGGAGTAAATATTTTGTGGTACATATGAGGTTTAGGGGGAGTTAATGTTTTCTGTCTTTGGGATCAGAACTTGTGGTACTCTGCTTAACCTCCTGACATATGAAATATTTAACTGTGCTAAGTTCTGGCTATTATTATCTCAATTCTATTATGCTTCACTGGTCGTCTGGTTGTTGTTGTGCAGACATTGCAAGAATTGAATATCTGTCTGACAAAGCAAAGTAGGATATGTAGGTTTTGTCTTCTTGTAAACGTATTTGAAATGTAATCTAATGTTTTGTCCAGGAAATGCCAAAGGGGGAGATTGTTAGTACGAAATTCGTATTGGCATTTCCTAGACTTTAGTATAGGGTGAAAATTAGTTTGTGAGGAATTGTTATTGAACGCTTTGTCACTACTCTTTCAACCCCACACTTCCGAGGCATGTCCTGACCATATGAGAATCTTGACCTCAGGTAAATCATGACATAATCATGCATTCATTATAGGATTCCTAGTTGGAGTTATTTTCACTCAAGTATCTTTATGTTAATCTTATTTTTAATAGGATTAGATTTTATCTCTTGAGATTACTTTCCTAGTTAGACTCTATTTTGGTTTAAGTTAAATTATTAAGTTTTCATCATCTTGGACTTGGAAAGGATGTTTGAATGAATATCCTATTTGGCTTCGTTGTTTACTTATTGATATACACTGTTTTGTTGGATATCAATTGATGATTGGAAAATCAACCTCTATAGTACAAAAGATGACGAAATAGAATAGGACTTTATTTCAATCAAATCTGATTTGGCACGTTTGTGATACCTTAGTTTTTTGAATCATCTCTTGGAAGATAACAACACAGTTGTATAAAGCCAAGGCGTGCATCTCCTTCTTGGATACAGCTTTTGAGATATTTGTTTTGAGCATATAGAATTCTAAGAAAAGCTGCTGTGCGTATATTTGAGATAAATCATCAAGTGTTCAATGTTTTACTTGGTGATTTATCAAACACTTTAATCATTCATATTGCATTCATATGCATGTCGGTGACTCATACGGTTGAGGGCACCAAGACCGTGGTGGCGGTTTTTCTCCGGTGAGCTTGAAGCAATCGTGGCCAGTATTGCGTTCAACATAAGGAGTGTCGAAGATCATCCTGTGACAGAAGTTGAGTTACGAAGAAGTCGGTAAACATTATCTAGAGTGTGTCTAGGATAAGTGTGTGAGTACTTCTTGTAATCATCGTTCTATAGTGGATTTGTGTTGGACTGAGAAGTCCCGTGGATTTTCCCCAGAGGTGGGGTTTTACCACGTAAAATAATTCTCTGTGTGTTCTTTTAATTTAAGCTCTGCACATTACAGGATTGATAGGCCATATCAATCCTGCATCAAAAGTTTATTATTATTTATTGCAAAAAATTCGAATTAGCCTGTTTAACCTTCTCTAGGCATATATAGACATCCTACAGGTATTTTCATTTTTGTTTGTTTTTAACAAAGGGGAGTGATACGAGTAGAATTTGCACCATATATTTCTGTGACTCATATTCCACCATAGATTCGCACTGCCTTGTTAGAACTGATGATGAGCTTATTGTAATTAGACCTTTGCAGCTTCTGTGGAGCTCCATGATTCTCCATGTTTGCAGCTTCTGTGGGGCTCCTCCATGATTCCTTGGGGGCCAAGCCTCATTATAGAGTAGTCCTCATTACTCACACAAGCTTATAATGATACTCCACCCTTAGGGGCCCGCAGAATGTATATGATGTTATATAGGACTTGCTGCACATTCTGCTTAATTAATTAGTTATAATTCTTTGATTAAATAATTGAAGTTAATAGTGCGCTTCTGTAAGTATATTAATCAAAGAATAGAAAAAAAAGAGGATTTCCATGAGTCAGGAATAATTTGATTCAGTACTCCATAATAAATTAATAAATAAAAAGAGGAAAGAATAGCTAGATTGATTCTTGTTTTCCTCTAGTTCTTTTTGCTTTTTGGCTGTTCGACCAAATACACTTATGTGTCAATGTGTTGCACGCTAGAGTATATATACAGTTTTTATAATATTAATGTGTATATATAACATAAAGTAAAAAAAATCCGGGGCCCTAAAAAATCGGAGGTCCTGTATGGTGGCGCCACTTGCACCATGCCATACTATATTAATTACAAGCTGATCATGATAATCAATCAAATTCTACGGGACAACTCGCTGGCATATTGACCGGCGCCAACTTTCACAGGGTCAATCCTTGATGGATAGCCCTGGAACCAAATAAATAAATAAAGAAAAAGAAAAGGATACACACTACGCAGATATAGGTGAAATTGGTTCATAGGTGATGAGGGGTAAATTTTACGACACTTAAACAAAACGCAACAATCTTCACACACTTCCTTGACCAAAAACACATATGACTAGTCAACTGCTAGTCATGAACAACCACAATCAAGAATACACACAGAGCATGCCACAATGTACCTGAAACCCTAGAAGATTACTAGTGACAACTTAGGCGCTCAGAAGGACCCGTCAATCTAGGCATCCCCTGTGCTAGCAACAACTATGGTGAAAGTGTGTGAAATTATCATAATCAAGTAAACACCAAACAGCAGATAATGATGACTAGTCAACTACAAGGACACAAACCTAGAATTCATACAATGACTAGTCAACCAAGAACACAAACCCAGAAAAATTACAGAGATGCAATCAGAAATTGTTCACGCAGAAACCCACCATTGGGAAAAACTGGGGGTCATCAACCGACCAGGCAATCCACTAAGTAGAAAAAGATTCTTACAAAGGAACACAAGCAAGCTCAAGAAAAACCTATATTTATTTAGGAAGATGAGCTATACCTCCTTTGTGTAATCTTCTTCTCCAACTTAGCAAAGCTTGGAGCTCAGTTCTTCATGGAAATGGCAACTCCTTATCTAGCTCATTCATCCCATAGCACCAGCTTGCAAGCTCTAACTCAGACAGAAACCAAAATTTGGATTAAAAGGAGAATGACCAATTTCTTCAAAAAACCATACTCTTGAAGAAATCAATCTTGAATCTGACCTAAATATACATGAGAGAGTGTTTGATATAGCAAGATGAGGTTTTCATATTTCAAATGCAGTTTTCAAAAAGAAACATTTTGGAAAACTCAAAGATGAAAAATATGAAGGTTACACTTGAGGAAGAAGAGAAAGTTTTCAGAGAAACTTTCCAAAACTTGCCTACAAAAGTGACAGCTGCCAAATGAGGAATCCTTTGGCTTGTACACCCAAAAAATTCCCTAGGTCAGAATAGACACATGGCAGCTGAGAAATTCATAGAAAATGACAAAAAAATCGTTAAAACCCAGCTGGAAACAGTGACCTGGAAAACCCTTACAAATGCAAAGGTTGACTAGTCATATGCAGGAAGGATGACTAGTCATAATCTTCAGGAATAGGTTAATGCAATGCAAAACTTACCTTTGTCAAACACAGTGTTGTCCATCATAATGTAGCCAGATAAGAACACCTAGAGATGAAATTCTTAATCTAAACTTGAGCTTGAGAAAATACAATGATTGTCCTATTACAAACTTGTCAACGGAAGCCAAAAGAAAATTACAAAATCCATACATTTACAATAGGGTATATCTAGTAATTAAAAGGATCAGTAGGAGGAGCGGAAGAAAAGGCTACTATATTTCTTGTGTACCAAGAAAATTAAGGATAATTCGGTCGAGGATATTTCTTGGTACCATATTCAGTAATTGACACTCCCCTGTAGATCTTTGCTGCCTCAATGCTGGTAAGAACGCCGCCCTTTATCTGATGAGGCTTCTGAGCTGGAACTTCCACCGTCTACAGGCCTTCTGATCTGATGATGAGGAGGAGGAACATGATTTTGATCCATGTTGGGGTATGGATAATATTGTACCTGTTGAGGAGGAGGAAGAGGCCTTACGGTGATAGTCTTGGTGGGCCAGCCGCCATGGTACTCATCTCTCATGGCAAGTGCTGGGATGTATGAAATTTCTTCTGCAGGGTGGACACGATCATAAAGCACGCAATGACAGTCTTCTATTATGGTGTGGCGTTCTGATACAATGTTTGCTGACCTGCTATGACAAAACACTTTCTCCTCTCTCATGGTCTTAAAGCCTTGATAAATAGCTATGCTAACTTAATTAAAAGCTGAGAATTGAAGTAGAACTAATTGATCAAGGGAAGCTAGAGCTATCTAGGCGTGCCTTGCCTTACTGAAACAAAGGTTAAGAGCCAAGCAGCATTATATAGGAGTGAGAATCACAGAAGCTCACAAGTGGGTTTTCTGATCAATCAGGATCGATCTTGTGATTTTCTTTTGATGCTTCCCTTTTTCATAAAATAAGAAAAAGTACTTGTTACTTGGCCATACCATAGGGCCTGTTTGTAAAATCGCTTGATATTCTCTATTAATAGTTAACTAGTTGATAGAAATAACTAAACATTGCTTTCATAGTCTGTATTTTTAAGAACTTCTAAAAAAAGCGCGTTTCTAACTAACAAATGTTCGAAATAAAAACACTTCCTACTAAAACATTCCCAAACATGTAGACTTCTTATATTCTTCTATTTTTCTAATTAAATGTTAAGGACCTTTCCTAAAGGACGATAACATACTAAACTCACACATACTACATGAATGCTATAACTCAAACCCATGACCTTTCCTAAAGGAACAAATGCTCCAAATCACTATATTGGTGGAGCAATTGAACCTAGGACCTTTCATATAAAAAAGGTGGAGTTTTAGTTAAGTAGTTTTATACTTTCTACTATGGCTGAAACGTGCTGTCCATATGATGAGGGTTCTTCATCCACAGTGCCTCCATAAAAAATGAACGTTCAAAGGATTTGGGTAAGTAGTAAGCAGTTCTGAAAAAGGTTCGGCCACGCGTCACATATTATCTACCACAAAGACAATACAATGGTAGGAATAACAGGATGTCTTGTATTATTTTCTTCCCTTCCTATTGGAGAGTTTTTTTGGATATATGCATTAGATTCTATTGAAAAAAAGAAAAAAAAATTATTCGATTCAATCACTCAAGCACATGAGCATCTCATAATACCCTGGACCCTTCTTGGACACTTTACCCTTTGCACCGACTGTGGACCATATAACCAATTTGTTTTAGATCCCAACAGCCACCATCAAAGAGAAAACAATGAAATATACATTTCCAATGGATAACAGGGGTATGTGGATAAATCCTAAGTAAGACATGTTTATCGGGAAGCCAACATAGTAGCTGATGATCTGATGGCCATTTGGTCATGGCAAACTTAATATATATATATGTATCTGATTTACTAACTTTCCATTGTCTATTTCTTTACAATAACATGAATAATATTGGGATTCTTAGAAGATCTTCTTTGTAATTTCATTTCTTCATTTTAGAAATAGTGTGGCATATATATGCTTACGATGGCAAGTTTACGTAACAAAACATTTCTGGCCTATCTCATGGTAAGCAAGGCATTTGCTTCTTGGCCAAACTACTTTGGAGCATACATATATATATATATATAAAGTATGTGATTGCGATCGATTCCAATTTTGCAACACATAAAGGTACCAAAGTCGGCCAGTACTGTACCACAATCCCGGCCACAACCTTGCGTTCAACAGTGCTTTCGAGTCCTTAAGAGCACTTCCAGCAGTTGGAATCTTGCCATGGCAAGGGGGGGAGGGGGGCTAGGGCTGACACTATTCACGGGAATAGTGTCTGCCCTTGCAAAAAGTAAGTTTCACTTCTAGCAGTTGCCATGAACCCTTTCGTCTCATAATAGCCTTTCGTTCTAGCTTCCAATATTGTTTTGTTTCAGGAGACATGTGGCTTGTATCCATGGCCATGGTTTCCCGATCCTTCTTTTCTTCATTTTCTTTGCGTCGATACTCCCTTTCTTTGCGTATATACTCCCTTTCTTTAGCAAATTCTATTGCCATTGCCCTATCATCTTCTTGGACTTTCTTGTCTATTTCAATTCTCAAGGCGCTTTGCCTTGCAATTTCCTCCAAAAATTTAGAGGTATTACTCGTAGAATTAACTCCTCTCTTTGCCCTCGCCGCCTTCCTCCCCATAGGCCTCGGCTCCTTTTGAATGGGTAAGTCTTCACTCATAGGGGATTCCATAGGCGAATCCGAAGCTTGTGAATCATGAAGTGGCGTCTCGTTTAACACCACCGTTGGAGCCGTTGGAATAATGCTAAATATCTTACAATGCTTCACCACCTCCCAACATTGGGTATGGGTGAAACTTTTTTTCCCTAGTCCAGTAGCACCATAGAACATTTGAGCTTGCACAATCTATATTAAAAAAAAATTGAATAAGCAAGGAACTTAAAAAAAAATGGTAATGCAAAAAAGATAAACATATGAATGAAAATCCAAGAAATATTAACAACATATAAAGAATGCAAGAAACATTCAAATAAATATTATAAATACAAGAAATATAAAAAATATATATAAAAATTGCAAGAAACATTCAAATAAATATGGAAATACAAGAAATATTAAAAAATATAGAGAATGCAACAACCATTTATATAAATATTAGAAATACAAGAAATAATAACAAAATATAAAGAATGCAAGAAACATTTAAATACATATGGAAATACAAGAAATATTAACAAAATATACCAATTGCAAGAAACATTAAAATTAAAATTAATAGGACATTAAAATTAATAAAATGAAAATTACAAATAATTACCTCATCGCTTAGATTTTCCCGCTTGCATGGTTATTCATCGCTTTTGTGAGGGCATCTCTCCATTTCCCCAACTCTTTGTTGAGAAGTTTCCACCGACTTGACAATGCGCTTTCTGTACGGGTGGAACCCGATCTTTCAACAAATTCGTGAAGAATTTTTTTCCACATTTGACTGAATTTCATCTCATTACCCGATATGGGATCATGACTAATTTGGACCCAACACTCACACAACAAGACATCTTCCATGATGCTCCATGCCCCTCCGGTTTCTTGAGAAAAAGCCATAATGATAGAGAAAAATTATACTTAAAAATGAAAACAATTTAGAGTAAAAAGTGAAGAAAATATTGAATAGAAAGTGAATAATAGTTGGAGAAGGAGAAGATGTATGAGAATTTGTTGTTAAAACTGAAGAGTAGGTGTTGGTATTTATAGAAAAAAAGTCAGTATTTTTTGGGATTTTTTTAAAAATTTTTACGATTTTTTTTCATAATTTTTTGCCTGGAAAAATTCCAGGCCGTCGGATTGGCTGACAAGGCGAAATCAGAAGGACGAGAGGCTGCCACGTCGCACGTTACCGTTGGGCGCAAAAGCTGACGCGCGATTTTGAATTTTTTTACGCGCCAACGGTAAAAAAAATTTACAACCACGTGCTGACGTCACGCTGGCATCAACGATGACGTCAGCTCGCACTCGGGCTCTCGCTCGGGCTGCCTCCGCCTTTGGGCCAACCCAGGCAAGTGGACCCCACACTGCCCGGGCCAGCACTTGTTGCTGGAAGCTGCTTTTGGGCTCTCCCCCCAACCCGAGCCCGAGTGGGCTGCTGGAAATGCTCTTAATTGGGAACAAAATGGCACATTCTTTTTGCATCTCTTTCTAATTTGCATACTTAATTTTATTTGGGTCAAATTAATAGGCTAATCAACCAAATAGCGTTTGTTGTAGCAATTACTAAAGGAGTTCGAGCTAGACAGACACATGCACAAAAAGGGATAAGAACGTTCCTTCTTCTTGGTTCAAATTAATAGGCTAATCAACCAAATAGGGTTTGTTGTCGCAATCACTTTGACCCTTATCATGAGGATTTAGAAACTTTCCTTCTTCTTGGTTCAAATTTCGGGAAGGAAGATAAAAGGAAAGCTCAATAATTGTAATTATAAGTTCCTCTTCACTTGTGACTATTTTTAAGAGTTTTTATTCAATAAAGCTACATGCACCAACTTGTTTATCAACTTTTTAATACCAAGTTACCAACACTGGCATGACAACCCATGTCATCTGCTATCTCATTTATTTTAAATACATATATTGTTCAAAAAAAGAATTTCATCCGGCAAAAATAAAAAAGAACGAGAAAAAAAAGATTTTAGATTTAGCGTTAAATTCCTCTCCTTCATCCTTCCTCCTTCCCCTCTGAAAACCCTAGAAATTGAACAGTGCCTCTAGTTATGCATCAAAGCATGGGATTGTTGGTCCCACAAGGAAAAAAAACACATGCAGCCAATTAAGCTTATGACTATTGTAGGGAGGATTTGCATATATACACAAGCTTCCATTGAGAGATCCCTCAAATAAGCTTATTTGACAGACACCTCTTGTAAGCCCCACTTTGGATTGTATTTCACTAATCTAAACCGTCTATTTTGTAGATACTCATTCAAAGATCATCTCTACAAAAAATCACTTAAATCCAATATCATTTGACCACTCAATTGAGTTATTGAAATTTTAGTACTTTCTTGAAACACCGTATTCATTGATTTTGTAAGACACAATTGGATGTCAAAACGGTTTCCGATTTGTATAATTTTTTGTAAGGATGATCTATGAATAAATACCTAAAAAATGGATGGTTTGGATCATTGGGAAAAAAATTGTAGAGTACCCTAAAGAGCGTCCCTTAAATAAAATTATTTGAGGGATCTCTCAATAGAAGGAGACTATATATATATATATATATATATATATATATTGTCACAAAAAAAAAATTATTATTTTGATATTAGAACTTAATCATACCGTAGGAACTACAACGTCGTTTATATCACATCATCATCACTTTTTAATTTAAAATTTATGTGTCTTATCATATTTAATGATCACATTGCTAACTAAATTTTATACGAATATAACTTATCGATAAAGATAAATATCTCACTTATGAAACTAATAGCAGATCAACCAGTTATATAAGGATGAGATGAGAAGTTGCTCATTCAGTCCATGGCGAACCTTTAGAATTAGGAGAGTAGTCATTATAGTGCATCTGATACTCTTTTTATCTTCTTTGGTATTTTCTTACATAAATAAAATCTCTTTGATATTGCAAGGAAGTTGTTTTCGTCACCTTTATTTATTTATTTTATTTTATAATAATAATAAATTTCCGTGAAAAGTGATTACATAACAAACAAGAGAGAGTATGCAGGTGGGGCTAGCATTAAATATATTTTATATAGCATAAGAAGTGATTTCTACATATAATTATAAACGGAATATATAAAGACTAGGCTAGCTATCCAAACCACTTCTACATCTGATATACATACAATACAATACAATATTATAGAGAACTTCATTAGTTAGCTACTAATTAATTACTTATACCAAACTAAGTTGGTAATAATTAGCGGTGAATCTTGGGGGTACTCTTGTTGATACTCTTTTTGGGAAGGTCAACTTAGATAGAGATGGAATGGTGGATGATGGGTGAAGGTGAGGACCTTCAACATGTTTGTGTGAAGATTAGGGCAAATGATAAATATACAGAAGATGAGATATACGTGGTTCACCCTTAATGAATGGGCTATGTCCACAGAGAAGTATGTTTTCATTATAATAATGTATGTTTACATTTGTACATGGGGTTGGACCCAAATATAAAGATAAGAATGGAGAAGCCCATGATTAAAGATAAAGCCCAGCCCAGGATCCCCTCATAAGTGTAGAGTGGTCTCCTCCTATAGATGAGGGGGAGTCTTCACTTCTTGTAATATTCCAATGTGGGATTCTTTGCCTTGCTTAGAGTTGCTTCTTGTGGTAAGGCTTTTTTGGCTATGGTGATGACCTCTCAAAGCATGGCACGTGGCTGATCCAGCATAGCTAGTTGCTCGGTTAGTAACGGTACCAACAGTAGTCCCCCAAGTTCGTGAGTAAGAAGGTACTTCTTGATTGGGGACGTGTAATTTTAAGTGCACTGGCCGAGCAACATCATAGTTCATCTTCCAAGTTATATTGTGCACTGCCCATAGTCCCCCAAGTCCCCGGGTAAGAAGGACATTTGGAAGGGAGAGAGCTTGGCACGAAGGTGCTGAAGGTGAATGGGTTGTCGAGGGCACAAAATTGCATGTCGCAGGGTGTTGTGGCTGGGCATGAGGTTGCTGAATGCATAAGAATTACATAAAACTTGCGTGTCGCAAGGAAATTGCTGAAGGCAATAAATGCAAATGTTGCCTAGGAGGCATGTGCCGAAGGCAATGTAGAATGAGTTGAATCGTGTGATTCTTTTTTCTTTTTCTTTTTTCTTTTTTCTTTTTCCTTTTTTTTCGCCTTGGGCCTCTGCACGTTTTGGCCCGACGCTTGCCGTTCGGCAAGCAAGCCAAGTTGAGCTTCATAAAGGTATTCAGTATGTTCCTTGTGTTGGGAAAAATTGGTTGAGCCACTTGGGCTGACAGCATGAGTCATTCGTGACCTTCCATAGTCCTTGCCGTTCGGCAGGGAACAATGGTGGTGTTTTGGGGCTTTTATAGTTTGGTATAATTTGGAGCTGGGCCAACAAAGTTTCGGCAAGGCTTGGCTTCCTTTGAAGTTGGGCTTTAATAGGGGTCCTTAGTTTGGCTTAGTTTGGTATAATAGGATAGTTGTTGGGGTTAGCAAAGGTGAGAAGAGCGAATCCTTCTTTGCGCTGTATACCTTCAGCAAGGGGGACTAGGAAGCACGGGCCAGGAAAGTTGGAACCTTCGGCAAGGATCTGGGTCCTTGGGTCTAGGCATTCGGCAAGGTCCCCGTGTTGAAGATCCGGGTGGAGCTTGGGTGTCTCTTGGCTTTGGATCAAGTCTTGTCATTCGGCAAGGTTGATTGGTGAAAGTTGCGAAATGGGCTTCTTGCTGATCGGTAAGGTTTCCAAAGGAGAGTTGGGGAAGTAATCCTTGAAAACATCTTAGCGTCGACAAGAGTCGTCGGCAAGGGTCTGGGTTCCCACAGTCGAGTCTGCTACCGTGAGTTCTCATAGTTTTGGCAAGGCACCAGGTCTTTCGAAGGGAGCTCCAGTGGTTTCATTTTTGTCTTCTCCAAGACCGTGGCTGCGCTCGGCAAGGTCAGCCGATTTCATGCTTGTCACAGCTTTGGAAGAAGGGTGCTAGTTTTGGTTTTCGGTGTTGGGTCTTTTCGGCAACAATCCAACTTTGGATTTCGGTGGGTTCTGAAATCAATTGAGATCGGGCACAACCCTTGCCGAACGGCAAGAGTGATTAGAATGAGTTTTTTTGCGAGCCCACGGGGTAGGCTGAGGGCTAAACCTTCATCTTGTTTGGCAAGGAGCCAAAGTGGGCGTACGGTTTTGGTGATTTCTAAAATATGGCCTCCATAGTCTCTGCATGGTCCTTGCCGTTCGGCAAGGGTAAAAAAATTTGTGACAAAGGGCTTTTTGGAGCTAGGAATTTTTGAAGAATGAAAATTTTTGCGACTGGTCCTTTGGCAAAGAGTAAGGGCCTTGCAATTGGGGATGTTTCGGCAAGCTTCCTTTGCTGTTTTTGTAAGTCCCCCTTTGTTTCGATTTTGTTAGAATGTTAGCATAAGATTGGACCTGGGCATGACCCTTGCTGTTCAGCAAGGGTGTTTAGGAAGGTTGCATTGCCCCTCATTTGCTTCTGTATGGGCCTTGCCGTTCAACAAGGTGGTTGTGCGACACGCCGGGTAAGGCTCTGAATGTCCTTGACCGTCTTGGGTATCGTCATGTCTAAGATGGCCTAGATCTTCTCTAGATTGGCCTCAATACCTTTCTAGCTGATCATGAAGCTAAGGAATTTGCCTGAAGCCACCCCGAATGCACACTTGGTGGGGTTGAGCCTCATTTTATATTTCTTCAAGATGGTGAACATGGCAGAAAGGTTAGGGATGTGGTGGTCAGTAGTGCGACTCTTGACTAGCATGTCATCAACATAAACCTCAATGGTGTTGCCAATCAGCGGGGAGAAGACATTATTCACTAGGCGTTGATAAGTAGCCCAACATTCTTGAGCTCGAAGGACATCACCTTATAGCAGTATAGACCACGATCCGTAATGAAGGAGGCGTGGGCTTGGTCTTCAGGGTGCATGAAGATCTAGTTATACCCATAGTAAGCATTCATGAAGCTAAGGAGGGCGTGGCCAGATGTGGCATCCACCAGTTGGTCAATGCGGGGTAAGGGGAAGCTAAGGAGGGCGTGGCCAGCTTTTTACATATTTTTCCGATTAAAAAGTGTCTTTATGGCTTGATCTAGACTATGAACATACATGAACACGAGGAGCGTTCGGTAGTCTAGCTACCGAAGGTAGTGACGGCCATAGGAACCCTTAATATAATCTTTGTGCATGGTATTTAGTTTCATTTTGTTGTTGTAGATGTTCGATAGCGAGTCTGCATATGATTTTGAACCTAATGCATTCGACGGTGAGTCCTCGGACGATCAACGGGACTCCAGCAATGTGGCATTGAGTTTCGAGAGTGTCGATAGTGAAGATGCCAAAGTAAAAGTTGTCGGCAAAAAGATTAAGGGCCCACCACCTTTTGGTAGGGGAAAAGTTCTGCAGCCGAACCAGACGGTTCCGTTGGATGTGGTGCCATGCGGCGACGCTTATGCCAGCACGAGCCAGTACTATGAGTTTCTGATGGGGGATACACGGTTGCCTGATCGGCATGCTAGCTACCATTCTGAGACCTCTACTTCCGGTCGAGGCGAGGTCCCAGTCGAATATTCATCTCATCCGACAGTGACAGTGGTTCTTCAAGGGAACCCTAGGGTACCGTTAGGCCAACCCAAAAGGCTTTTGTTCGGTGTAGATTATTTAGGTCTGAATCTTGCCACCGAGGCCGAGTTGGCCAAATATCGTGCAGATTATCTTATCCCGGATTCGGTCAAGTGGAGGATCTCGGGACCTACCGAATCCTTAAGCAACCCCAAGGATGGTGAGGTTGTCTTTTTTACGAACGTTCTGAAGCAAGGCGTCCGTCTGCCTCTACAGCCTGCCGTTCAGAGGATCCTTGCCCACCTAGGCTACGCCCCGGGTCAATACAACCCCAACTTTTGGGTAGCTTTGATGGGGGTCATCATCGCCTTCGGCCTTGCCGAGGAAGGGGAGCCTTCGTACAAGCAGCTTTCGTACTCGTACAGTGTTACGAAATCCAAGAGCGCCGATCATGGGGGTTGGGTCTAGGTGAATTGCCTCTGAGCGTCTGAGCGAGGGCACTTTGTGAGTGCAATACCCACCTCGCAAAAGTCCTAGATGAATTGGAGGGTGCTTCTGTCTAGTGACTAGAAGTCACATTCGGACAGGCCCGTCTGATTCCCAATACCTACCATATTTCAGATTTCCAGTAGGGTCATAAACTATTCATTTGGCACACTTCTCTGGATATTTATGTTCTTCTGACGTGTACCGATTTTTCAGGTAAAGTGAAGAAGCCTACTCCTACCAGGGCGGACATACAGAAGGTGGAGAGAGTGGGAGCAAGGTGCCGGCTACCAACCACTTCTACCCGGACTTCCTCTTCACGGCCAACTTGATAAAGGCTTGGCTAGTTAATTCGGCAAAAGAGTGAGTTCTCATCTCGTTACCGTTCGGTACGGGCCACTTTATTGTAATATTTTTACTAACGATATGTGTGTCCTGCAGTGACTCCTGCTAGGCAGCAATCAAAGGTGTCAAGGAGGCGTCTCCTACTAGGGGCCAAGATGAAGAAACAACGGCAGCCCCAGAGTAGCCTCCGCAGCAACAGGTTCCTTTGGCCCAATAGCCCTCGAAAGTCGAGATGGAAAATCAGACTTTGTCTGAAAGGTTTTGTAGGGGCCTTTTTCTTCCGGCAGCTATAAATGGGCTGGGCTGCCATAAATGGCAGATTGATGAAATTGTCCCCTTTGTCTAAGTTCGAAAATCAAGCCCAAAAAATGTTTCGAAAGGGCAGTGGAGCCTTAGGAAGCATCTTGGTTATCTTCACCAACCAAAACAACTGCAACTTATAGAAGATTTCTTGATGCTTACAGATAAATTTTCTAGCTTGAGTACTCATGACTTAAGCATGCAGCATATTCCCTTAGAGGCTCATCCTACCTTTGCCGAATTGTGTACAGATCATCGGCAAAATACAAACGGTCTGTTTGGATCATGAAGTGATTAAGAAAGATCTGTTTCAACTCGTCAAGGAGTCTACTGTCTTTGATTCCAATTAGTATAACCAAATTAAGGCCGCTCCGGTAAGTGCAGATGGAAACAACAAGCATTGCCCCTCGTCACTGAGACCTTTACATCCCACGACAGACTGGAAAGAGTGAAGATGCGTCAAGGGGTCTTCTACCCCAGTGTAGAACGGTATGCGCAACGGCTGCACATCCCTGTCCTGCTAAGAATGCCTGATGCGTTCGGTGAATGGCCCTGGCCGAAGCTTTCCCCAATCGGGCTCTTAAGAGCGAGTCTAGTCGTTTTCCATCTTCTGAACCTTCTGAAAACGAAGTCGGACGACGGGATCTCGACTAGGAATCTCTTTGGAACCATAGTCCTCTAAATATCTCCATGGACTTAATTGCTTGGCCTCAGAGTACCGTGTTGGTGTTGCCGAACGGTATGTTGACCCTTGGGTCTTGGAGGGGATGTATTCGTGGTCTGATTCCGTCATGGATTCCAAACCTCGTACCTTCCGAATGGGAGACTTCTTTCCCAGAACCCTCATTCGGGAGTCTCTTAGGTGGGCATTGATCTTGATCGGAGATCTCTGTCTTTCGGCTTCCCTGTTGTTAAGCCGATGGCAACAATCAGAGTAAACCTTCTTTGGCATGTGGGGATGGTCTCAAGAAGCCGGAACTACCAACTGCTTGGAGGGTGCAGGCATCGTCTTTGCCCTCTTCTTCCCTTTCTTCTGCCGATGGGGAGTCTGCATGCTCTGGGAAGAGTTAGTAGTTTGGATATTTTGTGTATGCTGTTGATTGAGCAATTGCTGGGTTTCATCCAATTTGGACGAGAAAAGGTTGTTATGTTATTGTAGCTTAGCCATATCCTACCGAAGGGATGTTATTTGGGCCAGAAGCTCAGCTTCGGCAGTCGTTTGCATTATGGGCCAATTGCCAAAGAGGGTGCGAGGGGGTAGCGCTGGGCTAGCTCCACTATGCCTTCCGTACGGCAATCCTTCCTCGGGCAAGAATACGAGTACTGAGGTGGTCCCCATATGTTTTAGGGATAGTGGGTCGATTCATATTGCTTCCCACAGACGTCGCCAAACTGTTGATGCGAAAAAGTGGTTTGGCACTTTTTGAGCTCAACTTAGTGATGTCTAGGCCTTCGGAATGCTCGTGGGCCTCGGCAGATTGTGATCTTGCAAAATGAGGGTTCGCTCGGTAAGACCTGGGGCACTGATGTGGTACCGGCCGAAGGCTCTCTGATGCTTAAGTAAGTACGGATTTAATAAGAGAATTGAACAGTTCTAGAGGCAGTGTGCTGAAAGTTCAGATTACCTCCATTTTGGGGAATTGTGCTCCTTTTATAAACCTTGGGAGGTGTGCAAGTTGTGTAGAATTTCGATGTGGGATTGTGAATATTCACAGTGAATGTGCCACGTGTATAGTAGGCAATTCGTGCTATTATATTGCGATCGGTAAGCACAGGTGCTGAGGACTTCCCTGCCGATGCCTTGCATTATCCACATGTTTGGCTTTTATTGATCGTCGATTTTGGTATCAACAATATGAACCACGAATGATGATGGATAATAAATGTGAAACTATAATGTGCGCGCACACACACACCATTTCTATAAGGATGGGAAGTTGCAGAATCAGTCCATGGCGAACTTTAGAATTAGGAGTAGTCAGTATAGTGCATCTGATACCAGCGCAGACCTTTTTGCTTTCTACTTCAACTCTATTTTTCTTCTTTGTTATTTTCGTACATGAATAAAATTCTTTGATGTTACAAGGAAGTTGTTTTCTTCTATTTTTTTTAATAATAATAAATTTTCATGAAAAGTGATTACATAACAGACAAGAGAGAGTATGCTGGAGAGGGGCTAGCTTTAAATATATTTTATAAAATAACGCTACTCTTACCCACATTTGTATACAACATTCTCATACCACCTTATGTGGTAAATGAGGTGGACAACCACAAATATTAAAATTATTTAATATTTTCTTTTCTTTTATGATTTATTAACACTTTAAAAAAATTGTTAATTAAACTTTCTTTATTAAAATACACTTCATTGATTTAATTGGTGTAGCATATGATATGGACATGACATATCATGTGGTAGAGAAATGGGATAAAAATGTGGTAAAGTGTAGCATTACTCTATTTTATATAACATAAGAACTTATTTCTACATATAATTACAAGCTAGCTTAATTAGTATATATAAAGACTAGGCTAGCTATCCAAACCACTTCTACATCTGATATGCATATATATATATATATATATATATATAATATAATATTACAGAGAGCTTCATTAGTTAACTAATTACTTATAGCAAACTAAGTTGGTAATAATTAGCGGCGAATCTTGGGGTACTCTCTTATCTCTATCCCGCCAAATTGCAGGGCTGCTTCCTTGCTATTAAGAACAGCCTGATCATTCCTAAGAGGAGCTAGTTGTCTCCCTGACCGAGCTGGTTGGTCTTGAGGAAATGGAGGCCTCTTGCCGGGCCGGCCATAGAACTTGTCTAGCATGGCAAAAGCCTCCCCTCCAAGTTTTGCTAGCTCTTCCCGAGTTGCCATAATAGTAATATTGCTACAATTTAGTACAAGCACACAAACAAACAGATGCACAAAGCAGGTCAGGTAATTTGGTTTGCCTTTGTTTTCTTGGTAAAATGGTTTGCGGCCAAGCCCCATTATATAGGAGTTAAAAGGCGACCTTATTGTGAGACCTTGTGGATAAGTTGGTTGGATAACACTCTTTCCGAAAGGGATTCCCACTTTTGGTGATTCCTTCAGAGACACTTATGAATCTTTGAGTTGGGGTCTTTGCTTAAGTTAGAAATATGTTGCAAATTACAGAAGTGCCTTAAAAAGTTTTTATTATGATCAATAACACTATTGAACGTATGTATGGAAGATTCTTTGGTGCTAAGAATTTCGTGGCAGGTTGACCCATGGATATGGTTGGTACAAAACACATTAATGAAAAATAGGAATACGCACAAATTGCGGGAGGTGAAGATATTTATTCCTCAAGAGATTGACAGGAATCAATATCATATATAGTTTATTTGGTTTTTTTTCATTGCTTGAAAGCTACATATGATGGATTCTTCAAATAAAATTATTTGTGGGGTATTTTTGTAGAGCTTATTTTGTATTGTATTTGAATAATTTACAGTTAAAACTGTCTATTTCATAGATTATCTCTATAAAAAATCACATAAATTGAGAGCTGGATGTGACAAATTAATCTGTAAATAAACTTATTTGAGAGGGTATTTAGTCACTAAAAAAAAAAGCAAAAAAAAGTGACAAAGCCTTTTTAGTCACCAAAAAAGTCAAAAAATGTGACTAATGCCTTTTATCACAGCCACAAATGTCACCAAATAATAGTGACTGTTGCCATTTTTTCACTAATGATTCTTCTCATATCACTATAAAAAATAGAAAAAAAGAGGATTTCCATGAGTCAGGAATAATTTGATTCAATACTCCATAATAAATAAATAAAAAGAGGAAAGAATAGGTAGATTGATTCTTGTTTTCCTCTAGTGCTTTTTTGGTTTTTTCAGTTATGATATTAGATTCAGTGTGAGATAAATGATGAGCAGATCTGTGCTTTTATATTATAACAAGTAGGATAATATCTATTCACCTTTCGAAATGATATACTTGCATTTGTTATTTCTTTATTTATAACACCTTTCATTGTAAATTAGCTTTCTAATAAATTAAAGGAGGCATGTTAACTTGGTAATTGGATTTTCTTAACAATATTGAAGTATATAATATATATGAAGGAAAGATCGTGCTTACTTAGTTCCTGCATGTATGATTAGTCAGCCATATGTTAATAAATGAGTTGGTCTCTATCCAATCTAACGCACAGATATATAGGTTCGGCAGAAACGATGGCAATTAGTGAGTGAGACCCTGGACCAGTGGCTGATTCAGAAATTTTTCAAGGAAGATACAATATTTAAAAAAAGCTAAAAATTTGCAAAGGACTCAAGCAAGGTCCTTGGGATCAAGTCCTAATATCTATATAGTGTTAAAAAAATAAAAACAACAAAAAATAAAAATAAAAGTTAAAATTCAAAAAATAATTTAGACAACCAAATGCCCTTAAAAATTAAACAATACTAATAACATTCATAATTAAAACAAATAAGAGTTTTATGTCTACGACTATTTGATTATAGTCTATATGAAGTTTTCCCATATTCAACATATTATCAATTTTTGAAGCATCAATAGTCAAGGAGATAATCTTACTTTTCGCCTTATTCAACTCACCCAAGAGATGTTTGTTTGAGTTTTGGAAGCAAATATTACGCTCCTTGAGCACATTAACTTGATTTTCAAGATATCTCCTAATTGACACAAGCTCATCACATTCATTTTCTACGGACTATTCGGTTGGAGCAACTTTAACCTTCAATTTTTGCCATTTCATGTCCATGACATATAAATTGAAGATGCTCTAAGAACTTGATAAAGGACACCGTAGTTGCTACGCTATGATTAAGTTATAAATATCAACAACAACAAATTTGTGACAATAAAAAATCTCAAAATAGTCAAAAATGAAGAGGAACTTATACGTACAATTATTGAGCTTTCCCTTTATCTTCCTTCCCGAAATTTGAACCAAGAAGAAGGAAAGTTTCTAAATCCTCGTGATAATGGTCAAAGTGATTGCGACAACAAACCCTATTAGGTTGATTAGACTATTAATTTGACCCAAAAAAAATTATGCAAGGAATTAATACCTTCCCATTTCCCCAAAGGAACGTTCTTCTCCCTTTTTTGTGCATGTGTCTTTGTCTGGCTCGAACTCCTTTAGTAATTGCCACAACAAACCCTATTAGGTTGATTAGACTATTAATTTGACCCAAATAAAATTAAGTACGCAAATTAGAAAGAGATGCGAAAAGAATGTGCCATTTTGTTCCCAATTAGAGCAAGTCCAGCGCTCACCCAAACCTGGGCAAAAGGCCTCCCCGGGCAGCCCAACTCCCCTCCAGCGCGCAGAAAAGAGCTCGGGCAATGGCTGGGTCCCACCAGCCCGGGCAGGCCCAAGGACAACTTTCGCCTGGGCTTCAACCCGAGGGCGCTAACGTCAGCGCTGGTGTTATGCTGACGTCAGCGAGCAAAAAAAGATTCAAAAAAATTATAAAAAATTCAATTTTTTTTAAAAAAAAATACCGAAAAATTATGGATATTTTCCCTATAAATACATAACAATTTTATATTTTGTTGCATATATTTTTTTTTCTTGCCCTTGACTTGCCTTAGACTTTGCCATCATGGGTGAAACCACAAATGCAAAGGCTGACACTATTCACGTGAATAGTTGCAGCCCTTGCTTGCCCTTGCCTTAGACTTAGCCCTTGTGGGTGGAGATGCTCTTAAGGACTCGAAAGCACTGTTGAACGCAAGGTTGTGGCCGGGATTGTGGTACAGTACTGGCCGACTTTGGTACCTTTTTCTGTTGCAAAATTGGAATCGAAAGCATTCACATACTTTATATCTATATATATATATATGCTCTAAAGTAGTTTGGACAAGAAGCAAATGCTTTCTCCACTACGTGGAATTATTATTAAGGCAATGTTATATGAACAAGAATATCTTATCCTACCAAGAAGATATCAAGCACTGGCCTTGCCTACCATGAGATAGGCCAGAAATGTTTTGTTACGTAAACTTGCCATCGTAAGCATATATATGCCACACTATTTCTAAAATGAAGAAATGAAATTACAAAGAAGATCTTCTAAGAATCCCAATATTATTCATGTTATTGTAAAGAAATAGACAATGGAAAGTTAGTAAATCAGATACATATATATATATTAAGTTTGCCATGACCAAATGGCCATCAGATCATCAGCTACTATGTTGGCTTCCCGATAAACATGTCTTACTTAGGATTTATCCACATACCCCTGTTATCCATTGGAAATGTATATTTCATTGTTTTCTCTTTGATGGTGGCTGTTGGGATCTAAAACAAATTGGTTATATGGTCCACAGTCGGTGCAAAGGATAAAGCGTCCAAGAGTGATTGAATCGAATAATTTTTTTTTCTTTTTTTCAATAGAATCTAATGCATATATCCAAAAAAACTCGCCAATAGGAAGGGAAGAAAATAATACAAGACATCCTGTTATTCCTACCATTGTATTGTCTTTGTGGTAGATAATATGTGACGCGTGGCTGAACCTTTTCAGAACTGCTTACTACTTACCCAAATCCTTTGGCTGTTCATTTTTATGGAGGCACTGCGGACGAAGAACCCTCATCATATGGACAGCATGTTTCAGCCATAGTAGAAAGTACAAAACTACTTAACTAAAACTCAACGTTTTTTTATATGAAAGGTCCTATAGGTTCAATTGCTCCACCAGTGTAGTGGTTTGGAGCATTTGTTACTTTAGGAAAGGTTCTGGGTTCAAGTTATAGCATTCATGTAGTATGAGTGAGTTTAGTATGTTATCGTCTTTCTCAATAGGAAAGATCCTTAACATTTAATTAGAAAAATAGAAGAATATAAGAAGTCTACATGTTTGGGAATGTTTTAGTATGAAGTGCTTTTACTTCGCACATTTGTTAGTTAGAAATGCGCTTTTTTTAGAAGTTCTTAAAAATACAGACTATAAAAGCAATGTTTAGCTATTTCTATCAACTAGTTAACTATTAATAGAGAATATCAAAGCGATTTTACAAACAGGGCCCTATGGTATGGCCAAGTAACAAGTACTTTATCTTATTTTAGGAAAAAGGGAAGCATAAAAGAAAATCACAAGATCGATCCTGATTGATCAGAAAGCCCACTTGTGAGCTTCTGTGACTCTCACTCCTATATAATGTTGCTTGCGCTCTTAACCTTTTTTTCAGTAAGGCAAGGCAAACCTAGCTAGCTCTAGCTTCCCCTTGATCAATTAGTTCTACTTCAATTCTCAGCTTTTAATTACGTTAGCATGGCTATTTATCAAGGCTTTATGAGAGAGGAGAAAGTGTTTTGTCATAGCAGGTCAGCGCAAGTTGTATCAGAAAGCCACACCATAATAGAAGACTGCCATTGCGTGCTTTATGATCATGTCGACCCTGCAGAAAAAGTTCCATACTTCCCAGCACCTGCCATGAGAGACAAGTACCATGGCAGCTGGCCCGCCAAGACTGTCACTGTTAGGCCTCTTCCTCCTCCTCAACAGGTACAATATTATCCACACCCCAACATGGATCAAAATCATGTTCCTCCTCATCATCAGATCAGAAAGCCCGTGAAGACGGGGGAAGTTCCAGCTCAGAAGCCTCATCAGATAAAGGACGGTGTTCTTACTAGCACTGAGGCAGCAAAGATCTACAAGGGAGTGTTAGTTACTAAATATGGTACCAAGAAATATCCTCGACCAAATTGCCGTTAATTTTCTTGGTACACAAGAAAAATAGTCAGCCTTTTCTTCCTCTCCTCCCAGTGATCCTTTTAATTACTAGATATACCCTATATCTGCGCAGCGTGTATCTTTTTCTTTTTCTTTTTTCTTTATTTCGATTTCCAATGGACATGGCTTCCGGGGCTATCCATCAAGGATTGACCCTGTGAAAGTTGCCGTCGGTCAATATGCCAGCGAGTTGTCCCGTAGAATCTGATTGATTATCCTAATCAGCTTGTAATTAATATAGTATGTACATACCTACATACGTATTTCGTAAATGATAATATGTGTGTATCTCCAGCTTTTGCTGTGTGCATGTATTCTCGATCTGTATCTCTCTTTGGTTTTAATATTTGCATAATCTATTGTACAATTCAGGATTTAAGATAGCCTATAGTCTTTATATACTAAGCTATGTTCAGCTTGTAATTATATGTAGAAATCACTTCTTATGTTATACAAAATATTTTAAGACTTATTTTCTGTGCCAAAATGAGATTTGACCATAGTTTCAGGAAGTATTGCAGTAAAATAAGTCTAGATTTAAAGCTACACCTCTGCATACTTTCTCTTGTTTGTTAATTATGTACTCACTTTTTACGGAAATTTATTTTTTTATTTTTTATAAGAAGAAAAGAGGAGAAGAAAACAACTTCCTTGCAATATCAAAGAGATTTGATTCATGTACGAAAATAAATTAACAAAGAAAAAAAGAGTTGGAAGTAGAAAATGAAAAGGTCAGCGTTGGTGTTGGTCTGATGCACTATACTGACCAGTGTTTTCAAAGACATGCTTTTGCATGCATCGGAGTGAGGCGAGAAATATGACAAAAAATAACATATCCAAAAAATATTAGCAAATAATGATGACTGGTCAACTACAAGAACACAAATCCAGATGCATGTGCATTATACGATGACTAGTCAACTATCAAAAACACAAACCCAGAAAATAACCAAACTGCAAACCAGAAAATTGTTCACCTAGAAACCCATCACTGGGAAAAACTAGGGGTCATCAACCGACCAGGCAATCCACTAAGCAAAGAATATTCTTACAAAGGCACACAAGCAAGCTCAAGAAATCCTAGATCTATTTAGGAAGATAACCTATACCTCATTTGTGCAATCTTCTTCTCCAACTTAGCAAAGCTAGCAGCTTAGTCCTTCATGGCAATGACAACTCCTTCTTCAGCTCTTTCATCCCTGTTAGTTTGAAAATTGTATTTTCATTTCCTAGACTCTAGCATAGGTTGGGAATTAGTGTGTGAATATGTTTTACTGGAAGTTTTGGCGCAACACAATCAATTCCGGTTTTTCGAAGCATGCCTTGATTGATATGATGAACTTGATTTCAGGTAAATCATGACATAATCATGCATTTATTATAGGATTCCTAGTTGGAGTTATTTTCACTCAAGTATTTTTATGTTAATCTAATTTTTAATAGGATTAGATTTTATCTCTTGAGATTACTTTCCTAGTTGGACTCTATTTTAATTTAAGTTAAATAGTATTTTTCATCTTTGACTTGAAAAGCACATTTTATTAATACCTAATTGGTCTCTTTGATAAGGATTGTTATCTTAAATAACAATCCTTGCATAAGCTGACGACTTGAATGGTATTAATGGTCTCCATGTTTTTTGACGTCTTTCATCTTATGCCCATACTGAATCAAAACTAATAGTCATAATTGAATAACATATGTGGTCTTGTTTTGACGTCCTTACTGTGAGTTTATATTGGATCAGGTTTGATAGTCATAATTGGATAGAATTAGTGGAGTCTTGGATTTCCCTCTTACTAAAGAGAACCATCTTTGATTAAAACGGAGGCCTTGCTTTCCAAACATATAGCTTTTCAACATATTTGGTTTTTAGCATATAGTATTCTTAATTGAAAGCTGCTGTGATATTTTTGTGATAAGTCATCAAGTGTTCCATATTTACTTGGTGATTTATCAAATCCTTTCATCATTCATATTGCATTCATATGCAAGTCGGAGACTCATACGGTTGAGGGCACCAAGACCGTGGTGGTGGTTTTCCTCCGGCGAGCTTGAAGTAATTGTGACCAGTATTGAATTCAACATAAGGAGTGTCGAAGATCATCTCGTGACAGAAGTTGAGTTACGAAGAAGTCGGTAAACATTATCTAGAATGTGTCTAGGATAAGTGTGCGAGTACTTTTTGTAATCATTGTTCTATAGTGTATTTATGTTGGATTGAGAAGTCTTGTGGATTTTCCCCAAATGTGGGGTTTTACCACATAAACTAATTCTCTACGTGTTTCATTATTTTATGTTCAGCATGTTTTAGAATTGATGAGCCATATCAATCTTGCTACCGAAGTTTATTTTTATTTATTTTATTATCTTAAATTGGCCTATTCACCCCCCCTCCCCCCCCTCTATGCATTTTTAGTCATCCTACAGGTAATTTCAATCTCATAGCACTAGCTAGCCAGCTCAAACTCGAACAGAAACCAATAATTTGGATTCAAGGAGAAATGACCAATTTCTTGAAGAAATCATGCTCTTGAAGAAACCAATCTTGAATCTGACCTAGATGTATATAAGATTGTGTTTCTTCTAGCTAGATGCAGATTTCATATTTCAAAAGCAATTTTTGAAAAATCAATTTAGAAAACTCATAGATGAAAATGGTGGTTTTCTGTTTAAGGAAGACGGAGAGAAAAAGGATAGGAAAAACCTTTTCAAAACCTCACCTCAAAGTTGACAGCTGCCAAATGAGTAATCAGTGGGCATTTACCCAAAAATTCATAAGTCAGAATCGTACACATGGCAGCTGAGAAAATTCGTAGAATAGGACAAACATGTTTGGTAAGATCCTGCTGGAAATCAGTGAGCTAGAAAACTTACTGATGCAAAAGATGTCTAGTCATACGAAAACAAGCTAACTAATCATAATCCTAAGAATTCTAATGAATGAAATGCACAAATTACCTTTGTCAATTTGATTGATCCTCCATAAGATAGCAGCCAGATAAGAATACTTAGTGCAACTATTCTTAATCTAAATTTGAGCTTGGGTAATCACAATGTATGTCCTATTACAATAACAAAGTCAAAAACAAAAAAAAAAAAAAAAAAAAAAAAAAAAAATTCAAAATTACATACACTTAACAATATATAGTTCTTCTCCTATGTGGACGTACATATATTATTACCATGCAGACTCCATTGTAAATAAAGAGGAAAGTAGGGAGGAGTTGTATAAAATACATGGCGTCTGCACGATAATAACGTCTAGATGTTCGCATAGGAGAAAATCTATACGACAAACTACATAAAACACTCCAACCTATAGGGAAGGTCATTTACGAGTTCATACCTGATTTTGGGGACATTTACTATTACATACTCAACGTCACAGAAACCCTACAATTTGCCCCCTCCATTAGCCAAACAGTTAGTGAGTCTGTTAAATGTTGACGTGTCAAAAGTGGGACCCCTTTTTTTATGACGTGGACAAATAAATAATAAAAAATTATCTACTTTTTAAAAATAATAAATATTTTTTTTATAAAAAAACCTAAACTACTCTCTCTCTCTCTCTCTCTCAACCCACCCTAACCCAGAACTCTCCTCTCCTCTCCAGCATATGCCCACCCCGCAGCCACCATCTTCCCCCAACGTAGAATTATTGGCTCTATGCATCTACGTTAATTTACTTGGTAGGTAGGCAGGCAGGTTGGTAAGAAAAGACTTGACTAAAGAATCTTATTAGGCTTTAATAAATAAGTAGGCTTTCTAATTTCTACGTTTTTCCATTTTTGTTCTTAATTTTCTGCTAATGATTAATTACTACTGTTCTTCATGCTCTCAAATTATTCCTTACAACTCAAATTAATCCCTAATTACCAGTAATTGAAGTTTAGATATGTCATTGTGTACTTGTTTGTTTGCTGAGAATGTTGAGGAAAATGAACATTTGAAATCTTGGACAGAGAGGGGCGGAGAAATTTCAGGGGAGGAGGGAAAGGGGATGGGGCTGGGGAGAGGTTTGTTGAAATGTAAATTGATTAGCTAATTTCTTGTTAGTTAGTAATTTACTTAGTCTGCTTTTACTCTTAGCTTCATTAAGCATTATGTTAATTAAGTGACTCGAGCTCATATGCCAAGTGTAAGGTGTAAAACAATCAATTAGTGTCCAACGGCTCTTAGGCCTTGTACTGCCATGTGTCACATTCACAATGGTAATGATTGGCTTATGTAAATGAAAGAATTAGAATGAACACAAAAAGGGCGTGATCTCTGCAATGGTTCTGTAGATCACACCAGAGAACTTTTCCAAAATTCTGTTTCTTCTAGCTACCTCTCTCACTCTCTCTAAATCTTGAGCTCCCTTGATAATCCAAATCCAAATCTCAACATGGTATAAGAACGAAGGTTGGATCTGGAAATGGGCGTCGAAGCTGAGCTTTGAAATCCAACGTGAAATTTCAGACTCAGTTCATTGATTCAGATCTCAAATGGCTGGGTCAAGTGGTGGTGATCTTCAGGCTCCAATATTCAATGGTGACAACTATGAATTCTGGAAGATTCAGATGAGAACCATCTTCAAATCGCACGGACTCTGGGATTTAGTTGAAAAGGGACTTGGAATCTCATAATCGAAAGGAAAGAAGATTGAGGCAGAGGGGTCGTCAGAATCAAAGACAGAAACTCTGTTAATGAAGGATGCTAAGGCACTAGGTATTATTCAAGGGGCTGTCTCAGATGACATTTTCCCCATAATTTCGAATGAAGAAACCTCAAAAGGTGCTTGGGACATTCTACATCAGGAGTTTCATGGTGATAAACAGGTCAGATCTATTAAGCTACACGGTCTGTGTCGAGATTTTGAGTACACAAGAATGAAGGATGATGAAACCTTGTCTGTGTATCTCACTCGTTTGCTTGAGTTGGTGAATCAAATGAAGGGGTATGGAGAAGATTTATCAGGAGGAAGATTAGTTCAGAAATTGCTTATAAGTATAACCAAAGAGTTTGATCCAGTGTGTTATGTAATTGAGCAAACTAAAGACATTGAAACTATTGAGGTGCAAGAAGTAATTACTGCACTAAGAGGTTTTGCTCAAAGGCTTGATAGGCATGCTGAGAGTACCACTGAAAGAGCTTTCAGTAGTATGAGTGTGAATCAGAAGGGAACCCAGTCAAGTTCTTCTTCTGGTGATGCTAAGCCAAAAAGAACTGGAAATCAAAAGGTAAGAAATGGGATTCTAAACCTCAGAACTCTGTCAATCAAGGAGGAAAACCAGATCATACTAAGGGAAAATGCAAGCATTGTGATAAACTACACTATGGAGAGTGTTGGTTTAAAGGGAAGCCAAAATGCTATGGTTGCAATCGATTTGGTCACTACATTAAGGAATGTGATCAAGCAAACAAGGCTGGAAAAGTAGCAAATCTTGCTAATTAGGTAACAGAACCTGCAACAATGTTTTATGCATGTCATTCTGCTACTATTGGAAAGAATATGAATATGTGGTATGTTGACAGTGCATGTAGTAATCATATGACCTCTCATGAGTCTTTGCTTGTGAACATTGATAAGAATGTGAAGTGTAGAGTTAAAATGGATACTGGTGATTTGGTGCAATCAACTGGCAAAGGCACTTTGGTCATAGAAATGCAGGGTGTGACCAGATACATTAAGGAAGTTATGATTGTCCCTAGTTTGGATGAGAACCTGTTAAGTGTAGGTCAAATGGTAGAACATGGATATTGGCTTGTCTTTGGTGATAATATGGTTGATATTTATGGGGATAGGCAGATGCAGGATTTGATTGCAAGTGTACCAATGAAGGGAAATAGATGTTTTCCTTTAAGCCTAGAATATGTCAAACCTTCTATGGCTAATAAAGTAACAGTTGAGGAGTCATCTTGGTTGTGGCATAAAAGGTATGGACATCTAAACTATACTAGTTTGATGCTCCTGCAAGACAAAGAAATGGTGCAAGGTCTACCTAGATTACAAGTCACAAAGCATGTGTGCTCTGGTTGTGCTACAGGAAAAGGTCATAGAGAACCTTTTGACAAGGAGAAAGTTTGGAGAGCATCACAGCCCTTAGAACTGATACACTGTGACATTTGTGGTCCAATTCAGATTACTACTCCTGCAAGCAACAGATTCTTTCTCACCTTTATAGATGATCACACTAGAATGTGTTGGGTATTCTTCTTGCAGCACAAGTCACACGTCTTCAATATTTTTAAAAGATTCAAGTCCATGGCTGAACTTCAAAGTGGCTACAAAATCAAGAAACTCATAAGTGACAGGGGTGGAGAGTATACTTCCCTGGAATTTTCAAAGTTTTGTGAAGAGATGGATTTAGAAAATCAATTGACTGTAGCTTACTCTCCACAACAGAATGGTGTTGCAGAGAGAAAGAATCGTACAGTGGTAGAAATGGCAAGAACAATGATGCATGAGAAGAAGATCCCATTGAAGTTTTGGGTAGAAGCTGTGAATACAGCTATTTATCTACAGAATCGAAGTCCAACAAGTGCTTTGGACAACACAACACCATTTGAGAAGTTTAGTGGAAGGAAACCAGGTGTCAAACACTTGAGAATCTTTGGCTCTCTATGCTACATTCACATCCCTTCACAGAAAAGGCACCAACTAGAGGAAACTGGTGAGAAGGGAGTATTTGTAGGTTATGGAATTTGTGAAAAAGGATATAGAGTATTCAATTTGAGAACTCAAAAGATTGAACTATTTAGGAGTGTTATTTTTTATAAGAAAGCCATGTGGGATTGGGAATCAAATGAGGCACAAGTGGAGGTTACAATTCCTTGGAATGATGAACAAAGCTTAATGACATCTGAGTTTGATTCAGAAGCAAGTGACTCACCTCAGTCTGTGCAATCTCCTATGAGAACACAAGCTGTCAGTGACCTGCAAGCAACTATGGATTCAGTTACACCTGATTCATCAGTTTCAACCTCTAAAACTTATGACCATACTCCAAGGAAATGGAAAAGTTTGGATGATGTGTATGCTCAATGCAAGATGAGCATCATTGAACCTGAAAGTTTCAGTGAAGCAGTCAAAGATGAAGCCTGGAAAAAGGCTATGACGGAAGAAATGTTGATGATAGAGAAGAATTCAACTTGGGAATTAGTTGATAGACCAAGTAACAAACCGATTGTGGGAGTGAAGTGAGTCTACAAAACCAAGCTAAATCTTGATGGCTCCATTCAAAAACACAAAGCAAGGCTTGTAGCCAAAGGTTACACACAGAAACCAGGGGTTGATTTCAATGAAACCTTTGCACCTGTGGCAAGGTTAGACACCATTAGAACACTCATTGCACTAGCTGCACAGAAAGGTTGGAAGCTGTGGCAATTGGATGTTAAATCAGCATTTTTGAACGGTGTGCTTGAAGAGGAAGTATATGTGGATCAACTGGATGGTTTTGTGGTTGAAGAGGCTGAAGATAAAATGTATAGATTGAGAAAGGCTCTTTATGGTCTAAAACAAGCACCAAGGGCCTGGTATAGTGAGATTGATACATATCTCATTCACTATGGTTTTCATAGAAGCTCAAGTGAAGCGACTCTACATGTGAGAAACAAAGAAGGAATTGGTGCCTTGATAATATCAATCTATGTAGATGATATAGTCTACACAGGGAGTAGTACAATAATGATGTAAGAGTTTAAAACAGAGATGATGTGCAAGTATGAAATGTCAGACTTGGGTTTATTACACCACTTTCTTGGCATGGGAGTAACACAAACTGAAGGGAGCATATTCATACACCAGAAGAAGTATGCTAAAACTCTTTTAGAGAAATTCAGACTCAAAGATTGCAAGTCAGTGTGCACTCCATTAGTTGCCACTGATAAGTTGCAAAGATAGGATGGAAGTGAAGCTACAGATGAAAGCTTGTACAAGAAAATGGTTGGAAGCCTACTATATCTAACTGCAACCAGACCAGATATTATGTTCTCAGCTAGTCTACTAGCAAGGTTCATGCACAACCCTTCTAAGAAGCACTATGGAGCAGCCAAAAGAGTTCTAAGGTATATACAAGGAACAATTGACTACGGAATTGAGTATGTGGCTGGAAAATCTGCACTATTGATTGGCTATTGTGACAGTGACTGGAGTGGATCTGAGGATGATAGAAAAAGCACCTCAGGGTATGCGTTTTCATTTGGAAGTGGCACGTTTGCATGGGCTTCTGTCAAGCAACAAAGTGTAGCATTATCAACTGTAGAAGCAGAGTATATGAGTGCAGCTGAAGCAACCTCACAAGCTATTTGGCTTAGATTAGTGCTTGAAGACTTTGGAGAGGAACAAACCACAACAACTACACTGTTCTGTGACAGTACCTCAGCTATAGCAATGGCTAAAAATCCGGTATTTCATCAAAAGAGCAAGCATATTGACAAGAAGTTTCATTTCATTAGAGATGAAATTCAAAAGGGTGTGATTGAGTTGATCTACTGTAAAGGAGAAGAGCAAATTGCCGACATATTCACCAAGGCTCTGCACAGAGACAGATTCTGCTACTTGAGAAGTCTACTTGGTGTGAAATCAGCTAGCACTTTAGAAGGGAGTGTTGAAATGTAAATTGACTAGCTAATTTCTTATTAGTTAGTAATTTACTTAGTCTGGTTTTACTCTTAGCTTCATTAAGCATTATGTTAGTTAAGTGACTTGAGCTCATATGCCAAGTGTAAGGTGTAAAACAATCAGTTAGTGTCCAACGGCTCTTAGGCCTTGTACTACCATGTGTCACATTCACAATGGTAATGATTGGCTGATGTAAATGAAAGAATTAGAATGAATACAAAAAGGGCGTGATCTCTGCAATGGTTCTATAGATCACACCAGAGAACTTTTCCAAAATTTTGTTTCTTCTAGCTACCTCTCTCACTCTCTCTAAATCTTGAGCTCCCTTGATAATCCAAATCCAAATCTCAACAAGGTTTGCGTGGAGAAGAAGGGTGGCGCTGAGTTGAGAGATTTCGGGCGATTGATGGGGGTGCTGGGCGATGAGGAGTCGCTAGGCGATTGGCTGGGGCTATTGGCTGTTAGTTCTTTTTTTGGTTTTTCTTTTTTGTTATAACTGGGTTGTATGCCAAACCCAACAAAAACAACCCCATATTCAGATCTAGGTTGTGTGTACAAAGACTGGGGAGAAAAAAAGACGAGGTTGGAGGGAAACGGAAGAAACGGGGGGCGACTAAGGTGTTTCCATATCAAGTTCACTTAATTCCAGTTTCCACTATACATAACTCTCTCAGATGACTTGAATGTTTTGCCAGAGAGAGTAGAGGCAGTTATTCGTTGGACTGTGTCTCGGCAATCTCGAAGTCAAAGTCGAATAGATTCATAATAATCTCAATTTGGACTAGGAGGAGCAAGGTGGGGCAGCCAGGATGAGGGTTGGGGGAAGATGGTGGCTGCGGGGTGGGCATATGCTGGAGAGGACAGGAGAGTTCTGGGTTGGGGTGGGTCGGGAGGGAGAAGGAGAGAGAAAGAGAGAGTTTTTTAGGTTTTTATTTTTTTAAAAACAAATATTTATTATTTTTAAAAAGTAGATATATTTTTTTTTGGTCCACGTGGAAGTCCACGTCATGAAAAAGGGGTCCCACTTTTGACACGTCAGCATTTAAAGGACTCACTAGCAGTTTGGTTAAAGGATGGGACAAATTGTAGGGTTTCTGTGACGTTGAGTATGTATTAGTAAATGTCCCCAAAATCGGGTATGAAGTCATAAATGACCCTATAGGTTGTTGGGTTTTATGTAGTTTTATATATAAATATTACTAAGGGCTTGTTTGGGAGTGATTCTAAATAGGCCAATAATTATTTCTCCATTTAATAAAGTGGGTTTAAGTAATTTTTATAGAGAACCACATAAGTGATTATGGCCCATCACAAAATCACTCTCAAATGAACCCTAAATGATCTTTATTTCGTAAAAAATCATCTTTACATTGTGATTTAGGTTTAGGAAATGAACAATTCCGATTATCATCTGAACCCTTAATCAAACTGCTGATGATGACTTAGATCATCTTCAGTTTCCCAATCATGTATGCAAGTCGAATTAATTCATGTGAGAGAGAGAGAGAGAGAGAGAGAGAGAGTAAAACCATAAAATACACACGATGGATTGTATTATGTAATATTACAAAGTAGGGCATAATTAGAAAGATGTGGAAAGTACATACCAAAACAAAAGGACTGATAATAATTAGAAAGATGTTTATATACTATATCGATCCCATATAAATGATAAGCTGCATGCTTCCCTTAGTAATAATTAAACAGCTTTATTTCTAAAGCTGTAGGAAGATTTAGCTTATAACAAACGGATCAATAGAAGCCAGGACATTGTTTTGTATTGTCTTCTTCCCCTCCTATTGGAGAGTTTTTTTGGATATATACATTAGATTCTACTGAAGAAAAGAAAAGAAAAGAAAAATTCGATTCAATCACTCAAGCACATGTGCATCTCATAATACCCTGAACCCTTCTTGGACACTTTATCCTTTGCACCGACTGTGGACCATATAACCAATTTGTTTTAGATCCCATTCCCAACAGCCACCATCAAAGAAAAAACAATGATATATACATACCCAATGGATAACAAGGGTATGTGGATAAATCCTAAGTACGTAAGACATGTTTATCGGGAAGCCATCATGGTAGTTGATGATCTGATGGCCATTGGGTCATTTACTAACTTTCCATTGTCTATTTCTTTACAATAACATGAATATTGTCTATTTCTTTGTCATTTGATTTCTTCATTTTAGAAAGAATAAAAAATAGCGTGGCATATATATGCTTACGATGGCAAGTTTACGTAACAAAACATTTCTGGCCTATCTCATGGTAGGCAAGGCCTGTGCTTGATATCTTCTCGGTAGGATAAGATATTCTTGTTCATATAACATTGCCTTAATAATAATTCCACGTAGTGGAGAAAGCATTTGCAACAGAAAAAGTTACCAAAGCCGGCAAGTACTGTCCCACAATCCCGCCACAACCTTGCATTCAATAATGCTCGAGTCCTTAATTGGGAACAAAATGGCATATTCTTTTTGTGTCAAATTAATAGTAATCAACCTAATAAGGGTTTGTTGTCGCAATTACTAAAGGAGTTCGAGGCAGACAAAGACACATGCACAAAAAAGGGAGAAGAAGGTTCCTTAATTAGGGGAAATGGGAAGGTATTAATTCCTTGCATAACTTAGTACAAGTTCACTTTGACCATTGTCACGAGGATTTAGAAACTTTCCTTCTTCTTGGTTCAAATTTCAGGAAGGAAGATAAAAGGAAAGCTCAATAATTGTACGTATAAGTTCCTCTTTACTTTTGACTATTTTGGAATTTTTTATTGTCGCAAATATTTTTTTGTTTGTTGATATTTAGAACTTAATCATAGCGTAGCAACTACGGTGTCCTTTATTATATTCTTAAAGCATCTTCAATCGATATGTCAAATTACTACATAGATATGAAATGTCAAAAATTGAATGTTAAAGTTACTCCAACCAAGTAGTCAAATCTTACATGGATTTAAAGGCTGGAAGAAATATGACAAAAAATAACATATCCAAAAAAATTTAGCTTGATGTCAAATATTATTTTAATATTTTTTAGTCATGAACCCCACTATCATTTACTCTCCAATTTTATTATTAAAAAAAAACTTTAAGTTAAAATTTATGTATCGTATGGTATCTACTAATCACATTGCTAACTAAATCTCTTATACAAGTATAACTCATCGATGAAGATAAATCTCTCACTTTTATAAGAAATGTGACCCAGGAATGATTATGGAGTAATGAATGTGAAACTAATAGCAGACACACCATTTTTATAAGGATGAGAAGTTGCTCAGTCAATCGATGGGAATACAATGGTGACCTTTTCGCTTTCTATCTCAACTCTTTTCATTATTTTCTTCTCCTCTTTCCTTCTTTCTTTTTTAAGTAAAAATTCATTGGAAAGTGATTACATAAAAAATTAAAAATTAAACAAAAAAACAAGAGCTAGTAGGAGGGCCTAGCTTTAAATATATTTTATATAACATAAGAAGTGATTATTACATATAATTACAAGCGAAACACATATACATTTAGGTGCAGAAAATAAGCTAGCTTTGTATACATAAAGCTAACTTGGTAATTGGATTTTCTTCACAATAATATATCAAGGAAAGATCGATGCTTAATTATTCCGTTAGTTCCCGCAATCTAACGCATAGGGATACTTCAGAAATAAAATATAAAATAATATAATCTACCCTAAACATAACTTTTTTATTTTATTTTAAAGCTTAGGCAGAAAGGATGGAATTACTGAGACCCTGGACCCTAGTGAATCAGATTCCACACCGATTAGGTTTATGAACTTTCACAGTTCATATGAATCATTTCCTAATCTCTTAATATATTACTAAGGACTCATTTGGAAGTGATTCTAAATAGGCCAATAATCATTTCTTCATTTAATAAAGTGGTTTAAGTGATTTTTATGGAGAACCACATTATGGCCCGTCCCAAAATCACTCTCAAATGAACCCTAAATGATCTCAATTGGATTGATATTTTGTAGAAAATCATCTTTACATTGTGATTTAGGTTTAGGAAATGAAAATTTTCGATTATCATCTGAACCTTTAATCAAACTGCTGATGATGACTTAGATCATCTTCAGTTTCCCAATCATGCATGCAATTCGAATTAATTCATGAGAGAGAGAGAGAGAGAGAGAGAGACTAAAACCTTAAAATACGTACAACACACGATGGAGTTGTGTTATGTAATATTACGAAGTAGGGCATAATTAGAAAGATGTGGAGAGTACATACCAAAACAAAAGGACTGATCATAATTAGAAAGATGTTTATATACTATATTGATCCCATATAGTTGATAAGCGGCATGCTTCCCTTAGTAGTAATTAAACAGCTTTATATCTAAAGCTGCAGGAAGATTTAGCTTATAGCAAACGGATCAATAGAAGCCAGGACATTGGTTTCAGTACAAAAGCATTCATGATCATATGATTAACTAATAATAACGCCTATTACGAGTGATGACTGGGGTTGGTTTATTGGTACGAGTAGAACTCGTATCATATTTTTCTGTGACACATATCCCACCATACTTCCGCGCAGCCTCGTCTGAGTTGATGACATGGTTATTGTAAGGCCTTTGCTGCTTCTGTGGAGCTCCGTGATTCTCCATGTTGGAGACGTAGTGGTCATAGATTCGTACTGCCTCGTCAGAGCTGATGACAGAGTTATTGTAAGGCCTTTGCAGCTTTTCTGGAACTCCGTGATTCTCCATATTCGTCGCCACCACTGGAGCTCCATATCGATCTCCTTGCTTTTCTGGAGCAGGAGAAGAGGAAACTTGATTCCCCATGTTAACTACAACTTAAAACTGATTACAAGTTTTGCTTTGATTTGAATTCCTTGGGGACCAAACCTCATTATATATAGTAGTCTCATTACTCACACAAGCTTATAATAATACTCCATCCTTAATTATTGGCCACCACAGAATATGTTATATGTTATATAGGACTTGCTTAATTAATTAGTTATAATTCTTTTATTAAAATAAAATAAAATTAGATTTCTCTCTCCATAGTGCGCTTTTGAATTTAGTATATGATATACACAATCCCGATCTGTTGAACCACAAGGGTCCAAGAGATTGTGGTCATCCACCGTTGGATATTAATCCAATAATTCAAAAAAGTTTCTTAAAATGAGTACAAGAGTGAGTGAATCGTTGAATTTACATTCAATGGTGAGTGACCACAAATCTCTTAGACCCCTCTAGTCCAAGAGATCGGGTCTGATGATATACATGCTTTCTTCTCATGCCATTGAAAAAATCAGGAAAAAAAGAGGATTTCCATGAGTCAGTAATAATTTGATTCAGTACTCCAGGAGTCAGTCAAAAAGTGGATTGATTCTTGTTCTCCTGTATCCTGTGCTCTTTTGTTTTTGCAGTTATGATATTAGTGTTTCTATATTATAATAAGTAGGATAATATCTATTCACCTTTCGAAATGATACTTGCGTTTGTTATTTCTTTATTTATAATACCTTTAATTAAACGTTAGCTTTTTAAGTATTTCTACAAATATTTGGTGAATCAGATTAATTCACTCTTGTGTGTGTGTGTATATGCATGTTGACAAGTCTACCAATAAGAACACTATAAGTATAACTAAATAAAGGAGCCTGTTAATTTGGTGACACGCAAGCATCTTCTTTGCTTTTCTTTTCCATATAGATACATAATCATTAGCAATTGGATTTATTCTTCTACGGCCATAATAAAGAAATATAATAAAAATCCTAAACGAACCTTTTTTTATAAATAAAAAGCTTAGGTAGGCAGAAAGAATGGCAATCAGTGAGTCCCTCGACCCAGGTGAATCAGATTCCGCACAGATTAGGTTTATGAACTTTCATAGTTTCGTTATACAAATCATTTCATACCTTAATCCCTCAACATAATATAATATCGTTTAGTTCCCCTCGAAATTATGATCAAATTCCACTTTACTACTGCAAATCAAAGTGACTCACATTATCCCTTGACCAAGATTGGGAGAAATTATACAATGGTACCGTATCACTACGTCAGCTGGTGATACTTCCATTCAAAATATGCCACGTATTATTATTATTATTAAATAATTATAGCTTTTTTTTTTAACAGCTGGACTTTAAATATGTTTTTATCTTTAAAATAAAATTGAGAAAATAAGAATATCCAAAAGACATAAGAACCACCGCCCACCCCCAATCCTGGTTCCCTTGACTGACGCGACCTCCCTATCATTTTCTTCCTCCATCCATCCCTCTATTCCATAAACAACAACCATATCTCTATTTCATTGGACTGACGTGCAGAGAGCATCATAATGCCTTCTTCTTTTTTGGGTTGATTTTTCTCCACAATATTACCAAAGGGATTAAGATTCTCCTTCTCCTCCTCCTCCATCACTCACTTCCTGATACATATTAAGACAAAAAACACCAACCCAGTTTACAGTTTACTTTTTTTTTTTATTGAGCTATGCTTGAAAATGAAACCCAAGTTGAAGATTTAGATTTTTTTTCGAATTGGGTTTAAGTGATGGATACTCCTGACATACTTAGAATATATGATATTGGTTTTGTTTTCTGCTCCCATGGTTTAAGAGATCTTGCAGATTTTTATGGAGAGAGAGGGAGGGGGCGGCAAGCAGTGGGAGTGGGAAATTGGGCTGGGTTGGGGTGGTTATGGCGTCTTTTGTTTTTTGTCTTTCTAAAATTTTATTCTAAATGTAAAGAGTGCTACTATTTCCACCCCTCAATCTTATTTCCCCACCCACCTTATATTCTCACCCACCATGTAAATTTGAAAAAACACAGTTCTATTTTTACACCCACTATTATTCCTAAAATATTCTTTAATTATTAATTCAAGTAAATTCTCCTTTCATTCAAAGCATGCTTCAAACCTACAACCTATGTCAATCAAAACGCATGGGATCCTTATTAAAAATAAAGAAAAATAAAGAAAATCGCTCTCAATGTTCATCGTCTCTCCATTGAACGAAAACAATAACGGAGAGAAATGCTAGAATTAGAAAGAAGATGAAGAGCAAACTGAGCAAATGAAACAGAAAGCTTGTGTCCTTGGGTTTAGAAGCTGAGGAGAAATCTGATGGAATTGTATTGGACCTAGTTGGAAATTTTGAAGCTTTATTGGAACTTTGATTTGGGTTTGGTCGGGATGAGGGAGAGAAGGGAGGGGTTGGGGTTGACATGGATGAAGGAGAATAGGTGTTTTTTAAAATAAAATAAAAAACAAATCTAAATCTTTAAAAGTCATTTTACAAATGGATAAATTTGTTTTTAAATTTTGAATATAAAGGTGGGTGGGAAAATAGGATAGGTGAGTGGAAATAGTAGCACTCATGGTCTAAAATATCGATGATATTGGAAATATCGATGATATTGGAAATATCGATAGTCTAAAAACATGGAAATTTCGATGGAAATATTGGGATATTATCGATATCGATAAAAATTGAATAAAAACCATGGAAATTGTAAGAAAAACTTGGAAATTTTTATTGAAACTTTGGAGAATGTTTATTTAGTCAATTATCTATTAGTTTATAAATAAAAAAATTATAAGGAAATGCATTACATGATGGATTTAACTGATTTAAGTTGATTATACAGCGAACTGACAAAAACGGTGAATGTAGAAAATATGTAGTAATTAATGAAAAAAAGATTAAACACACCATAATCATTTATATATAATGATTTACTACAATATTTTACACTTTATATATTGCATGATAAGATACATGAGTGACTTAGTACCACATAGAGTTCCTATGAGGTTCAAATTTTTCACTATCTTCATCATCTCTATGTGTAGAGTAAGTTTATTGTGAAGAGTATTCATCAAATGATAAATCCCCAAAATAGTTTTGCATGTAATTGTTAACATGTCACCCATATAAATATAAATATTTTAGCATATTATCAATAAAACATAAGTAATATATGGTGGTTAAGGTGTTGGAGGAGTAAAATAGGAGAGGTTCAAATCCCCTTTGTGTTTTTTTTTCCTTTTTCTTTCTTTCTTCTTTTTCCCTTTTTTTTTATTTTCTTTTTTTTCCTTTTTTTTTCCTTTACAATGATATTTTCAATATTTTAGCGATATTACACTGATATTTTGACAAAATATTACTGAAGTGTGATCGAAATTATCGACATTGATATTTTTCGATATTATCGTCGATATTGTCGATATTTATACGATATATATATGGTTATGTTCCGAAATATCCGTGATTCAAAAAATAGAAATATTCTCGATATTTCGTCAATATTATCGATATTTCAGACTATGGTAACACTCAATGTAAATAATGAATTTTAAATAAAGCTTGTAAAAAATCAAATGTATTTAAAAAAAATTGACACATGGCATATTTTGAATAGAAGTATCACCAGTTGACGTGGTGATACGATACTATTCTATAATATATCTCCAAGATTGGAGAGGGTGGTTTACATTGCAACCAACGTCAAATCCGTCAAAAAAAAATCCGTTAAAATCGTGGTATTAGGCCTACTTGCAAACCGATCCGTCTCCGAGCCCTTACAAGGCCCAATTAATGTGGGGCAATACTTTTATCGATAAATTCCAATCCCACCGTTTGGATTTCAAAAAGCGAGGGAAGAGTGTTGACTCTGGACGAACAAGCCTTCACATTTATCACCCAACCGAACCGATTCACCGTCTCGCTCTCTCTCGCTCTCTCTGAATCTGATCAGAGCAAACAATGGCTGACGGCTGTTTTTGTCTCCATCCCTCCTCTCTCATCTTCTACCGTTTCTTTTTTGTCCCTTCATATATTTATGTTGAAGGGCATCTTCACCTTCATCTGCTTTTTCTTCCTCCTCTTCTGTATCACTCACTGTAATATTTCTCTATCTGCTTTGCTACCTTTCTCTTCAGTCCCTGTCTCTCTCCCTGTCTCTCTCTCTCTCTCTCTCTCTCTCTCTCTCTCTCTGGTGTTGTGTGTGAGGACTGAGGAACTTCCACCATGAAAAAGTGGATTCAGAACACGCTCGCTGCTCACTGCAATGAACTTGTTTCTCTTCTCTCCAGGTCTCTCTCTCTCTCTCTCTCTCTCTCTCTCTCTCTCTCTCTCTCTCTCTCTCTCTCTTGTTTTTAAAATGGAGAGTTCGTTTTGAAAATATATTTAAAAAGTAGATGTGGGTTTTTGAGAAATTAGAGATGTTGTTATGTGGAAAGGTTTGTTGACCGAGGAAAGGGGATACTACAATCTTATCAAATCATAGACGAGCTGGAAAAAGTGATTCAAGAGGATGAAGGATTGCAGAAGCTCAAGGACAGCCCCTTCAGCAAAGTCTTACAGTCTGCCCAGGTCAGTCAATTTTGCTACACACACTTGTGCTATTGTCTTTTTTATTATTTATTTTTCCATTTTTGGTGCACAAATATATTAGTTATGTTCTTGTGCTTGAAATGAGAATGTTATGTTTCTGGGATTTCTTTGTCCAGTTCATATGAGGAAGTTATTTTTTTTCTTAGAAGATGACAATTTAAACGTTACGATTTAAAGTTCCAAGTTTCCATTATGTGCAAGCTAAGAAAGCATAAATCTGTTGTGTGGAAGCATCACTAACTGTGAGTGAAAAATAAACAACAATTGACAAGAGATAAAAAGAACAAAACAATACCAACAAGAACACCAAGATTTATACTGGTTCAGCAATGCCGACATCTAGTTTGGAAATGACGGAGTAATTCACTATAATCAAATGAGAGAATACAATAGTGTTTAACACTCAAAAACCCAAGCTCACACACTGAAGAATATAAAGGGAATACAAATTAAGTAGAATTTGAAGAAAGGAAAAAATAACCAACGGCAGCCACAAATTGTTTTGCTGCCCAACTATTATTTTTTCCTCTCACTTCTCTCTCTCTCTCTCTCTCTCTCTCTCTCTCAGTTTTTGGTGCGGCTCTCTCCATCCGAAGGATGAGTGGCTATTCAAAGGAGCCAATGGGTGGGCTGCTAATCAAGTCAAACCAATTAATTAGTCAAAGTCCAATAATTAATGTGCCCACGGCTCAATATAAAGCTGCCCATAATAAATGCATTCCCATGCAATTTGTCTGCCAATCGACAAAATACCAAGATAAACAGCCGAAAGCAACCAATCAACTAAATTTCAAGGTTGTAGGTGCATTATTGAGTCAAATAGTCAACAAAATCTTCATTGTGCATGGCTTGTAACCTTGGTTGAGGTGAAATTTTGATCTCAGGCACTGATGACAATCAATGGGATTCAGCACATATATTTTAGTTTCCCTAATTTTTAGATGCTTTATGCAAGAAGTTCGTGCTGGTGAGGTAAGGGGCCGTTTTACAGTCAATTGGACAGAGGTAGTTATGCTGCTATGATGTTTTAAGTGACATATGTATTTGCAATGCAGTATACATGTTCATTGGGTTTTGATTTGTAAGCTTCTTTATTTTTTGCCGTAAGTGAAATGGAAAAGGCACTTTGTTGGTATTTTAAAGTGGTCATCACATTGAGTTTCTGTTTAGTGTACCAAGCAAAGAAGTGCTCTCTTATGTCTTTCATGCAATGTCCAAATACTCAATGAATAGCTAACATGGGTCGAAGTGGTCTTTGTAGTTCTGGTTTTCTGATTCATTCTTTATTTTTCATTTAGGAAGCAATGTTCTACACCTCCTTTCGTTGCTCTTGCATTTCGTCCAAGACCTGGTGTTTGGGAATATGTTCGAGTCAATGTGTATGAACTCAGTGTGGATCATTTGACTGTTGCAGAATATCTTCAGTTCAGGAAGAAGACTTATAGATGGAGAGTAAGGGATCTCTCATAGTAATCTTTGTTACTGAAATTTGGAATTTATGCTGAATCTCTGCACTTTCTACCTGGTGTAGCATTACATAGTGCCGACCGACTAAACAGTTTTACTTTGCTCTTTCAAATGCTGGTCCACAGTACATCTATTTGAACTGATTTTCCCTAGGTGCAATGACAACTACGTCTTGAAATTGATTTCGAGCCATTTAATGCGCATTCCCTCGACCAACCGGTCATCATCATTGGAAATGGGGTTCAATACCTTATCGTCACTGATATTATTATCTGTTCAGTAAAAAAAGAAAGTTGGAGCCTCTTGGATTTCCTTCGTACGCACAAAAATATGGCCTGTAAGTTGAAATGGAAAGTATGATTTTACAGACTGAGTTACACATTGCAGTTCATCATGAATTTTTTGGCCCATACTTTTTTTACTGGACTTTTCTTTGCTTGCATTTAAATTGAGTGTAACCTACATTGGTCCACCGTAGGTTCTATCTCTCCCTTTCCTAAAGCCGGCATGAATGAATATCCAAACAAAGTTTTAAATCCTGATAGAGGTTACCTTTTGACTGAATGATATAGTTGTGAAATCTTGTGCAGGCAATGAGGCTAAAAGCGATCGGATTCATAGCATATCGAGACTTCAGTGGTTAGCAAAGGCAGAGGGGGGGGGGTATCTTCTAGTTTCCTCACAACTACACATTTCTGAATTTCAGTATGAGTAGAAACTCATCTATATTCAAAGATTTGATTGCCACTACTTTTGAGAATGATGTGATTCCTTTGGCTATTACCTTTGAGTGTCGATGCAACATAGTCTTCAACCTTTGAACACTAAATGTAGCTTGCAAGGCATGGGTTTGAGAGAGGTGGGTGACCACAGCACAGCGGGGTCAGAGATGGTGCATCTACTCTTGGAAATGTCGTCAGGCTCCTGATCCCTCTATACCTGGAAACTTTATCATAAAAAAAAAAAAAAAAAAAAAAAAAAAAAAAAAAAAAAAAAAAAAAAAAAAAAAAAAAAAAAAAAAAAAAAAAAAAAAAAAAAAAAAAAAAAAAAAAAAAAAAAAAAAAAAAAAAAAAAAAAAAAAAAAAAAAAAAAAAAAAAAAAAAAAAAAAAAAAAAAAAAAAAAAAAAAAAAAAAAAAAAAAAAAAAAAAAAAAAAAAAAAAAAAAAAAAAAAAAAAAAAAAAAAAAAAAAAAAAAAAAAAAAAAAAAAAAAAAAAAAAAAAAAAAAAAAAAAAAAAAAAAAAAAAAAAAAAAAAAAAAAAAAAAAAAAAAAAAAAAAAAAAAAAAAAAAAAAAAAAAAAAAAAAAAAAAAAAAAAAAAAAAAAAAAAAAAAAAAAAAAAAAAAAAAGGTGTAATCAGGTTTCAGAAATCGGTGCTGAACATGGACAGGCTCACAAATTGTGTTCTACCTACTAATCATTGCCGGAGTGAAACCGGACCCAACCGTGCCGTCCATTAACACCCCCGCCCAATCTCAGTGTGGACTATTGGACCATGCATGTGCTGACCCCCACGACCACAACTTATGACTCGATCTCCTGCCCCGTGCGCTGCGTCCGCGGAAAACAATCGTCCCCCAGAGACCAATTTCTCAACAAACAAAAAAAACTCAATCTTTATCCCCTATCTAGGGTTATCTGGTCTTACAAGTCCAACCCAGAAAAATAAAAGCTTAGCCAAAGCCTTACATGTCCTTTAAGTTTTAATCCTTTATATTTTCTTTCCTGAGAAGAAAATAATGGACCCAATGGACAAATCAGAGTCGATTTGCTGCATTCTGATAGCATTTACTTCATTGTGGGAATCATTAACAAGAAGCTCGATGTGAATCAGTTCCAAAATGTCCATTCTTGCCGCAATGGGCTATCGGATTCTTGTCTCGGATCGTTGAAACGGGGCATCCAGGTATTTATTTATAACCTTTCTGTTCTGATTACATTTGGACATTTGCGTTTCTATTTTTATTGAAATCGTTTTGTGAGCTTTTCAATATGTGTGTTTTTTTGGGATTTTTTCAATTGTCTGTTTCTGGGTTGTTGTTCTATTGGTCCTGCTCTCACATAGATGAGCAATTGCATATGGATTTATAGTGCTGGAGCTAAATAAGATATATTAAAGTATATTTTAAATCTTGGAGTGGTCTTCTTTACTAAAAAAAGGATCAGTTTTCTTTGTAAAGATTCCCCCTTTGTTTATGTATATGTATGTGCATACATACAGCTCTTGATATTTATCAGAGGTTTATTTCATAGGTGATTTACTTAGACAGACTCTGCTTTTGAATACTTATCTAATATAGTAGTAGAGTGCTCATTTGTGTGGTGATTGCAGGACTAGTTCCCTGTGCAGTGACCATTTGTGTGGTGATTGTAGGACTAGTTCCCTGTGCAGCACAAGAGATTGAAAGGTTTTCTGAAGATACGAGAAACAAGGTTTGTATGCCAAAGATTGGGGCACAAAGTTCGGATCTTAGCCGAGTTTCAGCTAGATTTTTGGTTGCTATTTCTCCTATTTGGTCAAAGACACTACTTGTGCAGAGACTTTTGCATTTATACGGAAGAGCTTATTTTATTTGGGCTTGATGTATTATGCTTGAGGATTAAAAGAATGAAATTTTTGGATATGCTTCAAAATCCCGCGTTTAGAACATTAATGAATCATCAGAAAGGCTTCAGCTTTAGATGTTAATAAGGGATTGAATATGTATTAAGCAGAGTCTAGTGTATGGATCCCTGGTGGTGCTTTCCTCTTAGTCATTTACCTGTCAAATTCTGTGACTCATCTTTGATGTTCCCTGGAAAAAAATCTTTCTTCTTTCATTGTTCTTTTGAGTTATTCCCATCTGTAACTTATCCTTGATGGATGCTTCTTCTTGCAGTTAACTTCATAGCTGTAATAACATACCACATTTTGTCTGACAGTAGGATTTTTGGGTTGCTTATTGCCTAAGTTTTGTGCAAAAGAGCTATTTTTTTTAAAAAAAATTAAAAAGGGCTTTAATTTCTTTTCTTGGTTACTCAAAAAGAGTGTTTGTTTCTTCGTCTTTCTCATTCATCTTACTCCTTTAAATTTTGGAATGCAGTGATCTCAACACCCTGATAGTGAAATGGCGAAATCACAAGGCATCACAGTTTCTCCTCCTGCGCAGCAGCAAGGAAGCAAAAATGTTCAGACTGGACGTCCCCAGAATATACTCACCTTAAGCTTGACTAAAGGAAATACAACATATGATGAATTTAAACATGGATTCCCATCTGATGGCTTATCCACTGCATCCAATAAATGGTGGGGAAGCAATAGCCCTGATGGTTATGAGAGCATCCATGGAGAAGGAGATGAGACTGATGAAGACAAGAAACATCAGTCGGAAAAATTGGCAGGTGATGGTGCAAGTTCAACTGTAGTGGACAAAGAGAAATGTGAAAGTGGGAAAGAAGAGAACATTAGTTCCCAAGGAACAGATTTACTGATGGCTGTGAGAAAAAGAAGTCTGGAAGAAGGGCAAAAAGCACTTAAGCTTGGTGTTTTACGGGGTTATGGTGAAGCTAGGCAGAAGGGAGAGGGCATTGCTTCTCCGAATATTCTCTCTTCAATCGTAGTTTGACTGCTCTGGACATTATAGATTATATATATTCATGTTAGGTTACACAGTTTTTTCTTTCGACATGATTGACAATCATATTGAATTCTCAATCTGAATGGCATTTTCTTTTTTTATTTGGCCTCAGTCTGAATGGTATTGTTTTGTTTTTCTTTATGATGACCATGAGTTTCATAGACCCCATTGGTTGATGGAATCTTGAGAGAGGTTTCCAAACCACAAAAATATTGTACTGCTACTGTTTACCCCACAAAATCATTGTCCCTACTTCCTTTTCATTTGTTGCAATGGCTGTTTGGCATTGATTGGTTTATTTATTTTTGCTTTTGTTTTTGCCTCTGGTACTGTATTCATGTCTTTGCTTGCTAGTTCCCTTTTTGGGGTTTTCAAAGGTGTAGCTTTGGTGGTTTTCAATGCCACTGCTAGTGCATCTTCTTCTTATTTCTTGTCAAAGTTGATAGGGAGGCACATCACATTGTCTTCTCTATTAGGCCTGACAAGCTACAGTTTTTCCCAAACCAGGTAAATTCAAATGTCTCAATATCTCTCATTGATAGGGCTCTCTCTCTCTCACAAACGAGCTACTTAAGTAGCTATCAAATGGTCAACAGCGAACGTTAAATACTGCACCATCATCACCCTCTTCACCAACCCACTTTGCTCGTTGCATTTTTTGTACAAGAGCTCCACGGTTCGTGTAAGTTCTCATTGCTTCTTTGATCAATTTGCTTCGAGTTAGCTCAAAAAACTTAAACTGCAATGCTTCTAATTCTACTTTGAAAGATTGGAATGAAATGAGCAAGTTTCTTGGCAGTTGGCCCCCAATTGTGGAACTAATTATCTGGGATTAGTTCACTGCTCAAAACAATATGGTAGCAATAAATGAGCAATAAAGTGACAATAGATGAGCAATAAACATGCAATACAAAAACAATACGGTAGCAATAAACGAGCAATAAAGTGACAATAGACGAGCAATAAACATGCAATACAAAAACAATACGGTAGCAATAAACGAGCAATAAAGTGACAATAGACGAGCAATAAAATACAATAAACAAATTGTGGGCTTTTCTTTTTCTTGTGCAATTTGAAAAGAAAAGGGGAAAGAAACAGAAATTGTCAAGATAAAACTGCAAAAAGAAACAGAAAGTGATTATATCAGACATTTCCCCTTACAAAATTCTATACTGATAATGATAGCCACCCCAAGCTAAGGACGGCTCGGCATAAATTAATACAACTTCAGTCAGACTATGGCATTATACATATCCCTTGAAATACAATATACAAATTGCTGGCTCAAAGAAGAGTAACAAAATTTTGATTCCAAATCTAGAATTTCAGTACAAATTGATGACTATAATGTCTGCATCCATCTTGAAGATGAAATTCTTTCCACCATCTTGGAGGCCTGACATAATGCTCTTTGATAGTCACCCACCCTTCTTTAAAAAAGTTCGTCTTTCCTCTGCAGGAAAAAAAGAAAACAGAAAAACCAAGATCAAGATCAATTGTCCTCCAAAATATAGCTTAATTCTGCAGAAGATACTAGAGATGATTTGAGGCCATTAATACTCGAGGGCTATCCTTCAAGCTTAAGTAATTCATCATGCATCTGATCCATAATGAAGCTAAGGGAACTCTTGAGCATCTTCTTGTCTGAAAAAACAAAAATAGTTTCAATAGGCAAAAATAGTATCAAATTTTGGACAAGCTAGGTAAATACATCTCAGATATTAAAGATTGTAAGAATAAACATACCTGGAATTAACAATGCTGGACTTCCATCCCTTGGATTTGAGGTTTTATCTACAATGACAAAAGTGGCCCCATTTTGGATCTATCCAAATTAACAATGAAGAAGAGTGAAATGCAAAACATGATATGATTCGTCAAACTCTCAAAACTAGGTCAAAACATAATCAGGGTAAATGCCATAAGAAAGGCCATGACTGAAAACGCACTGACCCAATATCCTTTTTCTTTTTCTTGATGTACCAATAGTACTTTTAGAAGGAAATAAATAAAACATATTCTTCCACTAACATATATAGACATGCCCACTAATTTTTATTTGGCCAAGGAATCCAGGTTCTTACACCCTACAAATAGCTTAGGTAAAGATCAACCTATTTATTAAATGTCCACAGCCCCAAATTCACTGAGCTTCACATGGATATACAATGCCTCTTCTATAGATTACTATTTTCCAATGACTTGACAACTTTTGCTCATCTTGGATCTTCTTTAATTACGAGGAAACTAAACCAAAAAAAGGTGAGAAAATATCATGAAAAGAAAGTTATTAGATACTCATAAACCATTAAAGATTCTACTCAAATATAAAATCTCTATAACACGTTTATCCGAAAGTCTCTATTACTCTTGTTTAATTCAATTGCAAGACCAAGAAGATTGTTATTACTCTTCACCACCACAGGAAAAAAAAAGGAAAGGTAAAATATAAACATTCACAAATTACCTCATCAACTACATTGTCAAGTAGATCTGCTATGGCTGAAAACAAGAATAAAAAAAGGAATGTACTGTCCTTGTCAAAAAGGAAAAAAGCACAACATACATAAAGTTGAATTCATTAACATATACATAAAAAGAATGAAGTAAGATTGAATTTACCACAAAATGCCCATTTATGTGAAGTGGCATTTGCATGAAGGAACATTGGGTGGACATGTAGATAGTTTTTGCCATTTGTGATCCAGAAAGAGGAAGTCATAGAACATACCATGCATAAACTATATTAGATGCAGAAGATTGCAAATATTGCATTGTATATGAAAAACCGTATGATCGAAACAAAAGTCATCACCAGAAAAATCATGAAAACTCGTGAAAGAGCCTCAACATAATTAGTTGGCCTACTAATCAGACAATATATGCTTTAACCACCAATAATAGTAAAATTCCAGATGCACTACACTCAAGTACAAAATATAACAGTAGATAGTAGAATACTTTGAATTGTGACTTTAGAACCAATGCCATCATTGTAGTTCCTAGCTTTCCAAAATTGCCGACAAAGTGGTGCTGGAGATCAAGGCGATGTATAAGAAAGGCCAGTATCATCCACTGGTGACTGCCCTTGGTCTAATATACTAGAGCTACTGTGACCAGTACTTAGAGCATTTGAGCTCCTATTTTCTTCAGATTCTCGTATTGCACATGGGGTTTTTGACTTTTGATGCTTCGCAAGTAGAGCCTTATTGTTCTCATTTGTTGCAATTTTCTTGCAACGAGACCTGGCTCCAACTTAACAGGTTTCACATCAACCTCTCCAAGTTCATCATCGCTGGATAAATCTACAATGTCTGTTAAGGTCATCTTGCACACTAAAACAGAAATTAAACATGCATGCAACCAGGTAAGCATTTTAAATAAACAATGGGCATAACTCCTACAACACCACAACATCAAAAAGCAAGCAGGACATGAAAATTCACATTCAAAAACCCAAGACATTGACAGATCAACAAAGACTAAATGAAGTCTTTTTCATAAGGTGTTTTACTCAATGGAGAAGCAACAAGTCAAAATTACACCAAACTCAATCATGTAACCTGATCTTCTTTTGGTAAGAAAATGAAAATTTATTAAAGAAAGAAAAAAAAAACGATTACAAAAACAAATGGACAATAGATCGTTCGGAAACAAATTTAAGCTAATAACATCCCAAGAGAAACAAGAAAACAGGCACAAGAAGCCTACAAGGCCAAACATAACCACACCCTTAAATACCACTTTATACAATGTGAATTTGCTATTAAGCAATTCAAGCGAATAAAAGGTTAGGGAATTTTTGTTGAAAAGCAAAAGACTGTTTCATGAAATCAGCTACACAAAGGTCCTACAAAAATAATCAGAGAAATTCATAGGTCTCACCAGATTAGGTTTTCGCAACAGAGGGAGAAAGAGAGTGGTGGTGGTCGATGGAGAGAAAGCGCTGAGAGAGGAAGAGAGAACCGTGAGAGAGAGAGAGAGAGAGAGAGAGAGAGAGAGAGAGAGAGAAGTCAGAAGTGTTAGGGTTGATACATCTGCTTTTATATGGAGGGCACTTTGGTCATTTCACGTCCCCAAGTGATTATATTAGAACACAATTTGTAGCCTGATCATTTCAGCACACTATTTCTAAAACCTGATTACACCAGCTTATTTCCCAAGAAAAAAAGACGGATAATAGATGCACGGGCGGTATCCTAAAGAAAGCAAGTGTGAAATAGTTTGATAGAACAAGGCAAAATAACAATTCTGGTTGATCCTTATTTCCGGTAGAGCCTCCACCTCCTGTTGCATCTTCAACAGCGAAGTTGTTCAGCTTCATTTGGCAATCGCATATATATAGGTAAAGATAACAATGGATAAAAGCTTGAAATAAATAAGAATAAGAAAGGTGGCCTGGATAATGGATTAGGTGAAACTGCTCATATTAAAACAGAGAATAAGACAAGACAATCTAATTTTCTCTGGCGCAATGCGTTGAAAAGGTCAGCTAATTGATTTTTTTATTTTTGTGGTCAAATTATACTTCATTGAACCCGGAAAGGGGAAACCGGAAGAACAGACAAAGACTGGGAGATTAGAGCCAAAGACAACCGCTTAGCCAACATGCCAGCACCAAAATAAAACAAATCAAAAGACAGGTTGAAAAGGGGCACTACTAAAATGGTGTAAAACCACCACGCCCATTAGATGACGGTACAAATAAAATCTGTCAGTTGTTATAAAACCGTCGTGATAAGGTATGAAAAAATAAATTGTGTTGAATTGATTTTAAGCAGGAACTGTCGTGCTTCTAAGAGGCGCTAAACGACTTGAAAAATCGTCGTATTTATCTCGACGGTTTTCAAGGCATAAAGACGACAACGAAAATCCGTCATCTATTACGATTTTTGTAGTAGTAGGAGTCCATCAATGACCAGTATGCTTTATAATATTAGAGACGGTAGTAGCCTATTGGCCCAAGTCTCCACTTCCTTCCACCGCTCGCAAACCAAGCCTTGCAGCTTCAAGGGCCGCCCGAGTTCTCTTCCCAGGACCACTGAACTTCATCAAAAGACCCAGCAAGCCTTTGAGTTTCATGCAGCATCTAATTCCATCTAATTGGAATCAGATTAATTGACCACCCTCCTCATTCCTTCTTGTGCAGCTAATTGATTGGGTGAAACTTTTCATCCCATGCAGGACAAAGGAGAGCCACATGCCCGCTAATGCAAACGAGTGAGACATTTCGAAGTGGCCATTGTTGTGTCCTCCAATCATTCATATATACTTTTCATTGTTAGGGACAGATTATGATTTTTACAAATGATCTGCTAGGGACAGATTATTGCTTTTTACAAAATTTTAAGTAAATAATGTTAGGGATATTAAATTTGTGCTTTAAATTTGAGTCTCAAATGATTTGGCACATGCCACGTAATAAAATATTAAATAAGAATTCACTTGGATTATGATTTAGTTAATTTCTTTTAAGAAAAATAAAAAATAAAAACTTTATACATGCCAACCCTAATATTAATGTATCTTTGCTAGGGGTAAAATCCCCAATTCTATACATATATGTAATGTGAGCCCATGAAATTTTTTGGAATTTTAGTTCAAGCAAATGTGTGGAAATGATGCGCTGGACTTGTTCTAGTACTTGTTGCCAAATTTGCCAATCCCAACACGCTCGCCTTTGTTCGAACCGATTCTATTGTCATCAATGTTGTAGTTTCAACCCTTACATGCATGCTTGATGCTCATCTCAACACCACCTCCCCTCCACCTTCATGATATTCGTTGTTAAAGTCGAAAATCCCAACGTATTTGCCTTCTTGCGCCATAATTACATTCCTGCGAGGTCTCGTTGCTTTCATTAATAATTTTAGTTATTCTTTTTGGTTCTTAAAAACAAACCGTCTATGAAACATTTAATTGTCCGAAATGAATCTCTAGATTTATAGCTTGTCAAACCCTAAAACGAACTAATTTTATGTTTAAAATAATTTTGGAATTTCAACATCCATTCCGATTCAGAAAAACTTTAAATTTTCGGAATATTTGGAAAACTACGAAACTTATATACTGCAGAATTTTTTTGAAAAACTTCAGAAAATAATTCAAATTTTAAACATGCTTTAAGCATTTGAAACGTTAAGATCGGCTCAAAATTGAAACCCCAATATATTTCAGAATTCTAAATTTTCATAGTCTTGAGCTGTGTTCCAATTCCAATCCAATTTTTTCAGAATTTTTGGATTTCAAAACTTTTTTTTCATGTCATATTTGATTTAGAAGTGCAAAAATTAGAAATTTTGGAATTGGAATCGGCTGAAATTGAAATTTACAATCCAACCTGCACCTCTAGTAGAAATGAAAACAATAAATGATTTTATGGGGATTGTTCATCTCCTACTACTGGCATAGGTTTTCCACAATCTCTTTTGTGTCATCACTAACAATAATTCTTGGTCATGTTCGTCAAAAAAATTTATTCTTAGTTTCGAATTTTTTAGGATTATCATAGCCTATGGGCCGCCTAATCACATGGGTTGTGCGCAATTGTAGTCACTGAAGAGTAGGACCCCTTGCACTTTGGTTACATTCAACCCTACCTAATCCCAACCCTATCACTATAAGAGAGTTTTCGTATGCGTACCCAAAAATGACTCTAACGTGAATAGCCCCTACTTCGCACTTACTTTCCACCATAAGAAATGTGAAGTCTCAAAGTCCAAAATATTCAATAAAAGAAAACAAAAGGAATTTGAGAAATTGTGTTCACACTCATAAATTTGTTTGTAATAAAATGACAAGTAAAATTTTTCTCTTCATAAATGACAACTAAAATTACCACAATGAGGTGAATGGCTTATATATCAAAAGTAAAAATAAAAGTATATCAATTTTTTGGACACTTGAAAAGTATCATTAAACACAACCTCACACTTTCACTTCACCCATATCTTTAACTCTGTGACCTCTAAATGACATAAATCTACCTAGGTTGTGTGAAAGGAGTACCATGCGGGAACAAATCGTCCAAATATTCACACCACCCTACCACACAACTACTCTCTCAACACCAGTTTACACCCCATTAGTAAGTTGAATAAAGAACAGAAGTGAGTAAGACTTTTGCTCATGTGGGTGTGAACCTGTTTAACAATTGCGGTTCATGATAACAATAGAAATTTGATGGGGTTGTTGTTTTTAGTTGTTTATGATTAATAAAGTTTACATAATTAATTAGCATTTGTCGTCATGCGATTACCATTTTCTATGTCCCATCATGCGAAAGAAACATGACCACCAATAGGAAAAACGAAAATTTTCCACCCATATAAAATACCTTTTGAGTCTTGACTATACTAATCCAAGTTGATTATGAAGACTTTTTTTATTTATTATTTCCATTTTTATACAAGATGGGTCTCCAAATGAAGCTGAAAACCTGCACAACAAGGAGATAGCAACAAGTACTACAAAGCCATGGTATAAGCTTTGGTAAAAGTAGGGATGTGGGTCTTGATCAAAATCATAGAAGGATCAACCCCTAACATATACTAATCAGTAATCTGTGTGTATTTGGATTTATTATTAATTTGCGCAAACAAGAAGAGGAAACTTTCCCGCATTTGAATGCCATGAACATCTGAAAGCTTTATTCTGAGCATGAGAAAGAACTAATAACGAAGAAATCTGACTTATTG